ATGACGGAAAACTACCCACCGTCCGAGATGACGTTAAACTACCATTGACCAAAGGAGCGTGGTTGCATTCTGGCGAAGCGCGGAAGGACTCGCATCACAGAACCCTGCCTATAAAAGGTCGAAGCGCTTCCGATATTCACTCGCTTTTTGGTAAAAGAATATCGGGTTGTCTTGGTTCAAATCCAAGCGAGGGGTCTGGGGACATGGAAGAGCAAGCATCTCTTCATGGAGCGCTCAGTCTAGTCCTGGAGTCGAAGTACAAGAAATTCCGCTCCAAGACCTAGTCAGGAGGCAACTAGGACACGTGCCTCGAGTCAAAGATCTAGTAGGAAGGGACTAGATCACGCGACTCTCGTCTGGCCCACATAGCGGAAGAACGACAAAGAGCGGGCCACTCATCCAAAGTCTATTCCGCCACAATCGTCCGCGACGACGTAAAACTAGGTCTCGTCCGCAACGACGATAAACTACGAAGCGTCCGGGATGACGTTAAACTAAGCATTGTTTTTCCACAATATTTGTGGCGAAACAACGTCCGCGATGACGCTAAACTATTGTCCCTTTCCACATAGGGATTGTTCGAGGCCAATGGCATCGACGTCCGCAATGACGATAAACTACGGGCATCCGAAACGATGTAAAACTACCGTCCCTTCGTTCTAGGGATTGTGCGTGGCGATCTTGACAAGATACCATGCGTCCGCAACGACGTTAAACTAGTGCCCCTGAACCTAGGGGTTGTCATTGACGTCCAATCCCCTGGACACCAATGCGTCCGCAATGACGTTAAACTACTTGCTCCCGATCGCATGGGAGTTGTGATTCATCACTCTGGTGCTGAATCGTCCGCAATGACACAAAACTATTTGCTCCTTACCGTATAGGAGTTGTGGATTGACCGCCATGGTGTCAATCGGTCCGCAATGACATTAAACTACGTGCTCCTTACCGCATAGGAGTTGTGATTCATCACTCTGGTGCTGAATCGTCCGCAACGACGTTAAACTACTCGTCCCTTTTAGCATAGGGATCATCGGTCGACATCATCCTTGACGAGAATGTGTCGACAACGTCCGAGATGACGTTAAACTACCCTCATCCTCGGAGGAAAAGCCTATCGTGACTCGAGGGACATAGTCAGACGATAGTCCGCCTATCGCACGGCGTTAAACTGCAAGCCCGCCTAATGCACGGCGTTAAACTGCAGGTCCGCCTACCTCACGGCGTTAAACTGAGCGGTCTCATAACTTTGAGGCGTTACAAGTTATCCGGTTTGATATAGTATAAACCGTCTATCATGCCTCAGTGGAATCTGGAGCGGGTAAAGTCTGGTCTATGGCCCTATGCACATCACCGATGGAAATTCCGGCGTGCAGAAACATCTTTCCCCACAGATATTCCATGTTGATGATGAAGGACGTCCGCAAAGACGATAAACTACGGATCGTCCGAAACGACGATAAACTACGGACCGTCCCGCATGACGTTTAAACTGCCAGTCGTGGATATATCTCGCAAACCCGACAAATATATCAGCTGTGGTCTTGATGTCTACTCGTGCAAGCGAACGGACAGACTTGGGAAAGGAGTCAGACTCCTCCTTATTCCTCGCTGCACCCTTCAAGTCTAATTCTCTTCACATCCTTGCCTCGAACCCAACACTACACGTGGTATTCCCCACCATAGGCCCACGTTTGTGAAAAACAAACTCTGGACGCCGTAAACTGCCTCACCGGAGATGAGTCCACCGTATGGGGACAATACTGCTTGGGATTTGGCTGCAACCTCACCGGAGATGAGCTCACCGTATGGGAGCGATACTGCTTGGGGCGTCATGACTGGTAGCCTGGAGAAGTAGGCCTAAGCCTTCGTAAAGCGATCAACCTACTTGTCCATGGGCGCCATCCACTGTCGTCAAGAGGAACAACAAATCATGAGGATAGACGTCTATCCTGGAAACACTGAGGTTTGGCCCTCGGAGAAGGAAGAAGAAGAACCTGATGACACGAATTAGAACCCACACGCTCGAATTTCTACACATCCACACACCACTCGCATTCATACGCCTTTCTTGATGCTGTTCCAGAAGCGGGCTGGAAGTAAGACCGCGATGCGGTTTACCCGCGGCAAAATCAATCCCACGGGTGAAGGAAGAACACCCTACAGAGCGGAGGTTTGGTACCCTCGTGCCTCGACAAACAAACAGCTCAACGGAGATGGAAAACTCCTAGAGGATCAAACGACGTAAGTCGGTCTTCCTCCCAGAAAACGAAGTCATGTCCCGGAAGTCGCATCCGGCGACCATCGTTGGATCAAGAAAGCAAATCGTATATGGAGCGGCGATGACACGCAAGGCGTGGTCCTACCAGGCGAATAGGACGTAGAAAGGGGGTATTGTTATGATCACGTTCTATCGGGCCTACACGGCGGTCTATACCGATACGATCATCACAAATATCACGCGGCCTCACAAGCTGAGGCGTACACCAAGGTACAGATATTAACCTTGGTCATCCACTCCCAACGGATCACCTTATCGTTGGTCGAGTATCACAGGCCCATTGTATTAGCGGGCATGGAACGCCGCCTTATAAATTACTCACACGCAGGGCATGAACCTCCTAGTCTCTCCTGGCCGGAAGGAGACCAACGGAGAAGCACAAGAGTAGTCGTTATTGAGAGAGACGACTTAGAGAATACCTACAGATACATATTCGGTATTCTCACGCCCTACTTCCCAAAGTAGTATAAAAGGCCCATAGAATAGGCTGACGATCTTCAGTCTATTCTCTTCGTTCAGTACTGTCTTCCTACAGTACTCCTTCATCCTTGGGCAGTCTTCATACTGTCTACTATCATTGCTACATCGCAATACACTTCTGGCTCCTGTGCTACACGTACAGTCGAGACCACCGTTCCACACATCCTCCACGAGTGACCTAGGGAAGAACCTCCTACTCTTGGGGTTACCGACGAGCAGTCGTAACAGCCACAGCTTCCGACGCGGCGCCGCCTCCTCCGCAGCAGTTGCCGGCTATTCGGACTACGAGATACAACTCTTGGGCCGGTGGCGCAGCGATGCCTTCAAGCTCTACCTAGAGGTAGACCAGGCTCGCCTGCTTCAACTGTCCAGAACTCTTCATTTGGCCCTCCCTCAGCCGTCCGCTTTCGACCCTCCGGGTCTGCGCGGCCTTCCTGTCATGGCTTGAGGTCGGCCCCGGGACCTAGTCCCGAGGCTTGCCTTGAGTTCTCAGGGGCCACAAATGTCATACATTTGTCATGCCTGTCGAGCCCAGAGAATTTCGCTTCCCTTCTCAATTCAGTCGCTTCTTTCTCGATTTAGATAACGCTTCTTCCTTTGTCACTCAGTCACATTGATGGATCGAGCAGATGGAAGGGGTGAGTTGCTCGGGGTCAATGGGACCTTTTCTCACAAAGCGCCACGCCTCGATCAGGGTCCCTCGCTAGCGCTAGCGTTGTCCGCCACCTTGCCTTGTCCGCCGCCTGTGTTCGCTTTATCCTCTCTCAATATATATACCTCGCGAGCGCAAAGGCAGTTCCTCATTCTGAACTCACTGCCGCGCACTCGCAGCACGCGCTACGTACATCTAGTTTTTCGTCCCACCCACCATCCCTCTCCACTTAGATCTCTCTACGCTACACTAGTCTAGTCTTCTGTATCTACATAAGCCCTCCTAGAGTTGGCTTGAGGTCGGCCCCGGGACCTAGTCCCGAGGCTTGCCTTGAGTTCTCAGGGGCCACAAATGTCATACATTTGTCATGCCTGTCGAGCCCGGAGAATTTCGCTTCCCTTCTCAATTCAGTCGCTTCTTTCTCGATTTAGATAACGCTTCTTCCTTTGTCACTCAGTCACATTGATAACTGGACGAAGGCTCCTGATCCCGTGCTGGGAAAATCTAGTCACGTGATGCCTTACGCGATTAATGTACGCGTCACCATCTCTCAATGCCGCACGAAGTCTCCCTCCCTAGGTGCGAGAGCACACTGCTGGACGATGTCAATGGAACTTTTATTTCGCACAAAACCGACATGGGAATATCTTCTCGAGTTAGAGTATCACATCTTTTCGTGGTGGGGAGGACGTAGACGATCCGCTTGATGTCGTCATGGACGAAGGTGAAGAACTTCTTGACTGCTTGGAGCGGCTCAGAACGTCTGTCATCTAAAATTTGATCGACCCCGCTTTGGTTGATCATGGTCTCACCCTGGGCGAAGATAACTACGACCCATCGCGGCATTTTTTTTAACCAACCATACTTCCCGCGAGGTACGTCTGCTACGAACTCTTCGAACAAAATATAGTCAAAAATTCATAGGGATCTTAGAGCACGAGTAACCAAAATGCATAGTCTAGGGCGTCATGTTGACCGACGAGTTCATTACCGACCTCTCACTGACTACATCTGGCTAGACGATGATCCTTGCGTTCGCCAACGTGTACGCTTTGTTGCTCGGCCTGCATGAGGAAATGCGCGTCCTGTGTCAAAACCTAACTTGGACCTGTGCTGGTGTCTGGTCCTCATATGCACAAAACGCATTCTTCCCCTTTCGCTTCTTCCCCAAGAAAGAGCGCACAGCTATTGTCATATATAACAATCAGGTGGTCCCCAAGAAGGACAGCCATTGAAGGTTGAAGGTTGAAGGCGAAGACGAATCAACTCTAGTCTGGCCGTCAATATTGTCGAACAATATACAATGAAGATGCCCGCGGATTTCTATTCGATGTCTAGCCCCCAAAGTGGCCCTCAGAATTGAGGCCTTGAAGGCTATCTATTTTTGGTAGGCAACCTCGTTCAATTTGATTTTGAATGATTTTTGCTCCTAGGTTTGGCGAGGTGTGGACGGCGTGTGGCAGGTGTAGAGGGTGGAAGCATTCTGCTCTGCTCGTCGACTCTAGCCCGGATGATCTGAATGATAGTGACAGCATCGATGAGTATCCAACATAAAGCGTGACATTTTCATGCTGTCAAGCAGCAAGTGGCTCGTTTATCATTTGTTTTCACAGCAGCACTATGAGAAGGTCGCCGCACGGAGAACCTTTCTGTGCGCAAACACGGTGTACGAATGCAACATGCTTGCAACACGAGGCATGACGAGTAGCTGAAATTCGCATGCATTGGAAGGGCCTCTGTTCCGTTGACGTGACGAGAATGGATATGACGGAACCGCGTACAGATAGTGCATGCACATCACCACACATGTCGAAATTACTTGTATAGGCGCTGTAGGGACACTCGCCTGGCCTCCCTCAGTCATCTATCGTCTGAGGCCGGTCAAAACAGACAGCGGGAGCTTCGAAAGATGGAGCGTGATGACGTACCAATGTCCGTCTCCACTCATACGATTGCCCTCAGGTCGAAGTTCCCGTCTGGCCCTTTTACAGCTACGCCTTTTTCGGTCACGATAGCGGTGATCAGCTCTGCAGGAGTGACATCGAAGCTTGGGTTGTATACGCCATCCAAGCCTTCGGGCGTGATCATCACGGCTGCTTGCTGCTTGTTCCCCTCTGCGTCAAGCGAGGGAGGATACAGTGCGCCGCGAACGATGCAGGCTTCTAATGGCGGGCGATGCTCGATGGGTATGCTGCGCATCGGTAAGTTTAGGTCGCGTCATTGGAAATGAGGGAAGCCTGCATACCTTGAGCCGTCTGCAACGTCAAGATCAACGGTGCTGATCGGAGCAACTACGATGAAGGGAACATTGTGGCGTGCAGCGAGCACCGCAGCATTGTACGTTCCGATCTGCGTGAGGGAAGATCAGAAGATCAGATACGCACGATGGGTGTGTGCATACTTTATTTGCGGTGTCTCCATTACGTGCGATTCTGTCCGCTCCGACGGCTACGATACACTTCGGTTGAGCCGTTCATCTCCGGACAGTCAGAGTTTAAGATTACTTACCGACGGCGTGAATGTGGTGATGCTGGAAGAGGGATCCTACCATCGTGTCGACAATCATGGTGGACGGTATTTTGAGCGTTTGGAGTTCGAGTGCGGTCAGCCTGGCCCAGATGGTCAGTGGTGCATGGTATCACGATCAATGACAACATACCGAGAACCCTGGTGGTAAGGGGCTGTCTGCGTATAGTACGCTCTGGCGAGCTTGGCGGTCTCATGAAGATATGTTATCAGTCCAAGAGCGGTTCCATATCCCTGTTCGGCATGGGTGGTGAGATAATCTGAGGGGGTGCTGTGAACGCACCGAGGTGGCCAGCGACCCAGTATTGCAGACCGTCAGGACATTCAGTCCCTCCCCCGTCTCCCCCTTCTCCTTCACCTGTTTTACCAGCCACTCCCCTCCCCACTTCGCCATCTCCTTGTTCCTGCCCACATCCTCGTCCGCGACCTTCCTCCCCTCGTCCACCAGAACCTGCGCGACTGCGCGCACGTCTTTGCCGGCCTGCACTGCGGCCTGGAAGGCGCGGTATAATCTGCGGGTCGCAGCGCCTAGATTAACCGCTGTCGGACGTGCGGTGAAGAGGAAGTCGAGGATGGAGACGATGTGTGATTCGAGGGCGCCCACGGACGAGAAGAAGAGCGGTGGCGGATCGGCTCGCAGTGCGCGCTCGAGATGCTGAGCGAACGCGAGCGCTGCGAGAGACGCGATCGCCGGTGCGCCTCGAATCTGCAATCCCCGAGCGTAAGTACGATGCGAGGCGGGGAGTGTTCAGCGCGCAGCGGTGACCTACAAACCTTCATCGTCTTGATTGCATCGTGCGCCTGCTCGATCGTGTCGACCTTGATCCATTCGGTGGTGTGGGGCAGTAAAAGCTGGTTTATGATTTCGATTTTGTCATCCGAGGTCCTGATAGATGCCAGTGCTGCCATTTTGACGTTTCTAAATTACTGTGGAAGGAACGGTGCCACCTGCCACTTCTGCTCTGAAATTTGGATTGTGGATTTACAGCTCCGCGGCGGCAGCCGCCGCCTCTCTGTGGCAAGAGCTCGTGAGACTGAGCAAAGTCTGCAGGAGCAGATGGCCAATGCTCAGACGGCCTGGAAGTGGTGCTCATTGAGCTAGGAGCTACTAGCCAGGAGTAAGAACCGCGTGAACAGGAGCTATCACTGATATGCTTGGCAGGTGACATTCTAATGAAGCTCGATGCGGGCATGAGCTTCCCTTTCTCATTGAGACTGATCGGAGAAGATCGAGGGATATTCGAAGCAGAACTGGCTGCTTTCTCCGGATAGCAGAAGTCGAAAGGGGCCTGCGCTTGATGAGAGAAGGTGCAGAAAAGCAAGTGCGATACCGATAAGCAGTATTTTCCGCCATCGAGGACGATTGTGCAACTCATGAACTCTGGGAATATGATGCTGATACGATGGGTCTCTTGCGTCGCAGATCCTCGAACACCATTATCACTGGTCAATGGCAACGATCTCTCGACTTGAAACGCTCTTGAAACATACCTACTTTCAGGGCATTGGAATCTGATCGGCAGGATCAAACCTGCACAATCTTTCTAGTGGAGTCAGCGATCGACGAGAGCCAATTTCAAAGCACTCGCATGTAGGCCCGGAAGTGTATTAAAAGCGTCGATAGGGAGGTTTGAGGAGATCCTCGAGCAAATGAATGAATTAGCATGCATGTCTTGCATTGTTCAATTCTTGTGGCATCGCTAGTCGGGCGGCATTCAAAACGGATGACGACATAGAGAATCCGAGAATGCACCAGGACCTTATGTGCCCCTCGATGCTTCTCTTCGATGTCTGTGCTAGTGTAGAATGCCGGTACTGGTCGATAGAGAGCTGGCATGGAGTGCGTGAATTGTAGCCGCACAATCGTGGCTTAAGCCACAAGTCAGTTCGCCGATGGGGAACGGGACTACCCTTTCTGAAGAGTCTTGTCCGTGTATGCGTGAGGTCCGCGGCAGAAGATAGGACCGGAGCTTACTGGCTGGTCGCTGAATGAACATGAGACACAGAGAAGGAACCTCTGACTCCTGTAGCGAAGACTGCTGATGTGTTGTGCAGCCAAGACTACGAGAGAAGGACGATGGTGCAGATGAGGCTGCCTGACTCGATAGCTGAGCGCTGCGCCGCACGATGCAGTCGTCTGATCTCCTTATTACAGAGGGGGCCAAGGAGAGCCGGCGAGGAAAAGTTCCGCGTACGTAGCAGGCGTGGGAAAAGAGAGTTTATATAACAGGCTGCATCGATTGGCCCAGTTTTTCTTTCACCAAGGAGCTTTCCTCCCGCTGCGCTGTCGCCTCTCCCCTCCGCTGCTGCTACAACCCCTTTGTCCCACAATCTATTCTATGGTATCTTCTTCAACCGGCATTTGGTATGCTATCTGCTCTTGCTTTCCGTGGTAGCCCTACCCGCTCACATGTGCAACAGCACACATCAGATCAACAACATTCTCTTCGGACCACTTGCATTCCTCCTCGTCGACACCGACAGGCCCCCTTAGTGCTCCCTACGCCCTTCACACCGGTTTCATTGTTGCCCTCCGCTCAACTCATGGGATAAATAGCCTCTGTCTTCTCGCTATTCGGTCGCTTGCTTCCCAGACATCCGCTTAGAAAGACAGAAAAACCACGAAAACAACGCACACGCCTTGCCGATCGCATACCTATCCTCTCGACACTCTTCGCCAACCAATACCATAATATCTGCTACCATGATGCACGCACTGAAGCCATCCTCCCTCTTCCGTCCCTCTAGTCGCCCTTCGTCCCCTGCCCCTCTCGCCGCCCGTCCCGATGCGGCTGTCTCAGTTGACAGGGTACCTCGCAACAGTCACAAGCTCTCCCTCACAAGCTTTAGACGCCCATCCCCTGTGCCGGTGCCCGCGCCCGCTGCTGCCATAGTGCAGGATGGCTCTTATCTTGAAGTCCTCAGCTTCAGGCTCAACGAGGCTGTCGCAAAGGTACTTGCACAACCCACGGGACCAGCCGCTGCCAATGAGCAGGTAAACGGCAAGCGACCGATCCCGCCTGGCCGCGGACGTGCATTGGGCGCCCTCATCTCAACGTGCGTGCTCACTAAACATTTCTCTTCCCGCACGTGTCACTCACATTCAGCTGCAGCGAGATGAATGCTGCACGCGACATTCACCTTCGCAAGGCAGTCCTTCGCGCGCTGCATCGGCCTCTGTCTACTCTCCTCTCCACCGTCTCTGCACAGCTTTTAGTACTTCTGTCCTCACCCGCTTTCCTCAGCCCCGCTATACCGACGCCTCAGGCACCACATCCAAACCCGACTCAGATGCACGCTCTAGGCTATGCCACCCTTGCTGGCGAGCTGCTGGATACGTTTGATGATCTGCGCCTGGGGATTGATACCGACTCTAGAGCCGATGGGTTGAAGCCAATCAGGGATGGCCTAACCGCTTTAGTCAATCGAGTCATCAATCCCCTTGCTGCTGGAATAGTGGATGATTTGATGCGTCTCATTGCCGCACTGGAATTCGCACCAGCTCCCAACGGCCCGTCAAGCAATTCGGCGTCCAAGGTGTCATTAACGCCAAAGGCTAGCACTTCACAGCATCCGTCCATTACTGCACTCCAGGCCGTGATCCCTGTTTACGCGAGCACACTCTCCCTATACTTTGCCACGTCTGCATCACAGGCGACTCTCGCGACTCATCTCATAGCCCTTGTGTGGAGTGGGCTCGTGGCGCTCTCTAACCGCTTCCCATCGCCGTCTACGCCACCTTCCTCTCCTGCTACCCTCCCTGCAGTCACCAAGAAAGGCCGTGGCACCACCCCTCCCACCACTCCTCCATCCTCGAGGTTCATGCTCAAGCTCCCCCCTTCTCGGCCTCCCTCCCCACACGCCGAGCGTGCGCCCCCGTCTGTGATTACGGACACCCGTATGCTCTACGATCTCCTGCGCTCGCTCCCTCGTCCGGGTGCTGAGAAAGAACGCTTGCGGTTCGCGAGAGAGGCCGTAGATGACGCATTCACCCAGCTCCAATCGCTCATCTCACTCTTCGAGCTGGTCAGCACGTGCGGGCCTGTCTTGGATCATAAGGACCTGGAGGAGTCCACGGCGGATATATCTACCCTGATCGCCCTGCCCGTTCTGTTTAATGCGTACGTGTTCCCTTCTCATGGGTCAAGCGCACGCACCGTGGCATCTATGCTCGGGCTTTCGGAGGAACGGTATAAGGCGGAGTGTCTCGCCAAGCCTGCCAGGGCGGAAGAATATACCATCTCGGTGGGTAAGCGGCTGCTTGACATACTCGGCCAGCAGACCGGTGTCCCTCTTAGCCCCGCGGCGGGTGCTGTCGCGAACTGGCTCACAATGGAGGTGGAGTCCGCTGAAGCTGACGCCGAGGATGATGCAGTCGTGTGAACCAAGTCGAACAACATACATACAACGGTTACTTTTTCACTGGACATTCTTGTCGATGCTGGTATATCTTGGAATTCGGTTGTGCAGAAACCTACTTATTCTATTTACTTTCTTTCTGTTTTGGCGTCTCGATGCTACCGGAGTTCGTCGCCACTATTGTATAATTTACTTTATTCCGTTGGAATGGATGTTCAGTCGACGTACTTGACCTGGAATACATGACTTTCTCTTCTTTTCGCTCGAACGCTGGCAGACTGGATCCGATGTTTCGTTTCGAGCTTTTTAGAGTTTACCGGTGCTCACGAGACAGAATCTGAATGCCGTTCCTCGCTGTTCCTCGGCGTGCCTATCATCTTTGTTGATTCGCCAACATCGAATGGAACCCTCAACGCCACGAATAGTTCTTTCATGGCATGGACGGTGTCTTGCGGCGGACAATTGACAACACGGCGGGATCGATCAGGCGGGATCAGGTCCACGATAGTGCCATGATACTGCCATGATGTCGACTCGACTCGACTTTGTCCCTCCTTTTGTTGCTTTTGCCTCATTTTCTCCCCTCATCATGCCAGTATGTCCGGTGCTCACTGCTCATTGAAACGTCCGGCGATGGCTATCTCACACACATTGAACTCACATCCGGACTTCCTGTTCTTGTTCCCCGTTTTCCATGGATCATCCGATCTTCTACTTCCGAGCTGTTCGGGTAGACTTCTTCCACCGGCATTGGATGCCTGTGAGGCTTGAGAGCTTGAGGCTCGAATGAGTTGCAAATTGCTCAGGCTCTTCCATTGTGTGCTACAGCCGGCGAGGTAGGGCGAGGTGAGCGGGCGTTCTTCGGGAGCGTTACGATCCAAGATCCAAGAATACGCGACGACGGCTCGAAAAGGCACGGCGTTTGCAAAGTTTATTGTCGAAGCTCCGGCACGCGTATGCTTCTGCAGACGACGCTTTCAGCTGCACTCGTTCGGTGTGCCAGCATCGTCATACGCCACGCAGACACATGGGGTCACACCACCTGAGCACCATCCACGATGAAGGTTCTCAGCACCAGGTGCCACATGTATCGCACCGCGTGTATTAACACCGCCGCCCATAGACTAACAGCAAGCGCGAGCTTGTCAGGAGACTCCATCGCACCTAGGCCTCGATAGCTGGCTCGGACGCATTGGCTGGTGTTCTGCGAGCAGCTGGGGTGGATGCAAACCCTACCTAATCTTGTGCAAGATGGGCGAATTGCTAAGGGTGTTCTCCATGTATGAATCGCGGTTCTCGACGTATTGGTAGGCGGATAAGGTTGGTCGGAGCTATATAAGAACGTTTCGTCCTTGAGCGGATCCGACAGTCATCGTTGTCACCTCACCTCGCACTTGCCAGGACCGTGACGCCCGCCATGCATCTGTCCATTGTCATCTCGCTTTTGCTGTTCTTGCTGTCCAACTCCTTGACACTCGTGTCTGGACTAGGCTCTCAATGCACAGGTCCACTCGGAGAAGGCGCTGCCGGTGCAGACGATCCATACTGGCTGCAAAACATCGCGCATCAGGGCACTTCCGCGTTTGGTCCCGCAGGCTATACTGTCTTTCGCAACGTGAAAGATTTTGGCGCGAAAGGTGACGGCGTTACAGACGACACGGCCGCCATTAAGTATGACGTTGTCATTCTCCTCAATATGGCAGATGTATGCTAATGAATTTGCTTGAATATGATAGCTCTGCAATTAGCTCTGGCGGACGTTGCGGACAGGGATGCGATTCTTCGAGGTATGCTTGACGGTGATGCATTTCTTCGGGAACGATGTTGATCAGTATTGACAGCACAACGCCCGCCTTGGTCTACTTTCCCCAAGGGTTGGCGTTTCCATTTCAGCAAGCGAGGTCAATCGCTGATCAGATCATGCAGAACTTACCTGGTGTCGGCCCCGCTTATCGCCTACTACTATACAGCTATAGTTGGAGATGCCAGGCGTCCCCCAACCTTGCTTGCTAGCGCAGGCTTCACTGGAATAGCAGTCATCGGTGGATAGCATTTCTCGGACACCCTGCCACAAGAACTGATCATTCCTCGAAGATGCCGACCCTTATATACCCGGGGATAATGGTGCCCAGTGGTATATCAACCAGAACAATTTGTATGGTTGTCTTTTTTTCCTTGTCGAATGCATAGCTCATTATCATCGGACACTCAGCTATCGGTCAGTGAGGAATTTCGTCATTGATGTCACAAACATGCCAGCTTCCGCTTCCGCTACCGGTATACACTGGCAAGTCTCCCAAGTGACGTCGTTGTATAACATCATTTTCCACATGTCTACTGCAAGCGGTAACGCGCACCAAGGTAAGCGCGTTATTTTTTCTCCGAATCAGCATCTAAGAACAACATGCTCTACGAGGCATCTGGATGGAGAATGGAAGGTATGTGCCTTCTTCTGCCACCTGTCGACCGATTTTTCATTTTTCTGCGATCCACTTTCCCAGTGGTGGCTTCATAGGAGGTATGTCATCTGCGGGGGTTTGTACGCTTATAGCTGACCCTCGAGTGATTTTTGTGTGCTGCCCGTAAGATCTCGTATTTAATGGAGGTATGGCTCATTTGAGAGATATTTCTCGTGTGGTTTGACTAACGATATGCAAGGCCAATTCGGTATCTGGGCTGGGAACCAACAGTATGTGAACTGTATTCACCGGGACCAGTCCATTGATTGACATCAGCGAAGGTTTACTGTGCGCAACATCACAGTCAACAACGCCAACACAGGTAACGGCTTGAGATCCATTAATTCATTCAGTGTTGACCAACACGGCATCTTAATTTATCAGCGTTCTTCGGACTATGGAACTGGGGTAAGGCAGTGTGCACTACCGCTGGTTGAATGCACTATCTCAATGCGCTTTTTAGGGTGGACATTCCAGGGCATCACGATCAACAACTGCCAGGTGAGCAGAAACTATGGGGAAGCTGACTGGCATGCTAACACGAGATGGAAGATCGGATTCGATCTATCAATAGGGTCAACGAGCGGAACTCCTCAGGTAAGCTCTCTTCGAGGGTATTCATTCGTTTTCATTTGACTAGACGCGTATAATTGCTACAGGGAATCGAGGCTGAAGCGATCATCGACGCCGTGGTCACTAACACGCCCGTGTTTGTGCAAACCTCTCTGCCCAGTAATGGACAGCTTTTGGGGTCGCTGGTTTTGAATAACATCAAGCTCAACAATGTCCCCACTGCTGTTGGTGTGGCAGGTGGCGCGGTCGTGCTCGCAGGAGGGACCACCACTATCGACTCTTGGGCACAGGGCAATATCTATACTGGCACAAATCCGACAGGAAGATTTGTACAGGCGTCGATTCCATCGATTCCGAAGGCCTCTTCTTTGTTAGATAGTACTGGCAGAATTGTCAGCAAGGGTCGCCCTACATATGCCGACTACTCCCCTTCGCAGTTTGTCAGTGTAAAGTCTCAGGGTGCGAAGGGCGACGGGAATACCGACGACACAGCTGCACTGCAGGCTGTCTTTGATAAGGTTCGCTCCCTTTCTCACTTTAAAATTTCAGCTATTCATCTTGTTACAACTAGTTCGCTGGATGCAAAATCATCTACTTCGATGCTGGAACATATATTGTTACTTCCACGCTCAAAATTCCAGCTGGCGTCCAGATCGTGGGCGAGGCATGGTCAAATATAATGGGGTCTGGCAGCGCCTTCACAAATCAGAACATTCCTCAGGTGGTTGTCCAGGTCGGTGCTGAAAACTCGGTGGGCGTGGCGGAGATTTCAGATATCTTGTTTACCACTAGAGCCCCTGGTAAATATTACCAAGTGCCTATATGTTTCTAGAAGTGCTGACTTGTCCGGAAGCAAATGGAGCCATTGTCGTTGAGTGGAACGTGCACGATCCATCTGGACAACCCGCTGCTGCTGGCATGTGGGACTCATTGATCAGGTCTGTGTGTTGGTTTGTCCGCAGAGACGGGATGCTGATGTTGACCCTTTGTATTCAGACTTGGTGGCGGTGAGTTTGGCCACAGCGCTTCAGTCTTAAATCTAACACGTCGTGCATAGCCGCCGGAACCAACATGCAGACTGCACAATGTGCTGCCACGTTGCAGGATACTGGCGACAACTGTTTTGCTGCCTTCATGGGATTGCACCTGACCTCTGGATCCAGCGCATACCTTGAGGTAGGACGAGAATCTTGCATCGTTGTTCAATTGACACACTTTTGCGAAGGGCACATGGGTCTGGTTGGCTGATCATGATATAGACGGCGGTGGAACGCAGATCACTGCATATAGTGGACGTGGGATTCTTTCGCAGTCCCAGGGGCCTGTTTGGATGATTGGGACATGTGAGTCTAAACCCACACATACGATAGAATGTGACTCACTCTATCTTTCAGCTTGTACGTACGTTTTGCACTATTGTAGTATTGCCTTTCATGAATGACGCTATGTAGCCGAACATCATACCCTTTACCAGTATGGTTTAGCTGATGCGAAAGATCATTACATGGGGTTGATCCAGACGGAGACAGTACGCACGATTTATTTTTCCTTTCGGGTGTCTGTTCAGCATCTCTTCACAGCCATACTACCAACCAAATCCAGTCCCTCCCGCACCGTTCATCACCAATAGTGCATATGATGACCCCACATTCAATGGAGAGGCCGCTGCATGGGGACTCCATGTTCAAGACTCGGATAATATTCTAGTCTTCGGTTTGTTGTTACATCACAGTCATGGAAGAATTTACTAAAATATATTTTAACATGTGTAGGTGCTGGACATTACAGCTTCTTCCAGGTGAGCAGTGACTGTATCAAAGTGATCCGACCAACTAATTCGACAAACGTCTAGAACTATGTCGCCACTTGCAGCAATACTTTCAACTGCCAGCAGCAAATCGTCGACATCGACTCAAGCTCAACAGTCAGCATCTACAGCTTGAACACAGTTGGGACCGCCTTCCAAGTCAGTGTCAACGAGAATGGCATCATCAACGAGGCCGACAACGCGAACGGCTTTTCGGAGACCGTCACTTCTTGGACGCGCTCATAGTGGCACGTCCGTAGCGAACGGCGGTTATTATTTCTCTTGGGGGTTCTAACTTCTTTTATTCATGACCACTGCAACACATTGATGATGATACCCGTGATATGTTTGTGAGGCGGTATCTCACATGGAATACAATTGATCTAGATGTTCTATCCATCATCAAACGAATGTGCCATGCTACCAAGGACTTCATCTTTTGTGGCCATGTACATGAACACATCACAGCCCTCCGAGGAGGAACCGCCCAAGACAGACTCGTCGGTGAGAAACAGGAAGAGAGCGACACGGGAACAGCCGCACTGTGACGCGGGCGTTACGACACGGATCGTGCTCACGCAAAAGGTCACCGCCACGAGCGCCGAGCAAGGTAGGTTAGCACTCACACAATATCAATTAGAAACCTGGAACCGTAGGTCCCTGGATGCGGGTCTGAAATTCCGAAATTATCGTCGTAAACGGGCGGCACGATTAAGTGGGGTGCTTTCACCACCTCAGTCATTTCCTAGCGCCCTCCGGCGGCACGGTATACCCTCAACGGGCGTCGATTTTGCTTGACACCGGCCACAGATCTAAAGAGAGAGCGCTGGAGCGCTAGCGCTATGAGGGCGGCTATCTGGCGACGCCGCTTATGGCTCAAACTTTCTACTATTGCGAAGCCGGGACTGCAATAGAATGCATCATTTGGCCTAGAGGCCGAATCACTTCGTGATGTTAGAAGATATCAGCGCCCTTAGTGATGGCGTTCAATCTCACCATGCATGGTGAGTACAAGCCATCCAGCTCACCGTATTGACGTTTTGGCCTTAAATACGACAGCCGTATAAAAGGTCATGCAGTAGACTCAAGATTTCCAACTGCCTTCGTTCCACATTGAAAGACTTTCTGCTGAATTATCACATTTGTTCAGTTTCATAGCTTCTCATCCAACAATCAACCATGACAATGCACACCACTCTTGAGAAAGATGAGATCTCAGCAAGTGACCTGAGTATGTTCTATCTCATAATTTTTCGGGGTGTACACGATTTATCTTGTTTTCCAGATGCCATAACCTCTATTTTCAAAACCTTTTTGCGAGACATAGATTACAAGCCGCAGGCGATACAGGACACCAACGTGCAGCTCGAAGAAGCCATGTACAACGAGATGCATAACCTTGGTATTTGTTGCGATCAGCTAGAAAGAACGCTTCATTTGGCCGCTAGCTATGTTGAGGTAATATCTTGTCGTCGTTCGATCGTTACTCGAGGGAAGCGCTGACGTCTAAATTTGTTCTGCAGATTATTTATCAAGACTGTAACCTCGCCGAAAAAATAATCATAGCGAAGTTCACCTGGTACGGAAGCATCTAGCGACAATCATTTGACAGCGTCTTGATAAGAAGATTCACAGGTATATGATTTACATCGACGACATGGTCTCCAAGGACCCCACTCCCGTCGTGGCCTTCCAAGAGCGCTTTTTGCGCCGTCAGCCGCAGTTGGATCCTGTGCTCGATGCAGCTGCCGAAGTTTTCATGAGAATATATCAGTACTATGATGCATACGCAGCCAACTGCATCATTACCAGCGCACTTGAATTCCTCACCTTCTTCTCAGTCGAAGCGAAGATCCAGGAATTTCCCCTGGTCCGTAAGGCCCATCGGTTCCCGTGGTTTTTGCGCGAACGTACTGGCGTAGCAGAGGGATTTGCCTTCCTTATGTTTCCCAAGAGACTTGGTGTTGATATCATGGAATATATACAAGCCATGCCGGACATGGTGATATGGATAGATCTGGCGAATGATCTACTGTCGTATGTATACCTTCCCAAAATTTCCGTATATCACTCCCTTAATCAGTGTTGCTCTTCTTTACAGATTTTACAAAGAGGAGCACGCGGGAGACTCAGCCAACTACATCCATACACGCGCCTTTGTCGAAGAGAAGGCCCCGATACAAGTACTCGATGAAGTAGCGAATGACCTGCATTCCTCGGCATCTTCCATACTCGCAACTATCACTCAATGCCCCAAAGCGATCCGGGCCTGGAGATTCTGTCAATACGGCTACGTGTAAGCATGCTCTCGATTGTTCTTAGAAACATCGGCCTTGATGCTCCTCACAGTCATTGGCATCTATCTCAAGACCGCTACAAGTTAAAAGATCTAGGCTTATAAATCGAGCGATAGGAGCACCACCACACAAATGTAGAATCGGAGGGGTAGCGCACTGCAGATTTGAAACTATCCTGTATTGGATAGATGCCAACCTTGCGTTGCCAAAGATCTTGAAGTAATGCAGACAAATAATGAGACTACCAAAAGTGACATATTTTGCGTGTGCCGGGTAGACAGACCCAGATGCTTTCGTAATTGATAAAATGATGGGGTGACACACGAGCGGTATATGATCTTATATGATATGTCCCCCAAACGAGTGGATTCTGGGCCATGCAGTGAATTCACTGATCGGTGCTTATCAGTTGTTTTGCTGTATGTCCCCGACATTTTCAACTTCCGCCTTCAACCGGTCTACCTCGTCTCATCTTCTGGATCTTCTATCCCATCGCATGCACGTAACAGCACAATCAAGGCCTAAGTTTCCAGTGTTTTTTTCAATGTGGCCCAGCCTGTGCCGCACGCTCCAGACGCACCGTGAACCCGTTGTCGAGGATCCCTCGACGGCGGGCGAGAGGTGCGAGGAGCGTTGTGGTTTGAACAGACTACGAATGAGCTGCAGTGAGCTGGGCTAGTGTGTTGGTGAGAACGGTGGAACGCAGTACTGGGGCTGGCAGAGCAGTCCCAGGAGCCCGCTGATTTGAAACGGGATACTCCGATTCAGCACAGGCACGACCAGCGCCGATATGGACCAGAATGAGAAGATCCGTATATTTCTAGTACATTGTGTGTTCTTCCAAAGTTGTCCTGTTAGATATGTTATCCATAACAACCTTTAACCTACAGCTTCGGGTCGCCATCCAGCTCCAGAGAGCCCTGAACTTGCAAATCGTGTATACTCTCGCATCCAACGCCTCTCAGAATCTTCACAGGGCCTTCCTTCTTGACTGCCTCGAGCTCCGCATCCTCTTTGACGAGCAGCATCCCTGCAAACCCTAGGGCATTGATGTTGAGCTTCTCGCCAGATTCTTCCAGTACATATGTCTCCTGTCGACGGGGTATGAGGTACATGTGTTCGAGGGTGAGAAGGACATTGTAGGAGGGCGTGCCGGCGGGGTATGATTCGTCGTGTCTGACAGTCGAGATCACAAGGTCGAGTAATTCGAGGAAGGCCGAAGCCAGGATGGGTTCCAGATCAGCGGGGGTAGAGGAACGGCGGATCGAGAGACGTCGTATGTGATGTGCGAATGGAAGTACTGAAAGAGAGAAAGGCTTTTCTGAATAGAGGACGATCAGCCTACGACAGGCGTCAGAAGGAACAGAGACGAATAATTACCATCCTTATCTATTTTTGCCGCTCTCGCGAGTTCCTCGATTGGGGGGCCATCTTCGTCCTCGAGAGGCAAGAATTGGATATGCTTGTGCGGCTGGCTGGCACCGCTATTATCGCCGCCTTGTGAGTGACAGGTGAGGAATGCGAGTGTAGAGGTCTGTATGAGCACGCTCACAGTTATAGAAGGCGAAGAATGGCGTCCTTGCTTTGCGAGCCGCAAGAAGGATAGAATATGCTTGGACAAGATCCGACGGCATTAGCGGAGACGCCTGGCTTTGATACTCTGCGCGAAAGGCGATTCCGTATCGGAAGTTGCATGATGAGATGAGTGCTTCAACCGCTTACTTTTGGTCACAAGCAGGAAATGATTAGGCACAACAGAGAACTTGTTCAGCTGAAGTGATATCGGGGATGATGAGACATTCCAGACAGCGTATAGATGAGGATGCTGTTTCAACTGACCAGCACGGCATACTCAGTTCCTTCTTCCTCATCTGTCAATTCTCCGACATATAGATTTGGAGCATAAGGTGGTTCGAATGGGTCTGCTCTACGTTGTTCCAGGGGCACCTCTGGGGTTTGCGATGTACTGAAATGGGGAGTGGGGAGGTGTGGCTTCTGTTGAAGAGCCGGGCATAGTCTAATTTCGAACTATCGATATGAAGGGTTCAGAATTGCCTCGAACAGAAATTGCGTCTACTCGTCCAGTGGAGGGATGCTTATGACCGGAGAGCAGGACGCACAAACCTGAATGCCCGAATCATCATGTCTATGTATTTCGGAAGGGAAGAAGAAGAGATCCCCGGCTGTCTTTGCTTTCTCAAAGCTAGCTGGGATGGCAGCGATAATTTGCGAATGAGTAGACATGGCTCCGTTAAAGGAGAGAGATCTGAACCCAGAGATAAGTGCTGAGCGATGGATATGTGTGCTGCAGAACTTGAACAGCTCTGAATGAAGCAAGTTGAGGATTGCGATCTTGATGAAGCTGAAGGAAGATCGGCGTGCGACGCTGAAAGCTTGACAGTGATCCAGATCGGGCAGGTGACCTTCCTGATATGGGAATGGGGACTGAATGGGGCCGTTGGCCCTTGGGGATGACCATGAAGGTCACCACATTTTCATGCTCTATGCACGCTCGCATAGGCTCGCATTCGATGATAATGGCGCACATGCGTTTCTGTTTGCTCAAGTGAGTGGCCACTTACAAATTGATTCCCTCTATTTTGAGCCCGACCTCTGACCCAGAAGATCGCTGAAGTCATAAGGATCCGAGACATGAGTACAGTATCAGCAAAGCGTTCGTGTAACCTCATGCTATAATCTAGCGGGATCGGCTTGATTCTGAATTGAGCTCGGAGCACAACAGACTCTATAGTAATGATGGCTTCCTTGTCTGCCCACTTCCTTTCCCCGTGAGCTGGCACCTGTTCCCCCTTTCAGCTCGCTACTGATTGGCGCTGCTTCGATCGATACGCCGACACCAGCCTTCGCGTCAGATGATAGAAATTCCACGCTCATCGCCACCATCGCCTCCGCAATTCCTTCCTTCTCTGTCGTCTCCCAGGTAACAACTTTCTGTATATGCAAATTCTACCATGTAAATCCCTGCGGATATCTCGGAGATTGAATGGCTCCCTCTCTGTTTGAATACTACGAAAAGGGTTTCTGGGACTTATTTTGCTTGCTTGTCTTGCTGATTCAATACACAGCATGCAGCTGCTGCAGACGCTTTGTGCTCACATTTGAACGACAGGTCGGTAGCCTCGCGATGAGCTCGCATCTCATGTCCAACGTACCTACTGCGCTCGACTACGAACGACAGGGTCCATGAGTATCCCTGAACTCCTTTCCAATATTGTGTGGCTTCGCTGCGCTTGTCTCTACGGTATGTCAAGCTCATTTGGATGCTAGATCGCAGCATGTTTTCAGGCCCGCTATACCATGGTATCGTGAGGATGCTGCGCTGGTTGTCTCTTCCTCATACACTGCATCGCCAATAGGTGTCATACAGGAGCTTCTTTCCGCAGGACCTCCTCTGTATCCATGGCGCTTCACCTGCGCTGCTGCGAGTTGCGTTAGACAACACCCTTCGCGCGAAATGAGACGTCCAAGCTTCTACAGCTATCAAGCAGTATATAAAGACCACGTCTGCTCTGCTGTTCTACATTAATACGACAACCAGTTTCTTTCTCACCTGCATTCTTTCAATTTCTCTTCGACTTCAGCCCATTGTTTTTATCGCCTACTTCCAATTACGCTTCCTGAATACCGACCATTCTTCTAACCTCACAACTTAATTCTTCCAACATGATCGCTTTGACGCGCTTTGTTGCTCTCTCCATTGCTCTCTCTGCTATCGCTATCAACGCCGCCCCCATTCGCCGCCAGAACAGTGGCCAAGGTATGCTCCACGCTTGCAGCATCCGTTGTGACGCTTATACCTGGGTATTCTTCCAGGCACTCCTTTCACCCCTGGAACTGGGTCTTGTGGAATCAGCAGCGCTGATACCGATTTCGTCGTCGGTGTGCCCGCAGCTACTTTCAGCGCCTTCCCGTGAGCATACCGTAGACTGTTCGTGTTGATACATATACTGATTAGAACCCTTCAACAGCGGTGCTACTACTGACCCGAAATCGTATGTTGGCCCCCGAGCACAACCACGAGCTCCACACTTACGCATATCCCATCTAGCAACCCGATCTGTGGCCAGTCGCTTCAAGCCACCGGTAAGTAGCCGTCAATCGTGTCTCGCACCGGCGCCATGCTTACGCACGCTACAGCCAATGGAAAGACTGTAACTGTCAAAGTTACCAACATATGCACGTCCTGTGGACCCGACGACATTCAGCTCTCAACTCCTGCTTTCGATGAGCTGGTTCCTGACAACCAATCTCCTTCTTCCCTTTCCATCACCTGGACCATCCCTAGCGCCTCCAGCACGAATGCCAACACAGGTATGTCTATCTAGGTTTCTTCAGCCCTCGACAGCTACTCATCTCCGATTTTTTGACCACCAGCTGCGCAATCGGGTGCTCAAACTACGGGCCAACAGACCTCGGGCCAATCGTCTACCCAGGTCGCGGCTCAGCCCGCTGGGCAGTCGGCTGCCACCAAGAACCCGAGGGCTGCCCCTCCTGCTGTTCCGGCTCCTGCTCCCCAGGCTCCGAAAAACCCAGCTCCTCCACGTCAATCGCCGGCTCCGGCTCCGGCTCCTCAGAACCCTGCTCCCAAGAACCCAAGGGCTGCCCCTCCTGCCGTGCCGGCTGCTCCTGCTCCCCAGGTCCCGCAAAACCCAGCTCCCCCGCGTCAGTCCCCACCGTCGGTTCCGGCCCCTCAAAAACCCGCTCCCAAGAACCCGAGAGCGGTCAAGGGTAAACCTGGTATGTCTTCAGATGTTTGAGCTGCTATTCGGTGTATGCTCATTTCGACCACGACTCCAGCTGCCCCTCGTCCTTCGCCCGTGCCAACGCCCCAGCCTCAGGGCGGCCAGCCCCAAACTGCTCAACCTCAGGACGCCCAGCCCCAAGCTTCCCAGCCACAGAACGCCCAGCCCCAGGCTGCTCAACCCCAGGACGGCCAGCCCCAGGCTGCTCAGCAGCAGGCAAATGGCCCCAGGGCCATTAAGCAAGCACGTAAGCTCTTCCAACCTCCTCCCGGCGCGTCAGCTCCCGACGCTTCGATTTAGCTGCCCCGAAGCCACAGGCACCTCGTCCTTCCCCGTCCCCCGTCCACCCCCCTCCTGCCCCCAAGAACCCTCGCGCGATCGGGAACCCGGCTGGTATGTTCTCATCAATTATACGCATAAATCTACAGCAATGTTAATACATCCTCTTCAGATATTCCCCCTCCCCCCAAGCCCATTGTCCCTGCGGCGCCTCGCCCTGACGATCGCCAGGGCGCTCCGGCTCCCCAGAACTGACGCACTTCAATCTGCGCCGGATGGTCTGAGCGAGGATTGGTACCCCCCAGCAATCTTTACGAATGGATCATGTCGGTCATGTGTAGTGTAATCCTTTACTAGTAGTCGTCTATACGCTCTTTTGTTCCCTGCTCTCCGAATCACAACCTAATTGTTGAACCATCTGTTACGCTGGACGCAAGGAACCCTTGTTGTCTTGTTCGCCGTATCAGGCCGATCTATTATTAGGTCTCGAATCAGAGCATCGACCAGCCTCGCTCTTCCGGGATCCGGACAAAGCCATTCCAGATTGGCATTGAATTGTACTGCTGTACTATAAGGGCGAACTATATACACGGACCCCTCTAGAACTACAGGCGGTTACTATGTTCCGAGATAGTGGTAAAGGTAACGAGAGTCCAGAAAAGAAAAGGATGAGATGGGTTTGTGGAAGGGGCCTAGTCCGGATTTCATCGTTATGGACGACAACGTGTAGAAGTCAGCGTTGCAGTCGTTGTGATGGAGGCAGCGCTACTACCTGCAGCATGGATCCAGTACTAGTACAGAACAATGGCCATGTCTCGTTTGGAGACACGGCAAAGAGCAAGAAAACATGACGGGCCTCGATACCGACGGAGCAAGAAATCTGACGAAAGAAACGACAAACGAAAATCGGTGAAAGAAAGAAATGAAGAAAGAATGCAAGAAGAGGGACGGGGACGCAGTCCGAGCCCTGACCACACCTCCCCTTCCGTTCCTGTGGGTCAAAGGAGGGTATCCGGGTCAAGCTCCTCCGCGCCTGCCCCTATTGTCCTTTGCTTCCTGCATCTGTTCCCCTAAGGCTATAGCGCGGCCCCAACACATGGCCGCTACCAGAGACCATAGCGCACCATTCGTCCCCTACACAGCCACCGCATCCCATCAGTGATGCCGCATGCGAGCAAGAAATGAGGAGACACACTTGATACCACAGAACGGCGAAGAAGGCCTGGAATATCATCCCTACGACTCTCAACATGAAACTTCGGTGTATGCCCGTGCCCTTCAGGAACGGTGCCGGATAGTCCAACGCAACCAACATGAGCCCAAGGATCATGCTTATAATTGGAACGATGGGTGCTTTGACAATGATACTGATGAAGAAAGCGTCCTGAGGCGCAGGTCTGGACAAGGAGAGTGCGGGTGTAAGACGGCCTGAAAGAAAAGGCGCGCGGAGAAGAAGCGTACTGGAGACCTCCAGGGGCACGAATTGTACCGTTCACAAAATCCCAGAAAAACTTGCGGTAGATGAGGCCAAAGAATGAGGCCCATACGGTATCTGAGCGTGGCCGGACAGTGAGAACTGGGCTAGATTACGGCCTCGGAAGCGCTGAGAGAGGTGCACTCACAGACGCTAGCGGTGAGAGAGACAAAGCGAGCATACTCGTGCCAGATGAGGTTTCCCATTGTGTGACGAACGTTCGGGTAGGTGCGGTTGATGGAAAGAGAGTGGGTTGAAAAGAGCGCTGCTCTGGTCTGCCTGAGGAGACTGAGATGGGAAGCTGGAATAGAGGAGAAGGAGGATGAAGAGCCTGCTTGACCGGACGAAGAGGAGGGAACGAAAGAAAGAAAAGGGAGGAGCGCAGCTCAACCGACAGCAGTAGAATGGAGGAGCGAAAGGAGAAGGAGGAAGAGCGCAAGGCTCGTGGGCGGAGGTGTATGAGGAATGATGAATTCTGCCACCGCCCATGCTTCAGCCACCGATCGTCTCCCGTCCGGCCAGTCTCCGGCGTCCTGCCGTCGTCAGGGCAAGTCTCCGGGCTAGCCGATTTCCTCATTTATCACACGTCGAACTCCTTCACAGCGCGACTTATCTCGCGTCGCAACCGACAGGTCACTGCGCACACTGTCAATGGCTGCTACCAGAAATCCAATTACGGGGCGAAGTAGAACACATGAATGGTATCGCAAACGAGGGAGGAGCTGACTGGAGCTGGGAGGAGCAAAACATTGCGCGTAACATAGACAAAAATAAATATATCAACGACACCCCGATCCAGGCACCGATGCTACCTCGCTCCGGGCAGGCGCAACGTGGGTGGACGTGGGGGACGCAATGGGATGTTTGACCACTTGTTTGATGCATCAAACAAAACATCAGCCAATATGAACGGAGACCATCAATCAAAACGCGCGCGGAGCTTGCCTTATTGCTCCGGACCTGTAAGTCATCGCCCTCGCCATCAACCTGTCCGCCGTAGTACGAGTCCCGCAGGTGACCGGTTCGGGGCGTCTGCGGCATGTCCAGATGCGCGTAGGAACGCACAGACGTGCTCCGGGAGAGGTAGCCTGCACCGGCATCGAACGCGGGCTTCTCGGGGTCAGCGAATGGATTCTCGCTTGGCGGACCCTTGATGCCAGCGAAGCCCGCTTCCAGATAGTCGGGATCCTGGATGGGAAGTGTCGGCGTCGTGGGAGACTGGAGCGGCATCCGGCTCCTTTTCCGTTGAATGTGTTTGCGGCGAAAGAAGAGGAAAACGAACAGGAGAACAAGCAGTACGCCAACCAAGACGGCAACAATCGCAGCAATGAGCCCAGTCGAGAGGCCAGAGCCTGACATCGTGTTTGGCGGACTGGGAGGATTACCCGATGACCTGTTAGGCAAATGTTTGATAAACGGCAGGTGTTAGATATGCCCATGACCGTGCAGAAGATAGCAACTGACGGCATGCCGTTGGAAGGGCTCTTGCCATTCTGATTATTGTTATTGTTATTGTTACTACCAGAGCTGCCACCGCTCGCGACATATACATCGATGGAGTCAATATCCATGAACTTGCCAGTATTCTGCTGACCAGCCTGGTCAGGATTGGCCGTCAAGACAAAGCTGTGGTCACCAGACCCAAGATCGTTCGCGAAGTACTGATGAACCATTAGTATCAACGTTCATGGCAGAGATGTGAAAGCTGACCAGTAATGTCTGAGTGTAAGGTGCAAAAATCACGTTCAAGGACAGCATGGCCTATCATTAAGAACTAAACACTGTACCTGATAGTGCAAAGTGCGCGCTATGCCATTGGCCCCGCCGTTGAGCGAGTGAGTCTTCCCATCCACAGAAATAGTGTAGTTGGCGTGATCAGGGGATACGGTACCGTAGACAGCGACTGCATCTCCGCTGAACTTGAACAGAGCCTGAGCGCCGCCAGTCTGTGTATAACTGATGAGACGAATGTAATGTTCAGTTTGGTATTAGCAAACATAGGCAGAGAATTTGCACACTGGAGCGTGTTGTTCATGTTCGAAGTAGACGGACTGATGGACCAGTCGGACAAGGATGGGGTATAAGTGATCTCAGAGCTTGAATCATCTGTCGTGAATTTTGACATCTTCGCGCTAGCAGAGAGTTGTTTTAGTGAACTGAGCACGCAAACGCAAACCACATACCCAGTCGACCCTATCTGGGTCTCGAATACGAACGAATCGAGGTCTATCGAGGACCCAGAACCCGTATTGGTCAATGTCACGGTGTGCGACCCCATTGGCAGTCCGGACTTTCCGCCCAGCAACTGCTGGAAGGCAGGCGTCTCAGACTTCGCGGATCCCTGGACCGACTGGCCATCCACAGCGAAATTGTATTGGCCATAGTCGGGTCTCTTCGCTCCATAGAGCCAGATGCCGGTGCCTGTATGGGAGACCAAATAGTATCTTGCTCGCACGCTTCACGGCGGTGACACTCACCCTCGAATGAGATAGTCGCGTATGCACCTTGCGAAGAAGTCTTGTGCCACGACTGCGCGGAATATGACTGCGACGATGATGGCGATGACAAGCAGTAGGATGGAAGGAAGAGGAAAAGGAAGATATTCGGTCTTGAGATCTCCTCTCACAATGATCGCACAGGCTCACCTGAGAAGCGAAGTCCCCATCAGGGCTGTCAATCCACGCACCTGGCGGTCCCCACGTAATCAAAGGAGAGCTGTCCTCAGCTGTGGTCAAGTTGGCTGGCATGAGAAAAAAGAGAAGACGTTGACAGACAGTCACGTCGCACGCACCGGTGACATTGAAAGAGGCCATCAAGGCGATTAGATATTATGAACGAATATAGATAAATAAGAGTGCTGGAATCGACAGCACCGAGAGATGGTAGGCTAAGAGTGCTTGCCGGAAGGACACCCAAGTGGATCGTGAAAGGGACGTGGCGAGTTCGTCAAGGGGAGACCGCCAAAGCCTGCGCGCAGGGCTGATCGCTTTTATGATGGGAACAGTCGCATCTCCGAGTCGCGTCCCGGCCACCACGTGAAGCATCAATGCTAAGTGACGCTGGGCACGGGATGCACAGAGCTGGGTGTGCACAGCCTAGCGCGCGTCGGACGGACAGTTGTGGACAGTGATTCCATCGATGGGAGAATAAATACATATGTACTTCAGACGAGCAACGTTTGCAACGTTTCGGTTTCACAGACTCGGGGTCGACTGCCAGGAGCGTGAGACTCGCCCACCAATCGGGCTCAGATTCAGATAAGATTGACTTAATACCGGCCGATAATCTCCAATTCACGACAGGGACCCTGGATCCCAAGTTGGATCCCAAGTCTGCCGTTGTTTGCAACAGTCAACCGCTCCATGCAAGCTTCAAAACGGCCTCCATCGAAACCCTCCGCGTCCCACGAGCTCGTTCCTGTCGGCCCGCGGGACGTTCAGCTATCTAGGCGGGCCAGGCGCGATGACAACGGGCATCTACCCACGACAGCCCGCGCTCTCGTTTTGCGCAATGGCAAATATGGCGCGAGGGGCACAGGGGAGCTTGTCGCAACGAGGAAAATCAGCGGGAGAGAGAAGCTTGATCTTCTAGGTGGTGAGTAGAGGTGCACTCAGCAGCGATGCGAATTGGAGGATTCATTGGCTCGGGACCGCGTACGAAGAGGATCTTATGGCCAAGTCAAAACAAGCCATAGCAACGCCATTCAACCTTTCAAAGTGTTACAGTATTGCAGACTCACAATACAATGGTCCGTTTTTTTGGCTCTGAACAAGTGCACGAGCGTGACTAGAGATGACGCCAACAGTTTATCTGGACGATATATGTGACCTTCGGGATGTCAACTTCTTCTATGCTCACATCGTTGGAGAGATCTTGGCTCATTCTTCGAAAGACAAACCGGCTAGCCCGAACGATCGAAGTGTGGTCGTGACCGCTGTGGGCAGCAGGTAGGGTTCCTCCTGTTCGTCTATTCTGGGGCAATCACGAATCTTACCATCGAGATCTTCAGAATTCACAACTCGTACATGCTTGCATCTGTATGGAGAATTATTCGCGCCTATTTCGAGATTTTTGAAGAGGATGGGCTGGCTACCAACAACGTCCGCAACAAACTCAGGCAGGACGAGGATATGAGGACTCAGTACTTGATACTGTATGACATTGTCAACGTCCTCGTGGATACAGCCCAAGCAAAGTTTTCTCAGTTGGCAACTCACACAAGTGATGAATTCTTTTCCCTTGATTTGGGACTTGCATTGACACACTTTGTAGAGCATTTTTCCCAATATTTTAAGACATACGAAGGCGTTGATCCAAACGACCTAAAAATGATGTTTGACTGGGGCGCCGTCAAAGAATCATACAAGTCTTTTGTTGATTCCATCATCATTGAACTTTGCCTGCCTCAGTCGGTCTTTCCAAAGTATATTTTAACTGCAATCTTACAGGAGGCAGTTGAAGAGGTTCCGAGTGAATCGAAGCGCTTTCCGCAGGCGCTCTGGGATGCCTTGGGCGATTTTTCCGTATGTCTGATGACATCATGAGATGGTTTGCTGATTTGCATCCTAATGACCACAGGTTGCAGTTCAACTTCAGGAAATGTTAGAAGGACCTTTGCTGGGACCCGAGGGTGATATTTGGAGGAAGCTGCCTCGGACGATGCCCGAGGAGTTTGAGGTCTGGTGCGACGCGCAAATTCTGTCGGAACGAGCCTCGAAAGAACTCGACGAAGCTTTAGATGTTGTCTTCCCTCTTCAAAAAGCCAAAAACCACGTCGCCGTCACGGACATGTGGAGGCGCATTAACACGGTGAGTTACTTTGCATTGTTGCATCCTCGCGCATCTTGATATATACCATGTCTTCGGTATTTAAGACATACAAAGCCCTAACAGGGCAAAATCTGGATGAATTATGGCAGCTAGAGGGTGAGATTTATCGCACAGCTCACTGGACAGCAAGGCAGCCAACGGCGGATCTCGTGGTCTACGACCGTCCACAGGGGAAGAAACAAAACAAAAAGAACGGTCGTCTTGCCATCACGGACGGCAACGATTCAGACTCTATGCCCTCTTTGGAATCCGTCTCTGACTCCTCTGAGGACGGCTCTGACAACGATAGCTATGACGACGACGTGGTCGATGACGATGACAATGACCACGATTCGGTTGGGTATGATACAGAGGAAGAGGGTGTGATGCGAGATTTGTTGAGAGAAGCTATGGACGAGATCTCGTCTTATCCTGGCTTTTTCGATCCGACTCAGACACTCAACGAGCAGTTGGCGGAGGAACGAAAGGGCAATCCTTTCTTGAAACTTTTGGGGTCTTTGAGAGGTAGCTTCTAAAAAGAGATCTGGCTCGTCTCATCATTGCTCTGACATATTCCTCACAGGGCGGATGTTTTCATCGAATCCCACCCTGAAGACGACAGACCGTAAGACCCCGAGGACGCCATATCCCGGCACCAAACCCGTTTTCACGAGTACCATGCAAGCGGGAAATGCTCCTACAAAGGGATCTACTCCACCGCAGAGTCCTAGACGTAAGTCCATGTACATCTTTTCATGCTGGTGCCTAAGACCTTGTATTGTAGCACCCGTGCCTGTCAACCGCAATGTGACGGTTGAGGAAGTCGACGACGAAGACGCTGAACCTTCAAAAAAGAAGAAAAAACACAAGAAGAAAAAGAAGAAGTCAATAACCACTGCACCTACACAACCACAACCGACTGCTCCCATCTCGCCAATCGTCCCCACACCACCCGCTCAGGCGAATGCTTCCGTGGTCAAATCCCCTTCTGCGTCGATGGGTACTGCACAGAACAATGCGTCCTCAGCTACGCTCACAAACGTGTCGTCTATCGAGCTCACTCGCCAGCAGACTGCGCAGTCCGCTCATTCGTATCTTCAGTCCGAGGGCTTGAAGGAGCACAAGTCTAAGGTCAAGTCGCGTGCAAACCATGCAAATCTGATGCCGATACCAGAGAAGGAGAAAAAGGGCTTGTTCTCGAGGTTCGCAAAAAAGAGAGAAGAGAAAGGCGATGCGGCAGACATGCCGAAGGAAAAGGACGAGCAGAGCTTGCAAAAGTGGTTCTCCAGGTTGGGTAAGAAAACGAAAGATAATATGCACCAGCTCTTGGGCTCGAAAGGGGACGGCAAGAAGGGATCAGCATCGATGAAGTGGGATACGTTCTTGAAGGTGTGTCAATATATATGGCTCACATAAACTTTGTTCTATCCCTGTGGTGGTGATCCAACACGATCGTGCTTTTGCAGGTTATGCAAGAGATGGGATTCACGTACGACCCTAGTACGGCAGGCTCTAGTGTACGCTTTGATCCTCCTGGTGGCGAGAAACGGGTAAGTCATGTCGGTCACTTTGATTCCTTTCTGACACACAGTTTGGTTTTGCACAGTCAATATCATTCCATAGACGTGAGAATTCACTGAAATCCGCCAACGAAGCTTTCCAATCTGACTTCGTTTTAGCCCACCCGGACTCAACTCTGTATCCGGTCAAGTTGAAGATATTCGGGAAGAAATTGAAGGACTATTATGGGTGGGATGAGAATTACCTCATGCAGCAGGCCGGTAATTGAGACGATGGCTCTTTTGTCTGCATTACCTTGTGCGACCTAGCGATGTGTCGATCCTCTTGTTGTCTCCACTTTCAAGAATCGGCGTTCATTTCGTGGTTGCATTTGGCTGAGGCTCTTTCTTGACTTTTATTTGGTCACAGGCTCTCGTCGATCCAGGTCCCTAGATCTATCATAAGACGAAGACGTACTCGCTCATGTCTTTTGGGTCCCATGCTGGCCACGCATCTATTTGTGTTGCTCTCAGTAAGTGTAAGTGATGGTCTGAAACCTCTGGAGCTCGCGGCGATCAACGAGAAGGGCGGTACCAGATTGTAGGTCCAGGAATGGATGCTTCGAATAAAAGCGCGCTTCATCTCAAGGGCTTGTACACTGCCAGGATGTTATTCATCTTGAAACTCATTTGCAACGCATCAGGCCGGAGCTTGGCTGAAACTGAGACTGATGCAAGGTCTCGACGCCGAGATGACGCTGGACGGCCCGAAGCTCGTTTCAGCTTTATTTCAACGTCACCTTCGATATGAGCATCATCACGGCCGATATGGGCAATCTCGAAAGGCTTGTCCCGTTACGAGTCTCGATTTTTTCCTCTCAGTTCTCAGCTTTGTCCCGAGTCACGTTCCTGTCATGCGAACAAAGACTGGAGAAAGACATGCTGTTTTCGAGCTCTTTATACACCGTATCAGAGATACCTGGGAGCCTTGGACCTGGTTGGGAGTGATGCCCAGTGAGAATCTATTGCAGGTTTCGGCTGTTTGACGCTCAGTCGAGACTGTAAGGACAGAATCAAATGATTGTATTCTCAGTCTCGTGAAGAGAGAATTGAGATGTAAGTGCTGGAAGCTAACCTGTAAGGACAGAATAGTTGTATTCTACCGGAAGAATCAGCTTCTGTGAGAAACATATAAGGTAATTCCTGGTTCTGTTACTTAGGAAGCAAGGTTCTATCCAGAGTTTTTCATGATCTGTGATGTGACCTTCTGAGCTCACACTGCTAGTTGTCATGTTTGATGTATACAACATTTGTCAAGTTGTTGTGAATTCTGAGGGGAACCAGGACCCCTGAAAATAGGTGGGTAGGGCACATGCAAAATTTTGGCATTTGCTGAAAAAAGTTTGGACAAAAAACCCAAATTTGGCCGAAAGATTGGATTTAAATCTGGTTTTGAAACCTTTTCCCCCAAAATGGTTGGGTATGAGTCCCAGTCAGAACCTAGTCAAGGAAGATAAAGGTAGCTGGATTTGAATCTATTTGACTCCCAAAATTTAGACTTTTTATAGGCAGATTGTGGGGGATCCATTGAGATACATTATGATAAATTTGGGTTGGTTCATCTATTAGCAATTTTTTTCTTCTAAAAATGAAAACAGGGTCATTTTGAATCTATTTAAATCTATCTGACTCTATTTAAATCTGTTAAAATCTATTAAAATCCATTAAAATCCATTGGGATCCATTGGGATCTATTTATATTGATTTATGTAAAATATACAACTAGCCCATGCTCTGCCTTCCTTTATTACTGCTCTGTTAATTGACTAACCAGCCATCACACCTCTAGTACTAACCCATATACCCTACAATCACCATTGTAGATGTCTAGGGGCTTTAGCTTCTCTAACTAAGCTATTGACATATTATCTGCCATATTATGCATTATGTGCCATTTACTTGTAGCACTATATACTAAAGTAATTCAATGAGCTTCAAATTTATATGAAAACAAGTACACTATACCTTTTTATCATTGCTTAGTGAAGCCCAACGCTTTAGGAAATCCAGTCTCTTTGTATTGGGGTATAGAGCCTTTGACTCTTAGGCACATATATTTCTATAAGTAAGTTATTAGCAAGTATGAAAAAAAAACATTATAAATATATGTACTTAGTAGTATTTCTCTTACCTAGATTCCACTTGTGTAATTTCTTTTCATTCACCTTTGTATTCTATTAGGGAAAAGCTCCACATTCAATTAATAAGCATAAATTTAGCTATATTTTTGCCAATTACTATTGAGGATTTTTAGCTTACCCTCCCTCTAATCTTAAAATTATAAGGTTTAATTAGAGCTAATTTGTCATATGGATTTTTAGAAAAATATCAATTAACCTACTTTTATAGTTTCTCTACTATTACTATACCTTTAATCATAGAGTATATATAAAGCTTACTAATCAAACTAAAGTCACACCTTGTAGTAAACTTACCTATCAATAGAATTGAACTAACAATCTCATACCTATACACTCTAGACTAGTACTCTGAAATACTAAGTCACAAGGTCTAAGTTATTTATCTAGTAACCTAAATATGTTAATATAAATAAGGCAATCTCAGTATTTCTGATTTTCTTATATATTCATCTTTTATCTATTTTATATATAAAGGGGTCAATAAATGCCCTAAAAATCAGGGCTTTTGATATTTGAATTTGGGCACTAGACAGCAATATAGAAAACCAATAAAAAACAAGGAATATAGTAAAAATAAGATTATAGCACTTATATAATTTGGATTTGGAATATGTAAAATTGTAATTGGGTTGTAGATTCTAATGGGACTGTAGTAGTATAGATAATATCACCTTTACTTGTGGATTTGATTATAAAGTTGATTATAGATAATATATTCTAATTAGCTTAGGTTAGCATTTTGAGTAATTAGATCTAATTAAGAGAAGAGGTTTTTCCAAATATAGGAATTGCCCTTACCCACTGATCCTTTGATTTATAAAGGTTTTTTTAGAGCCATAATAGTAAATATTGGATATTATTAGTATTCTTGTTTTTTCCTACCTCTTATTATTATCACAGCTTAATAGTCTATCAGCTCACTGGCAAGACTGTCATTTCTGAGAGCAAATATAGCCACATGCTCTACATGCCTTTAAGGTTATTCTAGGTTATCCATAGACAGCATTAGCTAATATATAAAACTTTCATTGTCTTATTAGTACTATTATCTGGATAATAAGATAGCTCCTTTATGGATGGTCATTTTTTGGTCATAGGTCATAAAGCTGCTAATTAGTTTCTAGCTCTTTGAATTTAGTACTAATAGCATAGAATAAAATATAAAAGAGGACCACTTAGTATAGATGATAGAAGCACTTAGTATAGCCTTTAACCCATATTTTCCAGCCAAATGTGATTACAAAGGTGGGTTTTTTGAGGGGGATGGCAAGTCAACACTATAATGTTCAACTTTTTTGTTTAATTGTCCTCTAATTAAACCTCTGTGTATTTCAGGCACATTTATGGATTTTACTACTTACAAGGAATCTACTTGGCCACTAGAGAAGCTTCTTGATAAGTTTTCACTTTTAGATATAGAGAGTAAAGACATAAAAGTGGCTAAGATCTTTCTATACTATTGCTTGTAACTTGTTCTAGAAGAGAAAGCAACTACTAGAGCACTACTTAGTAATCCATAGCTAGTGGATAAAAGCTTAGATAAAGAATAATTGCTTAGAGGCAAGACCTTTGCATGATCAACATTGTCTATGTTTAAATCATTCTTTGTATTAGCAGTAATTAGTCTTATCTGAGACTTTAACTAGTTTTGACAGGAAAATCTAGGATATATATAATTATATTTTTTCTTACAAGAGCACATTATTAGTTAGCTGGATGCTATATCTATGTTACTTAGTTACAACAATCAACACAGTTATTTCAAAAAGTAAGTACAATATTTCACAAGCCATATTAGACATGAATATTAAATGTTGAATGTTAAATCTAAGCTTCTTATGAATGACACTTGTGATTAAGGTGCTTGATTGTGATTTTGAGTTATAAATTTATGTCTATTATATTCTCATTATTGGCATTAGTCATGCACACAAGCTCTATACTATCACTACTAGTGATTGAGTCCTATAATAATAATAGAGTGCATATTTTAACAGGCTTGTCATTTTTAATAGAGATAACAAGTCTTAAGAAGGTCAATGTGACTTATTGAAAACACTTATGGAAGACTTTGGGTCCTCTTCTCATAGATACAAATCAAGTCTTAGCAATACAAGATAAGGTAGTTATAGTGCAATATATGATATAGCTTTGTCATAAGCTTATCTATAAAGCCTATAAACGACACAGTAACTTCCTTGACTTGCATTCTACAAGCTATAGCTCTCTAGGACCTACTAGAACATCTCTTTTATCTTGCATACTATTCTTAATAATAAACATCTCTTGGAAAGATAAGAACATATACTTAACTCAACCAGAGAACAAATAGTAGATTGAAAATAATGTTAAGGCACTGTTAGAAGTAAAAAATACAAAAGAAGATGGGTTAATCAAGCCATAATCATATATTGTTTATATTTTGAGTCTTGAGTGTAGATATCAGTGTACTTATAAGAAGGACAAATCAGCTATTCATAAAACAAAGAATAATGACCCTAAAAATCATGTCATGGTTAAGTTCAAAAAAAATGACAGAAGCCATGTTACCACCAGACATATCTATGCTATAGGCTAATTAAAATAAACTATATGTAGTACTACTGATTATATGCTATGTGATATATCATAGTGAGCACTTCTTTGCTAGGCAGGCCTAGCTTATACTTAGTTGCTACATAATATTGTATTATAGAGGGGCTTATATTCAAGCTTATTTTATTTGCTCATATTATTTTCTATTATCTTACATAGTTCACATCTTCTAGAAAATAAGGTTTCATCTCTATTATTTTGGGAAATTGGTATATTAAGCATTTGTCTGCTTGCACTTTATGATTATTGAATTATTTTTAATGATAAGTACTTTGCAAGGGCCAGTCTATTTTTATACTATACCTTCTTACTTAGTACTATATACTAGGAGTAAGTATGTGTCTGGGTAGTAAAGGATCAAAATCCTATAGATAAGAAATAGTTTCATACTAATATGGCAAGTAGTTGGCAACTATGTAATAGCTCTGATCATTTTAATAAGACAAAAATGCCTATGGTGAGGAGAAGAGAGTAGTCTGAGAGTGTATTAGAGTAAGCATATGCTAAAAAGAAGTCAAAAATTCTCACAGTTTACTATATTGATTTTTAAGAGTAGCTTTCATATTAATTAGAGAAACTAATACAAATGTACAGTAAAGACTAAACAGAACCATTTTAGAATGTAAATAAGCTTGCACCAAGCAATACTTATCTGAGGTCATTACCAATAAGAAAAGTGTCTTTAAAGGGTCCTTAGAAACTAATTCCAACAAGGGCCTGCTCATGTTCTAGATAAGTCACCATCACAGACATTTTTTTTATGACATATAGATGTGAAAGGGGCAAATAACAAATCTTATAGAGGTTATACATAGTAGCTTGTTTGTTTTGTCTCTAGAGAAACCAGGTAACTTAATAAGTGTTAGGGAGCCTACAAAGATTAAGTTACCTAGCACCAGTTGAACTATAAAAGAGATGAGCTATTTCCCTATTGTATAAGCTAGATTACTTGTTCTTGAAGCTTAGACTAGAAGATAGACCCATAATGTGAAAAAACCATATTTTGATTAATACTTAAATTAATCCAAAACCCAATAATGCTACTAATTTGCCAGCTTAGCTCATATAAGCTGGTTTCTAATACTCAACAGAGTAATCTCAGCAATGTATATCAGTATGAGGTTCGACACACTGCCAATGGTGCCATCTACAAGTATGCATCCAGCATATATTAAACCTAGCGCTATATGCTGTGATATGGAGCATATGACCCCTAATCTGATTTAAAAGACAATGGCCACAAAAAAGAGGCCCTATCTATATCCAAAAGAGTAGCCTAGTGAATACCCACAAAGGGATCTAAAAAATGCACTAGCTTGATATATTTGCACTCATTGTCTCAGAGAGCATGCCAAATTCATTAGTGAATGATTTGAGTACCATCATGCCACCAATAAAAGCAGAGTCATAACTATAAGGATTGGAGAAAAAGAACATTAATAAAATATTCTTTGTCCAACTTGTTAAATGTTGCTGCTTATAGGCAGTCATATTAGTTTGATGTGACTATTGAGCCTACATATAGATGGTCTTTTGTAATCTGCCTAGCACTAGAATATAAGAGTGAAAAACAGGGAGCTATTCTATCTTTTGATAATAAACAAGGACAAGAAATTGAGAAGGGAATTTATAAAAGAATCATAGAGAAGAGAGAGATGACCAGAGCTTACAAAGAAATTACAGGGTAGATAATTAGATATTTTGAAGCAGCTTATCCTATCATCATAGATGCATATGCTACAGTGCCAGCTAATACCTATACCCTCTATTTGTATACTGTCTCTAGTGTAAGCTAATCCTCAACATGATGAAGGTTAACCATAGCTAATGAGAATAATTGAGCATAGTAGATTTGGGATAAGCCAGAGAACTTTGAATCAATGACCTTTAGTAGTTGTTGCATTTGAGCATTATACAAGGGTCCATTAATACATGGATCTAACTGCAATTCTTATCTGCTAACTCTCTAATCTTTGAGAACATAAAGAGTCCTCTAATGAAAATTGGATTTTTGGAAAATCTAGCAATACTTATCCCACAGATGTGGGGGCAGTAACCAATAAGAAGCTAGTCTAATCCATCTAATCAAGCAAGTTATTCTACTATAGCATGTATTCTCACTCTTTCTCTATAGTTGATCTATTTGGCTATGATTATCTATGAGTTAAAAAAAGAGTTGATGTATATATTTACAACCCAAGTTTTCTTTAGAAGCATGGTCTAACATATACTTGCCTTAGCATATATGATATTTTCAAGGGAAACAGCATCAAATGTTAGCTATAGGAGAGAATAGGGCTAACCAGCATTGTTAGACATGAGTGAGTAATCACTATGCTGACCTACCTAGAGGGTTTCTACTATTTGGAGGCAAAGCAGCTACCTCCAATAATTAATGTCCAAGATCCATGGCTTCTATCAGCATCTTACTCAAATATACACTTATCTTGAGAAACACAATACCTATAATATAGAGGTCTGTATAACACCTGATCTCTATAAGTATATTAGTGTAACCTATACCTAGCTGTCTCCTAAGACTGTTTGGTCCTAACAGAATAACAGTATATGAAGGCTTCTATGAGAGGTCTCATCTTAGAGATGTGACACACAGTCCATTAGCTGACAAGAAGCTTAGAAAATTTGGTAAGACAAATACCCAGAAGTAAAGAAGAGGCAATAGCTAGAACACTACACATAAGATACATAGTATTGAGTACTTGAGTAACAGAAAGCATCAGGCTGATGACCTAAAGCACTCACACCTTTGATAAATATTGACCAGGAGAACAAATAGTTAGAGCTCCCTTGTGCAGAGCAGCTCTGCTGGTCATATGACATATGTCAACCTGAAAAATGTGAGCTTGAATTTCACTAGTAAGATTTAAGTGAGCAGGCACTATCGGTAAGGACAAAGAGGTGGCAGCAAATAGTCTCCATGGCTGACCTTGTATGGAAGACAGTTGTTTTGTGTTAAGGTCTGCTTCCAAATGCTGGGGCCTTGCAGGTAGTACTGATTTTGGCATTTGCTGCTTATAAAATGATAGACTTTGCATGGAATGTGTTACCTAACCTAACATGTGAGAGAAAAATGCTTACCAGCTATATAAATGGTGCTTACTGGGCAAGATTTTGTTTGATGCAATAGGCAAGTTGGAATGAATAATTATATTTTGCTTTGGTCGCTAGTTCAAGTCCCACTCAAAACACCATCCATTGTATTCAAATTTTTTCATCACTATTATTCTATGCTCTTTCTACCTTTCTATGTCAATTAAATCTCTTTCTGAGCATCAAGGCTGCCTGTAAATGATATTTTGAGCTTTCTCTCAACCTGCATGTGCACTGCTTTGCACATGGGTGAGCTGAATTTGAAAAGATATCAAATCCACCTGCAAGGGTGCGTAACTTGGAAGTAGCCTAGGGGCGAGTCAGCGAGGAGAAACACGTGAGGGGGTGAACCGAGGGGTGACTCGGGTCCTGGCCATGATCGCAGGGAGAGTGTCTGGTTGGGAGAACAGGCTTGCCACCCTCGACACCTTGCACTTCAGTCCTCCACGTCGCTCTCACCCACAATGACCGCCCGCCCTCCTCCAGCCCGCCCTCACATCGGTCTCAACCCTTCCTCTCATTTTTCTCATTCAAATACGGAATGGGGCGAAGACGATGCTTGGGACAGTGCTTCAGATTCAGAATCTCCCTCGCCCGCCCCACCGCTGTGGAACCGTTCGGCTTCAAGTACGAGCGCACGACCCACCACAGCCTCCACTGCGCCAAAGCCCGTTCCAAGAACTTCCCGCAACGACTCTTCGTCCACGCTCGCCTTCTCATACACTCATGTCAGCGCCCCGAGCCCGAGTTCATACCCATCAAAGTCAGAGCAGGTCATATCCTCCAAGAACGGATGGACTCTTGTGCAGAAGTCGGAAAAGGAGCAGACGAGTGTGAGTGAGAAGGAGGAAGTCGCAGAGTCCGATCGGTCGGCCGATGTTGATGTCGAAGGCGACATGATCGTCGGTGACATGGACCCAGAGTTTGCAGAGACGTTTGTGTCCACAAAATCCAGGCAGAAGCCCAACACGATCAGAGAGGATGCTCAAGAGATCGTGAACGGTACTTCGACTCGATATTCTTACTGCTTCCAGACCCTCATTCAATGTCTAGATCCCTTGCATCTTGTCCGACGCCGAACATCGAAGCGGCCAAATGCAGGTTCCCGTTCGAGATCACATTCGCCCGCTCATGGCGCGCGATCTCCTGAAAGATTGATACGGGAACATTCAATACGTACCAACCGCCGTCATAAGTTTATTGAGTGTCTCATGCGTGAGGATGTCGACATGGGTATGTCCTCGCCGCACTGCCTTTCAGCACGCGAGGCTTGACAACTCTCCATGTAAAGCCGAGTTGCGAAAGCTTGCCTGGTCGGGCGTCCCGAACGAGCTGCGCCCGCTGGCATGGCAATTACTTCTGGTCTGTCTGACCTTCTGCTGACGTTCAAACCTTCAATTGGACATCTATCTTGTAGGGCTACCTTCCGCTGCCGACACGACTTCGCTCGTCGACGCTAGAACGAAAGCGAGGAGAATACTTGTCGTTAGTAGGCTTGACCTTTGCGCGAGGCCGCGAGGGCCTCGACCAACAAATATGGCACCAAATAGAGATCGACGTTCCAAGAACACGGCCAGGCGTGCAGCTATGGATGTACCGTGCGACACAACGAGTAAGCGATTGCAATTTCAGTGTCTATCCTACCGCTAGCTCATGCATCTGCTCTAGAGCTTGGAACGCATCCTGTACGTGTGGGCAATACGGCATCCGGCCAGTGGCTATGTGCAGGGGATCAACGATCTCGTCACGCCCTTCTTTCAAATATTTCTTTCCGCTTACATCGGTACATCCATATCGCCTTTCACCCCACGTCGCCGCCATGGCGTCACCGTTGTCAAACCTGATCTCATCGAATTTGCTCTCCATTGTCCCTGCAGACTCGGATCCAGAATCGTTCGACCCGTCACTGCTGCCGGAGTCCGTGCTCGATGCGATCGAGGCGGACTCGTTCTGGTGCCTTTCACGGCTGCTGGACGGCATTCAAGATAACTACATCTCCGCCCAGCCGGGCATTCAGCGCAGCGTGCGACGCATGTCGGAGCTGGTCGCGCGGATCGACGCACCGCTGCACGAGCACCTCGCCGCGCAGAACGTCGAGTTCATCCAGTTCGCGTTTCGGTGGATGAATTGCCTGCTGATGCGGGAGATCAGCGTGAAGAACACGATTCGCATGTGGGACACGTATCTGGTGCGCGCTAGTTTGATTTTGCTTCTGTTTACGTGGCTAGCTCGGTGCACTGGTGATTGGCTGATGATGGTTTCCGGTTCCGTTGCTTGGTCGGTACAGGCGGAAGGTCCCGACGCGTTCTCGCAGTTCCACCTGTACGTCTGTTCTGCGTTTCTCGTGCGATGGAGTGAGAAATTGCGTGAGATGGACTTTCAGGTGCGCTCACAAACTGCTTTTTTTCTGCATATTATCGCTCACCCGCACCTACCTATGTCAGGGGATCATCATGTTCCTCCAATCGCTGCCGACGCAAGACTGGACGGACCACGAGATCGAGATGCTGCTCAGTCAAGCATTCGTGCTTAATTCCATCTGGCAGAACGCGCAGAGCCACTTCACGGGCAAGTGATGGCGCTGGTTATCTTTGGCGGCGCGGGCGCAGGCGCGGCGGTTCATATACTGTCTATTTATTCATTTCTCATCGGGTCGATAACCGCATGTATATTGGGGCTTGGGCTCAAGCGTGACCGAAATGTACGCCGTTGACATTTTTCAGCGCTGCGATGATAGTCTGAAATCACATCCACGCGCGCATAGAAGAAATTGTTCTTGAAAATGACGCAGAGCACCCAGAGAGAAACTAAGGACAGGGTTTGAACAAGACCGTGATACAAACAGCAGACACACAGCGTAAGAGGCAGTAAGGTAGTAAGCAGCGCTCGAGGACTCGAGCTCATTCTGAGCTTTTGACGAACGCGATCTCTCGTTCTAGGGCACTCAGGAGAGCGGCGGCATCGTCTTCGGTGCGGAGGCGTAGTTGATACGTCGTCCCGTGTTTTTCGTCGTCAAATCCTGTGAAGAAGACGCTCCTTTGTGAAAGCGTCGGATGCATCTGTTTGTAGATGCGGAAGTTCTGCGAGGTTCAAGAGAATTAGAGAGGAATTGGCAGAGGAGAGAAGGAAGGGCGAGACGCACGATCGTGACCTTGCCCATGGCGCTTGTTCGATGGAGCACGCGACGAGCATCTGTTGTCGTGTGTTTTTTTAACCGTAACATGCCTAGATAATCGAAAGTCAACGTCGGGAACGAATTAAAGGCAAAAGCGAGACGCGTCACGAACCTGGACCCATGCTTTTCCACGTCTTAACCCCACTGGCGGTCTCTACCATTTTATATGCACTCGCCTTGACCGCATGAGTCGTCTCCTCTTCCTCCTCACCCTCGCCCTCTTTATCATATTGTCCTTCCTCTGATAAGGGAGTGCCGTCGCGCGACACGTCGGTCGACGACTCGGCTTTGGCCGGCGGCGCGGCGAACGAGAACCCGATGGAGCCCGATTTAGACTGCTCGGCGCCGCTGCCCGTGGGGGAGCCGAAACCGAAGCCGACGGGGTTGCCGATGCTCCCGCTGCCGCCGCCGCCAAAGACGAATGGGTTGGTGGGTGATCCGAAGGAGCTCGAGGAGGAGGCAGACTTCACGGGGGTCGATGTGCCGAAGGGCGATGGAGCGGGCTTATCGTTGTCGTCATTGCCATCGTCATGCTTAGGCTTGTCTGCGGCGCTGCTGATCCTACCGAATAGGCTGGACGTGTTTGGAGAAGCGGAGTTCAGGCCGAAGAGAGAGGTACCACCGCTGCTGGAAGAGCCACTGAGGGAGAATGGTAGCGAGGGCGCGGCGTCTTTTGCTGGTAAAGCAAAGGGGTTGCTTTTCAGCGTCGAAGCGCTATCGGAAGGGGGGGTGTCAAACGAGAAGGAAGGTTTTGGGGGAGCTGCTGAAGACGCAGATAACGTCTCGGATTGTGTTGGAGCGGATGACGTGGATGGGAATTTGAAGCTGGACGATTGACTGCCATTGGCAGCTGCAATGTCCGGCCCAACTGAGAAATTGCCACCGAAGGAAGTAGAAGACGAAGATGCAGCTGCGGGGCGGAAACCGGCAAAGGTGGTCGGTGGAGCAGGCATAGTAGGGGGTTTGAGTGCAGCGCTGGGCGCAGAGCTCGTGCCAAAGGCGAACGAAGAAGATGGCACGGCAGGTGGGACCGCAGACACCGACGATCCATTGACGGCAGGAGAAGCAGACTCACGGGTGGATTTGTCGTCATATTCCCGCTGCACGGATATTCTGTGTTTCTTATACTGCTCAAGCACATCTGCAATGTCCAAGAAGGGATCAGACTCGACGGCCTTCGAGACGGTGGATAGGAAGGAGGTATTCAGGCCACGAAGGGAAGTGTAGTATTTCAAGGCTGCATCATCCGTGGCTGCAGTAGAGTCGGAGTCGGATAAGGGTGTTGGATCAGCAGACTTAGCGGCAGTAGTGGTGGTGGTGTTGATGGTGGAAGCGGCTGGGTTGATGAAGGAAGCGAAAGCCTTCGTGGCGTTGGATGCTGAAGATGCCACAGGTGCCAACAAAGGTAAAAAGGGGGAGGGTTGTGAGGAGCCTGTGGGGCCTGTGGAGGAGCCCAATTTGAAGGTCGCAGCAAAGGGACTGGCTGTGGAAGTCGCTGAGCCCGCAGCGGTAGTAGCAGGAGGCGCAAAGCCGAAGCCAGAGCTCAGGCCACCAGAACCAAACCCAGAGAACGTAGGTTTCGGCGCCTAGATAGATAGTGAGGGAGAGGGCCACGTAAGTGCAAAGTCTAATTCCTCACAGAATTTGCACTGGAAGAAGACACGGCGGGAAATAGTGTGGGTGCCGGACTTTGCGATGAGCGTTTAGGCAATCCTCTGATCCTGGATGAGTGCGCGACTGTAAGCCCCGTTGCAGGCGCGCAGAGATACGATGGAAGGCACAACTGACTTTCGTTGGGACAAGGCCGCTTCGTCGGCTTTCTGCAGACCCTGAGCGGGCGTGTCAATCTCCTGTAGGGATGAAATTGGTGGGTTAGTCAGAGGGATGAAAATAGAGGGAGAAAACGGTACCTCGACGTCGTCGTCCGCATCGTCCTTGGACAGCTGCTTGTCTGCACCGCGCTTCATTTAGGGTATTGTACGGTCTGAACGACAAGAGAACAAGAGGGCTGTGGCAACTCGTCTCAGGGAGCACGACCAGCACGCGTCGGGCGGAGTGTAAATGAGCGGACACACCCGTGGTGGCCAAGACGCTGGTGCTTGTGGACGGAATTTCTCGAGGCGTGGAGGATATCGAACAGTGTCGAGCGTGATTGAGGGCCTGCGGCATCGACCCGACCAAGGTTTATCTCTGCCATAACAGCTCGAACCTATCGCGGAAGAGCGGATGCGAGTGTGGGCGTAATTCGGAGGCGGTCAGCGCTGCGGCCAAACAGGGAGGACATTCCCACGCTGTGAGGTAAAGTGTCCAGTGCTCTCTCTTCCTCGACTCTGTGTTCCCCCCCATCATGTCCTCCTCCTCCGCGACCGCAGCGGGCTCGCGTTCCCCCTCGCCGGCAACGCCAGCAACGCCAGACTCATCCGACAGTCTCGAGACCATCGCCTTCAGTGGCAGCATTGACCTCTCCACGTGGTATAACTCGCTATCTTCTAGCAAACCATCATCAGCAACTGCCGCCCTGTGGGAAGACTCGCAATTCCTCGACATATCAAAAGAGGAGGATGGAAACATATTGCTATTGGAGGATATTCTTCAGGAACACGCATACGACGAGTAAGTTTCCCCACCGACTTTTGAAAGTCGCCCTCGCCTCACATCGGCTTGGTTGGGCAGTACCGCCGCTGTTGAGGCATCCACAGTGCATTCCATTGATTCCCACACCGTTCCGGAAAGCGCGATCCCTCTTTTACAACCCTCCCGCGAAAACGCATCCACTTCCCCTCGAGGTCTGACACCTACAACAAAGCCAATTCCGCCTCCTGCTTCGCAACCGCGAAGGCGGAATGTATCGGCAGCTTCTCAAACTGTTGTCTACCCTCCTAAAGAATCATGTTACAAGTATGTTTCTCGAATCGCTTCCTCATGCATTTCTGATCCGTAACCCAGCCTACCTATCATGATCCCGAGCATCCCGGAGGGTGGAACTAAGTCTCGCGTCGAGACCCAAGTCCGTATCACTGTCGACCTCGCCCATGCCAGTTCTTCGACAGGAGAGGCTTTCCAGTACGACCGGGTGGGTACGTACAAATGGTTACAGTTGCCCAGAGGAACGGCAACGAAGAGACGGACACGGAAGGAAGGAAAGATCGGTGAGTTCATTCATCCTTCTGCTTGGGGTTTACTGCTTACGCGACCACAGAGCCCTCTGCGGAGGATACTCTATTCTTGTCGGCAGAGGTGACATGTTCCTCGCCCCCGCACATGCGTGTGGTGTGTTGCTCCAGTTGTCAAACCCGTGAAGTACGTGCCCCGAAAACTTTGAAACAACCTCCGCTCATATTCTATAGGCGAAGCGGGTAGCACGAAAACTTGCGGCTCGCGTCCGCCCACAACGGTCGGATGGCGATCAAGAAGCATGCAACTCGGACAGCAAGAGTGAAGGCTCTTTCAATATCGTGCAGTTCAACTGTCCCGAGGTGCTCGACTTCTCTGCCGGTAGTGTCGTCCTCCCCCTCCGAATCACATGCTACTGTAGGCATCATCGCGAGAAGGTCGGATTCAACGTCCACTTCACAATGCTAGACAGCGCGGGACGTGTCGTCGGCTCTGGCGTCACTCGTCCCATCATGATCACTGACGACCATAAGAGCACGGGAGCTAGTGCGAGTAAACAGCCATCGGGTGGACTCTCCTCTACGGTTGACATTGATTGGTCTCAGCTGTCATCGACGCATGCGGAAGTCGTGGAACAGACAGGTCCTGTCAAGAGGAAGTATGGGAGTATGGCCGACGCTTCGGAGCAGAGCACGAAGCGAGCTAGGGCTTCAACCGGTAGGCTCTCGTTGTCGAAGGTATCTCGCAAAAGCAGCAGCGCGAGTCTTTCGCCGTCGACATTTGCCTCGTCTCTGCCAACACGGACGACGACTCCACGGTACATGAGCTCTGAGCCTTCGAGCCAACTCAGTACGACAACCACTTCCCCGCCACCTGCATTCGATAACTTCATCATTCAGAATGCGGAGACGTTTTTACCTTCTCCATCGACTTCCATTGCTTCTCCTGGAGACCATGACACAAACATGCTCAACAGCGCAGAGGCAATCATGCCCAATCAGCCACCGCTGAATTTAGATACGGCAGTTATTATGCAGCGCGCAGCCTCTCCTTCCACGTTCCTACCGACCGCATCACCATCACCTGCGCCAATGCCTCTGCCTCATCACCAGGGGCTCCCAGCTCCAGCCCCTATCCAGTCCATACCCTTTATGTTCTTCCACGCCGACCCGCCACCTATGCCAACGCTGCCGAAACCGAGAATACATCGCCTAATTCCCTCTTCGGGCCCGACTTACGGCGGAATCGAAGTTACTATTTTGGGCTCGAATTTCCACCCGTCGCTGCAGCTCGACTGCCTGTTCGGTGAGGCCATGGCGAGCTCGACGCAGCGCTGGAGTGACAACACGCTCGTGTGCATCCTGCCGCCCCGCATCTGCTCGGGTGTCGTGGGCGTGTGGTTCCATGGCATCGACAAGGACGAGGACGGCACGCCTCCATGTCTGTTCACGTATACGGATGAATCCGATAGAGCTTTGTGAGTGGAAATACTCTCCGGTTGTCGCGTGAATATTGACTTCGCCTTCAGGATGGAGCTAGCCCTTCAAGTTGTTGGTCTCAAGATGACGGGGAAGCTGGAGGACGCAAAGAGCGTAGCGATGCGGATCGTGGGACCTCCCAGCGACGATCCGCAGGGTGGATCAGCTCCAAATGGAATGCAGCAGTTCCTTTCAAGCCACCTGTCCTTGGATCTGCATCCCTTACGCCGCCGAGGTGTGGGCGACGAGCTCGAGCAGATGGTCCTGGATCTACTGTCTCTTCTCGATGTCCCGCTCAACCTCTCTTCGTCCTTCTCTCTGTCTTCGGCCATCTCGCACCAGACGCACAGTGGACAGACGCTCCTCCACCTCGCTGTCTTCCTCAAGTACCCGCGGTTGATCAAATTTTTGTTGCGACACGACATTGACCTTGACGTGCGCGACCGGAATGGGTACACCGCGCTCCACTTTGCAGGCATCGTGGGGGCGCGCGAATGCGCGACGATCCTCATCGATGCTGGTGCGGACCTGGAGATCGTCAACGCGGACGGGCATACGGCACAGGAGGTCTCGACGTTCGATTTCGACGACTTGCGCTCGCCTACGGTCGATGCGCATGATCTGTCAGACGAGCTAGATGAAGAGGAGTCGAGGTGGGGAGACGGCGAAGAAGAGTCCGAGGGATCTGAGGTCGATGTTCGCCGTCGGACCCTTGTCAAGCGCCGCTCGAACCGCGCCATGAACCGCGCTGTGAGGCGATCGACGGGCGCGTCTGCGTCTGTCTCGTCGGAGGACGACGAAGGGGCGGGCGGGGGTGAAGTCGCTGTGCCCGACGCGGCGACGACCGGCGTGGCGAAGAGCGACGAGGCTATGCGAGGCGCCGCCATCGATGAGAAGCAGGCGCTGTCGTTCATGGACATGATCCAGCGCACGCTGGCGCGCGTGCAGCCCACGCAGGGGCTCATGCCGCACCTCCCCAACCTGCCCGGCATGCCCGCCGTCCCGTGGGACGCGCTCCCGCAGATCCCGATGGTGTTCCCCGTGTACGTGCCGTGGCCGGCGTTCCTCGGCGAGAAGCGCGTGGACGAGCACGGCGACGCGCTCGACGACGGCGCGGGGGCGCAGGAGCCGAAGGGCGCCGTGCGGTGGACCGCGCAGGAGTGGCGCGCGTTTTGGGAGAAGTGGATGATGCAGGGCACGCAGGCGCAGGCGCAGGGGGCGGTCGAGGACGACCCGCCGCCGGTGTACACGCCGCGCACGCAGGTGGAGGCGGAGGCGCGGCCTCAGCCTGCGCAAGTCGAGTCGGAGGAAGAGGAAGAGGAGGACGAGGCCGCGGTGGCGGGTCCTTCGACGCTCGAGCGGCCGAGTGCGCGGCGGGTGGGCTACGACACGGTCAGGGTGACCGACCAGGAAGTGAACGCGTATGGGTACAGGCCCACCAACGCCAAGCCACGGCAGGTACAGAAGAAGGGTGCGTGCTCTCGCGTTTGTTTTCCCGTGGCGGAGACGCGGATCTGACGCGGACTTTTTTCGCTCTGTAGAAGATCGCATGCTGATCCTGTTCTGGATACCTATCCTTTTCCGTGAGTTTCTCGCCCTATGTCTGTCATGCGGGTTGAGTGCAATGCTGACGATGGATTGTGGCAGTCGCGCTCGTGTGGGCGCTCTTCTCCGGTGTCCGGATCGCGTTCCATTCGCTGAGGACGCTGACGCCTTTGAAGGCTGTCCTGCGGCTCTGAAGAGAATCCCCTCGATTATCGCTTTTTTTTTGCTCTTTCTTGCATACATACAGTCTCTGGACTTGCTCGATTATCGGGACGTGTATTGCGCACATATGCATCGCCGTTCGCTATTTCCATACAGATACACAATCGTTTTTTTTCTTTCTTCCCGTTGCCGTCTCGCGTTTGCATTTGCTGCTCCGTTTTTTTATGTTTAGTTTTTGAGTACGGTTAGGTCGCTACATACGGATGCTCTGTATGTGTATAGTGGCCCATGTAGGTTTAGAGCGGGTGGAGGATGGATGAACGGCGCGTGGATGGTGAGGGTGCAATACAGAAATCATCTTTATCGTATCATACATGTCGTGCGTTCATCGAAGAATGCAGGGTGAGATGGTGACGTCAGCGCGCCGAGGCGCCGGCGCCGGCGACGCGCGCCTCGATGCGCTGCACGACGGCGTCGAAGACGCGCTCGACGTGATCGAGGTAGGCGGAGGTGTTCTCGTCCGGGCGGTGCGCGCTGGCGGGGACGTCGAGGGTGAAGGCGGGCGCGTAGAGCGGGAAGGCGGCGTGTGCGCGGTCGGGGATGGGCGTGTCGAGCGGGAGGGGGGCGTCGAGCTGTCAGAGGGGAGGTGAGGAGAGCGAGGGCAGGACGAGGAGGGGGGGGGGGGGGTGGGCGCACGGCTATGGATGTGAGGTAGGCCCATGCGCGAGCTGCGTTTGGCGAGTCGTAGCCGCCTGAAACGGGGAGGGGGGCAAGGCGTGCGGGTCGTCAGCAGGGCGGCGCGACAGAGCGCCGAGGACTCGAGACTCGGGATTCGAGAGAGGGGGAACGCACCTCCGCCGAGGAGGAGGGTCTTGACGTGCCACTGGCGGAGCGCGCGGTGCACGCACCAGCCCAAGCCGCCGGGGCCGCCGAGGGCGCCGTTAGCGACGGCGCAGGGGTCGCCGGCGAGTGCGTCGGCGCCGCACTGGAGGACGAGGTAGTCGGGTTTGAAGGCGGATGCGACGCGCTCGACGGGGCCGAGCCAGACGCGGCGGAGGGTGGCGGGGGAGGCGCCGGGGCGGAGCGGGAGGGAGAGGGTGAATGGGTCGGAGGTGGAAGTTGGGAGGGCGGAGAGGGGAGAGGGGGGGAAGAAGCCTGGGGCGGCGTGGTGGAGGGAGAGGGTGAGGAACTGTGGGGCGGGGGTAGGGGCGGAGGCGGGCGAGGGCGAGGGCGAGGGCGAGGGCGAGGTGGGAGTGGGCGTGTGGAAAGCGGAGGAGACGCCGTCGGAGAAGTGGAGGTCGAGGTCGAGGTACATGATGCGGGGCTTGCGGGGCGGGGCGGCGGCGGCGGCAGAGGGGGGAGAGGGGACAGGCGCGCGTTTGAGGGAGAGGAGGGCAAGAACGCAGTCGTTGACGTAGCAGAACCCGGACGCGCGGGCCTTGTGTGCGTGGTGCCTGCCGCCGTCCCAGCAGATGCTGACGTCGCACGAGTCCTGCGCGAGAGCGCGCGCCGCGGCGAGCGACGCGCCCGCAACGGACTGGACGTACTCGGGGAGGCCGCGGAACGGCGGGCAGTCCTGTGTGGTTGCGATGGGTGAGCGGGTAATAACTCGCGAGTGAGGGGAGGGGCTGTGCGCACGTCTTCGAGGCCGAAATCTGCGAGCTTGGATTGAGTCTGGGGGTCGAAGGCGGAGGAGGGGAGGGCAGGGTCGAGGAGGAAAGAAATGTAGTCCTTGTCGTGGTATGCGGCGAGCTCTTTGGGCGTCGCGGGAGGCGGGCGCAGGACGCGGATCTGCGCGCGTGGAGACTGGGCGGCGTCAGCGTCGACATTGGCGTCAGCGCTACTGTCGGGCGTGGTGCGGAGAAGGCCGAGAGAGGCGACGAGGGAATGCACGAGGAGGGAGCGGTTGGGGTTGGACGGAAGCAGCGAGGAGATCTGGGGCGGTTGGGGTCAGCGGAGACGTCGCGTAGGGGGGCTTCGAGGACGCGCGGACCTTGGCGAGCCTCTCCGACGCGACGTAGACGACATTGCGCCGGGGAGGGGCGCCATCCGAGACCGCCATGCGTGCAATGCTCCGCACCGCGGGCACAGCTGTCTTGCGTTCGGTCTGGACGTCGGAGGGAGACCACGTCGGAGATTCAAATTCAACCTGCTGCCTTTGAAACTCCTTTCGGTGAACGCTCTTCCGAGCGGCCGTACTCGTCCTAATGCCGTTGTGCTTCCCATGAGGCACGAATCTGACGGCACCATGCAGAGGCTGCGAAGCAATCAACAAAGTTCGAACTACAGTAGTCGGACAATTATGACAAAAACCCTCCAGGTATGCTAGTAGCCAGGGATGACGATTATTGACAGAGAATACAGCGCCTATCGGATGGATCATGCCACGCTAGGAATCAGATTTCGGTCAGTAACAGAGCGTGCTTGGTCAAAATGTCAGAACATCTCACATGGACTGTATGAGCCGATCCAATTCTGGAGGCAGAGAAACATCGAGCACATGTCGATTCACCTGAAGGATAGGCATCAAGATACCCGCTGATACATGCACTGCTCCTATCAGAATGATATCTCCACGTCCAAATCCGTCTTTCCCGAGTTTCCATTGCTGGTTTGAAGTTGGCATCAGACTCGCTGCCTGATATCCATGCCACCAAGGTAAGTTGGAGTCAGTCATGGGGATAAAGCATCTCAGCACCTTGATGAATGCATCCACCGACCGGCCAATGTGGCCCACAAATCTGTTCACAGTGATAGGCTTTCTTGCCTGGGTCTCATCCTTCGTCGAGAACTGCTTTTTCCAGGCCCTGGTACTATATCCTGGCCACTCGATTACATGGATCAGCGGTTCGTACAACATTTGCAAGACGGGGTGATTTGGATGGCTCACATTCATCCTCAGGTGAATACTGGCGCGACCACCGAGCTTGACGTGTGTACCGGCATCTCGTATGCCCCGCAAGTCACCTTCTACGGCATCGGCCAGAGGTACACCAATCGATCCATCCTGACGGATGAAGAAAGTTGGCATGCACAGTGTGGCATTTGAAACATGGAGAATGTGGATGGCCTCGCTTTTTGGCTGCCAGAATTCTTGCGGGACAATGGACCCTCGCTGCAGATCCACGCGTAGGTCAAGCACCAAGGAGCGTCCAGCAACAGTGACATCAAAGTGGGACTGAGCATCGCTATAGCCGACATCGTCGGGGCCTAGTGTCGGAACCTTCAGGAGACTGCGGAAGTGCCGATCCGCTTTCTCGGCACCAAATGTATATGAGATATACCCATCCATAAAGATATCGCGTTCCATCTCTGGCTGAATTGGTGCGTCAAGAAAAGCTACAGGAGCGACACAGGAATTTGAAAGACGATGTCAAGCCTCTGTTGGACGATGGCGATCAGGGAGCTATGTTTTCAGAGCCGCCGACGGTATATAAATACTCGACAGTCAAGGCCGGCGACGGATGAGGTTCCGTCCAACCACTTAAATGACCAGAACAATGGCATATGAAGCCCAACACATGTTGTACCCGTAAGCTGCAAGCAGAGCAGCAAACAATCGCCCACAGCGTGGGCGGGGGATCTGAGATCTGAACTTCGAAGCTGGGCATAGATCGTGGATGCCGACAACGTTTCGATACCGCCTCTTAGCCCTAGCGGAGCATGTCATTACCGCGTTGCTGGCGTAATCCGGCTGCTGTTTGTAGGTTGTAGCTGATGTCACACTCAGTGCATCGCCTCTCAGCGCGAACTGCCCTGAAATATCCCTGTGGGATATTCCCGGTATATAGTATGGCAACAGGGACTGGACTGCTCATTTTGCAATCCAATGCCGTGCTTTGACATAAGCGGCATGGCCTTTGACCCCAGAAACCCATCGTCTGAGTACCTATGATTAAAATATCAGCTTTAGTATCAGTAATTGTACCGGCTATGTCTGAAAGTATGCTAGCGAGATATGGAATTATACTGGTGAGATATGAAATATGGACATCGGGGTGAGCAATCCGCGATCAAACTGCAACGGTGTCATCTGTTCTCACGCTCGTCTGCGTCTTCAACGTCGTCAACAGCGACATCTGTCAATCGTTCCCTCGGGCATCCTCTGGGCTTCAAGATGCCCAACCAGTATAAACCTCTACGTGCGTGAAGTCAGCATTTCATGTTTGGATATCTGACGAGTGAGTTATATCTTGCTTCAGCTCCAGAGGACGAATTGGAGCCTTGGATCAAGCTATACTATCATCTTGGCTTGACGGATACACAAATTGCTGAGCTAACATTGGAGAATTTTGATCGAGAAGTATTCGGACTAGGGTGAGTAATTTTCCACTCACTGTTATCCCGCAGGCAGTTGCGTTATTAATGTTGTCTTGAAGAACGAAAATGGTTCAGTGCTTGCGAAAGAAATGGGGCCTCAAAAGTACTCGGCAGCAAGCTCACACTATCGAAACAATTGCCGTCCACGTCGCTGAGATCAAGCGCCATTTTCCCACCTATAGCCCCCGCCTCCGTTGTGGGTCTCACATGATCATGATAACTGCACGATAATGTCCCATATACGATACCTCGTATATGCTATGCCCTTTACTGATTTGTTTAGCTACCATAAATGTTTATTTTTTCGTGTAAACATGAGTGATCATATAAGATAATCAATATTACTTGGACAGATTGCTTACCCCAATGTCCGTATTTCATATCTCACCAGTATAATTCCATATCTCGCTAGCATACTTTCAGACATAGCCGGTACAATTACTGATACTAAAGCTGATATTTTAATCATAGGTACTCAGACGATGGGTTTCTGGGGTCAAAGGCCATGCCGCTTACGTCAAAGCACGGCATTGGATTGCAAAATGAGCAGTCCAGTCCCTGTTGCCATAATATAGCGAATATACCACGAATATGCTGCAAATATACCACAGAGGGAATATCCCTCAAATATCCCCAGTCAATCCGGACTGGTGGATGACTCATCTACTTTTACGGACACGTGATGCATACGCGTCGTCGGGACGCATCCCTTCAACAGGACTCAGTTAAGTTATTTTTCCTTGCTTGAAATATGCCTCCATTGATGCTCTGATACTACCGCAATAAATCATTGCTTCAAGATGCTGGTCGTTCCATCACTGATGTGCTGTAGGCGTGAGCCACAGCTGCTTGCGCATGCGGGGAACATCTAGCTAGGATTTGCACCTCTCGCCTCTTCAGGTATGTTTTGTAGATCTTTTGAGCCCTGGAATACATCCTGTAGCCTTCAATGGCTTGTAGTTTCATTATTTTATAATATATTTATTTCTCTATGTATGGAGTGCATATAAAGTGATTGGAATGATATCGAGCTCGAATAAACCCACAATATACCGTGAATATACTCAGTACCCAGGTATATTCACGGTATATTCAAGGTATATCAAGACATCACCTTGCAATGACTGTGAATATCCCCGGAGGGGAGGTGGGTATATTCGCGGTTGATTCCGGGTATATTGCGAATATCTCCCAAATGTACCCAGGGGATATTCGGGTCAATGTCCGGTGCGATCCTGGCTTTGACCACCACCTCGCGCTCTGCGACTGCGCGCCACTGCCATGGGCACGTCCCCTTTCCTCACTCACATCCAAATCCATTTCACACCATGACAGACCCGCAGACATCTCCATCCTCCGCCACCGCCCCGACCCATCCCCTCCTCGCCGTGAACCCCTCCGAATCCGCCTCTCTCAAAGGGTGAGTCTCCCGCGCCGCCTTTCCTCCCACCACCACCACACGCCCACACCACACGCCAACAAACCCCCGAACCAGACACAAGGCAAAGACCCCGATCATCGCCGGCGTCACCACAGCCGGATGCCTCCTCCTCGCCTGGCTCGTCCTCCTCTTCCTCTGGCTCCGCAAGCGCTGCAGACGTAGGCGCCGCATCCGCGCGGGGCTCGCTCCCGTCCCCACGCGCGACGACGACGACGAAGACGACGAGCGCGCTCCTGTCCGCCCAAAGTCGACCTACATCATCCCCCCGGACCCCGCCGTCCTCGCGGGGCTCCGCCGCCCCGGCGAGGTCGTGGTGGGCGAGCCGACGGTGAACGGACATAGACATGGCCATGGCCACGGCCACGGCCACGATGCGAGGCCACAGGCGGAGGGCGATGGTGTTGCGATCGACGAGGGGGCCATCGCTGGAGAGGAGAAGCACACAGGGAGCAGGCATTCTGCGCGAGGTGCGTTTCGCGCTTTCGCTTCCTCGACCTGATGGTGTTGACGGGGCGCACGGGGCGCGTAAAGTCGTTCAAGTCGTGTCGGACCCGGACTCGTAGGTTGGCAGGTCGTGTATGTGCAATGTTGTATACTACACCTCTCACGCGTGTACGTCAGGACAGTGTCACGGTGGCGCGTTGGGTTTTCTATCGTTCGGACTGTAAATCAGGGGTGTGAGGCCTCGTAAAACCTATCTTCAGGAATCTTATACACGACTACGCGATATATATCATACACATGTGTACCAGATGAGTGCGATCCATTGACTGCGCCGTGATCAGCACCGCAGGTGAGCTTCCCCCCATCGCGTCCTCGCATCCTCTCCATCATAGTGACGCCCCTCAATCGCAATACGCGCCCACGTTCGCCGGCTGCGTCCCCGTCCGACCGTCAACCAACGCCGAAAACGACGCGAAAGCACTCTACTCACCGTCACGTCCCGCGCGTACCTGTACAGCACCCCCCTCTTCACCGTCAGCTCGCCCCTATCCGTGCGCTCCCACGCCGCCCGCCGCCGCGCCTCCTCCACCACATCGACGCCCCACGTGATCGTCCGGCTCGCCGAGTCGATCGTGATCTTGTCCCCGTCCTCCACGAGCGCGATCGGCCCGCCGAGGCGCGCCTCGGGCACGACGTGGCCTGCACAGCGCCGCGGGCAATCACAACGGTCAGCCTACGGAACGAGTGGCACGGGCGGGCGGGCGAGCATGCGCGCACGCACCGATGATGAACCCTCGCGACGCGCCGGAGAATCGCCCGTCCGTGATCAGGGCAGTCGAGTTGCCCAGCCCCGCGCCCATGAGCGCGCCCGTCGGTCCTGCACAGTATCATAGTCAGTGGGCTCCCGACTGCGGAGTGCGCGCGGCGCACACACCTAGCATCTGGAACAGGCATCAGGAGAGAAAACGTCGGGAGCGGCGGGGGGGCTCACCTCTGGCATCCCGGGAGCGCCCTTTGGGCCTTGGTACCGGAATATGAGCACCGTGCCAGGCTTGATCTCGCCGGCGGCCAGCGCTGGGTAAAATCCGTCCAGATTGTCGAAGCACTTGGCCACGCCCTGCGCGCCGTCCGTCGGTCAGCGTCGCGCCCCGCGCCCCGCGCAAGAAACCAGGAACAGAGAGTGGCAGTGACGCACCTCGAACCGCGCGCCCTCCTTCCCCGTCAGCTTCGCGACCGCCGACCCGGGCGCGAGGTTTCCGCGCAGGATCGTGATGTGGCCTGTCGCCTTGATGGGGTCCTCAAGCCGGCGCACGACGTCCTGCGCCTCGAACGCGAGCTCGGGCACGTCCGCGAGGTTCTCGGCGAGCGTGCGCCCCGTGACCGTCAGCTGGTTGCCGTTGAGCAGCGTCGTGTGATTGAGGAGGTACTTGAGCAGCGCCGGCAGCCCGCCGATGCGGTGGATGTCTTCCATGTAGTATTTACCGGAGGGCCTGGCAGATGCCGAGGAGAGCGCGCGGTTGGGGAGGGGGGGGTTAGGGTGTTTCGTGCGTAGGCTGAGAGCGCGCGCACTTACTTGAGGTCGGCAAGGTAGGGCGTGCGGTAGGCGACGTCTTGAAAGTCATCGATGGTGAGGGGAATGTAGGCAGCACGCGCCATGGCGAGGAGGTGGAGGACCTGCAGCTGAGATGAATGGGTTCGAAATCCCCGGAGGAACATTGCGTAAAGCTTACGGCGTTCGTGGAGCCGCCGAGGATATGGACGATCGTGATGGCGTTCAGGAATGATTCACGTGTGAGGATGTCCCTGCGCCGCGATGAGCGGCCGGGATGTATCGCAGGAAGGGACCTCGCGTACCTCGGCTTCAAGTCCAACTCGAGCAGCCTTTTCAGATGCGACGCCGCCCGCACGCATTCCTTCGTCTTTTCTGCGTGCACGGATCCGCTTTCGGCAAGCCAAAGCAGAAATGGACGATGCAGTGCTCACCGGCATACGTAGCGGGCGTGCTCGAAGAGAACGGCAACGAAAGCCCCAGGACTTCGAGCGCAGAGCTCATCGTGTTTGCTCTGCAGCGCGAACGTCAAAGCCGGCCCTCGGCGGGCACACGGTGAGCGGTGACGCACGTATACATGCCGCTGCAAGCCCCTGGCCCGGGACATGCGTGGCGGACGACGTCGAACCGCTGTTCGTCGTCGATCTTGCCCACGGTGAACGCGCCTGCAAGGGGCACCGGCACTCAGCGATCTGGGTCTCGGGTTACGATGCGCACGAGGAAGAATTTTACCGAACGACTCGAACGCGTCGGAGATGTTCACCGTGTCGCCCTTCTTGTAGCCCAGGGCGGGGCAGTCTTGGTGGCGGATGCCGGGCTGGATCGTCCCGCCGTACACGAGGATGGTGGGGCGGTTGTGCCGGACGGCGGCTATCGCGCACCCGGGCATATTTTTGTCGCAGCCGGGGATGGAGATATTAGCGTCGTAGTGCTGGGCCTAAGGGAGCACGGATGAGCCACGACGAAGAAGCCTCAGATTGTGGGACGGTATCCGCACCATCATGACCTGCGGTGGGGGCGAAATCAGCTGTACTGCTCTATGCGACCGTCGCGGAGAGACGCACCGATTCTATAGAGTCCGCGATCAGGTCGCGACTCGGCAGCCTGGCAGAGGGGACAAGTTAATTGTACCAGCGAGGAGGTCCATGACGGATGGACTTGCGAGTAGCGCATGCCTGGCGGTCAATGTGAGAAATCATGGTGATTCACTCGCCACTGCTACTGACCGTCGGTTCCCATCGTGATGCCGTCGCTGTTGTTGGTACGATGATAGGGAGCGGGGCGAGCGATCGTCGTGGAGTCTCATACCTGACGCCGATGGTGCTGAACGTGAGGCCGACCATGCCTTCCTCCTTGCAGCCCTGCTGCACGGCCCTAGCGAGATCGAGCTAAACGAGGCACAACGAAACAAATAAATCCACCGAGCCTACGGCCGATCCGACTGACAACTTGCCAGATGCGCGTTGCACGGATTCCCTGAGGATCGCCGTGAGCTATCTGCAGACGAGCACGCGACGATGCCCGTCGATGGGCGTACCTTCCCACCAGATCGGCGATATCCCGATCTAGAGATATGATATCGCGTACGCATATATGCGTGTGGATCAATCAGACCGGCGCGGGGATCAGAGATGCATGCATGCATGCCTGCGGTTTATCCATGTCTTCCTCCGTGAGTCCGACAGCATACACTGAGCCACAGCCGCGACGATCGTTCAGCACAGCGGGTCAAACGAGCGATGCCGAGCGATACTGACGCATGGCTTGCGCGCCTCCGCGCTCCTGGGGACCACGCCATCGGCGTGAGATTCAGATCGAAATCGTCGGGAGAAGCGAGCGCACGCGCCTTGTTTTGCGTCAGCTGAGACGAGATTTTGTTTAGTTTGACGGTGCCGGTGGGGGGAGATGGCTTCGGCAGCCTGTGACTGCACGGCGAGAAACTGTGAGCGCGTGTACCGAGCGTCGCCATCGACGCGGACGTCCTCACGTTTGAACGTCGGCCATGGTGGGTCCTGCGGGGGCTTCCGGTGAGTAGTGAGTACAGAGCGGCGAGAGCTTGGGTCAGAGGGAATGCCTGAGAAGTCGGCACGCAGAAGAACGCCTCTCGAGACCTCTTATATATGTCGTTGAAGGCGAGAAACGGCTGGAGCTGGGAGCGGTCCGAGAGGCGGTGTCACGAGAGCCCTCAGGAGCATCTACGGTCTGGACGGTTTCTGGTTCGGCTGCGGTTCGCTGGATATGCAGTCAACTTGGTAAGGCAACGATCAAGCAGAAACATAGACAGTTGGTATATGTTTCTCAATATCCGTTGCAAGCAAGGATTCAACAGAGACCCGACTGACAGAGAGTAGACGCTGAAATGCGCCACTGCGAGAACCGCCGTCGCGTGCGACGTTTGCGCCACAACCGCGTCCCGTGAACCTTGGCCGCAAAATCGAGCGCCTACCATTGGCCGTCGACGGGCCGCAACACTTACGCGCTTCAAGCTGCCAGCTTACACCGTAGGCCAGCGCCACAAAATTACAGAACTTATGCACGACCACAGCCGCACATCATCGTATTGTACAAATCCACTATCGCCAACATGACCGATGCGGCCATCTAGTAATCGAACTCAGATCGAAAGACTTCCAGATTCGGGTGCGTCTTCGCCATGTCAGCCAGATCAGGCCGATCCTGGCACCAGTACGCATCGTCAGCACATCATCCACGCGACGATATCCAACGAAACGATCAAAGGCGAGGAGACGCACCATCGCGAGAAACGCTCTGCGGAGCGTGAACCACAGCTGCTCGCTTTTCTCCCCCGGCACCTCCTGCATCGACAGCGCGCTCAGGAAGTGCTCCACGGCTTCCTTGTGCGCGCCGATGTTGAGACCTGCAGAAGAACGTGAGACAACATGAGACCGGATCGGGTCGAGTCTTCGTGGAAGACGACGGTGAAGGACACGCACAGGCCACGCCGACGTTGTAGATTACGCGGGTATAGGTCGGTCGGAGGCGAAGGGCCTCACGGTAGGCGCCGAGGGACTCCTCCGGCTTGTTGCCGTTGGACAGACACGACCCCAGTCTGTTCCACAAAAGGTAGTCCTAGAAGAAGAAGAGACGACGTCAACGACTAGGGTTGAGCAACCGAGCGAAGGGTATTATTACATCAGGGCGCGCGCTCAGCGCGCTCTCGAAGCAGTCCTTGGCTCGCTCGTACTCTGAGTTGCTGTAGAATAGTATACCGAGCGCGGCCTGTACATCGGCATCGACAATACCCTGACCGTGCTGCCAGCGTGCAAGACCGAGGAAAGTCTCCGTGACGCTGTCATATGAGTTCCAAGACGACCGCGAGAGAGAGCTTGTTGCGGATTCCGGGATTGGGTAGTCGGGGAACCGCGCGCGGAGCCATCGAAGGAGCGTGGCGTGTGACGCGCGGTCGAAAGCCTCGTTGGTATAGGAGATGGCTAGGGACTGCAGCGCCCTATGAGATATGATGGCGTCGAAAGGGAGAAAAGCCGCACTTACCAACATCCCTGCACCGGTTGCGCCGGCTTCCTCTGCCCTTCGGACGCCCTCAATAAGAGCCTTCATACCGGCCTCTTCGCGCTCGTCCATACTCCTCGTCTCCCCTAGCAGTATCCACGTCTCGTATCCGCCCTCCCCTAGTTCACCTTTCTGTATTGCTGCTTCTAATAAAAGCCCGGCTTCGGACAGCGACCCACCCTGCTCCAATAGAGCCTTTGCCTGATCGAGCGGCGAGCCGGTCGACGCTGAAGGGTCTAGATACTTGTTGTTCGAGTCTGGGGAGTCTACGTCAGTCATGCATCAAGAGAGCCTGCTGTAAGCGCACCGAAAGCATAGGCATCCAGAAGCGGCAAGCCTTCCTCATTAAACGATATGCCATCCCTTCCGAGCAAATCTACCCGGCCGTCCTCGCTCTCTTTCCATGCCTGTTCCATGCCTGCGCCATAGTCAAAGTCGGAATCGCGGAGGTCGTTCATGATCGAGTTGAACTCCGATTCCCAGTTGCCTAGATCATCGGTAGGCTGGTCCGCGAGATTGACCTGGCCCATGGCCGCTTCTACCTTGTCCACGTCGTTTACTTCTTCGATGTGCGCGACCTCCCCTTGCGGCTTCCCGAAGGCTGCGGTGACTTGGGCGAACGCCGCTTCAAAATCAGCTTCTTGGAGCTTTCCCTTTCCCTTGCCCTGGACGACGGAGGGGGTCTCCATCTGGAAGTACGTCTGAGGCATGCTTGAGCGGTACATGGGCGAGAAGTTCCCAAACTGTCCTGCGGATGCATACGGGCTTTGCTGCACTGCTCTCCGCATTGAATCTTTGTCATTCGCAAGAGTAGGGAGTAAGTCACTCACGAGCGTGCTGGGATAAATCGTGCTGGATGGAGGGCGATGCTATTTGCGGTGGAAAGGATTGAAACTCGCCCGCCCACGCCGCGGAAGGACCGGGCTTGGCCAAGCTCTGGCCACCTTCCCGCTGTTGCAGCTGAGCCCACGCGTCCGAAAGGTTGGGTCCGGCTGGAGCATGGCCCATCATGCGGCTCATGTCGGGGCGAGGAATATAGTGTGCGAGAGGAAGAGAGGGGGAGGGCGATGATGCCTGTCCGCCTCCTTCAAAGAACTGGCGGGCCATGGCGATGTCCTGCTCTGCCGCAGCATGAGACAAGGTGCTCGGGAGGTGGTGCAGCTGATCGAGACGTCAGAACTGACCTACATCCGAGTATGATCCAGTGGCTTACTCGGGATGACGACGGCCCAGCGACTCTGTCCTGGAAGAATAAGACGTCGGCGATCTGAGACCCCTTGACGCCGGAGAGAGGAGTACCTGCTGGAGGCTGCGATCGCCATCGGTGTGCTTGAGCACCTGAGAGAGCGGGTTGGACGCTACGGCGCAATCTGCGCCAGAAACCAAACCTTGGAGAGACATGGTGTGGTGAGAGAGGAAAGATGGCCCGTGAGGAGTAGTCAGAGCGATGGAGATGCACGTGAAAGCGTCTAGGAGAAGGGCGAGGGGAAGATGCCGAAAAGGCGGGGAACGCAGAGCTGACCGGCTTTGCTCGGACACAGACCCTCTTCGTCCCCCAGCATGCTGCGTTCACGCTCTCTATTCCTCGCTCAGAGAGCCCTCACCAGGACGTATGCGACGGCCGCGTCTCCACACGCGCTCGTCTTTCTCGAGCATCATGAAGGCCAAATAGCACCTGCTTCGCTCGTCGCGCTGACCGCCGCTCAAGAGCTGGGCGGGGAGGTCACAGGCCTCGTCATTGGCAGCTCGGATCAAGTGGGCGGTATTCTCGACCAAGTCCAGAAGCAAGTGCATTTTTTTTTCCTTGACAGCCCCGTGCTTGTTGTGCTGACGACGCCGCCAGGCTGAAAGGCCTCCGCTCGGTCCTCCACTCGTCCTCGGAGCAGTATGCGCATCCAATTCCAGAGACCGTGTCGCCCCTCCTGGAGAAGCTCCTCGAGAGCGGCTCGCCATACACGCACGTCGTGTCTGCCCACTCCTCCGCGGCCAAGGGCCTCTTCCCCCGCCTCGCCGCCAAACTCTCCCTCCCCACCGTCTCAGACGTCACGTCCCTCTCCCACGACCCCTCCTCCAACAGCACCACATTCACCCGCCCCATCTACGCCGGCAACGCCATCGCCACCATCCGCGCCCCCGCGTCCGTCCCCATCAAACTCTTCACCGTGCGTTCCACCGCCTTCTCCCCCGCCCCCGCCGACTCGGCCGTCTCGGCCGAACTCAAGGCCCTCGACCCCGTCGCCGTCACCGACTCCCCGACGGAGCACGTCAGAATCGACCTCACCAAATCCGACCGCCCCGAACTCGGCGCCGCGACCCGCGTCGTGTCGGGCGGCCGCGCGCTCAAGAACGCGGAGACGTTCAAGAAGACGCTCGACCCCCTCGCCGACGTGCTTGGTGCGGCTGTCGGCGCGTCGCGCGCAGCTGTCGACGCCGGCTATGCGGACAACTCGCTGCAAGTTGGTCAGACGGGCAAAGTCGTCGCGCCCCAGCTGTACATCGCGCTCGGTATCTCCGGCGCTATTCAACATCTCGCGGGTATGAAGGACTCGAAGCTCATTGTCGCGGTCAACAAGGTGTGTTGTCTATCAGCTCACGGTTTTTCTAGGCTGTAGGGTAGTTCTGATTCTATGTATGCGTGGTAGGACCCAGATGCTCCTATTTTCCAGGTAGCGGACGTTGGTCTCGTCGGCGATTTGTTCGAGGTCGTGCCAGAACTGGTGGAAAAGCTGAAGAAGTAGGCTATCCTATCACACCCACATTTGTAAACTCTTCCTCTGCAGCATTCAACACTCTATTCGAGTCTTTAGTTGAGTCTTCCGTGAGAGCTCCGTGCTCGTACAAGCTGTACTATCACAGCCAAGTTATTGGCGCAGCTGATCTAAAGCAGATCGCACATCCTCTTCTGGGCTTCCATCTTCCAACCAGCCCCATTGTTGCTTGATCGCCGGCCCCAAAGTCTCGTAATGCTCCCCATAGCTGCTATTGAATTCATACATGATTGCGGACTCTCGTGATCCGTTCAGAACATGATGGGCTTTGGGTAGCCGGATGCTCTCGTAGATTTCGAGAGCATGTGCGAGCGTGGAAGTGTTCGTGGACGCGTCGCCGAGGAGAGAGGCGAGAACGAAGGCGTCCTAGTGTATGTGAGCACTACGACCGAGAGAGAGAAGAGGCCGTATACCTCGATGGCTTGTCCAGCTCCGGCTCCTTGATGTGGAAGCATGGCATGCGCCTACGTTATAGCAGTCTGAAAGTCGGCACTGAGGTAGACAACAGACAAGAGCGTACAGCATCTCCCACCAATGCTACATTGCTCGTCACATACGTCGATAGCGGCTTCAATGCATGAAGCGCCCATTTTGTAGGAGTCTCGATGCGCTGTGATCGTGGTCTCAGCATGCGACCTAGGTCAACACTAACCCGCCCTCACATCGAGGAGTTCCTTGACTTCGGGCTCCCATCCGACGTAGCACGCGAGCAGCTCCTCTTTTGAGCAAGGAGAGACCCACGGGCCATCGTACACGGTCCCTTCTCTTGCGAGATCCGACGCCAAGGCCACAACGTTGACGACCGTGCCCTGCGAGATCGAGTAACTCACGACGTGCTGGCAGCATACATTTGAGCCGTCGACCCGTCAACACTGTACAGCGCTCATACCTTGCTCTTGCCACAATACTGATAGCAGTGGACGTATGCTCGGCGAATAGAACGTAGAAACTAAACCGCACAACGACGTACCATCATAGGCGTCTCAACCGTCCGGTGCACCTTCGTACCTTCAGACAGCCGACGAATAGGTATCAGGCCTCTATAAGCGACCGTACCGCTGAACACGGGCTCCACACACTCCAGCATCTCCATACGTCCACTCGCGGCGAGATTGTGCAGCATACACGAGCGCACGGTGGACTTGATACCGTCGCAGCCCACAAGGAGATCGCACAGCTCCGAGGTGCCGTCGGCGAAGCGGAGGGTGATGAGTCCACCCGCGCTAGCGTCGTAGGAAGAGAGGCGCTTGTTGAGCTTGGCGACCCCGTCCGGGAGATGGTCGACGAAGACGTCGAGAAAATGGGCCCTGTGAAACCGGATGCAGCCATCTAAATAGTCCGTTATCAAACTCGTCCGAAAGTCACCCAGGCACGACACGGGCCAAATCACTCACGGGGCAGCTGGAAGAGATAGAACCGGAACCCTTCGCTGGACATGTCTGAGCGCCGGAAGTCGAAGCCGACGCCCGTCGAGCCGTCCTGGGGCGCGTGGGCCACCCGCGAGAAGTCGTCCGCCAGACCCATGAGCTCCAAGATCCTCCACGTCCGCGACCATATCATGACCCCCGCGCCGATCTCTGCGAACCGCCCGGCGGCTTCATAGATGTCGACTTGGATGTCCGAGTGCCTTGAGAGAGCCACGGCCAGACAGAGGCCGCTGATTCCTCCGCCGCTGTCATCAGGAGGACGCATCGTCCGCGGTCAGATTGGGGATATGGACGAGCTGGAGAGGGGATCTGCAGACCAGATTGCGACTCTCAAGCGAGGGGTAGGCATATGTTGGCGTTAGAACTCGTTGAAAGCTCACCTGCGTTATCAGTGCCATATAATCGTCAGTCCCACACTCATGTAGCACCCGTGAGCTATTCATGGATCATGTATTATAGGCATGTGCATACTTACTGTAGCAAGGCAAGAAAAGGTACGGTTCCCAAGATCACCTGGCACAGAAATATGTGGGGTAACATTGGGCGGATAAGAAGGTCCGGAACACTGATGGAAGTAGTTGGCTAGCGTTCTCCAGCAATGAGCTCTTGAAATGAAGTTGTATACAGCCGTTCAGCTCGACAGAGACATCAAGAAGGCTTCGAACGCGAATCAGTGACCACAGTGGGCAAAAGACGCTGTGGAAGGTAATATTTGCGATGCAGAATAATTTTCAGCGATAATAGCAAAGCTTCGGTTGTGATGAAAACCCATTCAAATGAGAAAGGCGTGTTTGTTCGCCAAGGGAAACAGTCAAACTGAAGAGAGAGCGTCGATGAATTTGGGAGTCGACTTCTGCTGAGTCATCAACCTCATCCCAGTTCGATCGACATGTTGAGTTCCGCGCCTCTGCGTTGGCATTATATCGTCTCCAGTGAACACGGATCGTGTCTTCCAGAGGCTCAAAATTTCATCACCAGATTCATTCCCCCAGGCCACGGCATGGCAACCTGTAGGTAGGATGTACTTTCCGTGACACAACAACTACTATTCCAGGCGAACCTTTCCTGTTCGATGCGAAGACAACAAAGACAAGGATCGCAATGGCGTCTCCAGTCAAAAGACCCACGCGCAATAAAACAAGGACCCATATGAGTCCATAAGGTCTTGCAGCATAGATTCATAAGGCAGGTGTTGCAATACGGCTCGGTTCATGCAATGATGTCCACACTCTTCCGAACAAACCATCATCTCATTCGTCTCCCCAACGATACACTCGTGGACCAAATATTCCCTTACTTGTCTGTACGGGATATCATTCGAGTCAGGGGGGTGAGTGTCAATTCCTCGTATTGAGCAGGAGCTCATAAACGTCCTCTGTCACATAGGTTTGTAAGCTTTTCTACGAGTTGACCCACCAGCCTATGGTATGGAAGCGCATTCTCAGGCAGTTCCCGCTTTGGCTGCCGCCAGTCCCTCCCAGCTCTCGGCATTCCTTCTCCTCCCTTAGTAGCTTCGAAACTGAACGGTTGATTGTCCGCGCGCTCTCGCTCGATGCGAACTGGTGCAGCCCAGCACCCAAAGCGTACAGCATAGAAAAGATCAATGTGTTCTATGAAGTGATCCATATGAAGCTCCTTCCTGGTGGAAGGCACATGGTCGCGTCGGTGCGCGATGCTGAACCTAATTCCTACGCGCTGTTGTTATATATGCTGGATCACCGTGTCAAGCGTATGTGGCCCATGGCGAGGATTCGCACAGAGTCGAAGGCTTATTTTCTCGAGGCGAAATATATGCGATGCAAGGGACAGCTTGGGGTAACAATCGCATATGTACGCCGAGAGCCCAAACACAGCTCAGATCGTGCTGCTGGGTGAGTGAGTTGGAAAGCTCATCGTTTTTCATGTGATTTATTCGCGGTATCAGTGTCAATGTGTCCGAGTATAGCGAGGAACATGACATCGACTACCCTGTAGACGTTCGATACGAATCTGTGGTCCTACACGTGAACCTCGATGCAGTGGATGCCATGGAAGACCCTCGCTTCCCCCCTGGATCAGAACAGCACTATACAACCGCGGAAAGTATCGACCCCCCGTTTGAGTGCATCTCTGTCGTTCGCTCACGTCTTCCTATCGATTTTCTTGACCTTGTCGAGATCGCTGGTGTTTCGTATATCGTCTTAGCAAAGCGGAACAGGGAAATCATCATCAAGAACCTCGAAACGAAGGCAGTCTCGAGAATCATCTGTCGGAATATCGATCCCGCAGCATTATTTTCCGAGGAAGAGCTGGTCAACTGGCTACTCGCTGGCCAACCTGTTTGTGCTTTCTCCTCATTCCATGAAACGTCACTCAGCACGAATGGAGTTATAGGTTCCCGTCACACCCCGCATCCGTGCGATCCGCGTCATCCCCACGGAAAAGACTATCCTCGTCCTTTCAACCTGGCACCACCCAGTCAACGATCGCGCGCCTCTCTCTATAGAAAAATTCAAAGTACCTCTCGACGGGCAGACGCAGGAGAAACACGCGGACCAGGCGCTCCTGTATCAATTTCCGGTCACTCGCTATGTCCAGTTCTGCATCTCGGCCCCTGCGTTCCCATCCATACACGACCGCTCCGTATTCAAAGACATCTTCCCGAATGCTGAGCCTCCGCCGATCTCCATTTATGTTCTGCAAGATAGCCCATGGCAGTTCTTGCATCTGCGAATTTGGCCAACACGCGTTACATTGGATCACGATTTTGTTCGTTTGGAACTCCCCGCCGGGCCTCCAAACGCCAACGCTGTGAACGCTCAGCCGTCGGATGAAGAAACTGTACCCAACGCTACCGCAGATGCGCCAAAGTCTCCTCCCACAATAAAGGATACCACTTGGGCGTACAAGCTGACGCCGCCTTATCTCAGGGCATGGGAACGTGGGATATATGGAAACGAGAACCGTCCGCATGTTCTTCCCGGGAACACTCGCGCTTTCGTGTGGAATACTTGGATAGAGTCTCGTAGGATCAACGCCCCCGCCGGGCGCTTGGATACGTATACCGATTTCACACGTCCCCCCTCGCCCTCACGGTTTATATGGAAGGAGGATGCCGAGCGCCGAGCGGCAGGTGAGCAAGAGCGCGCTTGGGCACGGCAGGCTGCAGGAGTGGTCCCAGATGACATGAGGCGTTTCAGGGCCATTGAACTTGGGGATGAGATGGACGAGTTATTGGAGGAGGGAATTGATGCGATTGCCTACGATGAGTCGAGTGGGAAGGTCTGCTTCGTGCCGACGAGGAGCAAGATGTCGGTGTATGTTTTGGAATTTGCGCAGACACCAAAAGAAGGTGAGTTTTTCCTTGACATGTCCATTTAGTTATCCTCCTAAACGGATGCTGCGAGAGTAGACGCCGATGGGAATAGACTGCCCCTTCCTGTTCCCGATGTCGATGAGCGATTCCGGCGAGGCGCGCCAATGGATTTATGAGGTTTCAGCATGTTTCTCTACTTTCTGTCTTTTCACATCGTGCTAGTTTGGACTTCACCTTGATTACGCTTCATGTATTGTATGATTAGTCGATGGACTCTTCTTGCTGAGAGTTACGCTCGTGTACGTGCTGTTGTCCTCGGAAACCTGATATCCCATCCTTCAGTTCACCAGTTCAATGACCGAAGGAAGTGAGAGGCAGGGACAGCGAATGAATACAGTATATTTCACCGTGAGTTTACATATAACACGGATCCCTTCTTGTTTGACTCTGCGAAAACAACACAAGTAAATTTAATGTGTGAAGGACGTCTGCGACAACAGACATCTGAAGATCTCACACTCACCTAAATCTACTCAATGTTGACTCTTCTCCACAGCCTCGCGGATGACCTTCTGTACCAACTGCACCGGCAGCTCGTCTAAGCTCTTCTCTGTCCACCACACGTCCTGCGCAAGACCCTGACTTATCATCATCTCCGTACCGATGATGACCTGCCACCCGTTCGCCTCGCTCAGCGCCGCGAACTCCGTCCATATGCGTGGATGGTAGCACGCCTCCAGGACGACGCCTTTCTCCGGCTTACCCAAAAACTCCAATATAACTTCCCGCGCTTGCACCTCTTCCGGCGACTGAGGCGGGAAATCAGGGACGCCCCCGACGATGCAGACAGGGGCCTCGAGCGCACGCGCCTGCTCTGCGGTCTCGACGTGCAAGAGCCGTCCCGCAAACCCGACCTTGGCGAAGCCTGCTAGGACGGCGTCGACCTCGCTCTTGTATCGATTCACGAGATACACGACGCTCGCGCCGAGCAGCGCGTTCACCGCGTACGTGGCCGCCCTGCATGCGCCACCGCCGCCTATCACCAGTGCCGGCCGCCCGTGCTGTCTTTGTCGGATACCCGGCACGTTCTGCTCAAATGCGCCCTGCACGCCGAGGCAGTCGGTGTTGGTCCCAATGTAGCGCCGCTGGCGCGTCGTTGGGTCAAGGCGCACGAAGAGGGTGTTCATCGCGCCGATGATGCGCGCTTCCTCTGTCACGGCGTCGACGTGCTGAAGAAAGGACACCTTGTGCGGCATGGTGACGCTCGCGCCAATGAAGTCATCCTGGCGCATCAAAGGACTGGCGAGGACAAGTCATGACATCAACCGCTATCATTGTCCGAAATTTAAGGGGACTGACAAAAAATCGTCTGGGTCGCGCGACTCGATAAGGGTTTGTGTCCATGGGAGGTTGAGCGAGTCGTAGATCGTGTTGTGGAAGAGGGGGGACAGAGAGTGTGCGATGGGGTGACCAAAAAGATAGTTTTTGCGGGTCTCGGTGTGAATATTGTCGGCGGACAGCGTAGTCAGGCCGTACGTCTGTGTAGGTGAGTCTGCCCCTACCGCCTGAGTCTCCTCGATAGCGACATCAGTTACTGGCCCAGACATAGCTGTGAGTGGGACGGTGGGGTAGCTAGCTCTGGGTAACTGCGCGAAGGCTACTTGTGTCGCTGGCTATCTTGTCTGTTATAGCGTTCTCCCCGGATCATATCTCTTCTCAAGTTCTTCATGGGATTGTTGTTACTTAGATCAGCAAGCGGGGAGGAACGGGAGATCACAGGCATAAGTCCTTAAGAACGCTATAAAGGCCATTGGCGTGATTGTCAATCCGACACTGCAACGGGTCGAGTTCCGAACAACGGCAGGTTCATAAGGTGTTCAATCAAGATCGATGGCAGGTCAGCTGCAGACTGGTTACTACTTCGCTGAGTGCCCGTCGGCTTTCATCTCCTAGCTTCTGTGTCGCCAGGATTCTCGAAGTGCGAAGCTCAGACCTGTTACAGTAAAAGCCGCACCAGCTCTCATGCAGCGCAGGGCCATGGCCTTACTCCATTGAGACAACTTCATTACACGCACTCGTACAGATGCTGTCGCTATTCTTTCGTTACATGGACTTGACTCGACCCCACTTATCCATACAAGGTCTGTTCCTGTGGGGTACCAAATAAGCCCTGCTGCCAGCTGGACGGTTGCTTCCACTCTTTGATGAGTGAATCAATCGAGAGGACCTTGGCCACGACGGCAGCAAGCAGAGACGCATCGACAGTGTTGTCGCCCTCAAGGACAAATTGGAGCAGGGATGCAACGGGAACGGACCAGTTTGACGGGAGACTGGTGATGATGCGACGCGTCAAGCCGCCACCCGGGATGAAAGGAATTGGGCTTTCGGGCTTGAGCGCGTCAGGGTACTGTGAGACTGGTGAGCTGTAGGTCGGGATCGGGAGGGTTAAGAGAGAAGAGAGGGGTGCAGAAGACCAGGCTGGCGAGTTTAGAGGATGGATGAGATACGTCGGCGTGCTATTTATGATGTTGAGCGTTGAGTCAGACGAAGAGCTTTGATTTGCGTATACGTACAGCATCTGTGCATCCGTCCTGTTCGAAAGGTCGACGCCGGAGATGAAGAGCATCGCTGCGAACTGAGATTCACGAATGAAGCCCAACAAAGCGTCGATGAACTCCTGTTTGCGAGACTAAGGCAGGATCAGATATTGTGTGAGATGAGACACAAAGATTGAGTGACGGACCTTAAGCACAGGGGATCTCTGCTGCACGACCACGACATTGACTCCCTCCCGCCCGTACACTACACCTGGTTTAACGACACGTCGCGAACTTGGCAGAAAATAGGATCGTACGCTCAAGCGGCAACGTCACACCCGCCTCTCCGTCCTCTCTGGCACCGATAACAGGAACGAGGTCCTGTGGGTTGAACACACCTACGCATCGAAGGGATAGCGAGGCAATGAGGAGATCAGCCGCGAGTTGTGAGACATTCGCGGTGGAGACGATGGGCTGCCTTCGGCACGGCGTTAGATGGTTCAGAAATGCGCGACGAAAGAGACGTTTGACAGACGACTACGATGTATTTTCCAGGAAGAGTGAACTCGGATGATTTTGGAAAGTAGAAGGCCATGGTCGTTGTAGCCGCGAGCGTCTGAGGAGGGTTGCGTAGCCTCCAAGGAAGCGTGGGAAAGACGCGTGCGCCGCTCTTGCTTGCTTTCTCAGTCTGTGTTCACCGTCTCTGACCGCGCGCGCTCAACATGGCCGACTCACCCACCCTCAGCATAACTCTTCTTGGTGCCGGACAAGAGGTCGGTCGCTCATGCTGTGTCTTACAGTACCGCGAGAAGACTATCGTTCTTGATGCCGGCGTCCATCCAGCCCATAGCGGCATGGCCTCGCTGCCCTTTGTCGACGAGTTGGACTGGAGCACCGTCGATGCCATCTTGATTACCCAGTACGTGCGTCATGTTATTGGAGATTTCCGTCTCACATTTTTTCTCTAGCTTTCATCTCGACCACGCAGCCGCGTTGACCTACATCATGGAGAAGGTGCGTGTTTGTAGCTTCACATTCAGCGAGATTTCCTCATTTATTAACCTTGCAGACTAATTTTAGAGATGGGAAGGGAAAAGTATACATGACACACCCAACTAAAGCGCTCCATCAGTTCATGATGCAAGATTTTGTTCGAATGAGGTACGTTTTTCTGAACTCGACTTACGACAATATTTTATATTCCAATGCAGTAATTCATCAACGGACGCGCTCATCTCCCCGCTTGACTTGTCAATGTCTATCTCTTCTATCATCCCTGTGTCCGCCCATCAGCTGATCACCCCCTGCCCGGGTATCTCCTTCACCCCGTACCACGCTGGCCATGTCCTGGGCGCCTGCATGTTCCTCATCGACATCGCCGGTGTCAAGGTTCTCTATACGGGCGACTACTCCCGCGAAGAAGACCGACATCTCGTCAAAGCCGAATTGCCGCCCGTACGCCCTGACGTCCTCATTGTGGAAAGCACGTACGGCGTGCAGAGCTTGGAGGCGCGGGATGAGAAGGAGCTGCGATTCACAAATTTGGTACATGCTATCATCCGACGCGGTGGCCACGTCTTGCTCCCTACTTTTGCTCTTGGACGTGCTCAGGAACTGCTGCTTATCCTTGACGAATACTGGAAGAAACATCCCGACCTGCACAGTGTGCCGATCTATTATGCTTCGAATCTCGCGAGGAAGTGCATGGCGGTGTATCGAACTTATATCCACACCATGAACTCCAACATCCGGACAAGATTTGCGAAGCGAGACAATCCCTTCGTGTTCAAGTAAGTATATATTACCCTCGCATTTGACGAATCGTCCTCATGGCGCATATAGACATATCTCTAATATGCCACAAGCAAGGGGTTGGGAGCGCAAGATCGCGGAGGGTCCTCCGTGCGTGGTCCTGGCCAGCCCTGGTTTCATGTCGTCAGGACCCAGCCGAGAACTCTTGGAGCTATGGGCGCCCGATTCTCGCAATGGCCTTATCATCACTGGGTACTCAATCGAAGGGACCTTGGCGCGGGTGAGTGACCCCATCATATGGCCAGTATTACGGTCCTTTTTGGGAGGACAGTCTCTCTCAATTCTCTCTCCTCATGTATATCAGCCGCATCAATGTAACACATCTTCACTTTCTTGTGCCACGGCCTGAGTTCTGGTGTGCTTGAAGATTGAGTGACATGTATTCTGTTTTCTCCCTCTCCCTTTCTCTGTTCTAAGCATCATGCGGAGGACACTCACGGTGATTTTTTGGTGCACAGGACATGCAAAACGAGCCAGATGAGATCATCTCAATGAAAGGCGTCACTATCCCTCGCAAGCTCTCTGTCGACTATATTTCCTTCAGCGCCCACGTGGACTACTCACAGAACTCAGAGTTCATCGAACTAATAAAGGCACCGCATATAGTACGTCTCTAGTGGCATCTTCGTAGAATCGCAGGTCGCGAATATGTCTGACCACTTGTTTTTCAGGTCTTGGTTCATGGTGAGCAGACAGGCATGGGCCGTTTGCGCGCCGCATTACAGGCGCGATATAAAAACAGAGGCGAGGAGGTCAAAATTCACACGCCGCGAAACTTGGAGACGTTGAACCTCACATTTCGAGGGGAACGCGTAGCCAAGGTGCGTTCTTCAGTACACCAGACTCTACAACGCGAATGCAATCTAATTCTAATGTTTCAACACGTAAAACGACGTTCTTACTCTACAGGCCATCGGAAATTTGGCCGCGAAACCACCGAAAGCGAACGATACATTCTCAGGGTTGCTCGTAGCCAAGGATTACTCGTACACACTGCTTGACCCTCGCGATCTGCGGGACTTCGCTGGGCTGTCGACGTGCGTTGTCACACAGCGACAAAAAATCGCTCTCGGGGTCGGCTGGGACCTCGTCCGGTGGCATCTAGAGGGCATGTACGGGACCGTGGAGGAGGGCATGGACAAGGACGGGGTGCCGACAATGCGGGTGCGTATCATCCGTCCTGGGCTGGTCCCACCTTGTTCATGCTTTAGTTCTTAACGCTGTGTATTGGTGTGCGTAGGTGATGAGCGCGATCGACGTCAAGCTGATAAGCGAGCACGTACTATCGTTAGAGTGGGACTCTAATGCTGCGAACGACATGATCGCGGACTCCACGCTAGCTCTCATTACCGATATCGACAAGAGCCCGGCGTCCGTAAAGCGTCAGCACCTTCTCGTTCTTCCCATGCTATCTGCTATCTGCCCTCCTGACACTTGTTGTCTTCCGGGCCCTATTCATTTCGTCTCTAGTGACGGCCCAATCACATTCGCATTCACATTCACACCCACATACGCATCCGCACTCGGACAGCGACTACGCCGCGAACCCGATGACGCGGATCCAGCGGCTGGGCATGTTCCTTGAGGCGCACTTTGGCGAGGTCGAATACCACATGCCTGAGGACGAGCCTGAGGATGACGAAGTGGAGCAAGGCGAGTCTACGAGCCGCGAGCCGTCGTTCCTCATCCAGCTGGATGAGGCAGACGCGCGAATCAACCTCATCTCGATGGTGCGTAACTGTACCCACATCAAAGTCCTTTATTCGTTAACTAAAGCTGGATCGATCTTAGACGGTGGAGAGCAGTAATGAAGCCTTGCGAAAGCGCGTGGAGGCCGTGCTGGACATGGCCGCGTCGACGGTCAGCTCTTTGCACGAATCGTTCTCCTCGGGAGATGCGATGGAGGACGAAGAGAGCATGATGGCGAAAGCGAAGTCTACCGCCAACAAAACTCTCGAAAGCGTCCCGGAAGAAGAGCAAGGCCAAGACAAAGCTGTCGAAAGTGCAGAGAAGACGGCCGAGGATAGCTCACAAGGTGATACGCAAGACAATTCGCAGGAGAGCACACTTGGAGTGGATCAGAAAAACGCTGAGGGCGACGAAAGCGATGATTCCGAGCCGGAGGGCACTGAGCTGGAAGTGCATGGTTGATCTGACTAGTTGTATCCTGTCGTTGTTTCCGTCTATCACTCGTGTATTTGTACATATAGTGCTGTTGCTATCGTTGGTCCCAACATCAAGCATCAGGTTCAAAATAAATGGCGATGGCTGAAAACATCACAAAAAAGACATAACATTGCACATACACGCATACACAACGCTTCCTCATCGTTTACCTGCAACACCAACGCGACTCCTACGGCCTCCCTTCTTCGCTGCATCGGACAACGAGACGTAAGCGTAAGGGTCGACGCCGCCCTTCTTAGTAACATCACCACCGGCCTTCTGTAAAATGGCCAAAAGTGTCAGCGAGTATGTAAGAGAGAAAGACGATCCAAAGCACCTTGGCCTTGAACTCGCGTCCAAGTTTGGGATCTGAAGCTCGCTTTTTCCTCGGTCCCTTCCCAGACTCGACATCTGCCATCTCGACATCCCCATCCTCTTCGGCGTTCTCCCTTCTCCGCTTTTTCGTGTCTTTGTTGAACTTGATACGCCCGTTCGGTCCCCGTGTGAAGCCATCCGCAGAAGTCATGCTCTCACGGTAAGCCCCACCAGCCACGTCCTCTTGCGCGCCAGCCTCCGGCCCTGAATCCGAGTCTTCGTCGATGATCATTTTCCCTGTATCCGCGTCCATTTTGAACTGCGCCGCGTCCTGGCCCGGCTTGCGTCTTCTGTTATTATTTTGAGCATCTGTACAACGTGTTAGCTGTTGATATAAGGCACCAAGGGATAGGCACACGCACTAGTGATACGCGAAGCGGCTCCCGAAAGTAGATCCATCGGCTCGTCGTCGTCGACGCGTATGCGAGCCGCAAAATCGCCGCCTCTCCGCTTTCCAGAGACTGCTGGACGTTCTTTCTCATCGTCGCTATCGTCCAATTCACTCTCGCTGCCATACAAGACGTCTTCGAAAGCGTCTCCTGTGGTTGGCTTGCTTGATGGTGCCTATGAGTAAATTTAGCCAGGTTCATGGAAATGAATTCGTGCAAAAAGGTCGCCTTACAACGTCGTCGTCATCATCGGCAGCTTGCGCCCGTTTCTTCTTCGCTCTGTCCTTCCTCTTTTTGATATTTACGAGCATCTTGGAGGCTTCTTCCTCGCCGGCGCAAGAATAGACATCTTCCCAGCCAAACCTCCGGATCATCCGCTCGAAGATATGGCGCACTTTCGCCTTGAAATGGTTTTTGTGGTCATGCGACCAACGGAGCAAGGCCGGGACGATCTCCGCCAGGTGAGGGTGCATCACGTCGATTGGGAAAGTGTGGATAGCCAGCTTCACGAATCCAAGCGTCGATTTGACAATCTCTCGGTTGGCAGAAGAGAGGAAAACGAGAAGCGTAGTGAATATCTCATTGTGCATCTCAGCAGAGATGGAGTCTACCAAGGGAAAGGACATGAGACAAATCGCTCTTCATCTAACAAGAAACTGCACCTTTGAACTCGAAGACTAGCCTGGAGATCGCCGTGACGGTCGCGCTGATCATGTGGGGAGTTGCGCCGGCCAGACCACCAGCAATCATTGTCATGTATTCTTCAATAGTGGCCTTGGCTGACGATTATGTATGAGCAAAATGATCATCAAAGATGATGGTTTATAAGTTGTACGAGCATACCTTCACCAGCGTCATCTTCGTCCATTCCATCAACCATACCACGCTTCACAACCCCGCCTTCGTTCATCTTCTTACCCATCGCCACGATGAGATCAAAGGCAGCATTACGAGCCTTCTCTGACGGTTCCTTCGTCCCTAGGACTGCTTCTGGTATAAGTGAAGGAATGATATGCAGAGCTGTTGTTGGGATCGAAGGTAGTACGTTGCTGAGGAATTGGAAACGATCCTTATGAACGGACGAGGTGAGACATCTATGGGCAGACACAAAAAGCGCCCTACCTTCTTCGCGGCAGGTGCTAGGCCTTCCGATACATTGTCTAACCTTTGTATCACAGACTGAGCATCGACCGGGACCTTGTTGCTCTCCACAAGTTTTGTCAAAATCTTGTAGCCACGCTTCTGGACGCCGTTATCTTGGTTGGCGAGCACTTCTTTGGAAAGGCACAGTTCGAATAGAACCGCAGCATCTGTGGGCGAGAGGTGAGGGAGTATGAGGATTAGTATGTCTTGAGTCGTAGCAGCTACGCTGCCGCCCTCGATGGGTCCTCTTGTGGGCTGAGCTTTGGCCAAATTCTGCTTGAACAGGTCGATGACTTTGTGGTATGCTTGGCTGATAGCCTTCGGAAAAGGTCATCAGACACGGTTGATCTGGGGAATGCATGAACGCCAAACCTGGTCACCAGCGATACCAGCCCACACACTAATCACATCACCCACCATCCCTCTGGAATCTCGATTGACGCTTCCGAAAACATTAAATAATACTGCCAGCCAACTCTCGGCCTGCGAGCGCAAGAAGGTGACATTTTGAGCGGCCTCGTCGGCAGAGATCACGTCTGCGTGGGACAACGCCGCAAATTTCTCTATCTGTGCGCCGTCTTGAGATGCGAGGACGCTATTGGACTCGACGAGAATCTTCAATGCCCTCAAAACGGGGGGTCGGAGATCGGGCTGGTTGTACATGAGCTGAGAAAGCAGCTGAGAGAACGGGCCATTGAGTGTCTGGAAGTGGGGGAACAGGGTGACAAGGTTGGCATTAGCAAGGCGAGCTACGTATTAGCCGTAATCGAACCAAAATTCATTTGACTAACCTCTCGGAGGTCGGTAGTCCCCCAGCAATATCCCGGCAGCCCCGACCAGATCTGCGTAATTAAGACGGTCCACACTTTAGCTTCAGACTGGCGGTTTTCTAGTTCCGCCTTCTGCTGTAGATCGAACATGCGTTCCGTAAGGGGGACAAAGTACGAGACGAAATGCGCCAAAGGCGATGTATGGGGTTGTGATAGCAGGGGAAGTAAAAATGCCCGCGGTTCGCGGCCTGTCTGCCTGTTGGCGGTCCCACCTTTAGTTAGGTTCCCGAGGGCAAGTCCAAATGGATAAGACTCACCGGTCAGCTGGTTCTAGGTTGAGTGGGAGTGCATGCAAGAGGACCTCAGGTCCGAGAACGGACATGGCTACGCCCAGCGTCCCGTCGGCTGCCTCTTTGAACTCGAAACCCTTTTGGACCCTCGCATGCCCGATTTTTTCAATCAGGGAAAGGAGGAGGATTTGGGCGGCCGTAGGCGCCAAGGGACGCTCCCTATACCTCAAATTCGCAACAAGTGATGAAATCACGGACAGCAACTCTGGCATCGAGCGAGCAAACGCGAGCGAATCGAAAGCCTTGTCTGTTTGAACAATGATTTTTCCAAGCGCTGATTTCGGCTCGCCCTTCCCATGTTCCTGCGTAGCCGGCGTTATGAATGAAGGGGTAAAACACTGAGATAAGAGCGCGAGTGACAGGGCTGCAGCTTTGCGCACTGAAGCGTTGCTAGATTCGAGGAATGACCACATAGCTTTCCAAGCCTTGCCTAACTCAGCGGCTGAAAGTTCGGGATCAGCCTCCTTCAAAGCGAGTATTGCATTGCCCAAGACGAGTAGCCATGCTGGGCCTAACGTAGCATCAGTTTTTGAAGGCGGAGAGGACAACACTGCCTTCAGAATATTAGGAATCTCCGGAACGACATCAGCCTCGTTGCCATCTGTTGGCGAGGAGAGGAGATCAGACAAAATAGAATAAGCGGCTTGCGATAGGAACGGATTTCCAAGACGAGGGAGGGAGAGAATCAATGGTACAATGGTAGGAAGCGACTAGAGGCGCGAGTCAGACGACGCGGCGTAAATATCCAGACAACTCACCGACGGAGGAAGCCTGAGAAGGACGAGTCGCAGGAAGGAAAGTAGATGTATGGCTACTTCTGCACCTTCCATGTCGGCACTGTTACTTTTGAATTTGAGAGGAGCATTGGCGTTGATGTCTCCTAATGTAGACTTGACCCACTCAGCAACACGATCAGCATAGGGATGGAGCAGCAAAGGGCTGGGCGGGAATGATAGCACGTCTTTTACAACATCTGCTGCCTTCCTGCGGACTTTGGGTCGCGGATCCAGACACAGCTGGAGAATAGATGCGAAAGATTGGCGGATGCCTTGGGTGTCCAATTGTGGGCGATCTAAAGCTCTAAATACAGCGCCGTATATGGATAGTTGAGATCTGAGGGGTGGAGCATGGTTTTTGAGAAGTGGATATAGCGGGGCAGTGAGGGCAAGGATTGTGCCCAAGTTTCCGCGTATCACTGGAAGAGGTGCGAAGGGTGTTACAAGAGCGAGGAGGTATAGCTCTGCAGGCAGCATATCCCCATCGCTCAGAGCAAGACCTGATGACCGCTCATTCTGCAATGTCCCGTCCAAGGTTGTGAGAAGGGCCGCAAGGTATGCGGTGGGGGACCGTTCGGTCTTTTGTTCATCGAGGGTAGCTTCGAGGGCGCGAAGCAAGGTGGCGGGGGCCTTTTGGTGGGCAAGGGAGGAGGACGTGTGGGGCCGGATTTTAGTCAATGCTTGCTCAAGGCCGTCAGACATGGTGGGCGGGAGGGGCGGCAACGGACACAGGACGGTTTGCAAGCTGCAGCCTGCAGAATGCTAATTTCTGAAAACAAGTCAAGAAGCTTACATAATTGAGCATTTGCGGTGACGTTGTTGCGCCCACGCTGCGTGCAAGTCACTGTCAGGCTCAACGCCAGCTCTACAAACTACCCGACCGACATTCATGAGTGCAACTCTATTCATTTCACTATAGCTTTGTATGGTGCGGAACCCAACCATGCCTCGGGGAACTCCTACTCCATGGTCTTACTTTCTCATCCGGTTTGTGTCAAGGATGGCTGTTGAGTGCACTATCACTTACCATCATTGCTCGCAGGCTTCTTTTCAAATTCGTCCTCAAGGTATTCTATGGAACAATAGTCGTCGAGGGCGTTGAGAATATACCTGCTACCGGAGAGCCATGGTTCGTCACTAGAGCCATTTCTCTGTATGTCTACTGACTACTCTCCCCTACTCTCCCAGCATTGTATGCGCGAACCACACAAATTCTCTAACAGATGCGCTGTTCGTATGCCAGTAACGATGGGTTCGCCTCACTGACTTTCCATCTAGTCTTCTTGTGTCGACCATTCCGTCAAGTGTATGGTGTTCGTAACCTCCTCCTTCTCTCGTATTCTGATTGTTTCTTTCGGGCTTCCGACATGCCCTATAGAAACGCAACATGCTACGGCTCACCGCGAAATCCACTCAATTCGGCAAGAAGACGCTGACCAGCTGGCTCATCGAATCTGCTGGGACCGTGCCGATTCAGCGGCGCCGAGACTTTGCGGACGGCACAGTCGACAACAGTCAAGTCATGCTGAAGCTTCGTGAGGTGTGTTAAGATAGGGTGTGCTCATATGAGCCTCCCTTGATGTTGTTTGTACAGGCCCTGGAACAGGGCGATGCTGTGTGTCTCTTTCCAGAGGGTGCTAGTCGGTATCATCCCACGATAGCTCCTCTCAAAACCGGAGGTATTGCGGTCTCTCTCTGATCCCACTATCCATCTGAAGCGCTTTCAGTCGCACGCATCGTGTCCGATACCCTCACCCAGAATCGAGACAACCCTGACTTCAACATCTCTGTACTAACCTGCTCCGTGACTTACATGTGAGTTCCTTACGCCAAGCCCTCTCGCACCATTTCAGACTAACACCGTCTAGGCACCGTCAGCACTTTCGCTCCGATGTACTGGTAACCTTCCACCCCCCAATGAGGTTCCGTCCTCAGGTCAGTTATCGGTCGAATGCTAAGCTTTGTCCCACGTCCCAATCGTATTCTAGGACAATCCCGAGCTGCTGGCACCAGTGGACTACGACAATATTCGCTCGCTAACCGCGCGTATGCACAAGAAAATCGCATCTGGGACCTTTGATGCGCCGTCATGGGACCTCATTCAGCTGGGCAGGTTGGCAGCATCGATATATGCCCCACTTGGCACGCACATGAGCCTGGGAAATTATGTCCGGGTTTCTCGTGCGTTCTTGGAAGCATTCAAGACGGAGCTCCTCCCAGAAGCGTTGGCTGACTCTGGCGAGCCGGACCTAGACGATCTGACTCGAGACATCGAGGAGCTTGTCCGGTTGAAAACGGATCTCAAGGTTCGATTTGAACGGGTTTTCAATATCAACTTCTTCTCTAGGAGCTTACATTCATTTGTTTTTGGAAGGCATATCAAACTGAACTATCCAGGTTGAAGATCAAGGATGACCGCATAAGGCGACCTCTACCTCGACACATCGTCCTGTACCGCATGTTTATACGACTTTCGTGGACTGCGTTCTTGCTCACGATCTGTATTCCCGGCCTAATCCTTTGGACGCCCGTAGCCCTCACAATATTCTACGCCGTGCACAACTTCAAGAAGACGGGGCCTATCTACGACACATTCGACGAGATCGCCCAGTACAAGCTCGTCTACGGACTCGTGTCTGGTTTATGCGTGTGGTTCGGTGCTTCCTTGTTCACCTTCCCCATCACGCACATATCCGTGATCGTCATCCCAGTGTTGATGTGGATGAGTCTACGTTGGTTCGAGGACGCGGTCTCGGCCTGTCGCGCCTTCATCACGCTGTCGCGGCTTCTCCGAGTCGGCCAGCCCACACTGCGGCGCCTGGGGCAGGCGCGGCGCGACCTTCATCGGCGCATCATGGACCTAGCCGTGAATGGTCTCGGCCTGCCCGACGATCCAGAGACCTACTTCGCACAAGATGGGGAGAAACAGAAGGGGCGGGTTACGGGCCGATGGGAGAGCAAGAGAAAGTACTTTTCCGTGCGGCGTCGGAGAAAGAGGGACTGGAACGAGACGTTGCGTTTGAAAGAGCAAGTTGACTATCCTTCGGACACTGACCGCTGACAGCCTAGTGGAAATTAGAGAGAGAGAGATCTGGGACAATAGTAGATATCTATAGTACATCAAAGTAATGGGTAACAAGGCATCGTGCATACGGGTCACGGCTCGTCTGGACAGCTAGGAGAATACAATGAATCAAAAACAAGAAGACAAGCACGACAACAAGCATATAACGTATCAAGTTATCAGAATGGAACGGTGGATATATGTATGCGCACAGATCAAACAACAAGAAGGATCTCAGCCTTCAATGGGAGCGTAAGCACGATTGCCTGCCGCCCATCTGTGACCTTTGCGGGCAGAGACACCAGTCAAAACCACGCCGAAAGAGATACCGAAGGCGACTGCCCAAGAAACGATGCTCAGATAGTAGGCAAAGCCTGTACAGATTGAGCCAAGCAAATTAGTGAGAAAAAATTGAAAACATACTGGGGCGGGCGTGGTCGAACCCAGAGAACTTGGAAGTGCGATACAGATCGGTTACAACAGCAAAGGTGATCATAGGGAACAAGGCTATAGCTTATGTCACCAGGGGCTGATCAACACCGAACAATGAAGGGACGCACCATGAAGGGCAACAAGACCCGCAACGGCCTTCCAGATTCGCAGACGGCGGGAATGGGTGCTCACCCCAAAGATCAAGGAAAGAAGCGCGATCGCGCCAAATCCGATGCCCAGCTCCTCCACATACCCCGCACTCGTCCATGCCGTGCAGAAGAAGCGATTGTTCTTTTCACAACGGTCGGTGACACTGGCAGGAAACGGTCGGCACTGGTAGTCTGAGTAGGTAACTTTGCCGTTCGACCCGGGGATATTGATAGACGTTGCTTCGCAGCGTTCCATGAGACCATATCGCACAGTGTACTTCGTGCCGAGAATATCCTCGCCCTTGACAACAAACCTGATGATGTTCCAACGTGAAGGTTAGAGATGAAATTGTACATGAATGCAAGAATTTTGAAAGGTGACAGACCAGTCGTTGCTTCGAGCAGCCAAAATATTCTATAGAAAGGGGGTTTCAGCGATAAAAATGGAACGTGCCAAGGCGTACGTACTAGAGCCAAAGTTGCAGCAACCAGCACGAAGGCGATGGCATATGAGGTCTTCCTCATCCTGATGGTTTGGAGACAAGCAAGCTCTTGCAGTCCAAGTCTAGGCCCCGAATATTGAAGTGACGGCTAGGCAGGATGCAAATGACACAGTTCTGAGCTGAGGCTTGATCAGGAGATAGAGATGCTAATAAGCTACTGTGATAAGTCCCTGTCGATTAGTGGTTAAATCATCACGTTGTGGTTGATCAATCCCGTGAAGCCGGAGGCTCGAATCCTCCCTGGGACATTGTTTTTGTGCATTCCCCTTTCCACAGCGCAGTAGTTCGACGTTGCCATATTTTAGCGTTTCAGTCTCTAGCTATTCATGGTCACAATAAGTTACTGCACTATGAATGACAAACTCGCACGGCCCCTGCATTGTGGGCAAGTATATTGATGTCATGGCAGCCTCCGAGGTGGGCGAAACACCATCACATCCAGGACAATAAAATGGAGAAAATTATGATGGTCTTTAAATGAACGAGATATACGGTGGATTTAGTGCAACAGCCGAGGAAATCGGAGTGTGCAATGTAGAGTGATGAGACGCAATATCACACCCTTGAAATTCCCTCAACGACACGAGGATAGCGATCGGCGATCATCTATAAATCCAATGTCAGTGAGAGAGATGCCCATACAGTGTCCGAAACATACACCAAAAAGTTGAGGAGCACGGATAGCCAATACCCCCGGGTCTTCGGCAAGTCCGACGAAACTATTGAACAGGCGTCAGTCAAATAAGTCAATAAGAGATGAATCCTGATTGAAACTTGCATCGTGGATACCCCCGCCTCGATGGCTGAGGCAAGCGTCAAGTCTGCAACGAACATCCCACTTAGCGGGATCGCTATCGGCAATAAGCGGCACTTACGTAGCTGTACGCCGATCAAGAACGAGAATAGAAGGACAGGAGCTGTGTACTGCCCGTCTGAGTTGTAGGACGGGTGTGTGACTGCAAAGAGTTGAACATATCAGGTAATGATCGAGATGGAGGTCACGCAACCGGGAAAAGACTCACAGCGAAGGTAAAGATAACCGAAGAGTGAGCACAGCATGCCGACGGCATATGCACCCCACGTCAGCACTGGTGGTAGACGATATGAGTCTTGTGAATGCCTGTGGAGATCATGCACTCACCCATGCTGACCAAGGAATCATTCACCAACGCGTCTATCCCTGTGATGACGGCAACCGTGAGACACGGTCAGCTTTCGACTGATTGATGAGCTCTTACCTCGGTCTTTGAACAAGCGCCAGGTGTCCCTAGCGGCAGTGATGTAAGGCTTTCCATACAGAGCTTTGAAGGGAATCCGTCAGTCAGTTTCGTTCCCATGATGATACCACTCAGAAGAGACTCACCAATCTCAATATACGCGTATCTTTCAGCCGACGTTAGCAGTAGCGCTCAGCGAATTGCAGGGTCCTCACCTATTGAAGTACTGTACCAGTCCCTCGATGCACCCGATGAAACATTCTGCGCAGCATGCCAGGGCCATTTCGATGGCTTTATAATTTCGGCCCATGAGAAATGATTGATATTTTTCGAGAAAATAAGCTCACGGTGACCATTTGAATTAGCATTGTTCCTGACTGCTTGCAGAATTAAGCGTATGATTTCCAAAATGGTCACGATGAGGGAGCCGAATGCGATGGAACCGAGGGACAAGGTGGACGCGCGAAAGAGTGCCGCCATAGTGGGATGCTTTGGCATTACGCCTTCTTCGCGGGGGCCGAAGTAATACCAGCCTAAATCCGATAGGTCAGAATCACCGAACGACGGCTGTGAGAGAAGTCTTACTCCCAAAAGGACCACCCGCAAGAGTGGCTAGGACAACGTTACCCAGCGTCATTGAAGTCCAAATATACGAGAACGTCGCGTAAAACACGAGGCCAGCGACTTTCCCAGACGAACAGTCTGTACCCTGATTGCATTCTGTTATGGCATCGGTGATACTGACTTATTCTTATCAAGGTTATACACAGTGCTCACGAGGATTGCCAGGCGTCCACTTTGAATAACTGGCGCTGTATGTGAGCCATCATCTACGCAGTGGTAGATTTGCATACGTACACTGCGATGACAACAAACGAATACCATCTGCCGTAAAATGAATGAGAATTTCGTCAATTTCATCAATGCAGACTCACACGCTCAAACCTGCTTGGATGAGCAAGCTTATGAATGCCATGCCATACACCGATTTGTGGTGTTTGCTGACGTCCATGACAACTTGAAGCAACAAGGACGCAAGAGGAATACGTGACCTGAACCCAAAGTACGAGAATATTGAGAATAGAGCTATCACTGTGAATATAATCGCTCCGGCTGCAAGTCAAAGATTTTCGGTAAGACAGTTTTTGGGAAAATGATTAAATCGACTTGCAGTAGTACGCGGTAATCCAATAATAGATGCATACACCACTGATGAACTTCAGGCACTGAATGTTTAAAGATGTATTGATGGCTTACATATTGAGCAAGATTGTGAGAATAAGCGTTATATGCATTATAAGCATTGTGAACATTCGTGCGAGCAAAAGGTAGACTGTAGAGAGCAAAAGGCCACAGCCAGCAACAAATAGAAGCAGATATGCGGTGCTCCTGCGAACAGGACAAGTTAACAACGTGTCCGGACGCGAGGAAGACTAGGGTTTCACCGGTTCAAAGTGATGCTGGTCCCAGTATTACCTCTGCCTACACCGCCTCCCAATCCATTTTGAGACGACCAATTGGATAGGACAATGCCTGAGAGTATACAATATCCTATGAACTGATAGAGCAAATCCATGTCGATAGATAAACCTAGCGGGCAACGAAACATACACTCACCTGAGCCAAGAAAAGTATCAGGAAAATCGGATCATTGATCCTTGTCTTGGGCTTGAAACGGTCTCCTTCGTATGGGGATTTGGGATCCGACCCATACTGCTGTGCCCCAGACTGGTACGGCTGAGCGTACGGCTGAGACTGCCCTGGGTGATAGGGTGGTTGGTATTGTGGCGCAGCTTGGGGCTGGGAACCCCACTGTTGGTCGTTGTGTGACATGACGACAAGGGAATGAGTGGATGTACGAGGAGCGAAGAGCGTCGTTCCCAAAGAGCCCGCTGCATGTCTGAACTTCGTCTTCGATGACGTCGAGTCTCAAACCCGGCCAAGCCGCCAATGCCATATATGGAAGATGTCTGCACGCATGCCACCCAAGGAAATCGCCTTTATGAGTCTAGTATATAAGCTGAGGAATGTATTACATGTCCTACCCTGTACTATAACAACACGAGTCAATTCGAAATACGAGTCCACAGCTACAAATGTGCCGAAACCAGAAAACATCACTAAAGCATTGGTACACGTGCAGCAATCACCCTGATTATATTTGTCAGGTACAGGCGGATTGAGAAGAGTAAAGCACTAACCGGCCACTCGCGTGATCATTGACTTTCATTGGTAGTAACATCCTTGAACCGGATAACCAGTGCAGTGATGTTATCGTTGGTGTAGCGCTGGAGCGCCTGGCGAATCAGCTCGTCGCACGCCTCCTGGGGGTTTTGCAGTCCGCGCACAAGATCAACTGCAGTCTGATCGTCCAAAACATCCCAAATCTAAATGAAATATCAGCCCAGATCAGACCGGCCACATCTACACAACGCACCCCATCACAAGCTAGTATCAGGAGCTCGTCGTCGTCGGTCAGCTCTGTCTCCGTAGTGTACGGCGCACCAACGACAAAGTCCTTCATGGAGGAATCACCCAGGCTTCGTGTGACTGCTAATACTCCATTGACCCTTCCGCCCATCACGAAACCACCTGAGTCCACGATTCGCTTGGCTTCCTGTTTATCGGTGCCCTTGTGGTCATACGTGAGACGCAACGCTCGCCCTGACCGGCATAACACACCGCGGGCATCTCCCGCGTTGGCAACATAGAGGACCCTGCGCAGAGGTGGCCCTGGTGGTGGCACCTGAGACGACTGGTTATTGGCCCCTTCTTTCGGGTCCTTTGAAATATGTGAAGGAGATTGCGAGCGAGGAGTGGAAGGAGGCGACGCGGACGGATGACTGAGCCGCCCCAGCGCCTTTTTCAATTTCTTCCCTTTTCCGCCGTTGCCATCGTCATTTCGTGACGTATTCACTGTATCTTCAAGGTCCACTTCAGGGGTAGAGCTCGATGAGTTGGCAGGGGGAGTTGACGACTCCGCCGAAGACGCGAGAAAAGACTGTCCGCCATCAGCATCCTCAATTCGGAGGAAAGCGGTTACGGCAGTACACCCAGAGTGTATCTTGCCCTCGGATTCTTCAGAAATTTTCGAAAGGCTTAGGTCAACGTTATGAAATGTCAGATTGTAGACATCTGGTATGGAGGAGGTAGGATTCTCTCTCATGATTTTGAGCATACGCTGATTGTAACAGGTGGCAAGTGAAGATGTGACAGGGTCGGGATGGAGGATGTGGACGTACCTCATGGAAGTTCCTGCCACACCATTCGGCAGCCTCCTTTCCAGCGTGACCATCGAAGATGGCAAAAAATCCTTGGCCGCGGATGCCAGCATAATCGGCAACGTAGGAATGGGCATCCTCCATTGTTCGCCTTGCTCCCTTTTCATCCGCTACTCCGAAGGAGTAGGTGGGGAGCTCGCGAGACCATGGATTAGGAGCCTAAAGAACGGCTTAGGGAAAATCAAAATCTGATTCGTGATCAAGCAAACCATGGAACTGTATGGAAGACTGTCTTGCGATGGATTCATGTGAATCGCGACAGGCTCAGATGCGACAACATCATCAGTGGCGTTATTTGAGTTTGAGTGCGAAGACATAACGTTGAAAACTTGATTGATAGCAGAAGAGAAAGAGGGAGTGTGGTTTCGTCTCATGCAGGTCACGTCGTGAAGGGCCTTTTCAAGCTGGTAAGGTGGCATTCAGAACAAAAAAAGGTATACATACGGTGAGTAAAGACAATAACAAGTTTTGCTGATGATTCGTAACGTAGCGCCGTTATTGTAATGGTCTGAAATATGCAGGAGAGTAAACAGAAGAGGATCAGAGCGTTGCGATGGTGGCTTCGCGGTCATGACGCGATGGAGCGCGCGTTGCGGAGAGATTTGTCCACGTGACTAAACCCCAGTGTAGGAGCTTGCTGGTGGAAACGACGCAGATCCCGAAATTGAGGAGAATCCAAGCTGAGCGCTGATGACTCCCACTAGGTCCCACCTGTGAGCTTCAAGAGAGAACGGGACCCTCTGGGGCCTGTTACTTCCCTGTTGTCTGTCTTGCCAGTCAGAGATGTTGTTCCGCCCGCCGAGCAAGCCGTTTCATCCTGAAGAGTGACGAGCATGTGCTCCAAACCAATTGAGAAGTGGACACCGAATACCACCAGACTCGGTATACCCGGATTCGATGTTTTCAGCGAGCAATAGCGAGGTCTAGGGCTGTCTAGGGACTCATACGTACAGTAAGCATATACATCTCAGGCCCCGATTTGCCCTTCACTCCCACAACATTCCATGTTTTTCTGACGTCTTTGAATCTGAAAGCACCCTGATGGAGAGTGTTTTGTCTTCAATATCAGCATCCAGCAATAGTTCTTGGCCTTCTCTTTCATCCCGCTGCTCGATCACTGCTTTCAAGGCTCCTACGTATCACCCTCTAGATTCCTGAAGACCACATCAGTTGTGCCAGCCCGTGGAACTGTCTTTTGAGGTTGCAGCGTGTCTTCCACCATCAATAGCGAGTACGTTGATACTTGCGTGATCGTCGTCACCTGAGCTGACCAGATGTTGTCACCTCACCTCAAAGTGCATCTCTCGAGTCATTTTGTGTGTCTTCCTATTTCACACCCAGGTTTTATCGCACCGTCATGTATAGATGTGCACGATGTTTCGTCATGATTCACTATCTAGGCGCGGACCGGTGTCTTGCGAGTCGTCGACCGCCTCGACAATCCCTGGGATACGGCCGCAGAAGCCTTTAAGCTCTCAATGCGTGCGGTATGTAACCCCGCACGATTATGGTGATCTTCAGCTTGCAGTTCGCTGACGTTGACGCTGAACTTCTTAATGTGCCATACAGCACGGTTCTCTCCCCCCGTTCGGCAAACGGCGTTACCCCCCGCTATGGTGAGTGTAATACTTGTTTTGCGAATCGCATGTCTCCTTCGGCAGGATCGTGGCCCAGGATCAGCCACGCGCGGGCCGCGTCCATCTGATTGCGCTTGGTTCATCTTAGCGAGGGTCACAGTTCAGTCTTTCATGTCGCGCGTCGATCACCAATGGAGCCAGTGAAACGAATATATGGCTCTGTTCTTATTGATATACCGTCGCAGCGGTGTGGCATGTCGATAGCCGGAGCACTGCATCTCCACCTGTGTGCTGGCTCCAGACACGCAATGCGATGGTTGAGCGATAAGTAACTCGTTGAGCTCACTCCTCCGTCCAGATCTTTGACTTATCGTCTTATTTCAACAGGCCATCCGATAGGGGCAGAACCGCGAAGGAACCAAATCGCTGAAATCTTCTTTGACTTCGACCTCTTACGACATGGCTTGGGAAAACCGTTTAGAGGCAAGAGAACGCAAGGCCTTGGTGCCGTCCCCAGAAGCCGTTGACGTACATGTTGATGAAGAGTAAAACACACCTTTCTGGGTAACTCCATCAGTGTCTGCGGACATGCCGTTGAGCAACGAGGTGCAACGTGCTCATATCGTCACATAATATCAGCGCAAGCTAGTTTGTATATGCCACATGTGCGAAGAATCCGAAGCTAGGTTGCTGACCGACTGTCATATCTACGATACATCGATGACGGGCACAGAGGGTGCTGAATCCATGCCTCAAAACGTTTACAGCCAGTAAAACACGGCATGGACCAACACAGTTGAAATATCGAGGACATGCTTTTGATTACAATATCACTTCTGTGGAACGCATCCTGCCCTGTTCTTTCCTGTCCTATCAGGTCCTATCCCGAGGGTCCAGCCCGTCACGAAAATATGATAAACAGACATCGTCGAGGTACGAAGACTGCTTCGGGCCAAAGATCGACCTAGGTTGGAATACAGTTTGAGCAAGGACAGGAAATAGAATCCAACAAGCCAATTCCATAATATGCCTCATATTCGGCGACCTTGATGATCTGTTTCTCTCGAACGTGAGACCATCAGCTGCGTTGAGAGCGCCGGGAACAGAGACGTTGGCGCCATCATGACGGCGAATTCTTTCCAATCATCATTTTCCGATGTAGCGGAGAAATCGAGCACGAGGAAACCGTTGAGCGCATTAGGTGCGGAAATACTGCCGTCATCCTCCCTGTGAAAGGGCACACACCAAATCACCGCCGGGATTCGAAGCAACGCTAGTGACGTTCCTGAGTTCTTCGAGTTTCAAGTCGGAAACTGTCGGAGCCGTCTTGGCACCCGCTTTAACCTACAAGGGATGCTGCAATACAATAGGAACATCGTTGGCGTCCGGATTGACCTAGAACGAGGAAAGACGCCTTCGTATAGAATACGCCATTGAATGCTTCGAAACGTACGTACAAACTTCATATATCCTTGTTAATCATGCAGTTATAATATTCGACTATATTCGACGGGGTAAAAGAAAATAAATACCCTGACAGATTGTATGGTATATGGTGAGTTGCTAATCAAAAGTCGTTACACAGAAGGGCACAACTATGCGAAGTCGGCATCAAGGGTATCTGGAATGATGGTTATCAAGGGGCGTCTGTCCCATCAGGTTTCTGTCGCCGATAGTAGAGTACTGGGGGAAGAGCGTGAGCATCAGCATGAGAGGTTTTGCGAGGAGCACTTACATAGGGATCAACAGAGTCAGCATGCGAAGAGTGGTGCCAATGGCCCATCGATTGTGGCTGAGAATTATCGGCAAGCCGGTAGCTGTGACCTTGCGGAGGGCGACTGGCGACCATCTGAGAAGCAGGGATATATGAATGCGGAGTGCTAGCGTAGCGATCGACAGGGGGCATGGTGTGGTATGAGAGAGGCATTTCCGGAATTACGGGTAGGGCATTGGATTGAGGATGAACGGGGAGGGTAGAATAGTGCGGTGAACTGTTTTGTAACGAGCTCGAGCTATTGAAAATGTCTCAGTTTATTGTGTACATCAAAGCGGACTCCACTTACTGCGAGCGATACCCAGTGTCCAACGTCGGAGGGAGGGGCGGTGGCATATGCAAGAAAGGGTCGCTGAACAAGTCCGTCAGAGTGTGAAAGCCTCATAGGTGACTGTTCTCCGTACCTGTGCCTCTTGGACAGGAGTGGCGGTAATCCCAGCTCTTGATTCTCTCGCTTGATGGGTGGCGTGCTGTCCCGAGTCGGAGGCGTCGAACCCTCAGACAACCCCGACGAGCCTGCGGTCGATGGTCTACCATCTACTGTCTCCACCCTTTTAGACGTGCTCTTCTTACGCTGTGGGACACCGTCCGGCCATGTGCACTTGAAGATGATGATCGATGAGTACTCTCCACTGCCGTCGATTCGGTCCGACGCACCTCTCTCTGTCCATGAACACATCGGACGCAATTCGGCTTTGTCTCGTCACACTAAACATCGACTATGAGCGCACGGGACAGGGACAACAATAGTCGGGACAACCTTGATCTTTTTGATACGACAGGTCAAGCAGCCGGTCTTGCTGCGCGTATATTTCGGCCTCCTTCGCTGGACTTGTTCCATCCGTACGGGCGGAGCAAGAAGATGCGCGTGGGGCTGAGCCTGTGGCGGTGGATAGTATGGGGGTATATAATGGGCAGATGGGGGACTGCGGCGGACGTTACACGTGGCGCATATGGGAAGCCGGACAATACTCACTAACTAATCGAATCGGACATGGCTGGATGAGCTCTTGAGACGGAGTCGATGTATGAGGGGTGCATGATCAGGTTGAGTGCGGAACCATTGAGAGGGTTATAAAGAGCAGAGGTTTCGCCCCTTGAACCAAACTACTGCAACGGATCACCGCCTATCGGGTAAGTAGATCGGGATCTCAGGGTAAAAATCTGAATTTTCTGAAGGGAACCTAGGGAAAATAAATTAGAAACTGCGCCTGAACGTGATGCCCGTTCCTATAGTCCGGTCACCTCTACCACATGGTGGCCGGGCGAAAACGTGTTTGTGGGCGCTTGGATGGCAAACTCTCTGACCTCGTTTTGGCGCTGTTTCAATACTATCAAAGACTCATCTCCTCCGCGAGACCTTGGCCCCTTTGGGGAGACCTATGGATCGTGACGGGATTCAAGGTTTTGACGTTCTTCACATGGCCTTGATGTAGGTTCTCCCAAATGAATCTTCTTCATCTTCGACGAGCTAGGTTCTTTGGTGATAAACAAGTGGTACATAAAACTTACCAAAACGCTCCGAAGCCAGGCTTGTCTATCGTCCTCGTGCATGAATCAAACTTTGAGCGCTACGTCACTGTTCACACCAGCCCGACCCGATGACCGAAGGTCGAGTGCCTTGAGAGTGACACAAGTAGAGACCTTAGCTCGTTTTCGCTTCCGTTGATGGCATTAATGAGGCGCCCGGTTTGAACAAACATTGATGACCACTGGGAACGCTGAAGCGCTGACCCTTCATGCGTGCATCAAGAAGACTCCAACCTGACGATCCATATTGATGGTAACCCGTATGCATATCCGTAAGGTATGTATCCTTGTTACTCTTGGAGAACTCGATCACTGGATCAGCTGGGAGAAACACTTTACTTACAGGTATCTGCATGCACGTAGCAGCATCGAACACATGTCAAGCACATGCCCACTCTCTATTCCTGCGGGTGAACATACGATGGGCTTGCGTCTCTTTATGGCGGGTACCACGGCTGCGCTCCATTCGTGCGATGGGCCCCTTTGGCGTTCTTCCTTGAACGCAAAGGCGGCAAGATCTCAAAAGGTCGACGGGCCACATGTGAAGAAAGCACCGAAAGAAACCATGTGCCAATTTAGAAAATCCTCGTGATGCCCTGATACCACGGCATTTCCCTTCGATCGACTAATTCCCATTTGGCGTGGTCAAGAAGCCTCGTTCCGCTGGCAAGTATGCCGGAAGCATCGAATATTGCATGTCGATCTGGCATTGATTTAACGCACACTGTATGTATATCTAAGCGGTACATACACTGCCATGCCATTCTTTGAGCGTAAATATGAAATCATTTAGCTCAGCCACAGAACACCATGAATGGCTCCGATAGTATCTTAGTCGGTCTGCCAGGGAGAACACGGTGAACACCCAAGGCGTCATACGTAAACTGAGATTGGTCTGCAAGTCAGGGTGGGATTCGCTCGGCGTCGATAGCGCAAGGCTGTGGGACCGGAGCTTCGTGCTACGCTCTACAGAAACATCCTGACACGGACCATGGCGTGTGAGGTGTAATCATTTGAAGAGAGGCGAGGCCGCTGGAGCACAGAATATTGATTGTTCAAGAGGGATGATAGACGCGCAGCGCGCCGGCGGAGACATTTGAAAAAACTGGATGATTCTTGACTGTAGACAAATCAACTCATCAAGGAACACAAAATGCAGGGCATCCTACCATCATGATAGATCGAAGGAGGAATGTATGCTCCCCACACTCATCATTATCTATGGGATTGAGAACTCACCGAGATCTGGAAGGGGAAATGACTCACTGATGAAAGACTCGTTGCGAACCTCTGGGACTGGTCTCCCAGTTGAAGTCATTATACACCTATGCATCATCGTGCAGCATCCGTCATAAAGCATCAGAAGCAGTCAACTATTGGAAACCTTTGACTCGGTGGCGCGTACCCAAAGCGCAGACATTCAACGCTGCGATGAAGATGACAGGAGGCCCCCTAATGACGAGGCGACTATGTTGTCAGTACGATGATCCGGGGCATTGTATGACAGTGCTGTGGGGTTTGACGTGGTCACAATTAGGATCTGCTTACTGTGAAGTTTCAACAAGCATACTCAAAGACCCTAACGGGGAAGCGGATCGCCCAGCACAATGCTCTTCGCGGGCGCAGATGCGGTCTGCGCGGGCACTGTGGAAGGGTCACCTGTGATCAGAGTTGCATGATCCACAGCGTCGGCTGTTCGGGTTCATAGCCCTGAGCCAGCAAAGTGAAGTGTCCAGTGGAGCAGCGAGTCTCGCCGTCCAATTTTCGAAGGAATTCTTCTGGGGCACTAACCAAACGGGTTTCGCGGTTGTCGTCTAGATCCGTTATTCTTGATTCAAAGCAGCTGCTATGCAGACATCAGAACCACTCACGGGATTCTCTTTGAGAGACGGTCATAGCCTTGTCCGCTGTGCAGACCAGCTACCCGCCATGGGGACAGCAAGACGTTGGTACTCCACCGCGCACGACGACAACACGTCGCCAAGGGCAGTAACGCCTCTGCGCCTTTCCAAGCAGACACAAACGCCTTTGAACTCGCTGAAAGGGCAGCCAAGCTGCGCACGGGGCCCCGAGGCGGACGCTCCCGCGTCGGAGAATGATAGCACTGGGATGACCTCGCGCAGGGTCGACGGTGCTTGCGAACGAGTCGCAGCTGGCAGCGGCTGGATTCAGCGGATGCCCCGAGACCAGCCGGGAGTGAGAGAAAGGGGTACAACCGAACGGCCGATCAATTTCAGTCGCCACTACCGGCGGTCGGCTACAGCCGATGGATATCCCGCCCGTTGGCGACCAGCCCTCGTTTTGCCACCGTCCCAGCGCCACGAAGGCCTCTGCTTCGGCCGGGCGCTCGGCTCGCCGTCCTCTCCCATCGCTTGTCGCCAGCACCAACGCCTTCAACGTCCCGGCTGCAGAGCGCGTTTGCCTTTGCGCTCCTCGGCGGGCTCATCCCACACCCTGCTCGAGCATACGTGGACTCCCAAAGAAGTCCCCCGAGTCACGCGGACGGTGGAGTGAGAGGTGGCAAATCATCCCCATAGTAGCGGAGGGGGACACTTAGCACGACGCGCGAATTCGAAAGTGACGTCCTAACGGTGGAGTCGCTCGAAGAACCCGCCCGCTGCTCTCCTCGGTCTCGGCCGCTCGCTGTCACCATGCCCATCATCGAGATCGCTGGGATTCTCGACGTGAGTCGGCGGTGATACAGTAGGTAGGTTGACGTCTGCCTCCGATTCCCCAGGGACTGGGGATGGATGCCCATCACGCCCCGCACTTACACACTGCCACGTCGTCGACGGCCATCGTTGACGTGATCTCGCCCCAGGCGGGGCAGCGCACACCGGGGCGCCAGCGGCCGTCCGCTCGACGTTTCGCAACAGCGGGTCCGAGTCGGCTGATGGCGGGCGCGCTCGATGCTGAACATCAAAAATATCCTGAAACGCATCGCCGGAAGTGCCCCAGCGCGGAAAGAGCCCCGGCGCACGCGGCCACGCGTTCGTCCGTCCCGAGCGCATGCCATCCGCGTTCGCTGCTTTGCTCGATTTTTCGCCCCCCCGGGGCTGTTCCGCTGCCCCGCATGGAAGGTCCCGGCCTGTCGCCGAGTGACACCGGGCTCGGCGCCGTTCGCCCTTGAGCTTGAACGACCAGCGTCCGGACGTCCCAGAACGTCCCCTCAGCGTTCGTTTGTTTGCCTGTTCGTTTGTTCGTTCGCGCCCGCGCCCGGACCCCGTCCCACTGATCGCAACTTTCGCGGGCTTGCCCGACGACCCAGAACACCGTCTCATCAGCCCGCGGTGCTCACACAAGGCGAGCTGTCGGTCTATCTTTCTGCGAGAACGTTCGTCGGGCCCCGCCCGCCCACCTGCCAATAAAACACACCGTCGCCTTCTCCCGTCTGCCCGCCGCCGCACCACCCGACCCACCACCCGAGGCGTCTCCGCCACTTGCAAAAAGTGGCCAAAAAAGGCCCAAATGGAAGATCAGAAAGGATCAGATCAGAAAGGGAAAGAAACGAGACGAAAAGACCGACGACGACCCGCGCCCTCTTCGTCGTCGGGAAAATGGCTCGGGGTTCCACAGCGAGAAGCCTCTCGGTCGCTCGCCGTCACCGTCATCGTCCCGCCGCGCAGTGCTCAGTGCTCAGCGCCTCGAGAACCGCCTTCCCCGCGCGCGAACCCCCAGGGACTTGCCGACACGAACTAATTCTCGCTGGGCCACAGCTGAGCCGGACTCGGCATTTTTGCTTCCCATTTTTTGCCTCTCATTTTTTGTGCCTCCGCCTACTCTCCGCCCCCGCTTCTGCTTTTCTCGGCGCCGGCGTGGAAGCGCGCGCAGGCTCGCCGCGTCGAGGTGCAATCAACGCAACAACGGTACTCTCGACGCGAAGACCTGCGAGGACGCGCAGAAGAAGCGGGACCCGAGTGGTATATTAGTGGTCGTGGCGAGACCCCCAGCCGGGCCTCTCGATTTTCAGATCCGACTCGGTCCGCGCGGTCCCACTGCCACCGTCATCGTCGTTCCATAACAAATTACACGCGGAGCACACAACACACAGCACAAGGCATAAAGCACAAAGCACACAGCCAGCCAGAGGCGAATTACCTTTCTTTCCTTTGTTTCAATACAGACAGTCAAAGCGTCCCAGACCAGACCACGACAACAGAACAGCAGCAGAACAGGACAGGACAGGACGGGACAGATCAGATCGCACGTAGACCGAACGGAGGGAAGGTATAAGTACCGAGAGAACTAAGGTATTATATGACATTGGAAATGAGATGCGTCAGAGATCTTCGGGGACGGGACGGGGAGGGCTGCCCAGATACGGAGGCGGGCGAGGGGGTGGAAGGGAAAGAAGCGAGGGGGCGGGGTTCGAACAACATGGGTGACGTACACGGCAGGTAAATGCATTTATGTAGTAGGGTGGGGGGGAGAGACGCTTGGTTGTTTGTGCAAGAGTGTATGTATGTATGTGGAAAAAGATTGTCAAGACGGGGACAGAGAGTGGTACATTTGCGGATGGCTATTTCGTCGGTGAACTTCACGCGTCTACCTTGTGGGGCGTCTCGAGGCCGACGGGCTCGGAGGACGGGCCTGGGGGGTCTCTCCGGCTCGAGCTGGGGCGCGAGGACGATCTGGGCAGAGAAGAGGTGCGGCCGATCAGCGCGTCTGCGGAAGCGGGGGAGGAAAGGAAGGAGGGAGGGAGGGAGGGAGGGAGGGAGGTGCTCACGATCCTTTCGACTTCTTCGGCTTGGGCCAGCCCCAGACCTCGCTGATCCACCGTGCCATGTTGACCTCGACCTTCATGATCCTGACGATCCACGGGTGCGAGAGCATCTCCTTGGGGGGCGGGCGCAGGGCAGGATCGACGCGCAGCCTGCGGAGAGAGGGGTGCCGGGACCCCGAGCGTCAGCGGGCGCTATTGGTGGAGGCGGGCAGAGAAGAGAGGAGGCATTACGTTTGCTTGATGAAGTCCTTCATGGGGCCGCTCCAGTGCACGCCCGCTTCGTCTTCCAATTGCGGAGGCTGGACGTAATGGGGGTGTCAGCCAGGGGTGCGGGATCGGGATCGGAGGGTGGAAGGAGGACGGAGAAGGGAGAAACGGGGTACCTCGCTTTGGGTGATATGGATCATGAGCTCGATGGGCGGGAGATCGTTGGAGAAGGGAAAGTGGTTCTGCACGAGCTCGAGGAGCGAGAGGCCGGTGGACCAGACGTCCGCGCGGATCGAGTACTCGAGGCCGGAGAGGCGCTCCGGCTAGAGGGGTGCGCACGTCAGATGGCACGCGCGGTGCGGACGGGGAGGGGGAGTCGATTGGACACGCACCGCCATGTAGAGGCTGGTGCCCGTGAAGGTGCCGGCACGCGACTCGACGAGTTCGCCCGAGACGCCAAAGTCGCAGAGCTTGACGACGCCCTGGCGGGTGAGGAGCACGTTGGAGGGCTTTATGTCACGGTGGATGAGCTTCTTCGAGTGGAGATAGGTGAGGCCCTGCAAGATCTGGGGGGAGATGGGCGCAGTCAGAACGTGCGGGCATGCGACGCGACGACACAGGGGAAGAGAGGGACGGACTCCTTCGGCGAGACGCCCCGCGACCTTTTCGCCGACACGTGCGCCACGCTCCTTGATGCGTTTGCCGACAGCTTCGAGGCTCTTGCCTTCGCAGACTTCCATTACGACCTTGACCTCGCTGGAGGACGGGGACATGTACGCGCCGTAGAAGTGGATGATGTTGATGTGGGTGATGGTGGTGATGATGGCGAGCTCGCGGAGGAGCTGCTTCATGGGGGCCTCGCGGGTGGTGATGGTCTTCCTGGCCATGACGACGCCGGTGCGCCTGTCCTTGACCTCGTGGACGGCGCCGCCTGCGCCCTCGCCGAGGCGGGCGATCTCGTCGAAGACGTCGTCGGACCAGTCGTTGTGGGCGTACTTGGCGTGCTGCTCCTCGCCGGGGGTGGAGAGGGGAGCGGGTGCGGAGGCGGTGTGGGACTCGATGTCGCTGAGGGTGCGGCGGAGGTCGTCCATGGAGAGGGCCTTTGAGGCGTGGGAGGAGGGGCGGATGGTTGTCTCGCCGGTGCCGTCCGTGTTGACGGGGGGGTTTGAGAGGGGCGGGCCGCCGTAGTAGCCGCCTGCGAAGAGGTCGGAGGGGGAGTCGTCCTGGGGGCGGGCGTTGTGGGCGAGGGCGGGCGGGGCGAGGGAGATGGCGAGCTTGAGGGACGGTTTGGCGTGGGCGGCGGGGGCGGCGGAGGGGATGCGGAGGCCGAGCTTTGGGGTGGGGGAGCGCGAGGCGGGGGGGCTGGGCGGGGCGAGGAGGGACGCGGGGTCGGGCTTTGCGGGCTTGCGGATGTTGAGCGGGGCGACGGAGGCGAGGGCGGGGGCGGGAGAGGCGGCGCGGTGGATGTTGCGGGGGCCGAGCGGCCTGGAGGTGGAGGGCTGCATGTTCGCGGGCCAGGGGACGGTGGCAGAGAGCGCAGAGCAGCAGCAGACGAGCCAGCCTGCCACCCGCGGCCCGCCCGTGACGCGTGCCCTAGACCCACCGCTGGCCCTGCGCCCTCCGTCCACCACCCAGGCGACGCACACACGCACGCACACACACACGCACGCACACGCACACACACACACTCACACGTTGCCCACACGCCATACCGCTCATGGTACTGTAGCCAAGTGGTTACGGCGTTACGTTTAGGCCACCCGCTGATCCGTAATGGAGCGATCCTCGCGAGTTCGAATCTCGTCAGTGCCAGTCTCTTTTGCCCCCGTGCCACATTCCCAGTCCAGGTCCCGCCGCCTTTTCTCCCCGTCCTCTCTGACCGTCCCCTGCCATGTTCAACAGAAAATACAAGCCCAAGCTCCCCGTCGCCCCGCCTTCCCACTCCCCCAGCCCCCCTCCGTCCCCCACCCTCACCCGCACCCGCACCCGCGCCCAGCCCCAACCCATCCGCCTCCACCCCATCGGCGTCGACCCCGCCTCCATCGTCGGCAAAGTCCTCACCCGCATCCGCTCCTCCCCGACCCACCCCGCCGTCACCCTCGACTTTGCAGACCGCACCACCTACCAGGTCCGCGTCGACGGCTACGACCCCGCCCACCGCGGCGTCCCCAAGTCCCTCGAGACCAACGCCCTCCTCGCCCGCCTCTGCGCACCCGCCGGCGTGCACGCCCACGTCCGCCTCACCGTCGCCCGCTCCACCTTCGTGAAGCTCAAGGACACCGCCCACGCCCGCGCCCCCGCCTCGGGCGCCGAGAGCCGCTGGGGCGTCGAGCACCTCGCGCTCGCGATCCAGTTTGAGGAGCAGCCGGGCTGGCACTGCGTCTGGGCCACCATGGCGGAGTACGAGGGCGAGTTTGGCCCCTGCAAGTTTCGCAGCTTCGACGACGTCTATCTCGACAAGATCCAGCGCGCACCCGCACCCGCACCCGCACCCGCACCCGCACCCGCACCAAAGTCGACGCAGCCGCCACCGTCATCGTCGTCGTCGTCGTCGTCGCTGCCGTTGCCGTCGTCACGCAAACGGCCGCACAGACGCGCCCAAAAGGGGGCGCCGGTGCCGTCGCGCGGAAAAGGATGAAAGCGGGCTTCCTGGCCGCGGCCGCGGCCGCGGGGCGGGGGAGCGGTCGGTCGGTGCGCGCGGTGCTGGGAGGATCCACCGAGGATCCCTTCTCGCATGCGCTTCTTCGTGCGGATTCGCACCCCCCTGCGTCCCGCCGCTCTGGCGCGCCCTGCCGCGCTGCGCTGCGCTGTATTCGCCCGTGTAGTGTGTACCGACTAGGATCGCCGGGCCAGGATGGCGGTGGTGACGGCGACGGCGATGGCGACGGCGATGGTATACCCCGTTGTTGTGCTCCCTTGTACTTCCCTTGCCCAGCGCGCCTGCGCCTGCGCCCGTGCTGGTGCTGTATCTGTACTTATATACCCCATCTGTGCTCCCCACCACCCACCCCCGCTTGTTTCGCGCGACCCGCTTGCATATATATATCACCCCACGACGACCGAATGGATCGCGGAGCCGCGATCGTGTGTACATACACATGTAAGCTACTCGCGTATATAGCACATATGCATACATATATACATACGACTGTACTCGCACCGCCGCCTCGCATCGCCAAGCACTGGCTCATCAAACCCTGCACGCCTGCCACACCCTGCGCACCTGCCACGTTCCACGCAGCGGCGCCCGCGCATGACGTGGTCCCCCCAGGCCGACGCGATCGCGCGCGCGCGCGCGCGGGGGACACCGCACGACACCGTTCTTCTATTCCTCCCCTCTCGACAGGGCGCAACGGGGCGCGCAGATCTGCCGTACGGTGGGGTAGTAGGTAAGCCACGACGCGCGGGGCTCCCAGAGCACAGCACGGGTCGGAGCGTCGCGGGGCGCGGCGGGGCGGCTTGGCCGGGCTTGCGGTAGTCTCTCGAACCGCTCGCTCTATCTCGGGTCGGTCGGGCGGTCGGTCGGTCGGTCCTAGCCGGCAGTTGAGCGCATCTGGGCAGGGTTGGGCGCGTCCATTCGCCGCCGGCGCGCGTGCGCGCTAGATAGATATATAGATAGGTGGGTGGGTGGGCCGACGTGATCGCTCGCGCGCTGGGGCGCTGTGCGTTCGATGCAGACGAGGATTGAAGAACGCGAGCGGGAACTCACCGCCTGGAGAGAGCGTCGGGCGCGTCGAGCGCGTCGCGGATCGAAATTGGATCGAAGCGAATCGAATCGAAGCGAATCGAATCGAGCGTGTCGCGATGGCGAGGCGAGGCTTCGCATCCGGGAGGGAAAGGGAGCCTCAGCCACGTCGAGCCCGTCGCTGTCGCTGATCCGAGCCAAATCAAGGCGAAACGAAACGAAACGTGCGTGCGTGTGTGCGTGCGTGCGTGCGTGTCGCGATGGCGAAGCTCTAGATCATCAGCGCGCCTGGGCTCCGATGCGCAACCGAACGACTGGCCGACTGCGATGCGATGCGAGCAAGGCGCGCGGGCGAAGGGATTTCTCGGGGATAGACGAGAGTGCGCTATGCGTTTACTGCATGCGGAGATTGCGGCAGCGACGCCCTCGGCCTTCCCCAGTCCCAGTCCCAGGCCAGGCCTGGCCTGTGGTGATCGCTCGCACCACTCGCACCATCTCGAGTCGCTCGGGCGGTCGGTTTGTTCCAGCGGGTAGTCGAGCGCATTCGAGCAGGATCGAAAGCGGCCCGCATGTCACCATGCGCGCTGTCCGTCCGTTGGCGGATCGGACGGCCGCCAAGGGCGCGTCCCAGCGAGTCGTCGACGGCAGCGTGAGACTCGACCATGTGCAACGGCGAGCGTGCCAGACAAGTAGGCTGACGCGACCGTGCATTGCAGCTCTGTCCATTCGATGCACCCGGCCGAGATGAGGATCGAGCGGCGCAGATCGGCGAGGGTGGGGCGAGGAAAAGACAGCCCAGTTGGACGTGAACTGCCTGGAGAAAGAAAAAGAGAGAAAGAGAGCTTCCCGAGGTGCTCGAAAGCTGCCTCGAGCCGGTCGCGGATCAGACACGGGCGCATCGAATCGAAGCGGATCGAGCGTGCTGTTCGCGATGGCGGGGTTCGGGATCAGCTCGCCGCACAGGGCGTTGCGCGTCATCGAAAGACCCACCGTTCTTCGGGCGTTCTCCGAGCGGGGAGTGCTGTGCTGTCGCTCCTGGGACTGACTGACTGCGATGCAAGAAAGACGCGCGGGCGAAGGGTTCCTCGGCGTCGAGCGAGAATGCGGTATGCGTTTACTGCATGCGGAGACCGTGGCATCGGCACCCCATGGCCTCCCAGCCCCAGTCCCAGTCGCAACCCCAACCCTCTCTCAAGCCTGCAAGAGACGACCCAGCAATGGGCAACGACGGACTATTCCGACGCAGACAGGACAGCCTTCCGCGATCAGCGTACGTCTGCGTGCACTGGACCCAGACAGGTCGGCCAGTCACCATGTCAACAGAGATGCAGCCCTCAGGGAGGGACCCACGACTCCAGCGGGCGGGGCTGCGCAACGGGGCTGAGCTCGAAATCGGTGCCATCACGGCGCCTCTCGGTGTGAACGTTGGCACCTTGAAGGACCCAGCGGGATATCGACGGTGACGTACTCGCAGGCACTGCGGTACAAATCGGTCGACGGGGTGGAGACGCAGAGAGACGCGGGACAGGCTCATGGGACAAGGCAACGGCGTAGATGAATCGACGACCGCGTTTTGCTCGTTGGGGATCCCATGGCGAGCGGGGTGGCAGGGTCAAAATGAACATGCACTCCAACGCATCGGTGCGAGGCGGTGCAGCTTCCGTCGACGTCAGGCGCATCAAGCAAAGTCTATAAGATGAATCTCGGGCGCTCCCCGACTCAATGTACCCGATCCGTGTTCTCAGGCAGAAGGGCCTCCCCCAATTTTACATTACAGTCCTGCAATGCAGCGTCTGTGTATCCATCAAACCTTCTTGCTGTTCCAAGGTGCAGATCGAAATACTCCCGTCACGTCCCCCCCGGCCTATGTAAATTTCAACAAAAACGGTTAGGATGGGCGCGGGAGTTAAAGAGGCCTTCCAGGAGCAGGTTAGATAACGCGATAGCGCGAAGGCGACTATAGGTCCCAGATGTATGTCTGTTGCAGCAAGGGGAATCATTACGTCGCGGTTCCCAGACGCAGCAAGAGGGCTCGCTTTGGCGAAGTGTGAACGACGTGGTGGCGCCATACCGTCGCCGAAGGATCGAGTAGAAGGATGCCATGGAAGGGCAGGGTCAATCGGGGGCGACAGCGACGACAGGGACTGAGAAGACTAACTCAACATCTTCCATGATGCCCGATCCACAGCGATATTCATGGACGTTCATTTAGCTGTAAGGGTAGACGTTGACACCCTGCCGTGCGAGAAAATCTAAGCTCGAGCATGAAAATCGACCATCTGAAACCTTGACGGAGTTGTAAGTGACGTCCGCGTAGAGAATAGTCTGCTAGACTGGGGTCCCTGAGGTCATATGCGAGCCCCACGACGTGCGCACTCAACAGGACGCCGATGTCTGCATTTTTATAAGGACTTTGATGCAAGTCATTGATGCAAGTCGACGCTGAGGAGATTCCGGGGAGAATAGAAGTCACGAGCGTCGCTGACGCTATGCTCGAAGTGTCAGTGTGATAGGTCAATGGCCCGACACAAATCCGATATCACTCGGACGCAAATCAGTGAAAAAGCTGCGGAACCAAGGGCAATCTGTCCAACGGCGCGCTTGTTGAGTCAGTGGGAACGCGGTCTATAAACGCCACTGGACGACGACGTGAATGACTTGGGGAGACATACGCTGCGACGTTTTTGCTGAAAGGGAGTACGCCGGGGCGAGCAGAGCAGAGCAGCTGAGCCAAGGCTTGACATCATCACGTACGACCTTGCATGATCCTGTCAACCCATGGTCCGGTGCCGACCCGCGCGTTGAATCCGTCATCGCGTTCAGCTGTACTCGAGCAATAGAAAATTTGTAATCCTCTGGGACGATCTGCGAGAAGAGATCAGGAGGGCCGTCCATGTCTTGTGCGAGCAGCTAAACCGGGGATTTTCAAAGGACGAGATGAGGCGGCTGAGGCCGGGTTCCAACCAAGGCCCTTGGTGGGTCCGTTTGCACATATAAGGCATGGTGAGGGGGGCACCGGCTTGCAAGGAGGGCGCATACGATGAAGCGGGCGACGGCCCCGTGATAGGTAAAGTGACTGGACAGGGGGAAAAACTTGTCAGCTTGGACAGAGCGCGATGATCGCTCACTGTGACCTGGACGCTGGGGTAGGCTGCCATCGGAGGGGTTCCGACGGTAGCCCGACCTTTAACGCTTTGATCGCGGCCCGCTTTTCGAACTCGACTGATACCGATAACCCGACATGGAGGACGAGCGGGCTGTAAAAAAATAGAGGGGCGGGGCACTGGCGGGGCTCCTCGACTGGTCTGCATCAAAGAAAATATTGCACAGAAACGATTACTCCAAAGGGAGCTGCAGGGAGCTACAGCGGTGCGGACAAGATGACCGTGGTCTCGTGGCGGGGTTGTGACGGTTGAGCGCCACCAGCGTGCCATTTGGCCGCGTCGTCCGCTCGTCCACCTCGATGTCTTCATCTTCCAAGTCGCGTTCAGCGCGGATCAACTTCGCGTCTCTCACCCCGAACAATCTTGGCACGGTCCGAAAACTCAACTCTGTCCTCTTTCCTATCAAATACAGCGAAAAGTTCTACCAGGATATTTTGCTACCCGAGGCTGAAGACTTTTGCAAACTTGGTCTGTCTCTCTCACATCTTCCTTCGTTGCGGCAGGGACTAAACCGTTGCTGGAAACAGTATATTACAATGATGTACCTGTAGGAACGATCTGTTGCAGATTTGAGACAAAGGACGAGGCCACGGAACTCTATCTGATGACCATGGGAGTCCTGGCTGTACGTCTCAAAGTTCGGATCCTGACTATACCCGTCTGAGTCGCGATTTCTTAGCCGTATCGATCCCTTGGAATCGGCTCCAAGAGTCTAGAGCTCGTTCTCCAAGCGGCAGCCGCGCACACCAAGCCCCAAATCACCCGAATATACCTCCACGTTCAAGTATCGAACGATGCGGCAAAACAGTTCTACGAGCGACACGGGTTCACGGAGGCTAGTGTGGTTGAGGAATATTACAAAAAGATTACCCCTAGCAGTGCTTGGTTGCTCGAAAAGTTTATTGAACGGTCTGCGGAGGAGACGAAATAAGATTTGATTAGGGATAGAAGCATTTCGAAATCTAGTGAGTAATGATACGCGCGATTACTCCTAAAGAATAGATCGTGACCGTTTCGATATAGGTTACATAGATGTACATGTTGGGTGTTCGAACCCCAAATTATAATCAAAACGTGTTTGTCCGTCCGGAAAGCGTATGTGAGAGCGAGACGCGACTGCGAGAGGATAACTGGATGGAAGGTTAAGTGAGTCGGCCTTGCATATCGAGAAAGGAGCTCTGACCTGAACAGAACTAAGATAACAAACGAAAACCAAAAACTCAAACACCTTCGTCGAAACCGCATCTCTTCACAAGCTAGATCGAACAGTGAGCAGCAGGGATCGTTTGAAGAGCGGTGCGCACGAACCTGATGCCTCTTCAGCGCGTCCTTCCTCGTGAAGGTCTTTCCGCACCCTCCATTGCAAAGAAACGGCTTCTCCCCCGAGTGCGTCTCTCTGTGCCGCTTCAGGTCATGCTGACGGTTGAACGACAGCGCGCACATGTCACATGCGTACGGCCGCTGGGGAGAGGCAGGATATTGCACCTGTGGGCTACCAGTGTTGGCCATCATCATCTGCGGGGGAACGTATGGATTCGACGCTGGCGACATGGACGTGTATCCCTGCACCAACGACACGTTTGCAGTGTGCCCGTACCCAGGCCGCGATGTATTGCTGGTTTGCATGTAACCGCTCTGGGAGGGAAAAGAAGCAGGTTGGATCAAGGGAGAATGGATGCTAGGCTGAGGGTATGACGCGTTCCGCGAGATGGGAGGATATCCGGTGGTAGGTTGTTGAGGGTTCGGAGGGTATGGATAGGAATGATCGTGCATCGGAGGTGAGCCATACGCAGATGGAGCATAGGTGTTGGACGAGAGGTATGCCTGATTCTGACTGGTCCTGTTCCAGTGCGCGTCGCTGTGTGCAACGTGATCAGGAGAGTAGGCGGGGTGGCGTTCAGACATCGCGATCGGTGGGTGAAATAGGGCTTGTGAGCTAGGCAAAACTTGTCGCCCCCTTCATAAGGATTTCCGGAGGCGCTGGCTTACAGTCAGGAACGGGGCAAGAGTGGGCGAATGGTCCCCATTTCATTTGGTCCTGGCTCGGCTGGGTGCGGGTCCGGAGGTGAACACTAAACGCACAAAGACTGGCAGCGGCCACAAATCAAGTTAGAGCCCTGGAGCAGGGACGAGTCTGGACGTCATGGTTCAATGCACAGCGTCTTGAGATCAATCGGCTATTGATAGACTCTCGGAGCGGGAATGATGTGTTCGAAGTTGTATCGCCAAATGCTCGATGCAGATATCATGCCAATTCGTGGCGCCTGACGTTTCCAAGCATTTGGATCCATCATCTAGACGTGCGCATCTCGGCGGCGCATCACAATAGATCACCTGCACTTTCAGGGTAACAGAGATGACCGTTTCGCTGGGGGTCCGGGTTCCCTTTTGTGGGGAAACAATCTCGCTCGGAATCTTCAATACTCCTCCAAGGAGCCTCCGCATCAACACTGGGTAAACACTATAATCAGTTTTCTGCACACTATTTTTGACTCCCACCTCCAAAACTAATTAATCCACATATATCCAAGAAGCAACCGATTCCTGACAATCAATCATCAGCACTATTATCTCAATGCCCTCCGCCTTCTATTCGTCACAGGGTTTTCTGTCACAATATGACATTTGCCGAGTCGGAAGGCCCGTAAATCAATCCATATATTCTCATCTCCATATCTCGACAGAGAGCCTATGTCCTAGCTAGGTGTACTTTCATTGGATGCCGCGTCCCAGGCATGTAAAATGTGGAGTGAGCCCCGTAAAGGATACTGCAGCCAAGCCTTGATGGACGCAGCACTGTCATTCATCAGGTCATCTATGCTCCTTTCAAAAAACCTATGTGACGACGAGTCTCCAGTTGGCAGCACAAAGTCTGTTACTTGACGTGTTGGAAACGGCGCCAGTTGCGCGCCAACGGAGTCTATTTGATATTCCAGAACGCGAACATTACTTGTTTGCCCTCGCAACCCAATCCGGGCCTATTTACATATGGGAGTAACACATAGTTTATTTGGGTAGGTCCAACAGCTGTTCCGCATTTCCCGCATTTGTTGCTGCAATCCTACGAGCATACAGTCCAAAAGATCGCCAATTCACCGTACATAAAGTGACTTTTGGGTCAGTTGAACAACGCCCATGACGAATCAAAAGGGTATTTTACGAAGGTCCATCATTTGACGTGCGTTCCCGTACAGGACGGTTCATGACAATTTGCGACGTCCTTAGTATCTTGACCTCCTATTGGACATGTCGTTTCACTTCCATGCATGCTACTGTTGGCCTCATTCAGCACGATGGTGGGAGACGTCGGTTCTAGCTGACTTCGAGAAAGAACAAACGGATCATTATTTTGTTGTTGACTGGCTGCATGCGCAGTAAGCTGACAATGTATTATCCTAACGTGCTTACGGGTGCTTAGTCGTCGCATCAGACGCTGCCAGACGGCGTTGTCGAATGCGGAAGTCGATGGCGCGTCGTTGTTTGCATGCCCGCCAACAGCCGCCAGCAGGCTTCGTGGCGGAACGGAAGCGTAAAAATGGGGCTGGGCATTTCGGATTCGCCATCTCGCCGCAATCGCGATAAAGCGAGGATGTCAGGCAGAGCGGTCGTCATCATACGCAGACTATCGGATGCTATCAGTCACCTGCAGTGACTGACCTGATGCGTTCAAACCCGTGCCTTGCAATTATTTTCAGGCACGTCGGTGAACAGTGTTCGAGAGGGGGACTTGCTCCAAAACGATAGGCACTCCTGATCTACAACTTATTGGGCGTGAGCTTGTGCGATGCGGGGCTAGTAGCAAGTGAAATGGATAGCGATACACATGATCTGAGGGATCTGAGGAAAATGAATGTGTTTTGGACATGGGCCATCGTGCAGGAGCCCCATATTAAAAAGTCGATACTCCGCGATTTCAGGGGCTAAAGCGGGTTAATATGGCCAATGATAGAGAGACTTTGAGGCACGAATTCTGTTGGATGTAGGAAAGCTGAGACGATACCTGCTGCGAACGGTTCGATCTGAAGGGGCAACGGAGGGGTGCTGCTGGCTATTGCTGGCCGAGACGTGTACCGCGACGAGGGGTCGAGCGAAGCAAGGGAACGACTGGGGAGATTCGCAGACCTTCTTAGGGGATGAAAGAAGAGAGAAGACTTGGTCGCTGTAGGCTGTTTGCCCGATCTCGATCTCGTTCCGCGCAATCCCCGCTAACATTCGAGCCCTTGCATACTGCCTCACTCTCGCCATGGTCAAGCGCGCTCTCCCATCATCCTCGTCTTCTAGCCCTAGCAAAAAACTTAAGACTCCACCTAATCAGCACACTCTCGACCGTTTCTTTACGAAGAAGCTCGGAGAATCCAGTGGATCAGGGGAAATCCCCGGATTTAATACTCACACGTCGACACAGTCCCCGAACACGAAGACGCTCAGACAGCAGGCAGCCCCTGATGGTGAGTAGCAATGCCTTTGGGTTTGGGCTCGGACAGGACACTGTCGTTCCCGTTGACTCAAGCCTTCATCTGAAGCCAAGACGATTGAACGGCTTCCAGCGGGAACGGACTCGGAGACACACGCGTCTCACGAGATCATCGATGTCGACTCATTCGACGAGGTCATAGTACGAACTTCTTCATCAGCTCTGCGTGTCGAAAAGGCCGATGGACTTAAGTTTTCTCCGTCGCCAATCTTCCACTCGCCGCGGGCGACGACTTCCGGCGCTACGCAGCATGACTTGTCCAACTACCCCCTTCTTTCTGTAGACCCGCCGACATTCAGCTTCCACGATGTCCCCTTTTCTCCCAACTCTCCCCTTCCGTATTCATTTCTGGCTTATGCATTAGACACCTTATCGTCAACACGCTCGCGTATCTTGATTCTAAATACGCTCACCAACACTTTTCGTACGATTGTTCGCTTCCACCCAGCGTCTCTCTTGCCCTCTCTTTATCTGCTGTCAAACTCCTTGTCGCCTTCGTACTCAGCTGTTGAGCTTGGTCTCGGGCCCTCTATCATATCGAAAGCAATCATGAATATATCAGGTCTTAGCTCTGCCGCCCTCAAGAGGCTCTACGCGAAGACTGGTGACGCTGGAGACGTCGCCTTCGAAGCCAAATCCAATATTCGCACTCTAATACCTCACCCCCCTCTTCTAATCACTGCCCTCTACGATTCTTTGCTGAAGATCGCCCATGCGAAGGGTCAGGGGGCAGTCAAGCAGAAACAGGCAATCGTTGAGAAACTTCTTGTGGCGGCCAAGGGCGAAGAGGTTCGCTTCCTTGTTCGAACGTTTTCACAGCACATTCGTGTCGGGGCGGTCAGGACTTCCATTTTGACTGCTCTGGCTCGGGCAATGGTTTTGACGCCTCCTTCCAGCCTTACCGTTCTCATCGCAGACGACTCGCCTCACCATGCGTCCCCCGATCTCATCTCGCAGGTCAAAGCTATCACCATGAAAAACACGTCAAAAAAGGTGGTTGATGAGGCCGAGGAGGAGCTTATAGTAAAATTCGCCCGAGCAGAAAGCCTGATAAAGAAGGTTTTTGTGCAACATCCTAATTACGACCACATGGTTGTGGCTCTCTTAGACGCCGGCCTTGATGGGCTCTCAGAGCGCGTTCCGCTCACAGTAGGTGCGTACCGATTATCAAATTGAATACGAAACTATAACGCATCGATAAAATCAACTATGAAGGCATACCTCTACATCCAACACTCGGATCTCCCATGCGATCATTGGCCGAAGTCTACGAACGTCTTGGGAACCTTCCATTTGTGGCCGAATTCAAGTATGACGGTCAACGAGCCCAGATACATGCCTGGAAGGGCGAGGATAGCGACATATCTGTGAAATTATTTTCGAGACACTTGGAAGATATGACTGAAAAAGTAAAGTGTTCTATCCGACGATCAGTCACGCTTCGTAACATTCATCAACTTGGTATCCAGTATCCAGATATCACGTCTATGGTACATCACATATTCAGTGAATCGCCCTCGATGTCGTCCTTCATACTTGATTCGGAAATCGTGGCCGTCGACGCCAACAATGGGGGGCTCAAATCTTTCCAGGAGCTTTCGAATCGGCCGCGCAAGGGCGTGCAACTTCAGGACATCAAGGTAGCGGTGTGCGCTTTTGGGTTTGATTTGATGTACCTCAATGGGGAGGTCAGTTCCTACGATGGGTGTCCTCGTCACTGACAGCGAGCCATTTCTAATTGATCGACGGTCCCCAGATACTGTTGGAAACCCCCTTTCGACAGAGAAGAGCTCTTCTTCGCAGCCATTTCCCCTCCGTCATCCCAACACAGAAGGGGGCAGCCCGATTTGATCATGTCGAAAGCTGTGAGAGCGAAGAAGGGACAGAAGCAATTGAGGAATTTTGGATGCGGTCGGTGGATAGTCGCTGCGAAGGTTTGATGATTAAGGTAGGTGGGAGTGTATATCTGGGTGTTGTTCTTGCCGACGCGTGGGTTTGTATCTTTATCAGCTTCTTGATAGCGGGGACATTGCGGAAAGCGCTAAGGAGAAAGGCGAAGGGTCGCGAAAGAAGCCGTTGCCCGCGACATACGAACCTGGTAGTGTTTCAGACCGTTCGATCCATCGGTATGCTCACGTAGGCTATCAGACAAAAGGACATCCGCATGGCTCAAGTTGAAGAAGGATTATGTGATGGGCATCGGTGATAGCCTTGACCTCATCCCTGTCGGCGCATGGCACGGTAACGGACGAAAGGCCCAGTGGTGGAGCCCTGTCTTACTTGCGTTGCGAGATCCCGATTCCGGGAGACTTGTCGCGATGTGTAAGTGCATGTCAGGTGCGTCCCAAGGGTTTGCTCCTATCTTGCCCAAAGCTGGTGTTGAATATTATATTCCTTCTTTAGGGTTCTCGGATAGCTTCTACAAGGTAAGATTCCGATACCGCTATGTTGGACTGGCAGCTGTGTCTTGATACAACTCCGTTTGCTCAAGGCTATGAGAGAACGGTACAGTGAAGCGTCCCAAAATTGTTCCAAACATCCTTTATGGAGTGATGTCGATATGGGCGGTAGGTGGATCATTTCATTGATACCTGCTGTGACGTTCCCTGAATATCATCATTTCAGGCTACAAACCTAGTGTCTACTTCAGGCCCCACGAGGTCTGGGAGATCCGCGGTGCGGAGTGAGCCGTTGCGCGGTTTATTCCCTCCAAGCTTGTTTGTCTAATGTTGGGCATCCAGCATCACCCTAAGTCCGGTCTCAGTTGCCGCTCAAGGACTGGTATCCGACACCAGGGGGCTTAGCCTGCGTTTTCCGCGCTTTATACGGGTCCGAGAAGACAAGGCAACAGAGCAGGCGAGCAGTCCTGAATTTTTGGTGGGAATATGGAAGGACCAACAAGGAAAGGGGCGAGACCAGACTGGCGCAGACGAAGGACAGCTCATAGATGCGGATATGTCAGAAGAGGTGGACGAAAATTCTGGGGATGAAGAACTAGGTTAGAAACTAAGCATCCAAACGTTTTGCATCCTCGTTCCCCACGACGTTCTGCTGCGAAATACGATCGCTCCATTCACGCCGCCGGTCTGGTCTAGCGGCATACGTAGATCAAGCGTCTGTAACAGGGGGTTCAAAGTCATGCAGAACCCTTGAATTTGTACGTACAGGCCGACGGCAACCTTCGGCGTGTAGTCCGGAAAAGGAAGGTCTATAGGTTCGTTCATCAGACCTTGCGGCCTTACAGCGGTGATATGGAGGGTTATCGAGCGCTGGACTCGCTTGGACTCGCGATGAGAAGAACGACTTGCGTCCAGCATTCAGAGGAGAATGGACATATTTGATATGGTAAAGCAAGATCGAGGCAGTCGACGACAGCTTCCCAGCAGCGTATCGGGGATTATCGGGCAAAGGTTCTCGACAGGCACCAGGAGCGACACCAGCAGCTGCTGTCGCTGCCAACTGTTCAATGAACGTCTTTCTGCCCTTCCCTGGAGCGGCTTGACAGGAGGAGACTATTCTTCTCACGGTAGGAGCTCCCGAATCTTATTTTGCTCGTGTGGACGATGGCCAGCAAGGCATTCGAAGCTGAAGTCAGCGCCGCTGTCGTCGATGCCGCACGGACCATGCATCTGCCATGTTGCTGAAGGACGACACAGGCAAGGTCATCTGAGGATCGGGCCCCAGAGCCAATCGTTGGGTCGCAGATACTTCAAGTAGGCTTGCGGCAGTTCTCGCGGTACACGCTGTATGATGCCGTTCCTGCTACGACTTACCTTCCAATGTAAGTATATGCATCATGTCAATGACGTTTTCACATTGCTCTATCCCTCATGTGGTCGGATAGAGTCCTTCCATCCATCAGATACTCCGGGACACGAGCTTTGCCAGAAGGAACCGCAGGTCCGCTGGCAGACGCTCAGTCATCGATCTTGTCCGTACTCTACACAGACAGAGTGCCTGAGGATGAACCCCAGGCCCAGAGTTGCTAAGACGCAAGTGATGTCCTTGATAATGAAAGGCCTGGTACTCTATGGTACTACATTGAACCGAACACTCCATTTTCTTGCAAGGCACGATAAACGCACTCTCTTCACGAAAAAATGCTGTGACAACACGTGGAAAGCCAAAGAATCATGGTGGAGACTGGCGTTTATTGGTCATTATCAATTGGTGAACCTCACGATTGAGAAATTGTATGATATATGAGAGAAGCTGAGTCTGAAGCAACATCAATCAGAGACATCGCATCACAGCAGGCCATGGAAAACCATACCATCTGTATCAATTAAGAAAGGCTTTCCTGAGGTTTTGAAGGCGGTTGAGCTATCGATGCATGACGAGAGTAACCTAAAAGAAGAACATGAAAGAGCCGCTGGCGCACATCACAAGACCATCATCAAGCCGAGCAGCCCCTCTTTCATCCCCTCTCGTACATGCTGCTCATCGTCATTCACATGAAGGATTCCGAACGAATCCTCCACAGCTTTTGCAAGCCGTCTATCTTTCAGCATGGCTAGGAACTCTTCGCTCCTCTCAGACTGAGCGGCTTGACTCTGCAGAATCATATAGCTAGAGAGAAGCTCGAACTTCGCATATGCCGTGTGTGCCGTGTGTGCGCTCGAGTCGGAAGGCCGTATGACGAGATCTGAGATGTGTTTCGCGGAAGGCAGAATGGAGCGACTCGCGATCGATGGAGATGTTGTCTCTCGTTGTGGCTGTATCAAACTTGAGGTCTTGTCTGCGGCAGTCTCGTTTCGCGTGGACCTGTCGAGCATGCGACGCTCGCGATGGGGAACGGGACGTGGTTGCGCTCGTACTGGCGCACGGGACGGTCGACCGCTGGGGGAGGTGTCCGAGAGATATTTGTGACATAGCAGAACCTTAAATCTCAGGACGGTCTGGCTGGGAGGAAGTAGAGAAAATATATCTTGAAGCGGGAGTGCTTTGCTAGGGAACCGGGACAGCATTAGATTCAGGAATAAGGATAAATCAAATAGTGTCGTGGAGGTGAGATTTATCATCTGGGCCATGGATCAGCACGAGGATGATGTACAAACAAAAATGCACACCAGAGTGAGAAGGCGCGCTCCCATCGATCGTTTACGCAAGTCGTCTTGTATTAGGCAATGGAAGGCGGCATCTAGCGGGGCATCGACAGCCCACTTTGCGCCAGCTTCACTCCTTATTGGAGGTATCTGAGATAACAGGAGAGGGGAATAACGCGCTGCAATATGATGCCAGTCAGTGGCAGCATCGGACTTCAAAAGCGGCAGCGTACGCTGTCCTTCTTGCTCCGTTCGTCTTTCATCCGTTTCGAAGAGGACCAAAAGCCAATCCAGAATCGGCCAGGCAGAAGAAGCCACAGGAAGAAGTGAATCGGCGCTATCGTCGTCTAGATGGCGGTAGGTGCGCGAACTGGCGCGCCGACGCTTGCTTGGACTGCCTGTGAACATTCCTATCCCTTCATCCTCTGGCCGTACAAAGGAATCTTCTTTCAGAATCTGCCAGCAATCCTTGTAGTCTTTCAAGCGTGCTGCTTGATGAGCGACATATGAATCCCCATCGTTTGAGTAATCGCTCAGCTCAGCTGGGCTCTGGTCTCTCTGATTGAGATCACTGAGGGCTGGATAGCTTGGCAAAGCTTCCATCAGGGAGCCGGGAGTATTCGTCAATGCAAAGGCCATCAGACACCGCTGTGCAGTATATATAGCTGACAAGGTAATGGGGGTAGAGGATCCTTGTTTTCCAGAAATCACTTTGGTCGGTGAACCCGGAGTCGCTCGGTCTTTGCCTTTGGTTTTGATTGGAGGGGTGTAAAGCGATATGTATAAGAGTTGACGGATGTGCGCCCTGGGATCAATGTAGGTAATTTGATCAAATTGTCAGCGATTGCGTTTAAGGAATGGGTCTGACAGACGGAGCCTGCTTACGGTGAGGGTTTGTACTTCGTTGAGCGTAATTGATCTAGGACAGCAATGCCAGACTCGTAGTGAGCCTCTTCAAAGCAACTGTCAACAAGCCCTGTCTGCGAGGGTGTCATAGGAATCTCTGCGGCATTGTTGCCTATGTGCATTCGCAAACGAGAGCGAGGAACGGGTGCCATATGTTCTAGGTATAGGAAGCCACGCGACTGTAGAACGAGAGCGATATCAGGAATGAGCACATCGCATAAGTGATGAATCGATTTCAATTTTCAAAGACCGCGCACTGCGTAAGTTGCCACTCAGATAACCTTTGGAGATGTGAAGCGAGTTTACTGACGGTGAGAGAGACCAAGTGAAGTTGGTGATTCTACGGGTTGACGCGCTCGCGATGTGGTTTGTCGACACGATCGGTTTGACTGTTGCCGGCGGCGGTGTGTCAGCAACAGTTCGGTCATGCGCATCAGCTGAGGCCCCGCTCAGCCAATGTTCACCGTCGTGCATCACGGCTATCGTTGCACGTTACTGCCTCAGCTCTCACAACTGCACCCGTCTGAGCCTCTCCACAAGGCTCTCTCACCATCATTTGCACAGTCAATGTCAGCGTTGCGTTTTCACAGGAGTACTAGATTGTTTCTTCACAACCGTCATTTCTCCATGGCTACCGAGACCATCTCTGCCGCGCAGCCAGTAGAACACGCAATAAAAGCCAAAGTATCTCGCTTCCTGCCCATCACCTTGCAAAGCCCTGAGCATCATCTTTAGTTGACAGCACTGCTTATGCCATCTGAGTTGACTATCACGAACGACTCATGGCAACACCGGCACCATGCGCCAATGCGTGCGCAAGGAGGTGGAAGTGGGGAGACGCGTGAGTTCTCGCGTATCTCGTTACCGGCTTTGACCACACAAGTCCATGATCAGACTTCACCGTAAAGGTCATATCGGAGGCTTTTCATGGCAAGGTAATGGATTCATCACGAGTATCAGGTCTCGTTGACGGAAGCGCCTTTTTCTGCATGTCGATCTTCAGAGTTCTATGCAACGCCATCGTATGATCTACGCCGCCCTCTCTGATGAATTTCAAAATGGACTCCATGCTCTGTCCTTGCACACCAAGACACCACAGGAAAGTCAGAAAGCGTCAGACGCTCAATCATCATAGTCTTTCTCCATGAAGGCAAAACGTGAGGTGGGCTAGGCTCTTCTGTACCGCGTGTTGCATTGACCTTTGAATGAGCATGCCTTCAGCTTCCAGTCTCCTGCGCCCTGCCAGGTGGGAACCGTTCCTCGACCTTGACGACCTTTGTATCCTGATCGTCAGGTTAGGTGTTGCTGATCCCGGGCCTCCCGATCTCACGAGCGATTCATCTGTTATTGTACCTAGACTGGTCATGCAAGGCTCACAAGTTGCAGTGCAATCAAGAACGCACTCGTGATTATCATTGTGTGTGCTCGTAGCCAATGAGATGATATCCTTCACAGCTTTCATCTTCAAGGGTACCCTTGCATTATATCACCAACACGCGCTCATATCGTGGTCCTCATTTGCTGAATAGGCCATGCCTTGTTTCATCACTGCGACGAACACCTCGTAATTGTACGCAGCAGCGAGCACAGGCAATGTCGATCATCCCGGGCGGTATGTGGGAACCCGAAAAGGCGATCGACATTCCGGAGTGGGCATGATTCTCATAAGGATATATTGTTGTTGACGTCGCGACGATGGATAATATTAGACTCGAACGTTATTGTTGAATTTCCGAAGCTCCTCCAGGTTATCGCGTGGCGTACATGTCTGAACTAACAGCTGAAACATATAGTGTTTGCACAGTCGATGTTGTGGGGCGTGCCAAAGACACAACATCGGGCACGCTGCAGCGCGACGTAGGCGAAGTGTAGCGGCCACTGCACCGGTGCAAAAGTGATCTCAGATTCAATATTGAGCTCTGTTGATCTGCATCTGCTAACCGATGGTCACTCCAATAGTTTGCGGATCAAGCCGTCTTCTATCATTGCGGAACTCACCTCCAACACTTGATATCTGCCATCAACGGCTTAGCCACGCATCCACTACAAACTTGTGATGCCAACACCAGATCCTGTGCCTATGACCTTGGTCGAGTCTACAACCGTATTTCTGCGGTGATTTTCAAGGCTCTACGTTGCTACCACCTCGCACCGTCATTCTCTTCGATAGACGCCTAGCTCTGCGGAAATGGCCACTCAATTAGAACCAAGATCTCCGACGTATAGCATGTGAGGAGTGTGCGATCCTCTCGATCAACCTCCGTTGTCGGCTCAAAGGAAGGCGCGTCCTGGAGACCGTGTCTATGGTCATCGACCAATGATCTTGTCATCGCTCAACTTTTTAATACCCGAACATAGCTGATTACAATTGGCATGCAACCGCGACCACGGCACGTCTTGACTCTTATCGGCAAAGCTTCACAAATCGTCACGATTCATATATTAGCCTTCTCTCACACACCACACTTCTTCTCATTCGATCCCTCTTCCTCTTTCGCCTCCGTTCCTCATGTCTTCTTCTCGCACACCCTACGATGATGAGACACGTCGACACGAGAGTCGGCCCACACTCCCACCGATCCGCGACTTGTTTGGAAGTATGATGTCCTCTGATTTTTTATCGATAATCGTCTTGCTGACGGAATCTTGCAGGAGAGTTATCGCGGCCCCCACACCACGTTCCCCCTCCACCGGCCTACTCACCTGCGGCGCATTTTTCTCAGCTATCTCTTCCAGATGAACCCACGACCTACGCATCACCAGGCGAGCGACCTCGTCCAGGTTACCCGCACACGCCATCCCCACAAACTTTTGCCCCCGCTCAAGCCCACACTTATGCCCACCCACAATCTTCACAAGCATTTCAGCAGCCATCAGCATCGACCTACCCTGGCAGACGCTCTACCCCTGGACCTATGCCCCCTGCACGCTCTATGGCTACACCATACTCCGACCCATCGCGCTATCCTGATACATCTAGGGCCCCTCAATCGTACCCAGGATATCCACCTCGCACTCGCTCTACATCGATGTCGATGGCTGATCCATATCGCTATGTACAGGCGACCACTCAGGGGGATCCTAGCCATCGGAGTCACCGTGACGCCGCATACGGTACAGCGCCGTATCCACCAGGCCAACCGGGTCCAGTGCCGTCACAGCGCAACGCATATGTACCCGTCTCTCTTCCGGGTCCATCGACCTCATACGCGCCCTCACCAATGTACGGCTCGACAAGTATCCACGAGGAGCCAACGTACGCCTCCGCACCAACAGAGTCTTCGGCGAAGTATGAGTGCAGCTACTGCGGAAAGGGGTTCACCCGTCCTAGTAGCTTGAAGGTAGGGGTGATATGTCCCACTGTGATCACCGGACCGGAGCGCTAACCAAGCTGACACTGATAGATCCACCTGCACAGCCATACAGGCGAGCGACGTGAGTAACAGCACTTTCTCCTCACATCATGCTCCGCGCCCATCTGCCTGCCTTCCAACAAACGCGGAGAGATCATATAGACTATATTGACCGCGCATTTGTTTCTATAGCATACGTATGCACGTTCGAGGGCTGTGACAGGACCTTCAGCGTGCAAAGCAACATGCGCCGTCACGCGCGCACGCACACTCAGCTCGGAAATCATGCCCGAGAGAGCTCAGGAGACGAAGGCCACAGCGAGGGCTCCCCTCCTCCCTCCCGTCACGGATCAACCCACGACCACGGCTCCAGGACGACATCGGGCTGATATTGCATCAGTCACAAGCACGGGACGATCTTCACGACTTTTTCATGGACAAACACGGCATATAAATTTATTGCATCAAACTCTCCGTCTCACGCAAGCTCGCTTTTCGGGTCCTGTTACATTAGATCTACGCGGAACAGTTTCTCACCCGCTCGTCGATCGCTGGCAATTTTCGACTGTTGTACTATGTGTTGCACTCATCCACCGGACTCGACCCCCAACTCTGCATACTCATCCATGTCGCTATCTATTTGCATTATTTATTGGTCTCCCGACCGTATTTATGTATGGACATCACGACGCTAGTTATTCGCTCTCGTGTCAGCGCTATTTATTGTGCATCTAGTTCTCTCTACCTACTGTCGGGACAGTGTAGTTATGCTTTGAATGTATCAGCAGGTCAAGGTCTTTGTCGCTTTCTTCGTTATGTAGAAGTGCAGAAGCAACCCGAAGTCGGCTGCAAGATCTTCGAGGCCGGGTCGTTTGGACGTCAGGCACTGAGTAAGTAAGGCACACGCACCTTGCTCGGACGATCATATATTTCAGCTTTCTTTCAAAAAAAAAAAGCATTGAATCATGCCGTTAGGACATCAGCAATGCAGCCCCGGAGACCCATCCTCAACGTCCACACGAGACAGTGTCAGTGACATTACGACTCAGAAGGCGACATCCGTTATCCGATACGAGCAGGGATTAAGCGATACAAACAACATATACAGTATGGACAAAACTAGGATACAACGAGCAGGAAGCATTGTTTGTTCTTGGTGCAGGTCGGCTCTAGCCGAGAAAATAAGTAACAATGAACGAAGAATAAAATAAAATAAGGTGACTATGCGTCCGAGTCCCACGACCCGTCCACGAGCCTAGCAGAGGACGCGTGATGTGGGACGGCAAGGGGTGGGGTCAGGTGGGTGTAAGGCTTTCTGGGTTTGGGGAGGGAGGATCCAGTGGAAGCACGAGAACGCGAGGCGGGTCTAGCGGTGACTTTGCGCGCTAGGGGCAGCTTGTAGGGGGTACTGGACGAGAACGGACGGGGGCCGGGCAGGGAGAAAAGGTTCGTGGCCTTGAGGAGATTGTCGAGGATCGTCCCGACGCCTTCAACAAGCTTTTCGGCTGCGGCGTTCATCGTCAGGAGATTGATGGGATCATTGCCAATAGGACCATTATTTTTCTTGCGGTTCTCGGTGACGTCGTCAGTCGTCACTTTCTTGACGGCGTTATCACCGGATTCGACGGGTCCGCGAATCAATTGATAGTCGTAGACAGAGCTGTCATCCGAGTCGAGAGTAGCCACCTCGGACGGTGCGTCTGCAGTGACATTCACGCTCCCTTGGACAGAAGATCCCACGATTGTGACTGCGTTGAGCGGTCGTCGAGAAGCAGCGCTTCTTCGACCTCGGCCCGAGAGGTGTCACCTTGAGTGTCCGAAGGAGTATCGGCCTGAGTGACCTCGACCTGTTCGTTGGCAGTGGTGTCTTGCTCGCCCGACTTGACAACAACAGATGGCTGTGAAAGGGGTGAAAGGGAGAGGGGTCGAGGGCTGAAAGTCACGCGAGACCTCAGCGCAAACTTGGAAGGCTCCGGCGAATCGGGCAGCACCACATCCTGCAAGTTCTAACAATGAGTATAAAGGGCACAAAGGGAAAGAAGGAATATAAAGGGAATCAAGGGCCTGCCTGCTGGGCAGACCGAACACTATCAGATCGACAGTGTGAAATGTTTAACTCACCTCTTCGCCAGAGGACGATGACCCAAGGTCAAACAGGTCCCAATGCTCCGCCGCGGCGCTCTGCGTGATACCGTGGAAAGTGGGGTTTTTAGACGACTGTGTCACGTTGCGCCCGGACTTCCCTTGTGCCTCCCACATGTCGAGCAGCTTCAAGCCGTACTTGGCGCGACCGCTGCTGACGGGCGGCCTGACATCGAGGCCTACGAGCGCTTGTCTGTCTGCCTGGCCGGCTTTCTCCGACCACCGTCTTGTCGCAAAGTTGATGGGCGAGGGCTTCCACAACGCGCCTCCCGACGAAAATGTCCGTGGTCGAGAAATGATAGGGGCCTCGACTTCCTGCACTTCCTCTTCATCATCTTCCTCCTCCATGGTCTCTGCATCTGTATCTTGCTGGCTTCGATCTTGATCGTGCAACGTCTCCCCAACGTCACTGAGATATTCGAGGTCGTCATCCTCGTCTCGGTGGGGTAGAACTGGCGCAGAAACCACAGAATCATATGTGTCTACGTGGCCCTCCGACTCTTCGAGCTCGCTGTTCGCAGGCAGGCTTCGTTCCCTTCTCAGTGGGAACTCTGGTGCGGGCAGTGGCGGTGCCCACTTGCGTCGCGCAAAAGATCCCGGGTTGGGATGGAAAGACAGCCCGCCTGCGAACGTCACGGGCTCGCTGTCATTCTCATCGTCGTCCTCATCGTCATCTTCCTCCTCCTCCTCGTCTCGAACTTCCCCGAAGGCGCTAAGATATTCCAAGCCCGAGTTGTAGTCGGGATGCACCCTCTGGCGCTTGGACTCTGGCGCGGTATCGTCCTCATCCTCGTCCTCATCCTCAGGATAGTCGGGGTAGCTGAGCTCCAGGTCGTCGTCGTTGAGTGACGGTATGGCAGACCCTCTGACATCTGTGGGCTCAGCCTTCGGAGTAGAGGGGAGCATGTCGGGGGGATCACTTGTGCCAAAGGGTGCGCTTGCGCTCGTGGGTGCCGCGGATGAACCCTTCTTGCCGAATCGCCCATTCGAATCACGCGGCTGATCGTCCACCGCGCGCGATTTGGGCGTCCGGCTTGGGGACTGCGATGCGGCCGTGCTCGGGGCGTGCACGCGGACGATGGCGGGTGGTGCGCGCGACGGAAACTGACGCAGCGGCGGCCTCCCTCGTTTGCGCTTTGGTGGGAGCGAGACCTGGGTGAAGGTGGTGGCGGCAGCGGGCCGCGAGGACAACGTGATGGGGCTTCGGCCCCTAGGGTGATCTGGCGGCCGCCGTTGTTGAGAAGGCTTGGCGGGGAGCAGCGGGAGCTTGCGCCGCTTGGGCGCGCTGTCTTCGATGGTGGTGCTTCTCTCACGCGGGCGCTTGAGAGTCGAACTCGACGCCGCCATCGAAAGCTTCTTATCGAGCACAGGAAGGAACTTTTGCGGGGCCACGCGGAATGCAGATTCCGCGGGGGTATTTTCGCGTGGGGTCGGGATAAAAGCGGCGGCTTGGGCCGCAGTGCGATTTGGCCACGAGTGGGAGTATATGGCGAAGTGACGCAAGCACCTGCGAAAGGCAAAAGAAGGTAAACAAATGAAGAAAAGGCCTCAGCTTCAAAATCGAGCATAGACGTACCTAGGACATTCTCGCTTTTCCTTCTTCTTGCCCTTGCCCTTGCCACTTGCGCTGTCAAAATCGCCCCAGATAACCTTCTGGTCCAAGGAAATGATCGGGAGCACCTTCATGCACGTCTCGCAAGTCGGCAATTTCTGTTTCTCCTTCTCCTTCTGCTTTTCCTTGGCCTTCGATTTGTTCCCTAGCGCTGGCCCCGGAGGCGCCGACGCTGATGCTGCAGCCAACTGCCGCCCGCGAAGCACGCGCGGCTCTGGCTCAGCCCTCGCTTGGGCTTTCGCCTTGCCTTTATCCATAGGAGTAGACGAGCGCGTCGCCATGTCTTCGCTGCCACGCAACGCCGCGAGGCGTGCCCGCGTGGCACGTGGTGGCCTAGATGTGCGCTCGGGGAGCGAGGCAGCATCGTCAGACAGCGGTGGTGTAGGAAGCGACTGGACCTGGGCGGCCAGCGAGGCCGCACGCGCCTTCTGGCCGCGCGTGGAGATCACGAGTTCGATTGGCGCGGGGGCAGGGCGCGTGCGTCTGCGGCCGTCTTCCATGCTCGGCGTGCCTGCCGCCGAGGAGAGGAGAGGCTCGGGGTCGGGCGTCATAAGGTTCTTCGCGGCCGCGCTGGAAGCACGAGACGATGCGGCGGGTACGGACGAGAAACCGGTCTCAACCTCGGCCTGGAGTTCCATCGTAGGCTCCTCTTCCTCCTCGTCGGCGTCTTCGTCATCGCTTTCCTTCAGGACCGCATAAACGCCCCGTCGTGTACGCCGCTCGTTGACGTTGACTTCTGGTAGTGCTTCGTCGCCTTCGGGCTCTACGTCGGACGAGCCGCCATCCGATAAATCGTCCGCTGCCTGGGGACCGTAGCCTCCCACGCCGTTGCGTTCGCACGTTTCACAGAGGCAATGGCGGTTGCCACGCCCAACTGTGCCCCAACGTCAGGAACCGAAAAGTGCGCACAAGGAAGCGTTAAAAGATGGGGGCGTACAGTAAGCATCTCCGTAGTGTGCCGTCACCTCCTCACCAACGGCTATAGGCCTGATGACGCGAAACGTGATGTACCGCCCTTCGCGAAAGAGCTCGCAATTGTTATCGCAATCATGCTGTATCGCCGCAGCGATGTGACATGCGGAGCGATATGCACGGTTAGTTGAGCAAAGCGTAATAGGGGTAGAAGGGTAGAACGAGGCTCACGTTGACGAACCGGGCCGGGCCTAAGAAGAGATGGTTCTTCTTGAGCTGTTTGGAGTGGATGACGCTGAAGTCGCGACGAATACCGCCAGAAGGCTGGCGGCGATCGGCGGACTTGAGCTCCTGGTCTTCTTGCTCAGTAAGGTCAGCCATGGAGCCTTTGAGCTCGGTGATGACAGTGCCGGGAGCGAGGGGGCGAGTGGCGAGAATGCATAATTCCGATTTGCCTGTGCGGTGGGTATATCGTTGGGTATGGGCGATCTCGATGGAGCCTGTGGGGAGGTAGAGCTCAAAATATCGGGATGCATGCCTGTTGGAGAGGGAAGGAGGGAAATGCGCCCTTTGAGCGACCTGCCTGCGGATATGGAAGGTAGGGAGAGAACGGCAGGGAAGAATACATACGTAGCAAATGCGTTGAGCTGTTTCTGAGTGAAAGACTTGGTGTACCAGCGGACGGCGGATATGCTGTGGGAAAGGAGGGGGTGAGGACGGGGCGAGGCGCAGTGGCGGTGGGAGAGGCAGGTGTGAGACACGCACTATAGGAGTTGCGTGACCGCCTCGCGGATGACGATGTGCGGCTGACCCTTTGTTTGGATCATCTGAGCGCAGAAGACACAGATGTGACAGAGCGAGGACATAAGACGCGTTCAGGAGGGGATTGAGGTGGGACAGGGGGTGAGGACTGCTCACGCGTCGGACGATGGTCATGAGCTCTTCGACTCTGACTTTTGGGACGAAGCGGCTCGGGTCCATTTTGTGCACCAAGAGGGGGATTGTTGCAGTGCCAAGTTTCTCGACGAGGAGGTGGGAGAGGAAGTCGTCATCGCGGGAGAGGTCGTGCATGTTCATGACCTTCGTGTTCTTCCATGCTGTGATGCTGGTGCGCTCTGACGAGACGCCGGGTTTGTTGACCATCTCTCGACGTGCGCGCAGCGGCGAGCGATGGGTGGAGGGGAGGGAGGGGAGGGAGGGAGGGAGGAAGGTGCGAGGAGGTGAACTGGACGGGAAGAGGAAGGAGATGGAGACAGAAGTTTTGGACCGGCGTAGCGCGTGGCTGACTGGTTTTATTCGCCACTCCCGCGCAGGGCCACACATTGCCACAGCAATCCGAACAGTACACCCCCTTCGCCATCTGAAACGTCCACTGCCACTCTCGCTCCCGCTTGGTCTTACTTTCACGCCGAGGTCGGTCGCGACTCTCATAGATTTCTCAGGGCGGCATGTGCATGGGTCTCATACAATAAAAGCGAGAAAGGAAAGAAATGCAATAGTAGGGCGTTCAATCATGAATCCTATGCCGGATACCCCACCACTCGAATACTACACTAGAATGCAACAACACGCTCAACCTATCCTCATGCGCCGTGTGCGTGCTTCTGCTTGCCGCTGCGCAGCTTCCTAAGGTAGAACTGATCCTCGCACGTCAGCCGTCACATCGCAGAGCCAAAAGGGTTAAATTCGAACGCACCTCGAGCTCCTTGCCCTCCAGAATGTAGCCATCCGCGCGCCCGCACTGGCCGGGACGACTCGAGATGACAGCGTACAACCGACCAGCACCAAACTGGCTCTCGAGCATGGGGTCAATCTTCGACTCTGCAATTTGAACGACAAGTCAGCCCACGCCGCTCGGTCTAGAGACTGCACGCACCCTTCTTCCTCGCGTCGAGGTTCCGCTGTGCGTGGTTCGACAGCTTTTTCTCCTCGCCCTCCTTGGCCTCCGTGGGCAATGCCTTCAATGCCTTCTTTGATACGGGTGTGGCGTACTATGTTCCCTCGTCAACATCATCCTTGCCATGGCTGAAAAAATATACCCACGTGCGACTCGTACCATTGCCTGAAGGGAGTAGCATCGACCTGGATGATAGCGCCCTTCACGAGGGTGTTCGTGCGAACCAACTCGTTGTTCGATGCGTTGTAGACCTGTATCGCCCCCGCAGAAAAACAGGCACAGCAAAAGAAGGACATCTCAACACAGGCCCCAAAAAACAGCCCAGCAGATAAAAATAGGTACGCACGACACCGATGATGCGCGTCTTTTTCGTGACATGCTCAGAGCCCCATGCAAAGTTACCGCCTTCGAGACGGAGAGCGCGGAACTTGGTGTTCCCGCCGCGGACACGGACGGAGTGGACACGCTTAGGGCCGAGCTTGGTGTTGGCGGCCTGGCGACCGAGCTCGAACTTTCGCTTCTTGCGGTAGTGCGCACGCTGGGCGCCCGTCGCGGAGCGTTTGTGGCGAGATGAGCGGGAGATACCTGAGGAAGGGAACAGGGTCGAAAATCAGCACAAGTCGTTGGTCAAAATTCACGAAAACAGAGATCGGTCCTTACCTGTGGTTTTCAAGGGTCCGGAGCGCGAGGAGGAAAGAAAGGGGAATATTAGTGAATCATTCTCCCCGACATCGAGCAGACCGGCAGCACTGACCCATGTCGGATAGTCTTGAGGTTGGGTGTCGTGAACTCGAGATGCAAGGTTTGGATGATACTCACCAAACAAGGTTTGCGCATTATTCAGACTCCGAACGGAATCCTCCGTCTCATCAGCCACTTTGACTCAAGCTACTCTGACCCTCTCTGACCATCTTCGAGCGTGTTGTTCCCTTGTCTTGCTCTGATATTGGTGGAAATGACCATTTTCACTCCTTTGTGCGTCGCTTGTTCTCTAGAAAGGTATCCACCAACTGGATGTTCCCTTATCGGATTATCCCGGCCATTCATCCATCTGGCATCAGCCTTATTTCACTGGTTACTCTTGGACCAACGAGATGACGGATGCTCAAAGCCCTACCCGACTCGATCCACTTGCCGACGGAGCAGGAGGCTGACCGTGAATCTTGCCAGAAGCTCTCCTGTGCTACATGGAACTGAGGTGTCACGAACTCAGAAAGGTTACACACACTTGTGCCTCGAAGCCTGAGACTAGAATTGTCATCGGAAGATGGAGTTGCTATACCTCGGTGTGTCGCCTAGGCTCAATTGCCGGGCAACACGGTCCATAGATCCACTTTGCGCGGTGAAGCCTCCGAGCTTGGACGACGACGGACTTTGTTCTTCGAAGGGGGGGGGGGGGGGGGGGGCACTGCCCGGTCTATTTTGAAGTTTGCTTTTTGTGGGGCAAAATTCTCGTTACTCCATTTCAGAAGTTCATCTCCTCCGCTGGCCACGCGGCCTCGGATACTGAGCACGCAGAGTTCCGCACTGTCTACCGGCCGCCTCTCCGATGTCGTAGACTAGTGGCCAACTCTGGGTATATTCACGGAGACTTCCGTTTCTCGAATCAATGCTTTCTACTGCTACTAGTACTATGCGTTCGTTGAATGGAAAGTGTACATGCATATTCATAGCATCTTAGTGAAATTTTGGGACCGAAGATCGTGCAAATCGCTGAGCGCCTGCGAAATAAGCCTCGAAAGAAGTATATGCGTCTTTGCTGCCCACCCTATCCGCGACCAGCTACGGGTCACCGAGTGGTTCTGCCAAATCTGAAAAGTTCTTCCGCACTTGCTTCATGAGGCAGAGGAGAGCCACGGTGTGCCATGGCTATGCTCGGACGGGCGACATTCCGAACAATCACCGTTCATGAGAAACATCTGTGGTCCACGTCAGATGTCTTGTGGGAGGGGGGGAAGGGGGAGGTACCAGGGGGGAAGGGGGTCTAGACAGCGACTGATTGCGGTGGAATAGCCGACGGTGAGGCAGATGATAAGACGCACGCGAGACGCTTCGGCGTTCGCTCGAACTCGAACGCGAAAGCAACTCGACCAGCTCGACCAGTCGGCTCTACCGTGCATGCGTGCGGTGTCGTGCTGGTGCCCGATATACTCTCCTTCGCGTCGAAACTGGCCGTTCGGCGCTATATAGGCAAGTGCACTGTCCAGAGCGCGGGCGTTGGCACGGCCTGCCGCACGGGGCAGATCGATACATGCATGCACGTTTGTCGTACCAGCAACAGCACCAGCAGCCCACCTACGTCCCGCGGGGCCCGTCCGAGCCCCGGAGCGTCTCCCTGCAGGCGACCAAGACACGGAGCGCGCGCAAGCGGGTGGTCGTCGCGGTGGAGTCTGATGCGAGCATGGTGGGGATGCTGCGGGACGCGCACTGGGGGCGGCGGGGACAATGGCGGTGCGAGCGCATCGAGGAGGAGGAGGGCCCGTCGGCGGGGACTGCCGCTGCCGTGGAGCCTCTCTCCACCGTCTTTGGCTCTGAGCTATATAAGCGTCACCACCGGCCCCGTCCCGCCCAGCTCCTCCTCCTCTCTACCACCACCACCTCCCCCGTCCACATAAACCACACACACGACAGAGACATGGCAAACCTCCTCCCCCGCGCCGACTCCTTCAACGCCCGCACACGAGGCAGCAGCCACATCGACTTCAAAACAGCCACTACCGGCGTCGCCGCCAAGGCCATGCGCAATGAGCTTTCCCGCCTCGTCGGCACCGTGCAGGATTCCAAGCAGAAGAAGGTGAGCCCTCACCGATCTGCTCCGCGATCGCGTCGATCGAGCCCATCTCCTCTCTGCTAGGCCTTCGACACGGAAATGCAGTCCTTTTTCTACCTCTTCACCCGCTACCTTACGGAGCGCGCACAGAACCAGGATCTGTGAGTCTTTGCCTATCTCTCTCCAAGCGTCTGGGCGCTCACAACCGCTGCAGCGACTGGGACCGGATCCACTCGCCCGGCAAGGACCAGATCGTGCCCTACGCATCACTCATCAAACCCAAGGACTCCTCGAACCTAAACAAGCTCGCGGTGCTCAAGGTCAATGGCGGCCTTGGGACGTCCATGGGTAGGTGAAAACTGTTGCGGCTCTTAGACGGCTAGATAACGACATGACGCGCAGGGATGACGGGCGCGAAGAGTGCCCTTGAAGTGAAAGACGACATGACGTTCCTCGACCTGACAGTCCGCCAGATCGAGCACCTAAACACAACCCATCGCGTCGATGTGCCATTGATTCTCATGACCTCATTCAACACCCACGACGACACCCTCCGCATCATCAAGAAGTACGCCAACCAACAGCTCCGCATCACCACCTTCAACCAGTCCCGTTATCCCCGCATATACAAGGAGACCCTCCTCCCGGCCCCCAAGACGGCGGATGACGACAAGAAGAACTGGTACCCCCCCGGCCACGGTGATCTGTACAATGCCCTCCTCCACTCTGGCGTCCTTGACCAGTTGATCGCCGAAGGCAAGGAGTACCTCTTCGTGTCCAACTCGGACAATCTAGGTGCTGTGTAAGCAAATTTGCCCTTCAATTCGTCCATGCACCTGACACGACCCCTTCAGTGTCGACCAGAGCATTTTGCAACACATGATCGACACTCAGGCTGAGTACTTGATGGAGGTCACAGACAAGACCAAGGCTGACATCAAGGTGTGTTTCTCGAGAGGCATTGTGACCAACACCCCAGCATTAAATGACATGTGTATCTCAGGGCGGCACGCTCGTCGACTACGAGGGCTCGATTCGTTTGTTAGAGGTTGCACAAGTTCCATCCGAGCACGTCGAGGAATTCAAATCTAGTCCGTGCTTGGCGTGCATCTACTCTCATTCGTTCACTTATTAGTTCATTCATTCTTCTCCGCAGTCCGCAAATTCAAGATTTTCAACACGAACAACCTATGGATCAACCTAAAGGGTTCGGCTCTATACATTTTCCGCTCCGCTGCACCATTGACACACACACCTCACCACAGCGCTCAAGCATATTATGGACACGGAAGGCATGGAACTTGAGATCATCATCAACCCCAAGGTGAACGACGACGGGCAGGCGGTCATACAACTCGAGACTGCTGCGGGCGCGGCAATCAAGCATTTCCGGAATGCACACGGGATCAACGTGCCTCGTAGCCGTTTCCTGCCCGTGAAGAGCTGTTCCGACCTGCTGCTCATCAAGAGCGATATTTACTCGCTCGAGCATGGTCAGCTTGTCATCAATGAGAACAGGATGTTCGAGACGACCCCTGTGATCAAGCTGGGCGATCACTTTAAGAAGGTGCGTGCCATGCAGCCCGTGACATTCACTCCACCTTGGTGCCGCCCTTTTCTTTCAACGAGCCGGCGGGTTTCTCTTCCGAGAGAGACCGAAGACTGATACACAACCCTCTTCGTTTAGATCCAACAGTTCCAAAAGCGCTTCAAGAAAATCCCGAAGATTATAGAGCTTGACCACCTTACCGTCACCGGTGATGTCTATTTCGGACGCAACGTAACGCTCCGAGGCACCGTCATCGGTACGTCCAGTCTCCCTTGCGCCTCGCTTCTCCTCTCCTCATCTATCCTTGCTTATGTTTGGGAAATAGTTGTTGCGAATGAGGGCCAAAGGATCGATATCCCCGACGGATGTATCCTGGAGAACAGTGCGTAGAAGCGTCTGATCCTTCTAAGAGCCGTCACTGACGCATCCGCGATACGCTTTTTTTCCGATCTTCCGGTTGACGTTTGAAGGATTGTTGTCTGGGAACCTGAACATGATCGTGCGTTCCCGTCCCTGTTCCATCTCTCTCAACGGATTGTACTAACCCGGCTCGTTCGTTCATGTTTTCCTAGGAGTTGTGATTCCTCCTACGCGCACTTCCTACCACCTACATTCCTGCGGCGGCGACCTGCTCACGGACTGATGAAACTTGTACTATTATTTCTAGACAACGTCCGACGATGCGCGACACCACCTCTTCTGTCCTCCCGTCTCTCTGGCCCTCTTAGCTCTGTCTTCTAGTTTTTTCAATGTTATTTTCGTTAGGGTGGATTGTCTCACTTCCTTCGTATTTCCGTTTCCGGTCTATACCTCTGTGATTTCTCTTTTCCTCTCATATTCCTTTCTCTGCCAGGTGCATCGAGGTCGATCGTGGCTCACGGACGGACAGCGATATATACATATGACTTAGAGCTTTCTTGACGACGATGCCACGCATATGCCTATACATGATACATACGAATCGAAACAACCCAACCTAGTGTCTCGCGGAGGGCTTTTGGGATAAATAGATGAGTCTGGGTTGGCCAAAGCGATCTGGGTGCGAATTGTGATATCCGACGCGTATGGTTCCGTCGGGTATCCTGCAGTAACGACAAGGTAAGGATAACGAGATACTCGCTCACACCGCCTTTTCAACGTTTCTCCAGGACCATCACCTGGCTCGGATCCTGATCTTTCGCAAACCATGTCTGTAAGTGTCGAACGAGTCCGGCTCCTTGATTCAAGTCGCACTCAGACCGCATTCGTAGTCCGGGCCCCGACTCACTATCAGCCTCCCCTCTTGGCCCCCTGGCCCCATCACGATGCCCATGACCTACACGACCGGTCCGTCGCTCACAGGCGCCTTCTTTCGCTCGCTCGAGGACGCATCCAAGGTGTTCTATGCCGCCGCGCGCGGCGTGCTGCCTTTGTGCTCTGACCGCCTCAACGAAGCCGAGCGCAAGCAAGTCCGGCCCGGCAACGTCTACGTCTACGACAGCACCGCCCTCGTACGATGGTTTGTCTCCCCCAGCGCGGCGGCCCTCTGGCGTCCGGCGTTGCGATTATATACATCGGGATAGCGTGTGCTGACGACGACGGACTCCTGCTAGGGCAGATGGAAGACGGTGGGGCGCGAGCAGGGTCAGAGGCGTAAGTGGCCACTGAGTCTTGCGTGCGCGCCTTGTGAGAAGATGCATGTGTGCGCTTTCGCAGTTTTTCCTCTGCTACCCTGAGAAGTCATCGCGCAATCGGTGAGTGCCCCCTCCTCCTCAGACGTCCGGAGTTCGGCTGTCTGTTTCTTACGGGCGCTGCTGCAGCTACGACCTGAAAAATCCCTTGGCCAGGGTGGCGTGTACCGCCAATGTAACGCTGCCCAATGGACAAATACGCCAGTGGGGTATGGGTGCGCGATCATACGTTTTGTTCTTCTGGGTCTTTTCAGTGTCTTGACACACCCGTGGTGCTTGTGCATATAGTCTTGTATTTAGACAACTCGTCGCCGCTCACGCCGGTCGGCGACATCCCAAACGTCGGCGATACCCATGTGCCCCCGGGACGTGTCGTTATAACACAGGGCTCGCAGCAAGGATCTGAATTGCACGCCTATTTCGTGCCTGCTGTCAACGTCCGCAGGCTTCAAGCTAACAGCCACTAGCCACAGGTGAGCACTTAGATGTCGATCTTCGGTCCTCGACGCGGCTTTCGATAACTCTTTCGCGCATATATCATTGTGATGAACTGACTTGCGTTGAATGTATCAGTTCATGTACTCGAGGCCGGTCGAGTGTGTAGAATATATTAGATGTTTGCTTTGAAAGTCTGCGCTGGATGATCAACTGTGAGCTAATGCGACCGAGAGTAATTCTGTCCATCCGGAACGTCCTTTATTTTGCAAGTCTAGCGGGTGGAAGAAAATGACGATAGCACGAGGGTATATGGAGGAGAATAGGAGATGTATGGTGTAGATGTGAAACGATGCTATCGTAGCGAACGTGTAAGGTATAGATGCATGACTAGTACGATGTTGATGTGAAATGATGTCAGACTGCGGTAGGGGCGTTGGAGAGAAGTGATCACAATTCGGTCATGGTCAAGTTCCCAGAGAGCAAACCTAGGCACATACAAGATGAATGATGAGAGCAACAGCACAGGGATCAAAGACGTACGATTTTCAAGGATGCACCCATCGGGAATGTCGATACGCTGACCCTCGTTCGCGACAACTGGTGAACGCTAAGTGAACAGCATGTTGCATATACAATGATTACACCTACCGATGACAGTGCCACGCAGAGTGACATTGCGGCCAAAGTAGACATCGCCAGTCACTGTCAAGTGATCGAGCTCAATGATCTGCGGGATCTTCTTGAACCGCTTCTGGAATTGTTGGATCTGATGGTGACGATGAAAATTGGGCGCATTTGACAGTAGCGAAGAGTTCTCAGGGACGAACCTTCTTGAAGTGGTCGCCCAACTTGATGACAGGAGTTGTCTCAAACATCCTGTTCTCATTGATGACGAGCTGACCGTGCTCAAGCGAGTAGATGTCGCTCTTGATGAGCAGCAGATCGGAACAGCTCTTGACGGGCAGGAAGCGGCTACGAGGGACATTGATACCGTGGCCGTTCTTAAAATGCTTGATGGCAGCGCCAGCGGCGGTCTCAAGCTGAATGACTGCCTGGCCGTCATCGGTCTGCTTGGGGTTGATGATGATCTCGAGCTCCATGCCATCGTTGTCCATGATACGCTTCAGCGCTATGAGGAATGTGAATCGTGTACTGACAGGACGGAGATTACATGCACACACCCTTCAGGTTGATCCAAATGTTATTGGTGTTGAAGATTTTGAATTTGCGAACTAAGAAACAGATTCGTGAGCTTGCTTAGGTATACCCAAACGAGAGTGAGGGCATACCAGACTTGAAGTCCTCCACATGCTCGGAAGGCACCTGAGCAATTTCAAGGAGACGGACTTGGCCATCATAGTCGATGAGGGTACCACCCTGAAACGCGTTGCATTAAAACTTGAATTCGTATAGGTGGTGACTCATTTACCTTGACATCAGCCTTGGTTTTGTCTGTAACCTCCATGAGGAACTCAGCATCGGAGTCGATCATGTGCTGGAGAATCTTCTGATCAACACTATAAAGATATCAGCATCTGTGAAAGTAATGAGCATAAGCTGAGCGCTTACACGGCACCCAAGTTGTCCGAGTTAGACACGAAGAGGTACTCCTTGCCATCAGCGATCAACTGGTCAAGGACACCAGAGTGGAGAAGGGCATTGTATAGGTCACCGTGGCCAGGGGGATACCAGCTCTTCTTGTCTTCATCTGCCGTCTTGGGGGCCGGGAGGAGGGTCTCCTTGAGGATGCGGGGGTATCGTGACTGGTTGAAGGTGGTGATGCGGAGCTGTTGGTTGGCGTACTTCTTGATGATGCGGAGGGTGTCGTCGTGGGTGTTGAACGAGGTCATGAGGATCAACGGCACGTCGACGCGATGGGTTGTGTTCAGGTGCTCAATCTGGCGCACAGTCAGGTCGAGGAAAGTCATATCATCCTTCACCTCTAGAGCGCTCTTCGCGCCCGTCATACCTGCACAGTGAAATATAGTAATGAGGAAATTTTGTAACGTAATCATGAATGCAAGAGGATGATACCCACCCATAGACGTGCCGAGACCACCATTAACTTTGAGGACGGCAAGCTTGTTCAGCGCCTTGGGGTCACTGACTTCGGGGAGCTTGTCGTAAGGAACGATCTGGTCGGCAGCAGGCGACTTGATACGGTCCCACTCTCTAGAAGATTATATTTGTTAATGGTTGCCGATGGGCGCAGATGAAAGAGGTGAAACGCACAAGTCCTGGCTCTTCGCTTTCTCCGCCAAGTAGCGGGTGAAGAGATAGAAGAAGGATTGCATCTCGGTATCAAATGCCTGTCATTCACGATAGTCAGTCTACCATCTTGGAAATTTGGGGCACGTATGACTTACCCTCTTCTGAGCAGGGTCCTGGACGGTCTGGACAAGCCTGTTGAGCTCATTGCGCATGGTCTTGGTAGCGACCCCGGTGGTAGCGCTTTTGAAGTGCTTTTTGCGAGAAAAGTAGTAGATGTCGATTGGAGCGATCAGTCTCATCGTGATAGTAGGGCAAATGGGGTGAAGTGGACGGGGACAGGATAATGTAAGTGCATACCATGGCAGACACGCCCCTGGTGCGAGGCGACTTGCCCGCAGTAAGCTGGGGGGGTGCAAGGTTGGACATGGCTGTTTGATGAGAGAAAGGGATGGAGGCAACGCAGAGGAGGGACGACGGCGATGAGGACAGATGAGATGCGGAAGCGCCCTCAATTTATACCTGGCCGGCTCACACACGTGGCTTGCACGGGGCTGGTCGAGATGCACCCTCTCGGAAACGCACCCCCGCCCTCGACAAGCCAATACACTTCCCTACACGGCCTCTGGCCTCCTGAACACTTCCGCCGATATCACTGTCCCCCTCAGGAACAACCTCTGTCACGGTGGGTGCCTTGCGCTTCCTTCCCACATCGGTGCAGCCTGTGCGGAGCAAACTGGCATCCTTCTCACACGCTGTCGCGCCAACAGATCCACACAAATAACTAACCCCCATGGACACAAATGAGGAACACAGGTTGACGACGCTTCGTGAGGAGCTTGCACGGGCCAGGAGTCAGCTAGACGCAGAGCGTACTCAGCGAGCTCTCGACGAAGCCGCCGCCCGCGAACAAAGCGATCGTGATGCCGCAGACAGACATCGGGCCATGATGGAACAAATGAATGATCTCACGACCTTGCTTCGAGGGCAGCGTGACGAGCTGACCAGCCACAGAGAACGGATGGAAGATTCCATAGTTGAGGACAGTCGGCGGACAGCCGAGAAGGACGCTAGACTCGCAGCCTTGGAGAGCGATCTGTCGCGAATACGGCGGGACCAAGCAACAGAAAGCACGCGTCTGGAGGAAGCGAGGGCCGCTGCGGCGACCAAACCAAGTACGTCCTTTCACATTATGACTGTACCGCTGCAGGTGATGGAGCGCGATGGCAAGCCGTCGAAACAGTCCTGCAAGAGATTCGACAGAGAAGTGATGAACACAGGGAGATGATCAATGATTTCTCACACCGTAAGACTGTTTGATCATGCTTCAAGGCTCGTTCACTCACCTGCATCATACCGGTGCATAGAAATGCGCGAAGAGTCTGCAAGGCGACATGAGCAACTTCAACAGATGTTGCTGTCTTCGGCTTCGGCTCGCGAGAGCGTCTCGTTCAGTGATCCAGGCTCTGTACAGTAGCTCTTCTGCTTATCTCCCAAAACTCTTCCAATGATATTATATACCTGGAAATCGACTGGGTGAATGTCTAAGCATCAACTATCAAACTATTCCGGATCAACAGAGACGATGGAGTTGGTTGAGGACAAGTTGACCGAGTCGTGGGAACGTCGTGCCTGCTGGTGGCAGCACGCGAGGAAAGTATCATGTGCATATTGCCACCGGCGCAAACGCTCTGGAATCCGGGGGTGCTCATGCGGGGAACAAGCGATACTTGTGACGACGAACCACCTCCCAGTCCTCGGAAAGCAGGATAGAGCCATGTCGTTGACCAAGCAGCCCACGCTCAGGCAGGAAGCTTCGTCAGAAGAACTCTATCGGCGCACGGTCAAACGCATCGAGAAGATACAGTCGCATTTGAAGGAAACACCGAGAGGTACCAGGCTGAAAGGGAAGGTATGTGTGATCACCGGGGTCGGGTCACTCAAGGGTATTGGGTACGCCTTTCACTTTGATTCAAGCTGCATACAACATAGAGAGACTAAAGAGAATCGTGCACTCATGCAGTCGTGCTTCTGCGCTCTTGTATGCTCATCAAGGTCCTTTTCTCCTGTATATCTCTGCGAGTCTCGTGCTAAAATTCGAGTAATTTTGCCAGGCGCCGAGCATCTCTACCTTTTGGACTTTGATGGGACGAACCTCCCTGAGCTCAAATCCACGATCGAGAAGTCTTACCCTGATGTCAAAGTAAGCTGATACATCGGACGCCTCTGTGGGAGGTGTCTTACATGCTCTCGCTCTACCTTCCAGGTCACAGTCATACAGGCCGATGCTGCGGACGATGCTGCGATATTGGATGTGTGCCAACAAGCGCTCAAAGAGGAGGGACGCTTGGACGTGTTTTTCGCTAATGTACGAGCTATGTCACTATTTTCACTCATTGTATGAGATGTTCATGATCATTGGCGCGATAACAGGCAGGGGTTGCAACCGCAATGACGTTGGAAGATACTTCTGCTGAAGTATTCACCAAAATCATGCGGGTCAACGCACTTTCGTAAGTCGTTTGCAGGACGGGAGAGGCGTTCATCTTATCAGAAATCGGAAAACAGAGCATTCCTTGCAGTCAAGCATGCTTCAGCTGCAATGAAGAAGCCGAACGCCTCGAGGGGGAAAGAGGTCAGCAGCGGCAGCATCATCTTGACCGCGTCTGGTTCGTGTCGCTTTCATAAGTGATTCAAATTGTGACCTTAACCTGATGTCTTCGCATAGTTGCTGGCATCCGATCTGGTGCAGGTTCTGTGGATTGTAAGCTTATCTCTATATATCATCGCATCGCAGAAGAATGACCAGGTCATGCAGATAGCGCAAGCAAGGCTGCGTAAGTCGCTGATCAACGTACTCCTGACACCCGCTAACTTCCATTCAGCGTAAACTCTATCGCGAAGACCGCCGCTTGGCAGCTCCAGCGCACCGACATTCGCGTCAACTCGATATGCCCGGGGCTCATTGAGACAGGCATGACAAGCTTCACATTTGACTACGCTCGCAAGAGGGGCACCGCTTCCAAACTCGGTCAGTTGAACCCCATGGGTCGCTTTGGCGTCGCTGAAGGTAAGTTCCTGTTCTAAACCTAATGCCTTGTGGGAGATGAAGTTGAGAATCGCTTTCGCAGAGATTGCGCAGGCCGCGTTGTTCTTGGCGTCAGGTGAGTCAGACTACAAAGGGCGTTGTGTATGTGCGTATAGTTCTCATGATATCGGTATCGATGCAGATGAATCGAGCTATATCAACGGACAGAATGTCACCGTCGATGGCGGGTTGACGGCCTCGCTTCCTGTGATTCCGGGTAAATTTGCCTAGGATGCTCAGATCGATGAACCTTGTGTACAGAAGTAGAGGGTTGGAGGCGACTTGTTTTGGCAAGCTGAAAAGTCGCATAGCATCGATACAAACTCACATGACAACATCATGTATCGCGACACGGCGATGATGTACACACTAAGGCCACAACAAAGCTATAGGACGTAAATACCCGGCACTCAACTCCGGTATCCTTAAGACTCAAGGAGATGCCTATACTTCGGTGTGTGGGGTTGTAGCTCTATTTGACGCACATATACTTTGCTCGGATGAGTTCACTGTTCTTGACTACATGTTGCTCGACTGAATAGATTCATCCATGATCGCGAGACTTGTAAAGCACGAAGGAGACATCAGTGCTTAGGAGGACTTCGTGTGAATGAAAGACCGCGGCAGTAGAAACTCCGCGAAATGACAGTATAGAAATGCTCTTCGGTAGACGACTCAGACGATGGGCATCCTGCAAGTTATCTGAAGAAATAAGTATGGATGCAGCAGTGCTATCCGAGAAAAGTTGGAGCGCTTCCAAAAAGATTGCGCCCCGTGCATGTGTTCGCGTGTGACACCGAAGTCCATTGTCAAGGGTCGAGGCTGCTCTGATTGACATGGACGATCTTCTGCGTGGTCCTCGTGTTATCCTAACGAGAAGGACGCAAATGGATATTGCAGCAAGGTGAGGGATTCGGATTGGAAACGGAGCACCGTTGGGCGCATGGACATGACGTTAGGTGAGCCCCTCCAACTCCGTCGACTTCAGAACGAGATCTTGTAAGCTCGTCACCAGAGCATTTCGTCTTCGGGAGCGAATCGGACGTTCCAAACAGCCCAAGTCATTAAACATGAGAAATCATCTGAGGCTCACTACGATGATACGAGGGCTATCCCATGTCTGTTCCAAACCGACACAAAATAGAGCGCTCGACCATCCAAGGGTGATGTCGAAAGCGACGCGTACCAGTCGCGTACCGTGCCGTGTAGGTCGCCGAGAAGCCTGTTCGCGAGACGCTGAGAGCAAAGGACGACACGTCACACTTAGCGCGTAGAGCTGAGGATTCGGCAGAAGGCGCTGTGGCCGGTGTCTAAGCAAATCGAAGTCAGAAAGCCGTGATATATGCGTGTGGCAGTGACGCCACGGCGTCAGTATGCGTTGACTGTTATAGCAATTCTCCAAGTTCATCTTGAAGCAACTGTCAACAGCTTCGTTCATGGCTTTGAGGCTCTCTGCGACCCAGCACTGTTGTTTACCTTGCTAAGACAATAGAATCAGCATCTAGAAAAGATTGGCCAGACCCTACCTGTGACCTGTCTATGTCTCTCTTGCTACGAGTCGGTACGACATGATTCGTACTTACCTCTCTGCGATTCCACCGTCATTGGTCCATGCGCTCTCCAGGGTCTGCCGAGGTGAGTCTGTCGCATACATCAACCCCCCCTGATGTTGTGCATCGTTTGGTCGGATCTCCTTGTGAAACAATCTAACTCGGTATGCTGGTAGTCAATGTAGTATATTAGCAGACACCTAGTACGAATTACTGATTACCTTTTCCAGTATCGGATACAGGATTTCTCCAAAGCTGCTCGAGCAGATGACTATCGGACGTGATTAGGGCCCTCTTCCATTCCCATGGTATGTACTCAAACCTTGGCCAGGATCTGGCAGCAGGTGCGTTGAGTATAGTACCATGCGATGGGAGGGCACCGAAGCATGACCCCTATATCATCGGCCCGCAACTTAGGAATCCACCACAGCAAGTAATTCAGAGACCATGCGATCGAAATCAGATGGCTTTGACAAGGACGACATGCACCCCTCAGCTGACGAGAACAAGACCCCGATTAAATCATCGTCCGACAAGAGGCAGGGGAAGAGGAAGATTCATGCTGGTATATTTCTACGTATTTCGTCGCAGAAATTAAGCTCCGGGAAGGCAGACCCACTCAGACAGCGCTGGTCGAAGGGCGTCAGCCAAGGAGTCTCATCAGAGCAAGTTACGGGAAAAGAAAAAAAGACCTAGGAGACAAGCAGGGTGGAGTGTCAGACGAGTGGGCGAATTGAAAAATAAGCGCTTACCAGTTTTATAGCAGTTTTGACAGGTGAAATTGCGATTCCGACTGGTCATCGATTCGGCCATATGAACCAGATCTTTTGAAATCTTCCACAACGTTACTTGAATATGCGGGTCTCGGAGAGCCTCCCAGGTATCACGATTAATCGTGTGGAGATTCTGTTCATCCGAAGGATAGGCCAATATACAGATCCACATATCGAAGGGAAGCAGAATTGCGTTCAAGTCTCAAGGTCAATTGAGATGAGGTTCGTAAGACACGCGGACAATAGTCTAGACCTGGTTTGAAGGTGTGTGAAGGCGGAGGAATGGGGCAAGTCCGCTGCAGGCTGACCGATATGCTGTGTGATTTCGTGCCTACCACTTCCAAACTTGGTGGTAGCATTTTGAACAAGGATCGACATCTTCTTCTATCCTCTATTCCATTGGGCCTTCCAAGCTTTCGATCGTGGGGCCGCTTTTCGGACGAGTCGAGAATCCAATCGAACGGCCAACGGCATCCCCCACTCCTTCTATAGGTATTCTCCAGGCCACACAAGAGTTGGCTACTTGCCCTCCGGTGCCACCATCGGCCATGGCTAGGCAGCCATATTTGGAGCATAGCAAGACCCTCGAAAGAAGGTTTATTTGCACCGTGCGTTTGGCGACACTGGACGAGCGGCATCTCTCCTTTAGAACGCTTTGTGCAATGCTGAGTAGTTCGTGCCACAAGTTTGGAATTTGCTGGGATTGGAGCTTCGTGAATTATGGGAAACAGTGTGGTGAGTCACTTTCTTAATCAATACTCACTGCTCATCTCGTCGGATTTATAGATCTATTGATTGCGTTCGCCGTTGCTTCCTCTTCACGGAGACTCGCAGGACCTGCATTTTTAGCCGTCCCATCATCATCCGGCCCGTTATTTCTAAGATAAAGAGCGTGGCCCTGTGTTCGGCACATTCTTGACTATAATGAGACTTGTCTCATTGCAGACAGCCCACCTGCCGGCAGGATAACAAACGGTCCTCATGTCCTGGCTCTAGCAGCTTCGAGACCGACCTACATCCACTTTCACCCCATTTCTTCGATTCGCTAGTCTGGCCAGGTCTCTCTTCGACGTAGTACGTATTTCACAACACTCGTGATGAAAACATCACATCGGTATCACATTGGCACCCGTGCGGCCAATCAGGAAGGTGGAGCCATTTTCATCGGCGAGTCGTTTTGTAGAAATTCAAAGTATGGATGCTCTGTTTCTGCGAGCTGAGTCGTATCTGCGGACAGTTGTAAGGCAGAAACTCAGTGAATCTCGGCAACTTGATCTTACGCGACTATCTAATGTAACCCCCTCGTGATCAAGCAGTACTCAGCGGTATTTGCGAAGGGTTCTCTACCGACGAACTCTTCCAACTCTCTACCGCATCTGGTCTGATGCGTCTTTTCACCTTCCTCAAAGAAGCTCCGGCTACTGCCTGTCATCAAGTACACATTCTCTTCCTTGACAACTCAGCACCGTGGTCCTCGTCATCTTGCCTTTTCTTGACAATACTTCCGATATAAAGATCGCAAAGTCACCTACTACATACTTTTAGTACTCCTCGATGATAGGCTTTGTCTAGGCAGTTATCTGATCTGATATCTTGACGGACTGTGGTTGTCTCAGCTACACTTCGCGTAATTCTGGGCATTTTTTTCGGGGATTTTTTTCCCTTCTCAGAAAGACTCACACAAAGAATTCACTGTACGAAACTACGGGAGACAAGGCTCGGGCCTGCGGAGATTTCCAATATTTCAAAGGCCTGTGAACCTTGAAGCACCGAGCGACGTTCAACGTAGCTTTGCAGGATGAGCAATGGTCAATCTTTACCATCACCTGAAGGGCCCAGGCCGGAGTTTTTTGCATAGTCCGAGATGCTTCAGGTAGGCCTCGAGTCATCTGCGGACTAACTTGTGTTGGTGTGCATCCTCACACGTCAACACTGAAGGTTTCGTACATTGGAGGTCTCGACAGACCTATATCCCGGAATTCATTGTCATGTTTTGCGCTCTTCGTACGTGTTTGATGTTACAGAGGTGCTGGGGCCTAGCCCGCACCTGTGAGCTCTGGTACTTCGAGACAATGAGTTGCTCAATTGAGAACTTAAGCATATGGATATGCATTATGTTCATCTACTTTTGACGTCACATATATATACATTTTACATGCATCACCGAGGAACCGATGACACGCATGATAAGAGTCATAGACATCGATGCGATACAATGCGCGGCCAACGCAGGTCAAAAAGAGAGCATGGTGATTGCTTTTATGCGAATCTATTTCAGGTCAACGAGCTTGCATTCTGGAAAGACTCCTATAAGTGTATAGTTCCGAGACTTCCGAATGTTATGCCTTACCAAACGTCAGGGTAGAATTCGCGGGAATGGGCCCATTCTTGGTTTTGCCATAGCCAAGGTTAGGTGGAATGATCAGTAGGCGCTCACCGCCAACCTGCATGCCCTGAATACCCATGTCCCAGCCTAGCACAGAGACAGGAGTCAGTCAGAGAAAAAGGCCTGAGGCCGACAGAGACATACCCTTGATGACTTGACCTTGTCCCAATTGGAAAGAGAACTGTCGAGAGGGAAAAAATCGATCAGAAAAAGGCAAACAGTATCAGAGGGCCGAGTGCCTACCGGTTTGCCCTTTGTATTTGAGTCAAAAGTCTTCCCATTCTGCAATTTACCAATGTACCGCATGTGAACTGTCTGTCCTTTCTTCGCCTGTGGGCCTGTGCCAGTCTTCACATCCTTTACTTTCAAGCCGCCCGGGAGCTCTTTCATGGCACTGGCGCCCTCACTTGCTGCTTTCTCGACATCTTTCTCAACGCCTTTACCGTCAACCTTCTCCTTCTTCTCCTTCTTCTCCTTTTTCTCCTTTTCTTTTTTGTCTTTCTTGGCATCTTCACTCGCTTTGGCCTCAGCTTTTGTGTTCGACCCAGAGGGAACGGCAGCACCCGACTCCGCCTTTAGCTTCTTGTTCGCTTTCTTCTGTTGAGCCTTCGATAATTTGCCTTCAGCTGGCTCGTCAGCCTCGATCACGTCTGAAGCACGAGGACGCTTCAGTGATTTCGGTGCGTCTGCATCATCGTGTACTTCTTCAAACCGACTGTACCGAAATGCTATGAGCGCCTAGAGAACGATGGGACAGACACGTGAAACGAGACCTACTCGGCGTCGTCATCGCTGGGAATGTCCAATTCGTCGGGATTCAACTCTACGTCCGAGCTGACATCGCGAAGGTCGAACTCGTCTTCATCTTCCATCTCAGAATCATCATTAAACGGGACATTATCAGGGGATTGATCTTGGAAGTGTGCAGTTAGTATCGCGTAATTTGTGGAGATAATAGGGCGTGCACACTCACCAATGTAATTTCCTGTGAGATAGACAGTGCTAACGCAACGTAAGGTCAAAACAGTAGCACTTTCCAGAAGGGCTCACTTTTTCCCAACAACTTCGAACAAAAACTCTTCGTCCGCTTCGAGGGTGACGTCAACGGTGGCTTGTTCAATCTGAGTGCCAAGAACGCTTTGAGATGTGTCAGGTCGCACATGACCATGTAAACCACTCACTGTGCCAGGAATCAGAGAGCATAAGACAGTTGTAGCCTCAGCACCCTCAATCTCCGTCTCTTCGTCGTCCTCGTCGGAATCCTCGACATTGACAGGCCGAAGATAGGTGAACTTGACAGTTGTACGTCCGGATTTGTCCAATAATTCATCACCGAGCGCGACGTTCGTTATTCTAAGGTCTCCCTGGGGGATAACGGACTCACGCTCGCCAGGACGAACGGCGATACTCCTTGAAGTGGAAAATAAGACATGAGCGAAGGATCACGCGTATATGTGGAAATAAGCTTGCCAAACTGCAACAGAAATGACCATTTTAATGTCAGAAGAGAAAAATGACGCGGTTTTGGGGGGGTGCAAGTTTGAACGTGAACTCGCACTGCGAATACATGAAAAGAACTTTGCCGAACACAGCTCGACTTTTGAACTCCGCTTCAAACAGATCTCTCTGCTCGTCACGATTTATCGGCCATGGTGAGCACTCCAGGCGATGTCGCAAATACACGAATTGACAGTGTGATCTTGTGTTAGTCTAATGTCTTGAGACCATATCTCGCTGCGGTCAGGTCGACACTGACTGCGGCCTTGACATTGGAGAACTTTTCATCACAGGTATGCATCTTTCGGTATGGTATCTACGTCGAACACCTACAATACTGTCCCTCAGGTCGTTGAACGCCACAACAAACCCGAGGTAGAGGTTGGGTGGGTGGGGTCCTTACATCTTTCTTATAACTGTACGGCTCACGTTTTGCAGAGGCTCAAAAGAGGTCTTACTAAATTCTTTAATCATTTCTCGAAACGAGAACGAGCGGGTCCTCATCGAACCATCCGTCAATTCGATTCGGCTGAGCATCAAGATCAAACAAGCGGATGAGATCGAGCGTATATTGTGCCATAAATTCACGCGATTCATGATGCAGCGTGCGGAGAACTTCATTGTGTTGCGAAGGAAGCCCGTCAAGGTGAGCATTCGCTTTCCATGTTAAATGAAGCCCGTCCTCACCAAGATCATTGCCTCAAGGGATATGATATCTCATTCCTCATCACGAATTCACAAACCGAAACGATGCTTAAGCACAAGATAGTCGACTTCATCGTTCAGTGAGCAGCTCCTGATCCATCATGGCAATTCTAAAACTAATATTCCGATCGCAGGTTCATGGAAGACGTTGATAGAGAGATCAGTGAAATGAAATTGAGTCTGAACGCTCGAGCGCGTATCGTCGCAGAGTCGTACCTCATTGCCGTGAGCTTGAAGCATATCCATATCTCTATCTTCTAGCAGCTGACCACGTGATCATTTTGTCTAGTTCAATACATAATCACATCGGAAAACATTCAAATGTATAGTTAAGATCAACTCTGTAGAACAATATAAGTATACCATCGTATTTACCGCGTTTGGAATGACCTGGGATAGGAGATAGGCCTGAAGGATTCGCGTATTGTGCTATGGAATACTCATACCATATGCGATTGACTGCCTGCTCCCTTACCATTGCCATGACCTTTTGAAAATGATGTTACTCTTCGACTCCGTCTCAGAGTGTCTCTTAGTATTGTGAGATGGGTGACATCATGTAATGTCACTGTCACTGTCACGAATCATTGTCGCGTCAAGTCATATTAGGCTCGACGCGCCTCGAGCTCTCTAACTTACTTGCATAACTGCCACTGTGGATCTTCAAAAGATACAAGCTTAGATTGTCAAGCCTCATTGTGGAAACGCGACAGAATCACTGTTCGTCATGCCCCGGTCAGATAATGATACGCTTAGGAATGGGCCCGCCTATGATCCTGACCAAGATCCCGAAGAGAAACGCGCTATCAGGCGGAACTATCGTAATTTAACCAAGGGAGAAGATGGTATGCGGTCCGAATCTCATCTGTAAACGTCTTTGATCCTTAGATATTGCGAATGAAGGCGCTGCGCTCAATTTAAACGACTACACTGCGCAAGAACTGGTCGACAAGGTTCAACGCGCCGATTCTTTGTTTTATCGAGGTTAGTGTCATGGATGCGTAGACGTAGAGTAACCTTCAACTTGAAACTGCGAGCAGTCGCGGCACCGCAGGAAGCTACCCTGGACTCTGCGTTCCTGGTCATGGCATCGAATATGGGTGCTACAAAAGCACGCGCTATGAAGTCTGGCTCGGGCGCCTTTGACATGGACGACTTCATTTCCAAATTGATCACATTCATGGGTGGCCGAAGAGGAGATCAACTCTCGGACGAATCTGAAATGGATGATGATCATGCTGGACACCGTCTGGACTGGGAGAAAATAGGCCGGAAGGCCTTGGCGAAGAGTCGACGCGTCCCAACGATAGATTTCATGTGCGTTGTCTGTGCATCAAAAAATCGTTAATTCCTTCATATTTTCGTTGATCAGGCTTGGTCCACTCGAAGTCGAGCAAAAGAAGCGGAACGTTGGTAAACGCGCGAAGCTAGAGAAGAACAAAGAAGATGAGAGAAAACCTCAGGAACTTCAAGAAGATGATATCATCAGGGCTGAGAATGAGACGACAAAGAATGTCATTGCGGTAAGCATACTTCCTGTAATTTGCATTCCTGCCACTCACCTTTCTTCCTTACAAGATTCAAACTCTACTCGAGGGAATGGGCGAGGCAGTAAACTTGTTTAGATTTGTGGTAAATCCACACGATTTCGCTCAATCAGTGGAGAACATATTTTATCTGTCCTTCTTGATACGCGACGGCGTGTGTGCTTTAGAGATTCAGGAAAACGGCGAACCTATGATATGTATGTGCATTCCTCGACGTTCAAACGACTTATGCTCATATTATGTGGGTCACAGTCATATGCGAAGCTCCAGGAGATCAGGACTACCAGCAAGGCCTGAGAAAGCAGCAAATGGTCATGTCTTTCGATATGGAGACTTGGGAGGTATATACATGCTCTGCTTCCAACCTGAGAACTACTGACATTCGCAAACAGCGCGCAATTGAAGTGTTTAATATCCAGGAACCTATCATTCCGCAACGGCCAAAACAGCAGGCACAAATGAGTGATGGCAGGAAGTGGGTGTTTTGAACATACTCTAACCACCTTGTCTCCTCTTTGGATTGTTCCTTGCCCCTGTAGCCTTCCACTCCATATATCATATTTTATTCTATTTATTCATCAGTTCATGTCCACAAAAGAGGCCTTGTGTCTGTGTCTTGGTGAGTCATTGGTGATTCTTAATGAGTGGTACACCTTTGAACGGCAGCTGAGAGGTTGATCGCTTTGGCATGAATGAAGTCCAACGGTTCTGGTCTTCGAAAATGATCCTCGTAAGTCATCAATTGAGACTTCGTGCTGTTACTATCCCAATTCTCAAGTCGTCTTAAGTAGGTTACTAGAGATAATCTTGAGGAGCTGCTACACTTGGTAAGAGCGGAAACTCACGCAAATGTCAAGCCCAGTCAAAGAAAACAGGCGTTTGATCATACTTGTCAGTGAAGTGGTGCAAATATCACGTGAAAGCTGTGCCCAGATTGGGCGGTTTATGATTCTGCGTGACGATTTGTACTACTTCCCTGACAAATGCGGGACAAAAGCTTTGTACTTTTTTTGACTGAGCTTAACATTTACCAGAGTTTCCATTTCTACCGAGTAGGGTTATCCCACCCCTAACCTTATTTTTAGGTCCAGTGCAGCTACATTCTCTTCCCGAGACAATTTCGTGCTCTAGACTTCCCGCGCACGGTCCAGACATGAACATCCGAGACACTCCTCCAAAGGCTATAAAGTCCCCACCTTCAGCTCTTAAATGGTATCACAAACTTGACCAACAACCACCACCATCTTAACTGCGATATATCAACCCTATCATGTTTTTCTTACCTGACACAAGCAAACCCCGCATCTCGAAGAAACTTCTCGCTATTGTCAACGCAGAAGAGGAAAGGGAGAACGCGCCTAGGCCGCGTGCCCCCTCTCCTACCGCAGACCCGCCTTCGCATCGTCAGAGACGTGCGACCCGTAGCATTCTCAAGAAGAATACCCCTGGATACCTTGCCTCTCAGCCCCTCCGTCTCTCCACATACACTCTCCCTGCGCCACCCCCTAACGCCCGCCTCCTGCCTCGCCTCGACCATCACTTCCTCCTCTGGCGTATTGGCATGCTCAAGGTCATGTCAGAATTCCTTCCTGACAAACCTGTCAAGTTGTACTTGGACGTGACCGATTTTGACGAGATTAGTGAGGAGGATCTCAAGTATCGCCGCTTGTGGCGTCAATGGCACACGAGGATGGCGCGCATGAGACAGGGCCTGGAGCCTTCTGTCTACAGCCATTATCACGACGGCCATGGTGAGTTGCAGTGGCTCGACGCCTTCTTGAACCCTTTCCTGACATTGTTCGTATAGGGGTCTTCGGTGTGAGGCTGAGTACAGCGTGGTTGTACGCATCTGTACCAATCATGATCGGCAAATATCAGCACGACGTACCGATCGTCGCTGCCGCCTGTGTGTTTGAACTTATGCGCAAGGGTAAGTCCAATCAACCTTGATCACTCACCAGAGCCCGTTGCTCAAATGGACGCATATAGGGCTCAACAGACGTGGTCTGTTCCGTCCAGTACGGCTTGAGCTAGGGCAACGCATCGAAGAATTGTTCGAGATCTACAACTGTGCTCCGAACTTTGGCGAGACGCACAGCTTGGAGAACGAACCAACGGATAACGTGTGCGAGTTGCTGATGTTCTACATGAAGAGGTTCCCCGAGCCGCTGATCAACATGCACATATACTATTCGCTTTGCGACTGGTGTGTTGCGCCGAGCATCCACAGAGACGAGCCTTGGATCATCAAGGAGCACGACCGAGTAAACGATGCGTGGATGACAGGGCAGCTTCATCCGGATCTGCGACCCTCGACAGAAAAGATCCTTCATCATCGACGAGGATACCCGATCTACGATTTGGCGGAGGAAGGGATTCAGATCGGGATTGCGCAGGCGCTGTTGAGATTGATGCCGACGGCGCACTTTTCACTGCTTGTGTTCATGTTGTCATTTTTGAGCGAACTTGGACACACCCGCGGGAACGGGTTCGGGTTTGATGACATCGGACGAGTGTTCGGGATGCCGCTGTTTGGACGGAATCTGCGGTACGCGCCAAAGGTTCTGTGGTGGTTGGCATCACGTTGGGATGACATCTCGGTTGGGTTGCTCGGGAGAGAAGAGGAGCTTTGCGCGAAGGATGCGCAACTGCTGCGCATATGCAACATGGAGACCCCGCCATCCATGCGGAAATGGAAGTGGACGCCCTTCGAACGGAGGGTTTCGGTTGCACGTAAATTTTCGTAACGTTCTTGCTTTTTACAATAGTATCGGTCACATTGATTGTGTCCTACTACGTATACCTCCAATATAATGCGTATTACCCTGAGCTCTGTGCATCAAGTAATGGGACCAGTCCAACTTATTCAATATACAGCTTGGTCCATTCACATGACCCAGTCCACTTAAATGGTAAAGCCTGAGGATAACTTGTCCTCGAAGCTCTGTCGCAAGACATTGCCGATGTGAATCGACGGACCTTTGTACTCGCTGCTTTGCGAAGACTTGAGCGGAGCTGGAGCGTGCCTCGGAGGCAGCAAAAGGTAGGCAGGTCCAAGCATCCTATCCTCGTCTGCAATCTCTCTTGCATAGTAATGCGTAGATCATATGCAAATACTTTTGAGTTATCATGATGTTATCACATCATACCGAGTCACCGGACCCTGAGTCAAGGGTACCATCATCTCCGCAATAGCTTAGATTTGCCATCTGCTGACCCACAAGAAGCCATTTTGGAGGTGCGTACATCATGGTTGCTGTGCCCTTGGCCTTTCTTGAACTTCATACTAGGTACACCCTGCCTTCATCGAATCTTTAAATTTCATGCCTGACTTCGTCGTCCGTGACACCTTAAAAGCTACTCGTACCGTCCAAGAATGGCTTACTGTCCAGAGTCGCTACATCGAGGAGCAGATTCAGGCTGCGTCTTCCTGCATCGAATTCATGCGCTCTATAAAACCCGACCATGATCGCCATCTAGAAGCTCTGAGGACACGCATCTCTGAGTTGGAGAGTTACGCACGGGAGAGGCAGTACGACCTTTTGGAGGAGCAGTACCAGCCTTCGGAGCGAGTCATCGATCTCGAGGCGTTGAGGAGCATTATCCGGGCCAGAGAGAAGTCTAACGAGGTCTGTAGGACGCTCAAACATGACGAGGAGTATAGAGTGGACCCCTCCATTCTTGAGTTACTCCGACATTAGCTTGAAGAAATCGGCGTGCCCACTCGCTAGGTTCGCGGGCGGATGTAGTAATTTGGCTGGAGTCTCGTAAGGAATCGAACGGTGCCCGGTGGTAGTCTGTTGGTTGGAGTCGAAGAAGGAATGTCTAGATCGTCCAGGCTCGTGCGATCTGCAAATTTGAGAAACAATGCGAAGTAAGCTGAACTGTTTCGTTCGGGCGTAAGTGAGAGTGGACCGTGTTCGAACAGAGGTTTTCGCGTGAATTATTCCCACCCGTAGCAATGATCACGTCTACAGCAAACCTTTTTCCCTATCTGAAAGTTATAGAGTAATCTCTTTATAAGCTACGCGTTGAAGCATGCCCGCCAAGAGCACATGAACCGACCGAGAAAATCTCTGTTTGAGTTTGATTCATTCGGTATTCCCTCGCATTTCTATGCGGCAGTTATCTGAACTAGGACAGTTAAAAAGACAAGGAAGCCAACTTTTCACAGCAAGTCGACTGTGCCTCGTGTAGGTGAAAGCACTGCAACGACTCTACTTTCAAGGTCGAACAGACCTGCGTCATCCGTAGCGACGAGATCCGCCGTGCCGTCCGCATAAGACTTGCCGCCTAGTAGCTTCTCCAGATTCGTAGACACCAAGGCGAGCGCCTGTGATTTAGATATCCGTCCACCAGCTTCCAGGGCAGCCTGGGGATTATTGAGCATTCGAAAACAAAACAAGAGCGAATGGAGGGATTTCACACACCCAGGCGGCGTCAAAGCGGGCGTTGCGTGCACTAGATGCCTCGTCAGTCGCCAGACCTACGGTGACGTTGTGAGCGAGGAGCAACGAGACGCTGCTCTCTTTCGACAGTGGGGGCCCAGGAAGACTTATGCGAAGCACGGTGTCAGCACGGTGAATGAACTGTATGCGACCGGCCTCACATTCTCTTCTGCTCCCAGGTTGAAGGAAACGGTCGTGGTTTGAGGATCACTCCCACGCCAGCTTGTGCAATTTCCTTGGAGAGAAGGTGGGCCTCTGTCGCGCCGGATATCGTCATCCGTATCGTACGGCCGCTTTTGGCCTCGATTTCGCTCTTGAGCGAGATCAGAGAAGCAATTACGTCTGCACTCTCCGCTTCGGCCACAAGCACCAGGTTTCCCTGTGCCGCATTAGCCGTCACGATGCGGACTGCAGCGCTCGGTCACTCACTTGAACGACATCGAACCAAACGCTGCCTTTTTCGGAAGAAAGCAACAAGCGCCGCAGTGCGGCGATTTGGGTGCTGACGCTTGGAGTTCCGAAATGGCGGATTGTGATATGCAGTGCGGTAACGTCCTGAATGATTGCACCTCTCTGTAATCTGTGGACGACACCAAGCGAGAAATATGTCCCGAGCCCAGCCATGAATCCCTTGTGGCTAGGCGCAGAGATACCCCTTGTAACTCCGGCTCTGTAAGCCAACCTAATGCCTGTGTTAATAGAAAATATGCACGGTCGCGTGGAATCGTTCGCACAGTTCACTTCGCCCGCTAAACTGTAGTCCATCCACCGCACGGATGACGATATCGCTCCCGAGGAGGTTTGGTAGCGACGTGGTCAAAGGATCATAGACAACCCCATCGCCGGTCGAGGATTCCTGGGCAATTTCTTGAAGACCAAGGGGAGCACCGTACGACAACAACGCCGGAGAGATAGCACCGCCGTGCAAATCGATAGTTTGAACGCTTTCCCCTGCAAATCCACTCGCTAAACAATCGGTCTGCTCTCCGAAACACAATATCGATCCGTTCTTTACGACTGCGACGCCTGCTCTGTTGTCTGAGGAGGTGTACACCTCTGTCAGGTCACCAGCTTGCGGGACGGTGATGCTTTTGACGTTCGTGAAGACCACGATATCCGCACCCGACGGTGTCGGAAGAAGCGGCGGCAACCCATCGTACTTCAGTGCCTCTTCGGCTTCGCGGTCGAAGTTGGGTGTCTTTGGCGTAGCCTGGAAAGCAGTGGGTTTCTGAACGACATATGGTGTCTCGAGTTGCGGTATGCCATCGATGAAGACTTGAGCGGGTGTGGCACCAAGCGCTAGAGGGTGGCTGTCCCAGATCACCAGGTCTGGCGACGATCACCGTCTGAGTCTGGGATCTCAAGACATACTCATAAGAATTTACTCACCAGCATCATATCCTAAGTGGGATGAATAGTGAGTTATGCAGAAGCTTGGATTTACGTATAACACTATGCCGCACCTGCTTGGATGTAGCCAATGCGATGGTCCATTCCCAGCACCTGAGCCGCGTACGTCGTGACCGCCGACAGCGCTGCATTGTCAGACAACCCATAATAGTGGGCCTGCTGGGCCTCAAACAGAAGATGCCGGGAGTCTGTGACAGGGTGGTCGCTCTTAAACCAAGCGTGAATTTCAGACGGGTGAAACACTTCCACGAATAGCCGTGGGTCTGACCTTCATCACGACCTGGAGACCGTCAGCCGTCAAGATACGAGGTGCGTATTCAGAGGCTCTGTATGCCTCGCGCTTGTACCTATGAATATGAGGATTGTCAAGAAGGACACAATGAGCCACGCGATATCGCACCTTCCATGTGTAGCGAATAAAGCAACAGCGGGGGGATGTCCTGTTATTTGGTGAGCTCGATAAATGGATCGAAATATATGATGGTACCATAGGCTTTTTTCAAAACATCCGGCACCAGATAAGCCTCGCTCGCGTGATGGACAGCAGCGATAGAGAACTTGAACTCGTTAGTAAGCTGTGTAACCAGTCATGAGCGTCTGATCCCAGGAGACTGGCGAAAAGAACGCACCCTGATCAAGTCGTCGAAGTCGACCGCTTCGTAGCAGTGGGTTTGCACCTGAGAGAGCTTTGTGCGTAAACTCTTCCCAGGTTGAATGAAGAGACCCTACCCTGACCCGTCCGCGAAGCACGTCGACGAGCGCTTCCCACTGCAGATCTTCCGGGAACTCTCCAAGGCCGTCCCATCGTCCCGCAAGCGCCTTGCTGCAATAGGTATCCTGCTTCTCCTTGATTTGGCGAGCCTTGTCGTAACTTGTACGCATGTCAAAACGGCGAATTAGTCCATGACGGATGTAAATACTGACGCCTGGCGGAAAGCCCAGAATGTGTCCATGCGAGTACCGTCATACACACGGCCTGCGAAGAGTCTCTCAGCTTAGTCAATCTTCCTCCTCACATGTGAAGCACGCACTAGGGTTCTCTCCTGCAGCACACGATTTACAGATGAGCGAGAGGCGGAGTTCAATATTGCAATGTTCATCGTACCGCAAGCATGCCTTCGGGCAAGGGAGTCTCGTCAACTCTACTGATCATGCATGACACACCACACTCACTTCATCTGGCGCCATCTCAAAGTACTGTGTGCTTCGGCCTCGGTGCCGTTGATATCGTACGGCGGCTCTAGCAACATCGACGTGGGCGATCGCTCCGTCGTCTTTCTCAATTTGATGGTAAACGCCTGCCCGCCTGCCCAGCAACGTATATTATTGCCAGAAAGAGATTGTTTGACGCGGCTCGAGAAAGCACGCACCGATGGCGTTGGCGGAGCCTGGTAAGACGAGCGAAGTCGTGACCCCACCGGCGACGGTCAGCGCATACGAGTCGTCGTGGGTGTTGAGTGCATCGAGCGACCTCAACCATGGCAAGATCGGTCCCTTGTGCGAGTTCGTGTCTGCGGCACCCTTCAGACCAGGGCTGGACATATCTCCGATATGAGAATGCACGTCGATTATGCTGGTTCACATGGCAAATAAGGGATGAACTTGTATTTCGCGCGGAACGAGACGCACCCAGGAGACACCCAGGCCCCGTGGGCGTCCAGCACGTCGATGCTCTCAGCATACCTCGCAAGCAGAGCCGGGTCCACCTCCGCAACGGAGTGGATGATCCCGCCCTCCAGATACAAGTCTCCGCTGACGACCTCGAGTCCGTCGACGCGCCCCGTCCATATCGTCGCGTTCCGGATCAGCGTCGGCCTCGTGCCGGGCTGGAACCTGTCCGAAACGGCGCGACGGTGGAAGTCAGGGGGCGGACCGGGCTTCAGATCGAGCTTCCTGCATTTTTCGGCGATGGAGGATGCGTCGATGGGCACGCGGGCGATTCGGATGTTACGGTCGACGAAGACGCGCGAGACGAGTGTGTACAGGACGAGCAGCGCGAAGCAAAATCCGAGCAGACGCGACTTTGTGTGTGGCCGTGGCCGTGGACGACTATCAGAGCGGTGTATCACAGGAGTCGGTAGTTTCTCCATGGTAGAAACCAAGAGTTCGACCGCTCGCTCGCGCTCACGACGTGGATGGCGGAGAGACTGTCTGATAAGTGCCAATATCCATGGCGTTGAGTCCCACGCGTAGCACTCAGCAAGGCCCGCGGCTTATCAGAAGGCTCTGGTGTGAGACGAACACGCGATAATGGGCCATGAAGACCTCTTCAGGCTGCCGCCGTACCGACGTGACACTAGCGAGCAAGCCGAAGCGCCAACGCGTCGACGACTCCACATCCGCACCCAAATGAAAACGGCGCCGGTCGGACGTCGGAGGTCACGGGAAGTCTCGGGGACTCTCCCGGCCTCCTTCGGTCTCCTCCGGATCTCCGATGTGTTCCCTTCCAGGCACCAGCCTCCGCCGACCCTCATACCAGTCCTCCCATGAGTCATGACGCACTCCCGTGCCGTTCGCCGCGGCGTCAGCCGTATGATCGCACGGAAGAATATCGCAAACTCGCGAGTAACACGCAAACACGTCCAACGCCATTGGTCGACCTCGAGTGCAAGCCCAGCGTACCGCAAAACAAGCAACAACGAGCATAGATAATTTACCGAGCACGTATATATCCCTCACAGCGCTCGTCCACGTCCTTAATAACAACAAGACACAAGACGGCTCCCAATCCATGAAGTCCTAGAACAGATCCACGACCCCTCGTCCGGAGGAGATCACCGCCACGACCTTGCTCTCAAACTGCAACAGGTCGCCCCCCGCCGTGGCCACCAAATCCGGGGCAGACGACCACCCACCGTCGTCGATGCCCAGCAGCTTCTCCAGGTTGGTGGACGCCAGCGCGAGCGCCTGCGTCTTGGAAATCCGCCCGTCCGCCTCCAACGCAGCCTGCATCGGATAGAATCAAGGCGGTCAGTGAGCGCACGGAGGAGAGGGCAAAGCAAAACCGCACGCACCCATGCAACGTCGAACCGCGTATTTTGCGCGCTCCACGATTCCTCGATGCCGATCCCGACAGTGACGCCCTGGTCCAACAACAGCGAAATCGCGCTCTCTCTCGAAAGCGGCGGCCCCGGCAGTCTGCCGTCCGCAAAATTCCCAAAACGTCCAGTCAGCGTCAAAATAAATAAAAAAACTAAAAAAAGGCAGCAACGAGAAGCAGCGAGCGAGCGCTTCGCAACTCACATCCTCTTCTGCTCCCAGGTCGCCGGGAACGGTCGAGACGGCACGAGCACGACCCCGATCTTCGCCGCCGCGAGCTCCTTCGCGAGCAGATGCGCCTCGGTGGCGCCCGCGATCGTCATCCGGATCCTGGCGCCCGTCTTCTCCTCCACCTCCCGCTTCAGCACGATCAGCGTCGCGATGACGTCCGCGCTCTCCGCCTCCACGACGATGAGGAACTTGCCCTGCGGCCGAGGTATCGGCTGATCAGCACCGACTACTCGCACAGCGCGCGGCTACGACGGGACGCACCTGCGCGACGGCCGCGAAGCGCGCCGCCATCCCCATCCCCGACACATCGTCGTCCTCGGGCCACGCGAGCAACAGCCGCCGCAGCGTCGCGATCTGCGTGCTGATGCTCGGCGTGCTCCCAAAGTGGCGCACCGCGACGTGCAGCGCCGTCTCCTCCTGCACGACCGCGCCGTCCTCGAGCCTGTGCCGCGCGCCGAGCGAGAACGCGGTGCCAAACCCGCTGAAGAACCGCCTGTGGCTCGGGGCGGAGATGCCCCGCGTGACGCCTGCGCGATACGCGAGGCTGTTGCGCACGTCAGGCGATCGATCTCAGAGATACGAGACAGGGTTACGCACAGCGCACTCCGTCCCGCGAACTGCAACCCGTCGACTGCGCGCACGGCCGCATCATCAAGTATCTTCGGCGTCGTCCCCGTCAAGGGATCATACACATAGCCGTCTCCTGTCGACGGCTCTTGATCGATTTCTTGCAGGCCGAGAGGCGATCCGTAACTAATCAGCCCGGGAGAAATCGCACCACCGCGTAGGTCTACGGTACGCGGCCGGGGACCGCCTACGTGATGGTCGGCGATCACGCAGCTGCCGTGCGCGCCGTAGCACAGCATCTTCCCGTTCTTCACAAGCACGACTCCCGTCTCACCTGCGGACTTTGAGGCGAACATCTCTTGCAGCTCGGAACCTTCTCGCGCGATGACGCTCGAGACATTGGTGAACAACACGACGTCGGCTTCGGCTTCGGTCGGAAGAAGCGGCGGAAGGCCTTCGTATTTGAGCGCGTCGGCAGCCTCCTTGTCAAAGTTGGGCGTCAGAGGCGAAGCCTGGTACGCGCTCGGCTTGCGCACGACGAACGGCGCGTCGAGCTGCGGGATGCCGTCGATGTACACTTGCGCAGGCGTCGCGCCGAGTGCGAGGGGGTGGCTGTCCCATACCACGAGGTCTGACAGCGGAAATAAAATTAACCCCGTGGCAACCCTATTGTAGGAGCGTGATCGAATAGAAATACAACATACCCGCATCCCATCCTACAGTCCCAGTCCATCAGCTGTATGTATCATGTACATAGCGCTGGAGACTTGACTCACCCTCTTGAACGTACCCGATCCTGTGGTCCATCCCGATGACCTGAGCTGCATGGCTCGTCACGGCGGCGATCGCCAAGTTCTCGGCCAGGCCGTAGTAGTGTGCCTGCTGCGCCTCGTACAAGAGGTACCGCGAATTCAGAACCGGATGGTCACTCTATTAACCACGCGCATGCCGAAGCGCAACCGTCGGGGTCGGAGATGCGAACACGTGGGTCAGAAGGGCGAAGCACTGGGTGCGAACGTGGCCGAGGGCGGAGACCGACCTTCATGACGACTTTAAGCCCATTCTGGGATAAGATACGCGGGGCAAATGCGGAAGCGCGATACGCTTCGCGCTTATACCTGTCGGGGCACTGTCGTTCAGTCTCGACCTGGTCCCAGTGACATATGTTCTCGCCTACGCACCTCCCGTTAGTAGCAAATAGCGCGACAGCAGGCGGGTGACCTGATCATCGACAGAAACGTCACCGCCAAAAGTCAGTCAGGGGAGAGCGGAGTGCCGGAAGACTAAAACCCCCACCGTATGCCCTTTTGAGCACGTCGGGAACAAGATACGCCTCGCTCGCATGGTGCACGGCGGCGATCGGGAACTTGAACTCGTTCGACAGCTGTTATTATGGAGATACCGCCATCAATACTCCATCAATTCCTGCGCCCTCCGCGCCATCACGAAGCCGGCCACAAAATGCAATATAGTACGCACCCGGATCAAGTCATCCAAGTCCACAGCTTCATAGCAATGGGTCTGCACCTACATTCCGGAGTCAGGTAACCGCGTGTCACGATGAGGATGAAGGACCGGAGCGCGCGCTTACCCTGACTCGGCCCCTCAGTACATCTACGAGCGCCTCCCACTGCAGGTCATCGGGAAAGTCACCCAGCTCTGACCACTGTCCCGCGAGCGCCCTGTCGCAGTAGGCGTCCTGCTGGACTTTGATCTGGCGCGCCTTATCGTATCTGTAAAGTTTCACGACGGCGGCATTTCGGAAGGGTCGGTCAGCCTATCTTCTTGCGACGCAGGGAGCTGGATGACTAACGCCTGCCGGAAAGCCCAGAAAGTGTCCATGCGGGTCCCATCATAAACCCTGCCTGTATGCGGATGTCACGCTACGTAACGAAAAATAAGAAAGATAATCTACGCACTGGGGTTTTCTCCTGAAGGGTGTCACACGTCGGCGTCAATAGGGTAACAGGCAGGCGCTGCGTTCGAGCACTCACCGCAGGCATGTCTTCGAGAAAAGGACGATCGCGTCAACAAGGTCTGTCCAAGCGACGGTGGGGAAAGGATCCACTGACTTCATTTGACGCCATCTCAACGGGCCCGCTGCGTTCCGGGTGCCGTTGATATCGTGCGGCGGCTCCAGCAGCATCGCGGTCGGGGAGCGTTCTGCGGTCTTTCTGAGCTTGATCGTGAACGCCTGACCACCTGCGCCGAACACGTCTGATTCAGCCGAACAGGACAGGCACGAGGGCGGCGAGAGGCGTGTTCACCGATTGCGTTCGCGGAGCCGGGCAGGACGAGCGCGGTGGTGACGCCGCCCGCAATCGAGAGCGCGTACGAATCGTCGTGGGTGTTGAGGCCATCGAGCGAGCGCATCCACGGCAGGATGGGGCCTTTGATGGAATTGTCGTCGCCGGAGGCGCCCTCGAGCGCAGGAGAAGAAGCGTCGCCCAAATGGGAATGGGGATCGACGATGCTGCGTATGTCAAGTCAGGACTGCGCATCGCCATGTGCGCTCTGCGCGGTCGCGGGCACGTACCCGGGTGTGACCCACGCACCCTTGACGTCGACGACGTCGATTTCGTCGCGCAGCAGGAGCTCCTGTGTGAGACGGCCCAGGTGACCGACGCCACGTATGATGCCTTTGCTCAAGTAGATGTCACCCTTGAGGACCTCTGTGCCGTTGTCGGCGCCGGTCCAGATGCGGGCATTCCGGATGAGCGTCGGCTTGGTGCCCGGGACAAACCTATCCGAAGCTTCGCGTTTGTGAAAGTCGAAAGCGGGGCCCGGAGTGTCAGAGAGGGCACGGCAGCGAGCAAGGGTCGCCTGTGCGTGTATGGGGACAGATGCAACGGGGGTGTAAGTGGTGTGGGAGAGAAGGAAGAAGTGCGCGGACGCGAGGATTGCGAGAAGGGCCAGGAAGCCGGTGCGCCTGCGTCGGCGGTGTTGAGGCGGACGAGGAGAGGCGACGGTGGGGAGAGAGAGTTTGTCGTCCATGGGGACGGGACGAGGAGGATGAGGGTGTCAAGGTCGACTCGCTGCCGCAGGACGCTGTCGCACAGTGCAGTGAGCAGGCCGTGAGGCTGGCTGTCACGCCGTGGGAGTTATTGTACGCGCGGTGTCACACGGGCGGACAATATTATTCGGGAAGGGTCACGGCAGAGAGCGCTCAGCTGCGAACGCATCGCATTGGCGGGCACGCGGGCCACAGTCAGACCAGAGGAAGATTACCGCTCGGTCAGTAGAGGACGCCTGCTCGGTCACGCTGGAGGAGGATGACATGGGGGGCGGACACGGGGTGTGTCTGCATGGAAGTTCCAAACGCGGCAAGGCGAGCGATCGATTTGCCTGGAACGGAGGGCCCCACCGCCGGCGCTCGGAAAGGGCACACCTGAGTGCCTCTCCGCGGAGGGGAGGCAGATACTTGTGAGCGAATGGTGGGGCGTATGGGCAAGCTCGCATTGACCTCGGGAACGGTCACGGCGTCCGACGAGGGGCCGGGTGTTCTCAGGCTGGGGCACGCGGGCGGCGGGGCCGAGGAGGGCGGTTGTATGACGAGACACAGTGTGCAGCGATATCGGCGTTGCAATGAAAAATGAAAGGTGCACCAGGCCTAGCGCCGGTGTGGTGCATGGTGCTGTAGTATTGAGAGAGAAAGGAAGGAGGACAAGGGCCAGGGAGGGGAGAGGCGATGAAGTGGCTGGGGCGGTGGCGACGCGCGCGGGACGCCTTGCGTCTGGGCCGCGACCTGAATTCGTTCGTGCGGCCACTGGCTTTCTCACCTCTCTCTCCCGACCCACCACCATCTCCTCATCGCAATGCGCCCCTCCTCCGCAACGTCCTCCTCCGCATCCCAGCACAGCAAGTCCCGCCCACGGTCCGTCTCCTCCTCCTCCTCCTCTCCCTCCTCCTCCTCCTCCCTCTTCCTCTCCCTCCTCCCGCCGCTGCTCACTCTCCTCGCCCCACAGCAGACACAGCAGACAACAGCTCCTCAAAAGCCTCCAGGTTGCTCTCCCTCCTCGTGCCACCGCTCTCCTTCTCCTCTTCTGACGCGTTCCTCGCTCTAGATCCTCGCTTCCCTCCCGACTCCCCTCCCCGCAGACCTGCCCCCTTCGCCGCCCCACTCCAGATCTCCCTCCCCCGCCCCCGGCTCAAAGCGCAAGCTCGAAGACCACCCCCACAACGCAAGCGCAAAGCGTCTGCGCACAACAGATATCCCCTCCAAACAGGTCCAGTGGCATCAGGCCCCCTCCGCCCCTCCGCTCCCTCGCTCCGATCCCGAGGAAGGCGAGCTTCGCGATGATCCCCCTCCCTCCCGCGTAGATCCCCCGCCATCTCCCCCATCCTACCTCCCTCGCATCCGCCCAAGGAAGAACATCAAGCGGGGCGACCCCATCTTCGCAGAGCTTCACGACCGCTACCATCTCTACGGCCGCATGCTCAAGTATTCGGGCGACACCCGCTATTTCTCCACCCACGCCCCCTCAGACAAAGACTACAAGCCCCTCCCAAACCCTCCCCCTCCAAACTCCCCTTACCACACCCACGGCGTCCTCCTCGCCCGTCTCGAGCTCCTAGACGCCCTCGTCTGTTTCACCTACGCGATCTGGACCACAGACTTTAGCAAAAACTGCTGCACCCTCTCCTGGGACACCCTCGAGCAGTTCCTGGGCTGGACAAAGACAAAGTGGACAAACGAAAGCAACAGCGAACGCGAAAAGGCCTTCGTCGGCGTCGTGTAAGCTTGCCTCTCCCGCCTCGCTCTCACCGTCGCTCACCCCTCTCCCAGTTGGATGATCGAGACGTATATCCACGTCCGCAAGGCCGTCTACGGCGCCGGCCAGATCCAGGGAGACATCAGCGATGTCTGTGCCACAGCCAGAAAGTCCATCGAGAGCGCCATGCCTCACGCAGACACCCTCGCGGGCTCGGTGGGCGTCACCCCGAACGGGAGCATCGGTTCCCAGCCCACTCCCCCGATGCTCCCGTCCCCCGCGAGCATCGCGCCCGCTAACAGCGCCAACTCGACCCCAACGGGCCGGGCCTCCGAGGTGCCCGCCAACGGCTCGAGCGGCGTCTCTGCCCCATTGCCCGCACACCACGGGCCTCCGCCTCATGCAGCCGCCCCTCCCCGCCCCGCGAAGCTGCCGCATAGCTCGAAGGAACAGCCTCCCCCTATTGCGAACAAGATCAACGTCCCCATCTCAGCCATGTTGACTCATCAAGTGACCCAGGTCGTGGGCGAGGTGGTGGCAGCGAGCCATTGCACAGAAAAGTCGGCGCCTGCCCTCACCCTCGCCGTGATGGCAAAGCACTTTCCAAAGACGTTCTCGCGGATCGTCCACTCCTCGTTGAACCACACCGAGGAATCAGAACCTGACATGGAAGACGACGAGGGCGAGCTCTTCTGGCCCGGCTCGGCGCAGCTGGGCGAGGGCATCGGTTGGCTGTGCACCATGGCGAAGGCCATGGTCAAGGAATTTGGACGGGACTACGGGTACATGGGCTACGGCGGCGCGGTGCGCAAGCCCGAGGGCCTCGCCGCGCCCCCACCCCCCTCGCGGCGGTGATTTATTCTCTTCTTCTCGCTTTCGCTTGCTTTCTCTCGCATCTCTCCACTGGGTATCGGAGCACAATCTCGGGCGTGGGTGCGGTTTTCATGAACGGGTGCTGTGGGGGTATTCATCGTACGACACGTGGTGGCACGCCTCTTCCTTCACGCAGCTCTGTGCTCCACGTCGGGCAGTGCGCTCATACGGCCGAGGCAGCACGCCCAGGTCCACTGGAACGTCTCACGGGGGTGTTCTCCGCTCAGCCGCCATCAGCACCACCACGGCCGCCCTCCTGCCGTCGTCCTTCTCCGTCGTCCGCGGAGTGGAGACCCTCCTGGCTGCCCTCGGTCCTCACCTCCAGCTGTATACCTACTGGCAGGGTGCACCGCGGGCCAGCATGTCCCGGCGGCGGCGGCCGCGGAACACTTCGTCCCCCTGCCTCGCTCCCGTTATTGTCTCGTCCACACTGCACTGCCTACCCACGTCCTGCTACCCAGCCGCCATCACCTCATTCCATCAAGCCCCGTCGTCTCAGCACCTCTTTGCCATCTATCTCATCTCGGAAATGCAATTTAGCCTCGTCGCTCGCACTGGTCGCATGCGGGAACTCAAACCTACTCCGTTGGACATCCAGACCCGCTCGTCTCCATGGCCTGTCTAGATCCGCCATCTGTCTCTCCTAGGTGTTTTTTTGTTTGTTTCGTTGTGCTTTCCGCGTTCCATCCCGCCATCACATCATCTTTCCTATAGCATACCCTACACAAACCCACTGTAATATACCTCCCTCTCCACCTCTTTTTTCTTTCTCTCTCTCTCTCTCTCTGTTCTTTCTTCCTGTTCTATGTTTTCTTTCTCCATCTCTGGCGCTCTCGCCCACCCCAGTCCCCGCCGCACTGCATCTCTTCCACATCTTGGTTCACACCGCATTTGCAGCATCGCTTCTCTTTAGCTTCAATCCCCGTTTCTCCCTCCGTGCTCCCGTCGCCCCCATCCTAGTCGCGCCTGTTTCACCTCCGGGCTTCCATTCTTGTTTCATGCTCCCTTGTCTCCTTGGCCGCCATCCCCATTCCCGTCTCCATCCCACCGAAACCATTCCTCCCCCCGCTCTCCGCCTTCGTTCAGCTGTTCTAGCCCGTCCATACATGGCTCCCTCGTCTCTGTACTACCGCCCTATTTAACGTGCCCTCCCGCACCCTATTTTTTTCTCCCTCTTCAACTCCTCACCCACTCACCCACCCACTCACCCGCCCCACCCCCTGCACCCCGACACCTCGCGCGCGCGCACCGTTCGCCCTCCCCTGTTCGTTCCGTCGCCTGACCCTGACCCGGCATCGTCCTCTGTCCCCTGTACGCTTTCGTCCGTCTCATCCGTCGCAGCTGTCATCATTTGTACAAATTTGGGATCATTCGGGATGTAAAAGCCCCCTCGAGGAATGGAATACTATATTATTCGTGACAGGCGCGTGAGCATAGAGATATCCTTGTTGGACAACGCTCCGCGTCCTGAGACCCATCATACATCGTCGACCTTGTTCAGCGTGATCGTTGCATTATTACTGTTGTTGTTGTCCTGGATGGCTTTTTGGTCCCGTTGGTAAGCTCGTCCCGTGCTGTCGGATGAATACAGGCGCGCGTAATTATGTGCCCGAGGAGATATCGATCTTCGCATCCAGGGAAATTCGTACCTGACCTAGCCACAAAACCGTTATTGTAGTATCTCCGAAAAGACATCGAGGCGCCGGATTTAGTGTAGGTTAGAGCAGCATACTCACGCTGTGCCCAAAAAAGCAAGATATTTCCGAGCAGTGCCCGTTGTGGAATATCACCCGATCCGCCGACAGCGGCGAAAGGGGTCTCAACACCGGATTGAGTGAGGTTGGGCGCGGCAAATGAACACTCTTCACATCAAATGGCAGCATGGGTGGAATTGCAGAGAAGTGTGACAAACATGGGAGGCATAGACGATCATGGGCGAAAGCGAATAAAAAAACAGTATGAACCCAAGCTGCCAGTTGACATACAACCTCCCTCCAAGAAACAACAAGGCAATCACCGGTTGGACTTGGCCACACGCTCCAGCTCGTCTTTTTTCTGCGGTACGAGAAGAGCGGGGATGAGCGAACGTTCGTGCGTTGAACGGGAATCAGTGATAGACGTACCTTGATGGCATACGAGTTCGAAGAACCCTTCGCCGCGTTGATGAGTTCGTCGGCCAGGCACTCAGCTATGGATTTGACGTTACGGAATGCAGATTCACGGGTCTAGAAGAGGCGATCGTCAATCGCGTGAACAGATGGTCACGCAGGGTCACTTACGCCAATGGTAAGGAGGGAGATGGCCTGGTTGACTCTCCGGAGAGGAGAGACATCGACGGCCTGACGACGGACGGTACCCTGCGATCCAATACGGGTGGAGTCCTCGCGAGGACCAGTGTTGACGATAGCATCAACAAGAACCTAGATAATAATCGCCGAAGTAAATGAGAGGACGATTCACCTTGATCGTTGTGATAATCTTTCAAACGCACCTGGATGGGGTTCTGGTCGGTGAGGAGGTGGATGATCTCAAAGGCGTGTGCGACAATGCGGACGGCCATCAGCTTCTTGCCGTTGTTGCGACCCTTCATCATCAAGCTGACAGCGCGCATCAAAGCGTGTCAACCGCGTTCCAGCACTACGCACACGGGTCGGATACATACCTGTCCACCAAACGCTCCACAATGGGCATCTGCGCCTTCTTGAACTGCTTCTTCGCGTACCGGCCAGCCGTGTGTGGGAGGTAGACGGCATGGCGGATTTGGATGTAGTCGGTCAAAGAGATATCCTTCACTTCGACACTGAACGGCGGTCAGGGCATCACGCCATACCAAATGCTACACCATACGCACTCCTGGGTCTCCCACTTTCCGAAAAGCTTGATTTCCTGTCCAAGCTTGGAGACGTCCTTGGGGAGGGTTGGGACGGCGGCCATTTTGTTTTGTCTTGAGGAACGAGGGTGCCGGTGGGGAGGGTGGAAAAGGGGGTGTTAGCGCGGATGTCGACGACGACGAGCAAGCCGATAATTCCACTACGCACCTGTGAGCTCTGTTTGTCCATGTGTGGTCGTCAAAACAAGGTTTGGGCCTCCTCTCGGGATCTTCCGACAGCTGTATAGCTGTTGCCATTTTGAGACCGATGGCCATTTGCGGGGCATTGCCAATTACAGATTCAGATCCGTTCGTGGAGTTTACAGCTTGTCTGGATGCAATATGAACGTCTTTATTGTGTTCTCGGTATAAGACCATAGAGGTCTATAGTAATCGATATAGGACATTTGGAAAGGTCCCAAGTCAAGCGATGCAAGTCAAGCATGAAGACAAAAGCAAGCAGGGCGAAATATGCCAAATAGTCCGTCGTAAGTCCGTCGTAGACGAAATCTCTATGGGAGCATGACACGTCTAGCTTTTCCACACGAATCGAAATTTGGGACTAATATGGGGTCCCATACGCCCGACCGAATCTCCCGACGGTAAGCAATCTCGGGATGAGAGAGAACCTGAGAACCTTCATCATAGACTGTTGACTTCCTGGTCAGAAAAGAAAACAACTCGATATCTTCAGAGACATTGATAAATGATCAATAACATACTGACATCACAGTGTTATAACTGATAACTACTATACGCTTACACCGAATAAGTAATGCTAATACCATATCATGCGGTGTCGATAAAAGCCATCATGAAGAGTGCCGAGTACCTTACAATGGCGGAGAGCGTTCCTGTACATGTTGGGTCCACAATAAATCATGCGTGAAAAGAAAGCGAAAGAATATGCGACGATATGTGATCGCCCGCAATCAAACCCCAGACGAGCTTGGGACCCTGGTCCCGTCACCAGCCATATTGACGCTGCCCATAGCAGCTCGTTGGAACATCCCCGCCAACGACTCGAACATTGGCAGCAAACCTTCCCTCTGCTTCTCCTGTACTTTTTCCAGCTCCCTTTCCGCTGCCTGCCTCTCTTTTTCCCGCTCTTTAATCGCCTCTTCTGCTTCGACCCTCGCCTTCCTCTCTGCGATCGCCCTCTCTTCTGCGACTCGTCGCGCCTCCACTTCACTCTTGATTTGTTCCAAGGCGCTCTCTTCACGCCGCTCCGCCCGAGCCAGCGCACGTTCCAAGTCGCTCATTTGACGCTCGACCCGCCGGCGGGCCACGCGCTCGCGCTCGCACGCGTCCTCCAACTTGCGCTTGGCGCTCCGTGCTGCGGCCAGCTCGGCCGCGTGCATCGAGTGTCTGTCGCGCATGACCTGCAGCTCGCGTTCGACATCTTTGCACGGAGGTGACGCCTGTACCCGAATTTGTGACGGCGTCGAGGCTGAGTGATCGCGGGTCGCGCAAGAGATGGTCATGGGAGCTGTATTCGCCTTGTTGAGTTCCGCAAGGCGAGGTATGAGCGCCGCACGGGCGGCATGCTCTGCCTCTGGAATGTGGGTACCATAGACCTTCTGCAGCCAGTGGCCCGCCTGCGCGAAGCATGCAACAGATGCGTCGGTCTCCGTACCGTCCGGCGCCCGGGCGCGCCTGCCGAGCTCTGTGTGACAACCAGAAAGCATAAGGAACGCGGGCTTGAAGCTGATTTCAACGACGCCGTACTCCTTCATCACTGCACGTAATCAGAACCTTGCGGACAAAATGATGATAACTTCAGCAACGTACCGTCCATCATCTGGTGAATTATTGAGATGGCAGCCTTGACATTACCCTTCCTTCGATAGGATGCAGCTACGACCATCCACTTGTCGAGATCACACGCCGCCGATTTTAATAGACTCACGATGCCCTGTGGGTCTTCTTCAAGCGAGCGGAGATCAAAGCTGATAGACTCGCCGCAGAATGAGATGACAAGATTGGTGTGGATTGGAGGAAGGCCGGAAGAGATAGTTGACTGAGGTTCAGGACGAGCACCTGATGAAATATAGAGTGGACAGGGCAGAGACGCGGGCGTGATTGTGCTTTGGTGTGACGAAGATGGCGTTGGCTCATTTTCTTTGTCGTCGTCGCGACGTGCCCGGGTTGAAAGAACGATATCTTGGATATTCAATAGCGACGACAGATGTTGAAATCCAGTACCACCGGACGTGTCATCGGATTCGATCGGTGCAGGCAGGGTCGTGTGTGCAGCGGTGCAGTCGAGGTCTGTATTCATGGCCTGTCTCAACTTGAGCTTGACTCCGGCACGGCGAGTTTTCCTGCGCTTGCCCGTAGGAGTATCATCGGGATCGGATGCGAGGGGCGAAGACGCAGAAGGCCGTTTGCGGTCCACAGGTCTGTGTGGCAATCCTGATTGCTCGCGTCCGTTGAGAGGCGCGTGAGCGAGCGTGCGATAGTTCTCGTAGAGGTGGGGAGTGGAGGAAAGAGCGTGCACGTCGAAGTCAGGGGACCGTGCTGAACGGGCACGGATAATGCTGTCCGTGTGCACAAACTCAACGAAGAAGTGCTTGGGCGTGCCCGAGTCTGTCTGGCTAGCATATATACGGCGTCTGAACCGAGGAGTTCCGGTAAGTGGTATGCCTAAATCTGTATACTTTCTCTGGATCGACACGTACATTTCTCCGTGCGCAGCAACGTGAGCGTATAGCTCCTGTTCTGATTTTTGGGTAGTGACGCCAAGGACGCGATGAACGTCGTCCATCGCAAAGCGACGGGAGGGAGTGGGGGGCGAAGCGAGGGCGAGTGGGGAGGACGCTTGCGAGGGTTTTTAGGGATGCCGAAAGAGGAGGCATATGCCATACGAAGCCAAAAGCAGACGGAAAGTGGCCATTCTCGACCAGAACGGCTCCACTCGGATTCTCGTGGGCTCACTTCGGGAAACTTTTTGCCTGTCCGCGTCGCGTGCTCGTAACTCCCCCTTTGGATGTACACCCTCCGGCGGTGGTTGGCCCATATGTCGACGACGCTGGATTGCGCAGTCAGAATTACATGCAGAGGCCCCCAGACGCGACTCATTGGCGCTGCACAGGCCACTTGTCAGCGTCAATGACGAAGCAGCCTCTGCATCGCCTGGTTTTCAGCCAAGGGCTTTTGATCGTCTCAATCAGCCCCCGTATGCACCGTCCGTAGCCATCCATCAACTTCACTGGTGCCGCCGAAGCTGAGCAAGGTCTGACCACGTCGTTGTAGACTGTTACGGTATCCCAGCGGCAGCGCGACTGAAACGCCGAGACAGGGATGGTGTCACCGTGCTCTGGTAAGGAGGAGCAGGTGAGAGCCTTGGGGAGGAGCTGCGAGACTGACACTTACTGCATACAGCAAGGCCAAGGATAAGTTGCGTGCATAAGCACGCTGCGATCAATGGGGAGTGGAACCTACATGTTTGATTATTGAGCGCTGTCATTCGTGATCTTAAAATATATCGTGAGACCGCGTAACCGACGGACCTACCTGGCATTTGTGCATGCGACCAGACCAAGTCTCCAGCCCCAGCTCAGAGATGAACAGAAAACATACAAAAAGGCAGGTTGCCTGCACGAACAGCTCTTTTCCACGATGCATCGATGAGCGCCGAACAAAGCGCCTGAAGCGGAGGGACTCTCACAGCGGGCAGAAGGAGGGGCGGATGACTGATGACATAAGCGCGCTTGTGTGCCGAGAGTGGGGGCGATGCATGCCAAATCTCCAGCCCTCTCCTTTCCTCATAAAAGCCATCGCAGACCCCCGTCAGGATCAAAAAGCAGGCTTTTGGTCCCCCCCACACACACAATTATCTCCTCTTTATCTTCTCCAACGAAATCATCACAATCATCATGATCTCCTCTATTGTAGCCATCGCAGTAATTGCAGGAAGTGCGTTCTCCGTCTCTGCCCAGTCGTGCGTGCTTCTTGCTTCTTGACACTTTGTGTCCGTGAGATGTTAGACTAACATTGTGTTTGAATTTGATAGGATATCGAACCAGTGCCAGTCTACGCTTGCTGGCGTTGCTACCTCTTCAGACGGCTCGTGTCTCAACGCAGCGGGCCTTGTCCCCCTCGCCCTCACTGGCAACAGCACCTCTCTCGTTACCCCTATCAACACATGGCTCACAGGCTTCTGCTCTCAGAGCGCCTGCACGAACCAGAGTCTCGCCAATGTCGTTAAGACCGTAATTTCAGGTTGCTCCAGCGACCTTGCCAGCCTCGGCTTCAACAACGACAGCACCGACTCTGTTGTTACAGAGGTGCAAACGTACTTCCCCACCGTACGCCAGATTGCATGCTTGAAAGAGTGTGTTTCCTTCCATCATAATTGTTATCACGATATCATGCTCACAAATTCGTAGTACCTCTGCGAACCAGCTTTGCGTCACCGAGGTACTCACTGGCATCCAAAGCACGATCGGCACGCTCAGCATCAACAACCTCATCTCACTCGTGCCGAAGCTCCTTTCAGGTTCCGGTTCTCTGGACTCCACTGTCCCTAAGAACGTCACCTGCAGCAGCTGCGCGAAGCAGGCATATAACACGCTGAACAGTGCCTTCCCCAACCTGGTCACATCTGATGACAAGTCTTCCATCCAGAGCGAGTGCGGCACGTCCTTCACCGGTACGTCGTGTCTCGTTCCTTCCCCTACTTGCGTGTCCTGAAAATTTGCTTTGTAGATGGCACCCAGCCCTCTGGAATTTCGCAGACTGCGAGCGGCCTCAGTTTGGCGCAGAACAACAGCAACAGCGCGATGGCGCCGTTCGCTGTCAAGTCGACCTTGGCCTCGATGGTTGTGTTGGCGTCCGGATTCATCGTTTTTGCTTGAGCGAGGACGATTCTGTTAATAGTGTCAGTAGCCCAGGCTGTGATTGACTACCTTCATTATTAGCGAAAAGACTTCACGGACATTTTCTATGCTGTGGACATCGGACCTTTATCGATTAGAATTGATGCATAATTTTACAAACACCTCTATCTGCAGTGCAGTCGTGGTTTTGAGCACCGTTTGATTGAGCAAGATCTAAGCTTGTGCTTTGGTATCAGTGCCGCCACCGCTAGAAGGCAATCTGGTCTGCGAATTGCCGCGCCTCACCACACCCTGTCGGTGTGGTTTCTACACCATCCAACGCTGACCCTTTCCTCGTTCTGTATGCTTTCGAACACACATATACCCTAAGGACCTTCTCTGCTCGTTATATCGCACATCACTCACAAATCACTACTATGGAATTCCCAGCAAGCCCCTCCGCCCGATCGTACACCCTCCCTAAGCCCCCCGAGTCCGGCCTGGCCGAGTGGACGCAGAAGATCAAGGCTCTGCAGCGCCAGGTCGATGCCGACGAAGAAGAGGAGCAGAAGAAACTCGAGCAGGAGATCGCTGCCTCTCGGCTTGCCCGCGTCCGCAGGAGCACCCGCGTGGTCCCTGCCGTCGACCCATGTGAGCCATCCCGCCCTCCGCCCTCCGTGTTCGAAAACTGATAATAAGACCTGGAATATCAAGCCAAGCGCGATGACGATGACCCTTCTTTATCTTCTCTGCATGCCGAGCCTCCAGACGACGCGCGATCCAGCATCCACGCCGACGCTCTGCAAAAACTCACAGGTGCGAGCTCCGAGCCAACGGCAGAGCGCTCCTCGCCCGCACGGTCCACTCTCGCGATTGGCATGCCTGACTTCTCTCTCAAACCGACCGCGACCGCCCCTCCGTCGCGCTCAGAGCCCGTCTCTCTCGCTGCCTTCATCGGAGGACGCGCCACTGCCCCCCGCTTGAACCGACATGCGCCCCAGGCGGACGCGCACGACCCGACGCAGTTTGAGCAGCGCACCACCATCGCTGCGCCTCACCCTGTCTTTGGCCGCGGCGGCGTCGCCATGCCCGGGCTTGCTGCCAAGGGCCGTGTGCCCGCAGCGCCCATCTCCCCATCTGCGTCGACCCCCGAACGTGCTCCACTCCCAAAGTCGCAGACTACGACGACCCCTACAGGTTATGGCTCCGATCGAGAGGGTGCCCGCGAGCGAAGAATGAGCAACTCGCCCGCCCTGCGTCGCTACGTTCAACATGTCGAGCAGCAGGGTGTGCCGCCGCAGAAGACCGGGAGCAGCAGCAGCACTCCTCACGATGGTCCGCGCTTGCGCACCGTGAGTACGCCTTCAGGGCCCCCACCAATGCGGGCAACGACATCCTCTCCAAAGGTGCAAACGATTTCTGCGGGTCTCGAGCCTGAACCGCCACGTTCCATTACCCCACATACGCCTCGCGCGCAGTCACGCCCACTTGCGATTCCACCCGCGCCATACGCGAAACCCGCCAAGGACCTGTCGAAATCTCCATCCATTGCATCCTCCCCTCCACCCGTCCGGTCTCCAACCTTCAACTCATATCCTCCAGCCCCACGGCCCTCCGTTTCCGCGACTCCTAGCCCCAAGACGCCTTCTATTTCCGCACCCTCTCTCGCACGGCCGATCCAGCCTACGCCTAAAACCCCAGCATCTGCCGCGCATGGGGTCTCGCCCTCGCCCGCTTTTCTTAAGCCGTCCATGCAGAAGGACCCGACGCCGAGCATCAGCAGGCTGAAGGGGCGGGGCTTCGTGCAGTCCATGGTCCTTGCGAGCAGCCAGCTTGAGCTCGGGCCATCCACGGGCGCGGTATCTGAGACCGGCAGGCTCGTCGCGGGGAAGCGCCTGTCAGTCGCGGATCGCTGGAAGCCGGACGGCGCCACCTCCAGCCCGAGCTCCCCGCCCGCCCCCGCCGCTTCCAAGCCTGTCCCTCTGCGCAAGGCACGTGCCGCGGACCCGCCCCCGACGCAGCAGACCCCCAGTCCTCCCAAGCCCATCGAACCCCACCACACTGGTAGATCTCTCCGCACCGTCCCCTCCAACGCCGCCCTCTCCACCACCGCCACCGCCGCGGCGGACGCCTCTTCGCCCCCTTCCCGTGACGCCCTCGGCTCGTCCTCGACCCTCATCTCATATATCAAGCCTATGAAGACCGGCGACGACCCCGCGACTGGGACCTCGCACTCGCGCCCGCACACGCCTGCACCTGCACCTTCGCGCCCGCAATCGCGCTCGACGACCCCCGCGCCGGGCGCACGGTCAAGGACGGAAGGAGGCGCCGTCAGGGGGTCGCAGGTGGGCGGGGCGTGGGGCGCGGCTAGAGGGCCGTCGGAGCTGCCCGCACCCACGGCGAAGCCCTTGAGCCATGTGCGTTCTTCCCAGTAGCTGTGTCGGATCCGCGCCTCGAATGCTTAATGATGTCTTCTGCCTTTTTATACCGTTCTCTCTGAATCTCCGGAACGCCCACGCTTTCGTGCGCTGCCTGGTACCTGCTCCGTGCGTGTGACGCGAGTAGCTTACGAAAGACCGGGCAAAGCAACCACGGAGGGCGCGCCCACAGCCCACCGCCGCTGTGCGTGTGTCATCTAAAGTTCAGCCGAGCGTACAAAAGGTCAAAGTCACCAGCGCCAACACCCCGTTGGCGTCAGCTCCAGTGTCAGTTTTTCATTCGGGACCACAGCCGCCCTCTGAACAGGCGCAGGCGCCCACACAGAAGTCAAGGCCTCTGCCTGTGATCCCGCAGCAGCTCACGCCTGCCGTCAGCCTCGTTGCACCCACGTCTTCTGCCGTTGCTAGTCCGGAATCTACACTCAGCGAACCTGCATCGCCGTCCCCTTTGCCCAAGACCACGCCCCCCGGCTCGTCCCGCCCGAGCGACTCAAAAGTGAGCAGTCTCGCGGACAAATGGTCCGAGCAGGTGCTCATTGGCGTGAAGCCGCTCGGCAAGGGTCCCCCGCCCGCTGCTGGTCTCCAACCGGCCACGCCCGCTGGCCTTATTGGCGCGCATGCGTTGCCAGGCCTCGCGACGGTTGACTCCGCTGCTGCACCGCGGGAGCGGCGTCGGCATAGTCGCATACCTAGTACTGGGAATCGTGCACTGGTCATGGACGTTGCACAGGCTCTAAACGAACATGCTGGTTCTCCGGTCGAGCCTTCCAGTCCCTCGCCGCCTATCGTCAAAGATGATACGCCCGTAGTTCCATCAGTGGAGGTCAGTGAGTCACCGAAGTCTATCTTGGTCAGCCCTCCATTGGAGAGGAGAAAATCGAGCTTTGAGAGATATTCTGCGTATGTGATGCCTCCGTTGAAGGAAGAGAAGACACCCGCGCCGTCGCCTGCTAATACGTTAATGAGAGGGCCTCCCGCTGTCGTTCATCAGGAAACGGTTAAACAGGACGTGTCCGCTCTAGATGAGAGCGGTTCGAAACCACAACAAGGTTCAACCACAGAAACTGCCCCGATTTCTCCACATGGCCCTGTCACGGATACGCTCAAGGTCAAGCGCAACATAATCGAAATCCGTAGGTCTCCTGCAAGAGAAAGATGTGCTGCATTCTTACATTGACAAACAGATCATGATGATGGACCTCTACCTTCCATCGATGTTCAGCAACTTCTTACATACAGGCTACCTGTCTATACGGCCGACGCTAGCATCCACAGCATTTCCGTTGATGTGATGTCCATTACCGGAACCACTGCGACAGTCCTCAAAGACGATACCCACATCTTCTACGAGTCTGAAGTGCTTGCGGTCGTGCATCGGTATAAGACCAAGTCGAGTGGCCTGGTTGGGACAACAGTCTGGGGCTGGCGCGGCAAGCGCAGTCAACTGGGTGAACGCGAAGACCGCAAGCTCAAGGATCTCGCGAGGCATTATGGCACAAGCGTGGTATGGCCGTCTCTGAGTTTTCGCAGTATTTATGTTAGCTCATTGGCCTCTCAGGTTTTCGTCCCTCAACACTGCGAGCCTTTGGAGCTTGTACATGTCCTTGGGGGACAGCTCGCAATCCGACAGGTAAGTTGAATCTCCAGTATTTTTGGACATTTTTGACCATCAAATCTAGGGTTCCCGCTCGCATTGGACAGCGGAGAACACTACGATGCATCTCATTCGGAGCCATCGCGATGTCATATTCATCGATGAACATGACCTTGTACGATCGAGATGGATTCGCATATATTTGCGCGAACACTGACACTTCCCTCAGAGCGTCTCCAACTTGTGTTCTGGATTTAGTTTCTGCCTGACACTGCTCGGAACTTTGTATGTATGGCACGGTTGCGGCTCGTTGCCGTCAGAGCGGCAAGCGGCGCTCGCGTACGCCCGAGCCCTGTCCACCGGCCAGTCAAGCGTGGTTGAGCTCATTGAGGGCGAGAGTGACAATGACGAGATGTTCTGGATGATGCTTGGCGAACGTGATTATGCCAACGCGGACTACTGGAAGTGGCGCCCGTCGACTACGGCAGACTGCGTGCCTCGTATCTGGCGCGTCGATGGTGCAGATGCGACAGTCGCTGTTCGTTTTTAAATTTGGTTAGGGATATTCACCGTGACCATAACATTTTTTTATACAGGTCAACCTTGTTCTGAACCTTCCAAGCGAGTCTGTCTTCAAAGCATCCATCTATATCATCGATTGTGTCTGGGAGTTCTTCGTCCTTGTTGGGAAGGATGCGCGCAGTAGCCGACGCAATATTCGTGCTGCCCTGTCTTGTGCTATGGTGTCTATTCTCGCCTTTTGTCCATAGATGCATGCTCATGCACATATCGTAGGACATGTCACGACTCACCGCTTCGACACGGCCATTCGCGCCAACGGTTCATGTCCTAGTCCTACCATCTCAGCTCCCTTCGGATCTACGCCTGCACTTCCGTGATATTGACGAAGATACCATCGTGAGCATGTAATTTGTGCCATTCTGCGTTATCGTCTCACGGACTTTGCAGAACGAACACGAGACCCCGGATCACATGAATCTGATCACATTCCACGAGGCAATGGAGCATGTATGTCTGTAACCCCGATTCTTATTCTGATGGGCATTGAGTTTCAATGATTTTAGCTTGGAAAGGTGGCCTGGGAGATCTCTGCTTTGAAAGACCACAGCATGCTGCCTCTTGGCCTACACTCGTCGCACTTTGTGTCATCGTGATTGTTTATCTATCATATAATCTGCTGTTAGGTATCACAACCCACCACTTTCTCCGAACTTCACCATTCCGTGTGTTTTCACAAGCCTTTCCACCCCTATGATGAGCGTTATCCTTGTTCTCGTGTTCCGAGGCCCTTTCTGGCATCCTTGCTACATCTCCCCGGAGCGTGCTCGTTAAGCTTTCACCCTGATTATCAAAATACCTGCGGAAAGCGTGGTATGGAACCTGTTGCTCTTCGTTCCAGGCTGATTCTCCAGATCTGTCCAATCCGACAGGTGATTCTGATACAGATGACCATGCGCTCAACCCCTCGAAGTTCTCGCACAGGTACAACTGGGCTCAGAGCTTGGAGGCAGCAGGGGACTGTTCGAGGAGCACCACGTGTGTGGGACGTTTGCGGTCATATCCGTCCGCCTGCGGTGTAGAAGCTGAGGCAGGGACGCATGGATACCGATGTGTGATGAGGCTGGACAAGTTGACAAGTCAAGTGCCACTGATGCTTCCTTTCTAGTGAGGCGCGCATCCCGATTGGGGTTTAATCGGCGAAGGCAGATGCTGCGAGAGCGTATATGTCGATGCCCATCCTGTTCGTGTCTCGCGCGCCTCTATGCGTCCGCGGCTGTCAGTCCGACACTGAATTTTGCACAGGATGTCTTTGTTGCCATATGAGCTCAGTCGGACGCTCGCAAATAACGCTATTCCCATCGTCCTGCTCATCTACCTTAAATACCCCCCTTCGTATGCGACAGGCTTCGACTTACGGTCCCTACAGCTCACCCGCCTCTTCAGCTCTGCTACTAACGATGTTCTGGGCTCCATTCACACTATTGTCTCTACCATTCTATACTGTAGCTCTCCCTTCTTCTACTCCAAGCCAAAATGTTTCCCTCTCCGCTGCGTCTTCCTGCTACCCCGCCTTAGGCTTCGCCAAACCAGTCGTCCTCCCGCCAAACAATAGCAATTGGTGGTGCGATCCCAAAGACGAATACGCCTTCGTTGGCTTCAGCTACGAAGTCACTGACTGTTCGTCACAGCCATCCATCATAGATTGATCCCAGCTGAAACATTGTTTTATTCCTCCAGGCCAGAGCTTGAAACAACTCAAGAAAGAGTTCGCTGACATACGCAATAGATTTAATGGGCGCTACGTTAGGCTCTATGGTGCTTGCGATCGAGACGGGTTCTAGTACGGTTTCCGGATTCACCTCCATTTCGCGCTAAGCTTGACTAACTCTCACAGCGATGATATAGTGGAAGCCGCTTGGGACAGCACCTTAGGTGTGCACGCTCTGGTCTGGGTAAGCAGTTTTCCCTGATCTCCTCCATTACACTCTCCTGATTGTTTTGCTGATCCCGTAGTTTGGCTTCGACGGGTCTGATATCTGGAAGTCGAGGCGAGACACCCTCTTTGCCGCCCTGCACGCGAACCCCAAAGCTAAATTTGTCACACGCGGCGTGCAATTTGGCTCGGAGCCGCTCTTCGACGACGTCCTGACGCCCAATCAATTGGCGGCGCAGGTCATCGCCGCGAAGAAGAACTTGTCGAGCCTCAATATTCCAGTGACCGTCAGCGAGCTGGCATATGGCTATCAGGAGCGCGGCGGCGCGCAGAACGTGCTCAATGCAGAAGATTTCATAAATATTCACATGCTCCCTTTCTTCTCGCAGAATGCCTCGACAGGTAAGCGTCAGCTCTTCATATCACGATCAAACATGCTCACCTTGATTATTTCCGTGTATGGTTAGGGGACCAAGCATGGCCCTTGGTCCTAAAGGACTTGAACTGGTTCATTGCCCACGGTAAAGGGAAGAAGATGTATTTTGATGAAGTACGTCCATATTTTTCTCATCATGGAGACACCTTTTTTGACAAGATGCATGAACTGTCCAGAACGGCTGGCCTTCAGTGACATCTGAGGGCGTTCAACCCAACAGTCCAAACGCGGTTGCAGATATCCCAAACGAGCATGTGCGTTTCAAGACTTCGTATAACTGATTGACTTAGTAGACGCCTTCCCATTTTATTCAGGCGTACTATACCCTTCTCGACAGCCACTGTGAAGATTTGAAAAATGTCGTCGGTGGTGGCATCGGGTGGTTTGCCCATATTTATTCTGATGATCAAGAGCCGGGGTATGGAATCTACAATGATGCCGGCCACTTGAAGTTCCCCTTCGCCCCGCGGACGTCGTGCTGAGCGTGGTGTGATTTTCTGCCGGCGAAGGATTTTTTTAATTTCAGTCTCGACATGTACGGCCTGTATTTTGTAGTGGTATGAAGCTTTGCAGCTGCTTGAATGTTGACATTCCCTTGCAGCAGCTTTCTAAACCAGAGTGACATTGTCTTCAGGAAACGGTCCAGATCGCACTATGTGCCTGCTTGAGTGTAAAGCCCCATGATGTCATAGTTCCATGTTCCAAAGGTTGGTAGGCTATCTCGGTCGAACTCATCCTCTTTCTACAGAGCTTGTTATCCTTCCGCAATATTATGGTAAACCACTTTCACGCATATTCAGAGACACCTTGACTCGAGCCTTCTGATCCAGTCGCAAAGCAGCTCTGCGAATCTTCCACTCGGCCCCTCCCACTCAGTCCATGATGGTGACGTCTCCAAGGTCTTTGAGACCACGAAACACGATATCCTTCACAAGGTTCGTATAAATTATCATATGTTCACGCATCTTCACATTCCTGTCTCTCGAATCAGCTATGGGAGCTGCACAAGGAGGACGATCGCCACCATTTGAACGAAGTCAGGAAATTGGACCATATCAAATTTTATAGGCCCCTGGTTAGCCATGACCAAACGCTCAATCCCTTTATATACTGACATATATCTGTAAGGCCTATCGGACGCAAGAGGTGCCATTTGGTCAGTAGTTTTGTTGTGGGCCGTTTCCTGTGTCGAATTTACCCCTGTTACGTGCTAGGCGTCAACTACTTTGGCAAGGTACGGGAAGAAGAGAGCTCAAGGCGATTTCCTGACAGCTCATTCTTCTCGCAGATTCTGCTGGATGAGCACGGTAGCTGCGTCCACGTTCGAGTCCTCAAATCAGACGAAGGAACTGTCAAATTCCATTCCCTACACAACCGAGCCACGGAAGGTGGCGCTCTGTTCAGGGAAGAGGACGAGATTGAGTACTTTGAATATTGACGTGTTATTCAGGATCATCTCAGAAACAACGCGATGTCCCGTATGAGAAGGAAAGTGATTTGAAGGAAAATAGCAGACTGACTGGAAAATCAAAGTTCAGGGAACCTGTTGAACATTTTCGAGTAAACAGCACTAAGCACGCGTACTCTGGTACTTAGGGACACGATACACATATATTTCGAGGCATACATGAAAAACTTGGTCAAGCCTCGCTACGAAAGCAAGAGGAAGGAAAAAATTGTGGACAGAAGCGCCTCCACCACGTTCTCGAAGCCATACGGCTTCCCCCGCTACGACATCAGTCCCGAAAGACCACCTCTGCGCTTTCGCTCGACTCCTGCTCCGACATCGCCCTCGGCATTACACACAAGGGGTCTGACCACTCCGAAACCAGGATGCCTCTTACTCGCCACGTCCGCCCCCGAAGGGACCAAGATGCAAACGACAAGAGCTGCTGCCCCCAAGGACGTATACCGTCGAGCGACGGTACGTATCTTCTCGTCAGCCAAATAGCTGCCGCACAGAGGCCCACTCTCCATCTCCGAACACATCTCCGAAATTGCGCCTGCCGTCCTGTGTGCCCCGACCGACGCCTCTTGCCTTCAATCAAACACGACGAGCATGCGTTCTCGCCGCGGAAGGCTCTACACCACACCAAGTCTCTCGCAGCACAGCCATCGAATGCCAGCCGAAATCTTCCGCCCAGCCGATCACACTTCACAACAACCCACAAGGAGCGAGAACGTATCTCTATTGCACCGACCAAGGGCGATGCAATTCCAGTGAGCAGCGGAAGGGACCTTGTACTGGGGTCGGAGATTCGGTGGGTAGACGAAAGGCACGACAGTATCTCAATATGGGTGAGCAGTTCCCGGGTCTACAAACACACACTGTGCATCTGAGAAGCAACAAGCTTTCTGAAATCGGCCAAGGGAGGACGGGCAGAGCCCAAAGCCTATCCGATGAGCTCAAGGAAACAGGTCTTCGTGGTCTAGCTGTATGAACGAAAACACGCATCAGAAGGCTCGCGTCGATACCGCTTCCCCTTGGGGTGCGTCGGCAGCAGCGCCTTGATAGTGAGCACCAGACGGAGCGTCAAGACCTCCCAAGAATAGAATGGAAGCCGAGTTACTCGCACAGAGCATGCATAGAGAGCCTTCCTGTTAATAGAAGGGATCAGTTGGGGGCGAGTAGAATGCGCTTGGAAGAAGAGTCCATGCAAGCACAGACCGCATCTTCCGATGTCGATGTTCCGCAGGCTGCTTTGAAGCCCAACACCATCTCGCCGCTCCCGCTGTCACATTGACGCAAACCGGCCTCTGAAAGCATCAGCTCATCCCTGCTTTCCTGTGCGTATCCCTTGTGTCCGGACGTAGCCAGAGCCACCCATTGATCCACTATCCTGTCGCCACGAAGCCATGCATACTACACTGCGTAAAGCTACGCTTGAGAGCCCCTCCCTCAGACCGAGCTACTGTCTTTCTCAAAAAGAGTGACAGCAGGACAGACAAGGTGGCCCACGGCAAGTAAGATACTGCAAAAGTTCACCGGGTTTGAGCAAGGCACCTGTATGCGACCCTATGGCCGTTACAATACCAATACTCGGGAAAGAGTCTGAGACTCGGGTTGCTTGCACCCTGTATGGAACGCTCGTTTTGTACTCCGAAGAGCAGCAGTACTTATCAGCCCGCACCTATCGCTCCACAATGGAACATGAGGGCAATGAAACCAGTATCATGGGAAAGGAGCGACACTGGGCAATCAACCTCGCTAGAAGGTCTGTTTGGAACCCAGCTGCAGAAGTGACACCCACATTCCTCTCGAGCCAGTACGATACTCGCTCATCCCGTGCATGCCATGCCCATAACTCCTGCGAAGCTTCTCTAGTGCCTGATTCTGCAATCACAACCCCCAACAGTACGGGGGTCTCGTATCATCCCGGTGTCACCTTCCTGTTTCACGGCTGTCGCGATGTTACATGAAAAACGCGCAACTCCCGAGGGTTCGTCTCGGTATACAACCGGCTCCCGCCAAGGGGTGGCGTTCTGTACGTGCACGAACAACGCGTACAACTGAAACCCAGGGTCCCGAGGCAACACGGACAGAGACCTGCGCGTTGTACGAAGTGGCAGGACTGTTATCAGAATCGAAGCATGGTCCGGAGATGCGAGGAGCATGACGCGCGGGAGTCATTGCGAGCGAGAAAAGGCTCATCGAGAAGTGCTAAGATGCCATTCCTGCACACTGCCCTGATTCAGATTCCACAAAGCCACCACGCGCCGGTGAAGCAACAGCCGTCGCTCTAGCCAAGGACGGGCGTGACAGACCGCCTCGAGTAATGAAAAACGCGAAGCAGACCCATATACACTTAGGTTAGATGTCATTCCATGGTTAAGTGGAATGGATCATGTTGGCTGGAAACAGCGTCTAGATGCCGCGGAAGGTGGGTGGCTACGTCGCGAACGGGAACCTGGAGCGTTGAATGTTTTCGGAAAGGCAGGGAGCGTGAGGTATTTGAAGAGGCGGGTAATGATGTGAGAGCGTTGGAGCAGGAGAGAGTGAGCGACGCGTCGAGCCACAAGCGCGCTCTTGAACCCCCCTTGTTTACGCCTGTTTGTACCATTACGTAGCCTCTCCCGTTTCCCACATTCGACTGCGACTCAGCGACTGCACACTGGTGCTCGACGAAGTATGTTATTAGGGTTAAATATACGTAGCACATAGGGCACACTCAATTACCTTGCTTGTCAAGGTCTTTCCACACCCACTAACTTCGTCTGGAGACTGTGCTGAGTCAGAATCCGTTTTAGCACAAACACCTAAACAAATGCTTCTTATGGTAATTTTAGGTAATGTAATGCTCTTATACACGGTCGCAGAGTTTTTCCCGTCCACTTCAGTCCAGCTCACTACCATGGGGGATGAGTTGCAGCCGAAAAACAAGAACGACAAAGAGGGGGCATAATGGAAGTGAAGAGGTCGCAGAAGATGGCGCTGGTTTCGACGTTTGTCAGCTATGTGTACGAAAGCATGAGGCGGAAGAGAGAGACGAACTGTCTATGTTGTTCTCAAGCTGACCAGGTGGTGCTGTAGAAATCGGCGTACTTGACCCTTTTCTTGATCTGGCCCAGGAGGTACCAGCCAGGAGTACAGTATGTAACATGATTGCTTGTCGAGCCACCCTTGTTTTGTCCAGAGTGGAGTTGGCCAACGATGCGAGCTTTACCGTTCATTATATGCCAGACGAGGGAGCCTGAGTCTCCTTTAGCGGAGAAGACTTCGGCAGTCTTGTTGCCCGAGTTGTAAACACCGAGTTCGACGCACTCGATGCCGACTTTGTTCTTGGCGAATGAGACTAGGCCGGCGTAGCGTCCCACGGTGAGGTCGGTAGTGTTGCCGTCTTTGCCGACCATAAGGCAGCGCTGGGCGAGGTCCTCCTTCGTGGCTCAGCCCTCGGTCCGGAGCTTCCTCTCGTCGGGAAACTTGAATGTGGCCAGACCACCAGTAAGGAGACAGAACATGTCTGTAAGGTCTTGAGGATTGTACTTGCATCCTGAATAAAGTAATTTTCGTTAGACGAGGTGAAGAAGATAAGCTGAAACATACCAAGATCAACGACGTTGCCCTCGAACTCATCCCTGACCTTCGCCTCAGTAGCCAAGAATGCATCCCAGTCCGAGGTATGTAGTGTGCCACCTTCGACATCGACCGAGATGGCTGCAGCATATTGAATGTGCCCAATGTTGCGGTGAAATTTGATGTCGGACCAGTATCTCATGATGCCGTCATAGACGGCCTCCAGATCGGCAATAGCTTCGGTCTCGTCGTCCAATTGGCATTGCTTTGCCTTGATCGCTCTCGCGTTCTCCGTATCCTGCCTCTCCTTTGCCTGCAGTTTGACAAGTTCTCTGGCCCGAAGGTCAGTGAGACTGCCGCGATCAGCAATGGCCTTCGTGATCTCGTCGAGGCCACGCTGGAATCGGCGCATTCCGCAAACTTGAACACGGTTCATGGGTGCATAGAGTCTGTGCTCGTAATCGACAGTGGTTTTCTTGCGCAGGACGTGGCAGTTGCTAACTCCGTACACCTTGCTGCTGGGGTTACCGTCCTTGTCTTTTTTCTCGTGGAACCAGAGCGTAAGAGTGCCCTGTGAATCCTAGTCCATTTCTTCCGACCCAATGGGAACACCGAGAAGAGCAGTGAGGAAGCGACGGACATAATGAGTGGCATTGCTGCTGTCGACATGGCACATAAGGGGGTGACCTGCGAGCCTCTGCAGGACCGCCTCGCGCCATTCCACAACAACACCGTCGACTCTGTTCTTCCGCAGAAGGGCAAGGATCTCCTGGGAAACCTCGTGGGCGGTACCGGCGGAGGTAGAACCAGGAGTGACGCCGACCCATATGACGACGGGACCGGGACACCCCTTCGACACCTCTCCCAGCGGTGCGTGGGTGAAGAAGCGAGCAAGGTCGATGGACGACCATTTGATCTTCCGAGCCTTGATCAGGTCACGAATCTGGGGACCGACAGCATCCCAGACACCATTGAGCGGGGTGTCGAAGACTCCGCGGAGCGACTTGACGGGGACGTGGGCGTGTCTGCCGACGGGCTTAGAAAGGGCGTAGTGAGGAAGTCTGAACGGTAGACGAGGTCCGGGTGGTCGCCGTCCCCAGTGATGCCGTTATTATATGACGTTTTCTCGTACTCGTCAGGGCTGGCGAAGGTGAGGGCGGAGAGATTGGATGACACAGTAACGTGCGTCGCTGAGGGTCGGGGAGCCGTGGTCAGCCGTAGTCTCCTCAGCGCTCAGCACTGATAAATAGTCGATGACAAATCGGTTAGAGGAGCCGGGCACGCCAGGCGAGCTGGTTACTGCTGGAAGCTGCTGGGGCTCGTGCGGCGTGCGGTGCTGGCCCGAGAACGTCGAGGATCCAGCCAGATTCTCCAATTAACAATTGGATTTGGATTTTGGGAGTAGAGATTGGAGCTTTGGAGTCTTGGAGCAGTCTTGGAACTCGGTTCGTATCACTGCTAGTCTCTTCAGCAGACTGATAATTAGTCGACGACGAATCAATGGGGTGGGTCTCTCTTATATACAACTTCGAGGTCTGCAACCAAACTCGTTCAAAGTCTATTAAGTGAAATGTGCAAGAAGATTTGCATAGGGACGTGTTTCGATACCATCTTTAGCTGAGAGGTTGCTACCAACAGCGGTAATCACAGCAAGTTTCGTCCTCACTATACATACTTAGCCTGGGTACCTAACGACCTCGGACGTAAACGGAGGGAACGAGCCTGCGGGGATCTGGTGTCGTGACAGGTAGAATCCTATGCTTTCTGATACCCAGCTGACGCCGCAGGCTTTCCCAGGGCTATGTGGGTCCGGGGACGTTCTTCACAGCAATATCTGGACAGTGGTCTCCATCAGAAGCTGCGTGGTTCAGAACCTCGTGCAGATAGAGAGGAGGGTTTAGCGATTCTGGAAACTCCGATACCGCCGTTATGATGTCCAGTTCCTCTCGTACGGCTGCTTCCTGCCGCAGCTCCTACACGAGGTAAATATGACGAGCCTACATAAAGGACATAACACCACTCACCCGCCCTTGAGACGCCTCTCGCAGCAATGGATGCCCTCGTTCCCCTCACTCCCCTCACGCCACTGGTGCTCTTAGATTCCAACTTGCCTTTCTTCTGTCGATCCGATTGCTCCTTTGTCTGTTCCTTCAGCCGTTCCTGTTCCGCCAACTCTTTGCGTTCCTGTTCTTGTCTAGCCAAAATTGCTTGTCGCTCCTCTTCTTGCCGTCGTTTCTCTCGTTTCTGCAGTTCTTCGTTCTCTATGATCGCTTCATCCTGCGAGAGAAATCTAGCGACTGTCGGTCACAGTTATTAGGACGTACCGCCTCCCCGCCTCTCCATCTCTCGTCAAACATCAGTCGTGTGATTTTCTCAGACGCAGCGAGGATATCCACATATTTATCGAGCAGGGCATTGGTCTGCTCCAACTGTACTGCTACTCTCTACATGGCCGCAGTACGTCATGCAGCGATTGGTTCGTGATATAGATATACACATACCTCTGTCCCTGATTCTGTTTCCGACAAAGCTTCATTGTATGACCGAAAGGTTCCATTGAGCTTTCTTAGGACGAAGAGGTCATTTTGCAACTTTTCTCCCCTTGTGGGTGTTTGCGGTAAGTGAGATGAAGATGAACCCAGGTCGTCAAGGGACGACTCTGAAAGAAGGCGAGAGCCACTGGGCAGGAGGATCGATTCGAGGCTGTCCATCTCGGCGTGTAAACGAGGGTTAGCTAGATGGCCGCGAGAAGCCGCAAGAGCGTGACCGGAATTCTTGATCATGCAATGTGGGGCTGCCACCCCGAACAAAGACGGTCGCGTCACTCCCCGTTCTCTGGCATGAGGTCATGCTATATCTTTTGGCTGCTATGCTTTGCTCTCCTTGCTCTAGCTACGCTCACCACACACATCTTCCGCTCTCTGCCTGTTCAGACAAACAGATTACCAATTGACACGCTCCGGATCCTCAACAAGTGCAGCGAAATTAAACTTGTGCCTGGCCCACCGTCCGACTTTCATGATCGCATCACTTCCGATAGGTTCCAGCTCGGGACCAAACCAATTCTCATCAGAAATGCAACTGTATGGACGGGTCGTGTCAACGGGTTGGAGATCATACAAGGAGACATATTGCTGAACGGGGGCCTTATCAAGGCCTTAGGAAACGTCGACTCATTCATGCGAGCAGGCTACTCGGATGCTGTGACCATAGATGCACAAGGTGCTTGGGTATCTCCTGGGTATCTCTTTATGACCAAAGGACTAAGCATCTTGTATCTGATGTGTCCCATGATAGAATCATAGATGTCCATTCACACATAGGCGTTGAATCTTCGCCTCATCTAATTTCGGATGATAACTCATTCAAAGGACCGATCGTTCCCTGGCTCCGCGCCCTTGATGCATTGAACACGCACGACGACGGAGTGCAGCTAGCTGTGTCCGGTGGTGTCACTACATCACTTATCCTCCCAGGCTCTGCTAATGCCATTGGTGAGCAGGTTCTCGTTAGACATGTAAGCACTGGCGAGTTCAACTTTGTGCACTTGCAGGTGGTCAGGGGTTTGTAATCAAATTACGCCCTACGGACGAAAGATCTCCGACTTCAATGTTGCTTGAACCCCCTTTCACGATAAATGGAAGTGAGATCCCACCTGTGGTCCATCTCAGATGGAGACATATGAAGTGCGTCATTTCATCACGTTGTTGCTTGAGGTTCAGACGATGGAATGCTGTTTTTTCAGACACGCATGTGGTGCGCACAACAGAATCAAATGAAAGAGAGTTCACTGCCTTAGCTCTACACTTTGTTCAGGTGAAAATCCCGGTATGTTTTATCTGCACGAATGCCACCTGGTCTATTCACACTCTCTAAAGCTCAAGTCTACGACGACACCCGGATGGACGATGTTTGGAGTTGGAGACAGGCGTAAGCCTTGGAACATTTTCGCTGCATAGGTTCCATTTCATAGCAACATCTAGGTATGATACCGCTCGCAAGGTAAAGAACGCTCAAGATGCGTACTGCGCTGAGGCACAGGCGGGGAGGTGGCACAAGCTTGGGATTTTCCCGGAAGACCTGCAGTGGGAATCGCTTGTTGACATATTACGAGGCAAAGTGAAGGTGCGCGCGCTTCTCCTGAAAATGATAAAGACCGTAATCATCCGCCTCTCAGGTCCAAACTCACTGCTACGAAGCTACAGACATTGATAACTTCGTGAGGGTGAGCAGATCGGATGGGTCATCCGGTCCACAAAATCTTTTCTAACCAACATCTAGTTGTCAAATGAATTTCAGTTCGAGATAGCAGCGTTCCACCACGCTCATGAAGCTTACCTTGTACCGGACGTCATGAAGAGGGCGTATGGTGAGGGTTCAACGTGCCCTTGCACAATATTGGACACTTATTTTTGCTTAGGCAAGACGCCAGCCGTGGCTATTTTTGCTTCGTTCGCTAGGTATGTGATACGTCTATCTTCTGTGAGTATACTCCATCCAATCCTGTTTTCTTTCCCTTTCCTTGCAGGTACAAAAGAGAGGCTTTCAGACATTCAGAATTTGCCCCTCGCCTCTTGGCTGATGCCGGCATAAGGGTTTCGATGAAGGTAAGTACCCCGAAGTACGCAGCTTGTATTCAAGCAGATCCCTCTGTGACAGAGTGACCACCCGGCTATTGTCTCTCGCTTCCTGCTTCATGAAGCACAGCAAGCGCATCATTATGGACTTCCAGACTATCTGGCATTATCGTCTGTAACCAGCACAGCTGCCGGTATCATTGGGCTTGATCACCGCATTGGCTACATCAAGGAAGGTAAGAGACATAAAAAAGAGACAGGTAGTCTGATCTAGAATCTCATGCCTGTTTTATCGTGATGTTCAAGGTTATGACGCAGGTAGGCTCTGTCTTTGTCTTCTTACACTGCCTTAAAATGAGTACGTCGTAGACCTCGTTATTTGGGACAGTCATCCTTTACAATTGGGCGCGACGCCCAAACAGGTCTTTATCGACGGTGTCCCTCAATTTGACGCACCGCATGTATACTCCAAGTCCTCGCAGAAGCAAACAGCACCGAAGACCCCTGATTATGACAGGGAAGCGGCAGCTTCCCTCCAGCATGATGGTCTCCCTCCCCTTCAAAATCCCAACCCTGTGTCAGGAACCATAGTCTTCAGTAATGTGTCCAGAGCTTGGCTACGGGACAACCATGGTGTCAAAGCTGCGTCTCATTCACGTGCTGAGGTGGGTTTCGCCACGGTACACAACGGGCACGTCATTGGGTTAGGTATGGACAGAGAGTACTTCGCAGCATTGTCGAATCCAGAAACCACCATGATTGACCTCCAGGGTGGCTCGATCGCTCCTGCTCTTGTCGGAGCTGGGACATCCGTTGGTCTTCAGGAAATTAGCATGGAATCCTCTACCGTGGACGGAGTCGGGTTTGACCTGATGGGAGGCGAACTTTCTACCCTCGTCGAGGACCACTTCATCCTCAAAGCTGCGGACGGGCTCCAATTCGCCACACGCGATGCTCTGTGAGTTTAACGATTTTCTCATATTAAACCATGAATAACACTGTCGAAGTCTGGCATATCGCTCTGGCGTCACTACCAGTGTCACGGCCCCATCAAATGGTGGATTGATTGCGGGGCTGAGCGTTTCGTTTTCTTTAGGCGCATCACATAGATTGGAAATGGGCGCGCTGGTACAGGATGTTGCAGCTTTGCATGTGTCAATCCACCGTCTTTCGGAGCTGAGCGTTAGCACCCAAATTGCGGCACTACGACGTCTCCTGTTGAGTCCACCCAAGGACGAACTTGGCAGGTGGTTCGCAAAGGCAACAGCTGTAAGTGCGATTTACCATGTTTGATTTCCCATTATCGTTTATTTATGTTTATGTGACTTAGGGATTGATACCGCTTGTTGTCAGAGCACACAGTGCCGATATCATCTCCACTTTGATTAGTTTGAAGCGAGAAGTGGAGGAAACTAGTCACGTCGCGATGCAGTTGACCATCGTAGGCGCTGCTGAGGCCCATCTACTCGCCGAAGAAATCGGTGCTGCGAATGTCGGCGTGATTGTTGCACCGCCTCGCTCATTCCCATATACATGGGATGACCGTCGAATGTAGGTGACGAGACACATGAAGTTGCCAATGGTTCTGATAGCCGATTTCCACCAGCCTCGCCGGCCCCCCTCTGACCAACACCAGCATCGTGCCTTTGCTTCTTTCACACAATGTGACGGTGGGGATCGCTCCACAGGGAATCGACGACTTTACGGAAGGTATGGCGACGTGGGCATTGCGCAACCTCCGCTGGGATGCTGGATGGGCAAGTGTCACCTTCAGCCTGCCCTCGAAGACCTGCTCATGACGATCTATTCATGGTGGACAGGTTGCCATCGACGGTGGCTTAAAGGAAAACGAAGCACTCGCGCTGGTCTCGACAAACATCGACAAATTGTTGGGCGTGCATACGGACCCTATCGATGCAGACTTGGTCGTTACCCGAGGAGGAGCCTTGCTCTCGTTTGAGGGCAAAGTTGTCGCCATCATCTCGCCTCAACGCGGCACTGTTGATGTTTTCTGATATGCATCAGACAGAGAGCGACTTCCATATCCTATTGCTCGTGTTATGTGCCACGCTCTCGCATGTACGGTATCTCAATGCCCGACAGGAGCATATATTTTGAACGTAAACATGGTCGTGAGATATATTAACCAAGCTCATGCAACAAAAATAAGATAATAGAATACAAAAGAGTAGACACTGTCTTCTAAGAGTGTATGTAGGGAGGTAGCTGTGTGCATCCTTCTTCCATTGTAAGGAACGTCGGCGCTTGGGTGTTAGTCAAATGCGGGTGTATACAGAAGTCGATGCCAAGGCGCAGGAAGTAATAAGCGTGCGCGAGTTAGTATGCTTGCATGCGAATGTACAGATGAGAGAAAAAGAGAATGGTTGGATATGAGGAGTGCACAGCGCAGAGCGAGAGCGGGAATGTTGAAACAAGAGCGTCCGTGGCGATAGGGCGAAATATACAGGCGCGCGATTAATACGGGCGTGACCCCTGCTCCTCCTCGATTGTCGGATGGCGACTGTGTGAGAGGCGTGACGGTGTGTCAGGCGAGTCCCCGTGTCCCGCATTTGACGGGATGCCAATACTGGTTGAAAGCGGTGTCGGCGTGTACTGCGATGGCGAGTCGTTCAAAGAGTACGAGTTCGACGACGAGCGGGTGTGCATCAGCCGCGTCGGGATCTGCGTTCCGTACGACATCTCCGTGTCTGTAGACTGCGCGCTTGGCGGCTCGGCATATGTGGTTGTAGGCGTGAAGGCTGGGTAAGGCCTGTTCACGCTCGGGTCGAGGGGGAGGTTGTGTGTGGGGGTGGGGTTGGTCGGTCGACTTGTGGTGAAGGTGGACGAGGGATAGGACGGCGAAGGCTCTTCGTGCTCTTCGGAAGAATGTTTGCCCCTTTTCTCTGGGTCGCTCCGTGCCAGCGTCGTGTCACTAGAAGACGACGTTTGGCTTCTGTGACGGCTAGATAATGGGCGGCGGTGCCAGAGTGATTGGAGGCCAAGGTTCCATAGGGTGTTGAAGAACATGATAACCACTGTGATACTGAGGATAACGGCCATGACGATACCGATAGCAACGCGAGGAATGGGGCCCAGGTCGAGGTTTTCAAGGAATGCGATCGATAACCCGGCACAAACTAGGCGGACGATGGCCAGAAAGATCGAAAGCACGTCCGCGCGGCGAGTCTTGCCCGGACGAAGGATGGAGAGAGAGAGCAAAAGGAAGGCTTCGATCACTACTATGAGAGCGACTTGAACGGTACCGTTGGCTTTGGAGAAGGCTATGAAAAGAGAGCGCAGGAAAGACGCCAAAATGGGTAGCGCGAAGAAGTAGAAGCGGGGAGCACGGAATTGACCATACAGCGGTTCGTACGAGGGAAGGTCTGCGAGGAGGAGGAAGGGAGACGATCGACGACCGTAAAGAAGTACACGGACGGTGGCGTAGCCGACGGCGCCTATGATCGCGATGAAGGTGATGACAGAGATGAGTATGGAAAGCCAGCTATCCTTCAAGGTCCATTGGTAAAAGGCAAACACGACCAATGGGAAAAAACAGATGAGCGCCTGGCGAACAAAGTCAAGATAAACATACAACAGTCAGTGGCAGCAGGAAGTATGCTAACCAGTCGCAAAACCCATGTACGAGCAAATACAGGGAATCTATCTTGAATGTCACGAACCCACGTCGGCTTGCTGCTGCTGCTGCTTCTGCGTGAGAAGAGTAGTAGGATACCGTAAAAGATAGCCAGGACTGCTAGTGTGATGGCGATGAAGATGAGCGTAACGAGAAACACGGACATGAAAGCGTTCGCTGTCGCAATTCCAAGGCCGTTGACATATATAGGAACACCAGCCTCAAGCACGTTGGAAGACGCCTTGGTTACGGTCTGCACCTCATTCACCGCGGACAGCTGAGTGGAGTTATGGACGCTTGTTGGGGTGACGTAAGTCGAGTTGGAGAAATCCGCCAAGTTGATTGTAGGAAGAGCCTTGACAGCCGCAGAGAGCGCCTTGGGAGCAGCGTAGTTTGCTGATAGAACGTTGTACGGGCTGAGCTTACGGTTGACGAGCGCAACACCATCGTCCGTGGCATTGACCATGCTACCGCCCGTGTGAGAGCGCATGTTTGTGATGCTGTTCTGCATTGAAGAAGTGGAAGACTGGCCGAATAGGCCCATTGCCCACGAGAAGTTGAGGGTGAAAGCGCGGTAAACGACAGGATAGTTCAGGTTGAGGAAACCGGAGCTGGCAATGTACTGATAGAGGGCGATCAGGTCGAGGAGCCTGAAGGGGGCGAGAGCTTCGGGGATGAGAGGCTGCCATGCGGAAGAAAAGAGGGCAAGAAATGCGATGCCTCCGGTAGCCCACGATACGGCGGTTTGCTGTGTCGACCAACCGTTCGAGATGGTGGTCTGTATGCATGCCTTGAGGTCTCCTGTGCCAACCTCGAGGAGGGTGAGCTGGGCGAAAGCCTCGAGGTCGGGAATTTTGTAGGCGATACCAGGGATGAAATTAAGATTGACGGAGTCCGGAAGGGCGATAGATTCAGCGCCAACGAAATTGTAGACGGGGAGGGGACAGAGTGCGCCGCTGAAGAGGGAGCAGATGTCGATGGTTATGTTGGCAGGGTGCGTACCATAGACGTTGAGGAAGAGATTGGCAGTGACGTTCACATTTGCTTGCTAAAAGAGAGTGAGCAACGGACAAGACTGGAGACGGCACGAGGACACGGACCACACTGGCAGCGGAGATGTTGAAGGCGACTGAGTGGTTGTGGGCGATGTAAGCGACATCGAACTGCTGTACCAGGAGGTTTTCTGGGGGTGCGCAGTATGATACAGAGGAGGTGACTGTGGAAGGAGAAAGGGGGGAGGTAAGCCGGGCACGGAGGCAGATGCAAGAGAGATGCGGACATAGGGTGTCTTCGTGGGCGGACGCGAGGGGCAGAAAGAAGAGGAGAGAGGAGGAAAGAAGTCGCGGCCAGGCGACAGAGAAGCGCATGATGAGGAAAGGGGAGGGAGGAGGAGGAGGACGAGTGAAGGGGCGCTGTGTCGGGAAGGCCTGCGATATAAAAAGACGTGAGCAATTTGAAGGTGCGCCATTGTTCTGCAAACGCGCATACCGCGCTGTCTATTGTCTATTGTTGTGTTCGACCAAGGAGTGTCGGGCGACAACGATGAGCGCTGTGCGGTCTTGCAGCTTGCTGGCTGTTGGTGCGACTGGCAACGGGGGCAGACGCAGATGAAGGCACGGTTGCACACTGGGGGCAACCGTCCACGGATGAATAAAACGTCCTCGCCGCACATCCGTTCAGCGCCTCCATCTACTCGGCATCCCCCGGCGCCGCTCCTGCCGCGCCACTCACGCGTCACTCCTCCACACCGTTCATGATACTTACCGCGATCGTTCGAGTCCTGCATGACATCCAGGCAACCAACAGGTGCAGTTTATCTCCCTCTCACAGACCGTCCCTCTGACCTCCCATCTAGTTCCCTGGTCAGTCGTCTTGTTTCCCATCCCAATCGGCGCTGACCCACACCCACTAGCCCCGTCTGCTCATGTCATGTCGAAGAGTCAGCCATCAGCCAGCACGTTGACGCGCACTTCAACGACCCTCCACCCACGCAGCCATCTGCTGCTCCCGGCCCCGCTTCTAGACCCCTTGTGTCTATCTTTACGCAACCGAAACGTGCTGAACCATCAGCTGCCCGCTCCCCAACCCAGCCATCCATCTCCAAGAAACGTGGAGCTCGGGCGCCAGATACCCCCATCGCTTCCAAGCGGTCAAAAAGAGATCATTCCTCAACTAATACACGCGCAGCTGCCCCGTTGTCTGAGCGCCTCCGCCCCACATCCCTCGACGACTTTGTCGGCCACCTCCACCTAACGGGTCCTGATGGTACTCTTTCTAACCTTGTCAAGCTCGGTACCGGCAGCATAGTTCTCTGGGGCCCACCTGGGTATGGACATTCTCTATGTGTAATATATTTCCTGAACGGCTTACGCGTCCTTTTGGTAGATGCGGAAAGACAACCCTCGCGCGCCTGCTTGCTAACAGCACAGACGCCGTCTTCAAAGAGCTTAGCGCTACAAGTTCTGGTGTCAATGATATTCGTCCCATCGTGGAAGAGGCTAAAAATGTCTTTTCTCTCACTCGCAGGTCTCTCATATTTTAAATTTATCAGTGTCTACAGAGGCTGATGATGGAGCACAGGCGGACAATCATGTTCCTTGATGAAATTCATCGTTTCACAAAGGCTCAGCAGGTTTCTCGTCATCATTTCTTGCGCGGGATATCATCTTTCTTACCGTTTTGATACAGGATGTTTTCCTGCCATTTGTAGAGTCTGGACAGATCCAGGTAATCAGGTCCCGGTTATCAGCCTAGTCATGGTAAATTAAATCATCATTTGAAGCTCATAGGCGCCACGACGGAGAATCCGTCTTTCAAACTCACCAATGCCCTGCTTAGTCGATGTCGGTGAGTAGGCTTCCTCAAAGCACTCGGACAACGCTCACATCAGCGCAGTGTCTTGAAACTCGAACGTCTCACGGACGAAGAGATCACACGGATTGTCGTCAAGGCGGTTAAGCGTGTGGTCGCATCTACCCCAGAGATCGTTGTTCCTCTAGAGGATGCTGGGGCCTCGGCAGTCATCGATATCGACGCGCCGTTCTCTTCGCCCGCAATCCTTAGCCCTTCTCATGCCTCATCACACACACTGTCCTCGTCACAGCTCGTCCCTTCACAACCGGATTCCTCTTCGCAAGTCACATCTCTCGTCTTGACCACGCCTCCATTCCCGTCCCATCCCCAACTCACCCCTCGCATCCTCGCAAGCCTCACCTCTCTCTCCGCAGGCGACGCCCGCACCGCGCTCTCGCTCCTTGAACTGGTCCTGGTCTCCGCTCCAACGACGCCCGAGGCCACGCTGCTCGCCTCGCTCCGCAACTCCGTCTCGACGAGCTACGACCGCACGGGCGACGCGCACTATGATCTCATCTCGGCACTGCACAAGAGCGTGCGCGGCAGCCAGCCCGACGCGGCGCTGTATTGGCTCGCGCGCATGCTCGGCGCAGGCGAGGACCCGCTGTACATCGCCCGGCGCATGACCGTGTGTGCGAGCGAGGACATTGGGCTCGCGGACAATCACGCGTTGGTTCTGGTGCGCCCTCCCCGCCTTCCTCATCGTTCGGTTTTGTGACCGCGTGGCAGGCGACGGCGACGACGCAGGCATGTCAACAAGTTGGCATGCCCGAGTGCCGCATCAACCTCGCGCACCTCGTGTCCTACCTCGCGGAGGCACCCAAGTCGACGCGCGCGTACGAGGCCTATGCGCGCGCGGAGGCGGCGGCGAAGCAAGACATGACCGTACCAGTGCCGATACCCATGAGAAACGCGCCGACGGGGCTGATGAAGGACATGGGGTACGGCGAGGGTTACTGTTATAACCCTGAATACGCGTATGTCTTTATGTTCGTCGTGCTGTATGGCCATTAACGGTCAAACGCGGGTACGCAGACACCCTGTCACGAACGATTACATCCCCGAGCGCTTCCGCAACGTGAGATTTTTGAGGGAAATAGGTGACCGAACTGACAAGACATGGGATGAGAAAGCTTTGAGGCGTTGGGAGGTGGATGAGAACAATGGAAAAGAATGGGAGGGCAGGGTTTCTCATAAGAATATATGACAGGCTGCAATACCTCCACAAAGATACACATTAGTTTGATTTTATGAACATGTCATTGTAGGCCATTGTCCACATTGCTACAAGTAACAGAAGGATGCAAGCAGCATAAGGTTCTTGAAATCCAATCAAACATCCCAATCCACAGAACACTGAAAATGAGTATTGCACTGCCTTGGGCATACACTCTATCTTCCAATGGAGCACAGCCACCAAGAATCTGATGATCACACAATTTTCGGGGCAAACAAAATCTATACTGGTAAAGACAGTCCCACAACTACAAATAAGGGAATCCATCAGACAGATGTCCCACTCGCTGGGCACAGCGCACTAGCTCCTTGGAGCCAGGACGAAGCAGCCCAAACGTCCTCGAGACCGCCCAAGAGGCGGCTATGTTCTCAGTTGAACGAGGGGACATGGATGTCATCGACTGGATTTGAAGGATGTGGCATGTGTAAACATGCGAGACTCGAGTTAGTTTCTATAGAATAGATCCTAGCTGAGTATGTTCTAGGGAAACCGGAAAGTGGGAAGGCTGGTATATATAGGGACTTGGATGTGGTCCGTGCGCATGGCGTGGGAAGAGAGCGCGTGTGTGTGGAGACGGGAGGAGGGGGCGGTGGACGTGGATAGATTACATACAGGAATGAACGGACAAGAGCCTTTGCCTGAGGCCTCTGCCTCCACTCATTCTGTGCAGGCCAACATGCCAGCCCTCGACCCCGACCCCGACCCCTTCGCCTCCCGCTTCCACGGCCCTATCCCAGACATCCCCGACGATGCCTACCGCGTCCTCCTCACCGGTTTCGGCGTGAGTCTCCTATCCATGTCTCCCTCTTTCTCAGCGCTTAGCCCCCATGCCTTTAGCCTTTCTTTCGATACCGCGAAAACCCCTCGTGGCTCGCAGCGCGCCCTCTCAATAATGTCACTTTCCACTTCGACCCGTCCCCCGATCGCATGGTCGAGGACGATCTCCCTCCCGCCGCCAATGGCCGTGGCAGAGCTCGTCTGATCCACATCACATCCCTCCAGCTCCCCGTCACGTACCAGGCCGTCCTCGACTGTGGCCCTGGCTTCCACGCGCGCCCGCCCGTGCTCCCGCCGTCCAGCGACCCCTTGCACCCTCTCGCGCCCCCACCCGAGGGTGGCTACGACTTCATATTCCACCTCGGGCTTGCAGGCCGGGGCCCGCTCCGCATGGAGCGCCTCGCGCACAAGATCGGATACAGGATGAAGGACACCGCCGGGCAGCACGCCCCGATCGTGGATTACCTCCCCGATCCCGCGACGCTCGAGCAGTCGCAAGCGGAGGTGCTCGAGCACGCCGCGCGCCTCGCAGCCTTTCTGGGCAACCGGGTCACCGAGGGCGTGATGGACGTGCACGGGCCGCTCGACGCCGTCCAGGACTCGCCCACGCGGGGATTCGGCAAGGGGTACGAGAGCTTCGTTGACGATATGTTCACTGCGATCGACGTTGAGAAGCTCGTGTACGACCTGAAGGAGCAGGGCATCGACGTGAGTCTCTCTCTCTTTCTCCGTTCTGCCGATGTGCGGCCCCGTGAGGAGGCCTGGCTGACGCTCTCGCAGACGGTGTACTCGTCGATGGACGCGGGGCATTACGTGAACGACTTTCTGTATTACTGTTCGCTGGCGGAGTCGAGGCGCACGGCGACGAAGCACGATAGGACAAAGCTGACACGGGTGCTGTTCATGCATTGCCCTCCCGCGGGGCAGCCGGTCAGTACGCAGGAGGTCATCGATGCTGTCAAAAAGATTATATTTTGGGTGTGCAAGGACGAGGATACGATCCCGCCGGTGCCACCCCTGACAGGACGATGAGTGCGATGTAGCTGCGGGCGATGCCGATATGGCAGGTCCTGGGTATATCTGTTTTTGTTTTCTTTGGGCTTCTCGGTGTGTCGCGTCTGAGTGTACGAGTATCCTGTCTCTGTCCTTGTCTCCGTTACCCCTCTCTTCCCTCACACCTGTACTTTACAAGAGGAAGACTCGAACCGCTCGGTTCGCCATGCCGCCACAGTGGCCTCCTTTTTTTTCTACTAGACGTTCTAGATGGTCATTGTGATAGGGTCATTTACCATTTACGTAGGTCAGAAGCTGCAGCACCTTTTGGGGATATCATGTTCTGGTGTCTGTACGCTCTTTATGCGTGCGGGCGTGTTTTTCATGGACTACTATATTCCATGTAGCGATCATGTTGTTCGAGTGCCACGGCTCGACTGGGGCCTATACACACGTTGCTATAAACACGTTGAGGGCTAGCGAGTTACCATGGTCTGGGTCTTGCTTGGCTGATTGAGATGAGGTAGAAGAACGGTGGGATTTAGGCAAATGCATTCGATGAATGTGAAGCTATGTGAAGTGGCGAGGTTCTCGATCACAGCACATTACCCCGAAATATCCCAAAGGGATATTTGAGGGACATAGCGAATATACCATGAATATACCTGGAATATCCCACTGAGGGAATATCCCCCCAATATACCACAGTCGATCCAGTTGGGCGGCTGACTCGTCAGCTTCCATCGCCACGTGATGGCTGCGTGTCGTCGGACACGTCGGAATTTCTTTCAAGTCGTACTCGCTTCATTGTCCAGGCTCCTACCCATCCGAAGGTGAGAGGAAAGCTAGTCTCCGTTACTGACCCAATCACAGAAGACAGTCATTCTGTGTATATAGGGTCTGCTTCCAAATGCAGGGGTCTTGCAGGTAGTCAGGATTCCGGTGTTTGCCTGTCTAAAATGATGGGGTTTGCAAGAAATGTGTCACCAAACCTGACTAAAACAGGGATGCAATCCTTCAACATGATATATTTTGCCCATTGAGCACAATATTGCTTGACAAGATAGGCAAGTTAGTGTCTCTAATAGCTTTTTGCTCCAGCCATTGGTTTGAGTCCTGATGAAGACAATATTTTATATGCTCCTTTTTATATCCTTACCATCCCTTCATGTCTCTTCTATCATTTAAAGTCAATTCAATCTTTTTTTGCACCCCAAAACTGCCCAAAAACACATCTTGAGCCTTCCCAAGATTAGCATGTGAGCTGCTTTGCATATGAGTAGGGCTAAGTCTAAATATATATCAAATTTAACTTGAAATCCTAACTACCCACAAGAAGGGGTGATTCAGATATAGACTAGAGGAAAGTGGGTGATTCCAAATAGCATGTGCCCAATAGTTCATAGTCACATATAAAAATACTTTCTAATAAGGAGCTTTCAAACTTCAAACTGCTAACCTCTCACTAGCAGCTGGCTCAAAATATTAGTAAGCAAATGCCATCCATAGTGCTAGCCACTCAAATTTATAGCTTGACACTAGTTTAATGAAAATACATTTTATTCTTTTGTTTATCAAGTGGAAATATAAAATGGCATATTACATTATATTATGCTATATAAATTTATTCACTATACTTTGCTTTTTGTCATCCTGTCAATCCTATACCTTTGATCCTATGCTAGTACTTGTGAAGCTTCCCTCTTTGAGTGAAATTCACAAGAAGACTCTTATCTTTTTCAAGAAATGCCCATGCCTATAGTAGCTTAAGGTTGCTAAGGCAATTCTAAAGGGCAATAAAGATTTTATTTGCATTTTGGGGATGGGTTCTAAAAAGACACTCACTTTCTAAATGCCTTTATTGTTCTATTATTGAATATTCTAGGAAAGCAGAATAAACATAGCCTTTACCAATTAGGTATCCTTATAGTTACACTAATAGGGAAAACTACTAGTCCCACAAAATATTAGGTGCTTAGCATAACATTATTCTACTTCTAGACCACTAATGTACAATGTTCCTTAGGCAAACCAAAATAGCCAGTATTGTATTATTATTGTCAGTTCTAAGAAACTCATAAAAGAGGACAAAGGCTTCAAAAAGCTATAGAAGGATAATTACTTTATCTTACAAATTATAAGTCTTGTTTGGAATGAGGCACACTATATTAGTAAGTGAAGACAATTTTGACTAGAATATAAGAAAGCAAAGTGTTTGAGATACCTTAGCTAAAGTATGGCATATCCAGAATGTTACTAGCTAAGAATATCAAGAGTGCTAGCTCAAATGCTAATGGGTGAGATAGTTGGCATGGAGGTGGCTTTGTAATAGTAATGATAGTAGCTTGGCAAAAGTATAGTGATATGATTTGAGAGCCTATAAAATGTCATCTTAGTATGAATAAATACCTATTTTGATTAAAGGTAAAACTAGTGTGATATGATATAAAGCACTATACCACACTATAATATGCTTTTAATAAACAAAATAATTAATTGTATTATTAAACTAGTGTTAGGCTTTAAATTTGGGTAGCTGGCACTATAAGTGGCATTTGTTTACCAATGTTTTATGCCAGCCACTGGTCGGAGGGAACTGGGACAACTTATAAAAGATCCTTATTAGAAAGTATTGTAGTATATGATTATGGAAACATCTAGCATGTGTCACTCAGAATTACCCACTTTCCTCTTACTATCAGATGGGTAGGAGCCTATTTATTGTCACTATTTTTAAGTATAACTTGATAACAAAGTGAATGCTAGAGCAAAAAGTGATAAGTTCTGGTTATATCATGCTTGTAAGGATATAGATTATTTGCTATACTAAATTTTTACCTACTTACAAGGTTGCAAGTTCAAACCTGGTATATTTTTTTTCTTTGATTGGGTATATTTCCTTTCTATATAATCCATCAAGAGCCACAGTGCTTCTATTCTTATAAAACATAATTTATAGCTTATATCAAATATATATAATCTTACCAGGGTTGAATTTGCAACCTTGTAAGTGGATAAAGGTTTAGCATGACAATATAACTACTATACTAGCATATTAATTGATTTACATCCTTATAAGTGTTATGACTTAGCTTATTGAATCTCTTTAGGACAGTCTATTACTAATCATAAGCATAACAGATACTAGGTAGCTCCACTTGGAGCATATAACATAGTATATGACTATTGTTCCTAGTATTCAATAGATCATACCACAAGTTGGATAGGGGATTTGTCCTATAAGCATGGGTAATTGGTTAGCATTAGGCTTAGGGCTAATAAGATTCATATACCATCATATTCCTACCAGAAGTATATAAGTGTATTATAAGAGTTGGTGTATAGGAGAGCATACTATCTATAAGAGTTGGAGGGATATCTCTAGAAGTTTGTAGGAGCTTTCCTATTTGGTATATAAGGCCTATAGAATAGGCTGAGGTTCTTTAGTCTCTTTTCCTTTATACTATCATAGTTCCCATACTGTAACTTTTGTTCCTAGGCAGTCATTCTGATACCTATAACTATTATCCATTTCTATATTACTATTCTAAAATAGTTAAGCTTTCATATCCATTCTGTCCACTTGTGTAATCTAGGGAAGAATCCACTATTCTTAGAGTTATTGAACAAGTAGTTTATAATAACAAGTGTGATATAACTAGAATTTACCACCTTTTGCTTTGGCATTCATTTTGCTATTAAGTTATGCTCTTGACATCTGGGGCCTATAGTGACTTTGTAAGCCATTGTGTTGTATATTGTTTGTCAAGCTCCAAGTCTTTGGCCTAGAGCCCCAAGTATAACTCAGTAAATTTCATAATATTATGTATTTATATTACTAATAATCTAAATCTTGTATATAGCTGGTCTTTTATGGCTAATGCTAGTAAATTTTCTAGGTGGCACATGCTTGTATATATTTTGTGCTAGCTACTAATTAAGAGGGCTTGGGATTACTTAAGGATTACAGCTATTTGTAAAATAATAATCCTCTTAAATCCAAATGCATAGTACTATAGATAGCTGTATAGTTATAGATAAGCAAAGTTGACAAATTTCAATATCCATTTCTAGAGCTTTCCAGTTACACTAGAATCAATAGCAATGCTTGGATAAATGTTATTGAAATATTTTGAGTAAAATCCTATAAGCCATTAGTCTAGAAAAAATAATTCTTTGACCTAGAAGCCTTTAACAATTGGCTGACCCTCCCAAAAAGGTCTATAAATCATGTAAAATGCACCAATTGACTTCTTTCAACAAGTACTATATGAATCCATCAAAAATTTTGCTAGAAATATCTATATTTTATCGCCAAAAAAATTGTTAAGGTAATATAACTCAAAGCACTGAACATGCATTCCTCCATTATTACGAGTTCCGACCTGTCGCTTCGCGACTCTTGCACAGTGCTTAATAGTATTTCTTGGGGTTAGGGTTGAATCTGAGTTTTGTAGTTTAGTTTTAAATGACTATGAGGATTGAAATATTCTGTGTTAGTTGCAAACTATGCATTGATTATAGGCTACCTACAGTCTGGGTGTGGTCTGTATATAGTCTGTGTGTAATCTATTGTTGGCTATATACTTGTGACTTGATTACCTATTACATGTGCTCTCATTTTGTATGCTTTTATTGTATATGCTCTTATTGTGTGTGCTTCTGTCATATGTGCTCCCATTGTGTGTGCTTGAATTAGGTGTGCTCCTATTGGGTATGCTACTATTGTATATGCTTCTATTAGATGTGCTCTTGTTGAATGGGTTCTTGTTGGGTGTGCTCTTATTGAGTATGCTCTCATTAGGTATGCTCTTGTTGAGTGTGCTATTATTGGGTATGCTCTTATTGGGTATGCTCTTATTGGGTATGTTCTCATTTGATATGCTCTTGTTGGGTATGCTCTTGTTGGATATGCTTTTGTTGTATGTGGTGTGCTTTTGTTAGATATGCTCTAGTTGGATGTGCTTCCATCATGTGTGCTCTCATTGTATGTACTCCCATCATATGTGTTCCTATTAGATATGCTCTAGTTAGGTGTGCTCCTATTATATGTGCTCCCATTACATATAGTGTGCTCCCATTATGTGTGCTTCCATTGTGTATACTCCTATTGTGTATACTCCCATCGCATGTGCTTCTATTAGATGTGCTTTAGTTGGGTGTGCTTCCATTATGTGTGGTATGCTCCTATTAGATGTGCTCTAGTTGTATGTGCTTTGATTATATATGCCCCTATTGCATGTGCTCCTATTGCATGTGCTCCTGTTGCTTGTACTCTTGTTGTATGTGCTCCCATTGCATATGCTCCCATTGTGTATGCTTCTATTGTGTATGCTTCTATTATGTATGCTCCCATACTCCTATCATGTGTGCTCTTATCATATGTACTCTTGTTGTATATGCTCTTGTTGTGTGTGCTCCCATTACATATGCTCCCATTGTGTATACTCTTATTATGTGTGCTTCCATTGTATATGCTCTCATTGTATGTGCTCCTGTTGTATGTGCTCCTATTAGTTTTATTGCACTTCTTTTATAGGTTATTGGACATTTTAATCTAACTTGAGTAATGTTCCTAGAGTTTTCCACCAATGTAAAAGACATATACACAGAATGCATAGATTTAGCAGGTATTGAGTTGGAAATATAAGGTACATTGATGGTTAGAGTCAGAATATTTTGCCTTGTGCTCTATGGATTTTGTCATATTTTGTCAGGTTCCCTTTTTGGATTTTTGGTGCAGAAAATGCTTTAATCAGGAGAAGAGAAATTAATAATTTGGCCAATAAAGTAATTGTTTTAGCCTCGCACTTTGCGCTCGGGTTTTCATGTGGTTTTCACGTGTTGCCACGCGAGACACTGCCCTTCCACTCTCTTTAGATGCCCTATGCTTAGAAGAGAGCACACACTTTTTGCAATATTTCTGGCTTGAAAAAGAAGCCTTTTAATCACAAAGTCAACTCTTCTCATAATATAGAGATTGATACTCACATAGATTTAGACCTTGAGGCTCTTGAACTTTTTAACATAGATAATGACTAGTCATGGTCCAGATTAGGATCTTCATGCTAAGCATGCTAGTAGTCTAAAACCAACATATGTTAAGGTTGATGATATTCTTGATAGTAAGAGAGATAAGTTTTTGGTGACTGAGAAGATACAATTTTTATTTAGTTTACTTCACATGGTATCACATGTATCTCTTTTAGGGCATCCAGTGCCTATAAAAATTCACCAAAAAATTGGCAGGTCCCAATTTCTTATGGGAAAATACCAAAAAGGGCATTTTAGATATCTTTTGACTTCCTGAGTCTGCATCTGTAGTTAGATTTCATAAATTTTAGGTGTGTTAGCTACTATGTTTATTTTTCCTTTTTGTTGACTTTGCTTATTTGTGACTATATATATTTATTTTTGCATAGCCACTGGAGTCTAGATAAGGCTAGTCACCTTGGATCTTATACACTCCTATTATGGCCATTAGTGAGACCCAATGGCACATATCCTTGATTTTTCTCCACAGAAAGAGCTTGTGGTTTATATGGCTGTATGAATGCTATATAAGCAAACATGAGCACCAACTAGATCTCTGGCACTATAGGCTTTCATGTTTGGGCTGTGTAAGTCACATAGGGCTCTTATGTTGCTCAAGCGATGCAAAAAATAGACTAAGACATTCACAAATATTAAGTACTGCTCATAGGCCTGACAAAGCATCATAAAAACAACTGTGGGGGGTATCTAGATATATAAGGGATGTAAGGAACATAGAGCCTGATTAAGGCAAGTTCTAGGTACATTATGATGTCAGCATAAACTCTCAGATATGTGTTCCAGTTTGAGAGGACTATCATTTTGCAAACAGCTGTAAGGTTCAAAATGTTACTTCATTACATCATTTATTTGTCATATGTTTTCTGTTATTTTATCATAGTCATCCCTTGCCCTCGACACGGCGGTGGGTGTGTGATTTGGAAGTAGCCTAGGTCCTGAGAGCAGTCGCGGTCGCCAGCCAATGAGTGGCTAGCGCCATGTGTGACGCTAGCGACGACGTGGAGGGACAGAGCCTCTGTGCGCACACGTCCGGAAGGGGCACGGAGGGAGGGACGCGCCTGGAACGTCTGTCTCTGCGGGTTCTGTGGGGTGCGGCTGGGCGCTGGACGCTGAGACTTCGGAGAGTGGAGGAGCCGGAGCGGTCATGGGGACTGACGGGGATACTGAGCTGGGTCGCTGCGCGGGGGAGAAATGGCCGGGTGGGATGGCCGGGTGGCGCACTGCCTCCGGGGCAGACGCATTCGCGGATCGCAGCACAGTGGCGCTCCGATGTTCGTGCCTCCTCGACTCCCTAGCGCGTCACTGCTCCCTCCCTGCGCTCCCCTCCCCGCCGTCCCACCCGCCTGACATTCATGTCCTCCCAGTCCCCCGTATGTCTCTCCTCTCCTCTCCTCCCCCGCCGCATCCTCTCATCCCCCGTCCTATCCACAGATTCGCAGGAAGCTCGTCATTGTTGGCGACGGTACGCACCCTTCTTCTTCTTCCGTCCTCCACTCCCCACGGCCTCACCCTCCTTGGCTTGTCAAGGCGCATGCGGCAAGACGTCCCTGCTCTGCTCCTTTGCGCTCGGAGAGTTTCCCAAAGAATACGTCAGTCCCTCTCTACTCCAATCTCTCCCGTCCCCTCACCCTCTTCCTCTTCTTAGCAACCGAGTCGGTCCACCCACCTCCATCCGTCCCCTACCATCTCTGACCGTCCCCGTAGCCATATTCGAAAACTATGTTGCTGAGATCAGACTAGACGGGAAACCCATCCAGCTCGCCCTCTGGGATACTGCGTACGCTGCCGACCTTCCCTCTTTCTACTTGGCTAACCCAAATCTCTCGATCTTGACCTCTGACAGTGGCCAGGAAGAATACGAGGCATGTCGGCCCCGTGCATCTCCTTCGGCCTTGGACTGACGCCACCCTCCCCTTGTCAGCGCTTGCGACCGCTCTCGTATTCGAAATCTCATGTCATCCTCATTGCGTTCGCGATCGATACTCCCGATTCGCTCGACAACGTCTCCGTCAAGGTTCGGCCCCATCCTCCTTCTCTCCCTCATCCTTCACTCATAGCCGCCCGAACGCCCTCTGCGTGATCAGTGGATAGAGGAAGTCCGCTCCATCTGCGGCCCCACCATCCCCATCATCCTCGTCGGCTGCAAGGTCGACCTCCGCCCGCCACCGAACGACCCCAACGCATCTCAGTACGTCTCTCGCGCCCAGGCGGAGCGCGTCGCCCAGGAGATCGGCGCCCGCGCCTACAAGGAGTGCTCCGCCCTCAAGATCGAGGGCGTCGACGACGTCTTCGAGGCCGCGACCCGCGCGAGCATGCTCATGCGCGAGGGCGTCTCCGCCGGCGGCGCCCACCAGAGGAGGCGGAGCAGCCTCTCGGGCGACCGCGAAGATGCGGGCACGGGCCTGAAGTGCTGCGTGATTTGCTGACGCGGCCGTGCGAGGCGCATTGGTCCCGTCGGTGGCGCGGTGTGAGGGGTGGAGGCAGGATATGCAGACGGATACAGAGTGGACTTTTGTTTGGGTCTAAGCCACTCGCCCTTCATTTTTTTTCTCCTTTCTTCTCACATGTTATAAGCTGCTAGCGTTCAAGCGTTCAGGCGTTCATGTCCCGCCTTTCCTTTTTGCCCATGATAGTTCTGATCAGCTCGTTGCACTGCTCTCACACCGGTCTGCGCCCGTCGCAGGCTTTAGGTTGCCCTCCCGCTCACCCGATAGGCTGCTGCGCCTTCAATCTTTTATTAGTGTCTAGTTTTTTCCTTCTTTTCTTTGCCGATGTTCGGACATGTCAGTAGATAGTCGCACCATTACTTTGCAACCTCGTTCCTGTTATGCATTGGATCACTCCGTGTCGCACTCACAAGCATATAAGTCCGCATGTATGACCGGCCGGTCAACATCATATTACATTCTTCTACACTGCGTCCATCCCGAAATTTTACAATGGCTATTAGTGCTACACCTCTCGTTCCAAGAAATCGACGACGCTCGGACGTTGGCCCCATGCGTGTCGTGCAGATCAACTGAACCGGGCCAACCGTCTCCGCCGCATCTCCTCTACGCTCACGTCTTCCTGGGGCGCCTCCGGCGCGGAACCAATCTCGGAATCTGGTTCTGTTTCTGGTTCCGTGTCGGTCACGCTCGACGCGTCTGCCTCGTCCACCGGCGGGGCTCGCGCCCCCGATGCGACGGACGCTACAGGGGGCGCGGGCGCGAGAGGGGCGAATTCGGGCACCTGGAAGCCTGCGGGGACAGTCTCGAGCGACGCCTTCAACGCGGCCTGCAGCTCCGCGTCATCGTCGTCGTATACACGGTCCCCGGCCATGCTGGCACTGGGACCAGGCCACGCAGGCTGCGCGCGCCCGAGCGCCGCGTCTGGGTCAAAGTCCTCGTCGTCCATATAGTCGTCGCCGTCTCGCGCCCGCCGTTGCCGTGCTAGGCTCTCCATGATGGCGCGGCGCATCTCGTCGTCGTCTGTTTCGTCACCCTCTGCCGTAGTGCCTGCCTGTGCGGCGCGCGCGTCGCCAGGGGCAAAGTGGGCGATCTCGTCGTCGTACTGTTCCCGGAGCACGAACTCCTGCTCGCGCTGCATACGCTCGAGGAGGGCGCGGTTACGGGCCACGCTCGCTGCGACGGGATCTGCAGGCTCTGGTGGGTGCATGGACGAGGAGGGGATCGAAAAAGACGCTGGATGAGGGTTCGGGCCGGGCCCGCGCGCTCCTCTCGCAATCGATGGTCCCGACGATCCGCTGCTCAGATTGGGAACGAAGGGACCTGCCCAGCTCGCTTCGGGCTCCGATGCAAGGGACGCCTGCAGTGCAGCCTGAAGTTCCAGGTCCTCGTTTTCGAGGCCTTCGGGCGCGTGAGGCGTCCGGATCGTCGAGAGGCGCCCGGACGGAGTGTTAGTGTTTGGTTCTGAAATTTCAGAGGCTAGATCGTCGGCTGAAGAGCGTGGAAGGGAGAGGGCCATAGGGTCCACGGGGGTGACGGCAAAGACGGAATAGCCTGAGTGGCCGTGCAGGAGAGATGTCAGCGGTTGTACTTACGAGCCGGTTAGGAATCGAACCTTCAGATTCCGCTTGCTGCAGCATCATGCCGAGGTACGTCTTGCTTACCCACTCGGGCCTTTGAAGGAAGGAGTTCAGATTGAACCAATGCGTGTGGCCCTGGCCTTGTGCGGCGTGATCCCCGAAGCTGCGCAAGGTGAACCAATGCTGTTCGAGGTTGAGGATGAAGGCGAATTGCGTGCTGATCACGGGTTTAGATGTGAGAGCGCTGGACGCCGACTTGAAGAGGTAGCTTACTGTGGATGATCCTGGTAGGATTTCATCGCTTCGCTGCGCCAGCGGATCAGACTGTTAAAGAGAGATGTTGGATCTTCAGTCAGCGAAAGCAAGCGTGCAACGCACCTCAGCCCCCAAACGTCCAGCGCGTTCTCGAGGACTTGGACAGAAAAGAATCCTACAGGGTAGCGTTGAATCGACTGATAGTTTCATCATCCGACGATAGCCGACCTGTATCATCCATGTTCGTGCTTGTTCGATTATCATTCCCTTCGCTGTAACTCTGTTCTAATGTATCGAGGGATCGCGCGATGGCGGACAAGTCGGGTGCGGTGAACTATCAGCGCAAAATTTCGAGCGTGAGTGATCAAAATGGCATGGAAGGGGCCCAAGAAATGATGCGTACGTAGTCTCCCTCTGCGATGGTCGAGACGTTGTATTAGTCGGAGGATGGCGGGGAAGGATGCGGACGCACGCAAAAGAGAGTTGAGGGCATGCTGGGCACATAGCATGGACCCTGGCTCCTGTTTTTCGTGGTAGATGAGCGGAAGGAGAGCATCCATGGCTGTAGCGAGTGTCGGGAGGCTTGTGTGCGGAGGGGACTCGCGGTGGTCGAAGGCCAATACGCGTACGCGTCGCGACACGCGTGCATTACATCATCAGGTGTTGCGGGGTCCTTGGCGCATCCAGTCGACGATTGACGCGCCTTGGGCTGGCAACCCGGACAACAAGCACTCCCTCCAGCCATCCTCACAGCACGCGGTCGGTCTATCGTACAGACGTATTCTGACGGAGATTTCACAGATGCCCCGCTGGAGACCAACGCACCGTGTAATTTCCATCCTCTTCCTCATCTCTTGTCTGTCTCTCGTAAACGCCCAGGACGAATGTATTCTAGAGGTCGACGGCGTCAAGTATGATTTGACTTCCGCCAGAGGTGAACACTCGGCGTCCAGAACAAGAGACACACCGCCCAGCACCATGCGAGACGCCGTGAGGTTCGATCTGTGTGCCGAGTTGGGCACTCTGGACGGTGTCGACGAAGCTGATCAGGTGCGTTAGTTGGCTTCTTCTCGCGACGAAACGGCTCACATACCGTTTGGCTAACTAGTGTCCTAAAGGGACGAGGGCGTGCTTGACGAAGACCAACACAAAGGGTGACTCGGATCGAATCATTGCGGTCGTACCGGTTGCACAGACCGAAGACCTGAAACCACAGTACTCAGCTCTTTCATGTATGTTGGAGTTAATCATGCGAGCCCGATTCAATGTTCACATTTCCCTCGCAGCTCCTAAAGGGCTTAGCATAACCCTTCATGGTTCCTCATATCCTTCTTCTTCGACAGAGTTAATTCCACAGTCCTTCAATATTTCACTCCTTTGCGCGACTGAAGCCTCTGATCCTATATTCAAGTCGTACGAGGCGGGCCAAGTCAGCGTGGAATGGAGCGTGATTGCAGGGTGCGGCTTTTCGGGCGATAAGGAACCACCAAAACACGAGGGCGACAATGGCGGTGAAGGTAGCGAGGGGGATGATAGAAAGGAGGACCAGTCAGTGGGTAGTGGAATTGGGTGGTTCTTCCTCGTGTAAGTCTCCATCTATCCTTTGCACTCGCTCTGATTTGAAATGCTCTTTGGCCTAGTCTATTGCTTGCGTTCATGGGATACTTCCTTTTGGGTGCATACTACAACTACACAACTTACGGATCAACAGGCATTGATCTAGTTCCGTGAGTGTTTTAGGTCTTTACCCTTTCGAGTTGTGCTGCTGATTGCACGTGTCAACCACATAGACACCGCGATTTCTGGCGAGAGGCTCCATACATGTTGCGCGACGTTGTATCACATCTATGTGGTTCCTTCCGACAACGACACACCTCAAGTCGGGGAGGATATATAGCCGTTTGAGCCTCGCGGTGAGTAGGAGTGGGCAGTTGATGCTACGTTCCATCAATGGACTCCAGTCGGTGTTAGTGGAGAGCTTATGCACGGTCGTCATTAATGATGAAATATTTCCACGTCTTGCTAAGGGAATCCTGAGCCTGGGTTTTATTTTATGCTTTCGTCCCCAGCGACAACTTCCAAGCCGGCAGTCGCTGCGACGCGCTGTTATGTATTATTTATGCATCGCTCAGTGACGGCAGTGGTCTACTGTGACAGCACCTTGACACTATATCTTCTTGTCTCCATACACAAACCGCTGCCGCTACCCACTGTCTATCGAAAGCTGTCGTCACTATATGGCTAAGAAAAAGTGGCACGTCGTTATAGTTGGGACTGAGCCCGGTATCTATGAGACTTGGTACGTGCAATCTTCTTTCCAGATGCCCGAACTCTCCGGCCAGCGATGATCATGCGCAAGAAGATCTGACAGAGGCATATAGGGCAGAAGCAGGCCCAAGGGTCATCAGCGTTCCGGGCAATATCTACGAGAGCTATCAGACACCTCAAGAGGCACACAATGCATACGAGAATGCGCGCCGATCCGGCACCGTCAAAATTGTTAACATGTCCGCAGGAAGCAGAGCCGATGGACTGCGCATGCCAACCTGTGACCGACGCCCGAGGATCCCTCACGAACATCATTGTGCTTTCCACGCACCATCTTCACCTCAATCCCGGCACAATATCGTGCCTAGTCAACCGTCAGGCTCTCGACCTGGTGGGCGGTCTCGCAATGCCTCAAATCAGGGCAGGGTCCCAAGTCCGAACGACAGGTCACTATCTATGTCGCGTTCGCGTGTAAGATCAGACACATATCACCCCAGTCCGGGACAGATTCGGGCCTACGAGGAGCACAGAGGAACACCTCCCCGTGACGACACGCGCCGAGGTTCCATCTTAGCGCGACGTCCGAATGCATCTCGCTCATCTGTGCACGTAGCCGGTCGCGGCGGAGCTCATACACCAGAGTACCATTCGACCCTCGGGGTTCATGATGGCCACATGCACAGTGACACGCGTCAGCCTAACTCTCGTACCGACGACTACAACTCAGCTCGGCCTGCGGCGATACAAACATCTCGCCTATCTAGCGAAGTCGAAGCACGACGTTCTCCGGGCGCTCGCATTACTCAACGCAGTGTACCATCTCCGGCTTCGGAGTCAGAGTCTTCCTCGCCTTTGACGAACGTGACCCAGTATGAACCTGGGATTATTCCAGTCAGTCCCACACGAGTTGTACAGAGCGACCCTCACGCGACATCATCATCACATTCCCCTGACCTTCATGTTACCCAAGACGACAGCTCTATCTTTCGAACGGGTCATGATGCGCTACCTGAGCCAAGTTCTCTACTGTTTTCGAGAATCAGCCCCAATGCTCTACCGTCAGACAATCCGTCACTCCCAATCCGTCACTCTCCTTCATACATCAATGCGCACGGATCATCTCAGTCTGCGATGTCTCCAAGAGGACGGCAAGAGGATGACGACAGGGTGTTCTCGGCGCACAACGGATCCGTCCATCCTACTAATTTGGTGCCGACTGTGCGATCCGATGAAATGCAGGACATCAATGATATCTCCACTCGTTCCCGAGCAAGAGTCTCACTGGCAAGAGATACGAATAACTCATATTTAAATCTTGCATTGCCCACAGACATGGATTGTATCTCTGTGCACGACACAGATTCGGAACCGGAATCCCCGCGCGCTGTCCAATATAGCATTCAAATGACACAAGAGTCTTACATTAGCAATTTGTGTCCAACATCAATTTTTAGATATGATAAACACTGGTCACCCTTGTACCCATCTGTTGATGCATTGCCAGGCTTAGCTGGGCTTGTGCAACCCAGTTGTGCAGTATATGATGCTGTACATAGGATAGAATTAGACCCAAGATCACCAATAGCAAGAAGGACCAGAATTTCCATACTATAGCTTAGACTCTGTTGTTAATAGATTTGGATTCTATAAATATAATGGATGACTTTCCATAGGCCTTTAGAGCAAGTTTTAAAGGCCATATTTTTCCAATGGCTTGGTTGCCATATTGGCCTAAGCAAAGCTAGAGGGACTTTAGTTTGTGAGATACAACTACCAAACAAATCATTGTTGGGTAAATACCCTAGACATAGGCCAATAAATCTCCCCCCCTATTATTTATACTCTCTATTAGCACCTATATACACATATATTGTGTATAGTATAATACACAATCTATTGGTTTATAACTAAGTTATCCCTCTTATACAATCTATCTATTTATCCCTTCTCACATATTGCTTTAAAAGGAAACTAGTATAGTTTGGATTTGAACTCCACAAACTACCTATATTCTTACTATCCTTACTAATTTGTTATATAAGCATTGATACTTGTGAATTTTAATATATCATATGCCCAATCCAAGCACATTTCAGATAACTAAAAAAACACAACCCAACCTTTACTCTTATTATATGACACCTATAATATGGATACTCTATTAGAAAACTATTGCTGAATGTCTTCCAATAGGTAGTAATAGTGGTGTGATTGCCTATAAGCAATTAGTATTATAGTTGGATATCATTAGAACAATCATGTACTCATGCCTATAAAAAGTGTCTGAATGATAATTGCTAAGCTGCTATAATGGCACTTTTGAACATGGCTATATATTAGCTATATGTCTAATAAAAATATAACAATTATTGAAAATATACTGGTATATAATATATAATATCAACATCCTATGTGTTAAAGTACTTGAAAAAATAAGTCAGTTTAAAGCTTTTGTGGCGAGATCTTTTTCTATATAGCAGAAAACAGACCCTCCTTGAATGAGTGATCAACCAAAAATAATTCTGGATTACCAAAAATTAAAGAATATTTGACAAACTTCTCTATATTATATCTCAGCTACACATCTTATAAGAAAGTGAGAAAATGCCATATTAACAGATGGTATCTTAATGTATATCTATAACAAGTTTACTATTATGATCACAACTTATTAGGCTTTTATAGTGGTCTATTCCTATATGATTATCACAACTACTAGGCAGCCTCACACTCTGAGGCATACATAAAGGTATAGATATTATACTTGGTCATCCACTTCTAGCAGATCATCCATCGCTGGTTGAGTATCATGAGCCTGTTGTAGCAGGCATTCTTTCCCACCTTACAAACTACTCACACATGGGCATGGAGCTCTTTATCTTCCTGGTCAGAAGGAGACAAGCAGAGAAACAAGAGTAGTCATTTTGAGAAAGAAACAACTTAGAGAATACCTATGGATACATATATGGGATTCTCATGCCCTTTCCTAAAGTAATATAAAAGGCCCATAGAATAGACTAAGGATCTTTAGTCTATTCTCTTTGTGCTATTGCAGTCTTCATACTGCAACTCTTTGTTCTACTGTGGTCTTTAAACCACAGTCTTCATTCTTATTGCCATCACTGCAATATACATTTGGCTCCTGTGCTGTATGTACAGTCAAGACCATCGTTCCACTCTTCCTCCATGAGTGACCTAAGGAAGAACCTCCTACTCTTAGGGTTACTGAACGAGCAGTTTATAACACTAAAATAGACTTTTCTGCCCCTACCTTGCTTGCACTTTAGCTTACTGCCACTCTCTCTCTTATAACCTTACTTAGTGGGGAAATAGACCCCCATTAAGCAAGTGTTACTGCATACATTCTAGAGCAACATCTGGAAAACCACCCCTTTGTATTAAGCTCTAATTAGTTCTATTTATGCATAATTAAGAACAATTAGTATTAGACATTTTTAGCTTACTCCCCTTCTAAACCTGTTCTAATTAGACATAATTTTCCTAAATTAGGAATTATTAGGATTCATTATAACTTGAAATTTCAGAAAAATCATAATAAATCAAGCATCACAGTTCTCATAGCCTTTTTATAAAGTCATGTCTATTAGAGCACTAGTTTAATACCTAAACACAGAATATACCTTATAACAAACTTGCCTTCTGCCAGAGTTGAACCAACAACCTCATGTATGCAAGCACCTGGGACAGATGCTCTAAGCTACTAAGCCACAAGGTCTAATATATGAACTTGGTAATCTAAATAAGTAGACATAATATAGGCAACCTCAACATCTCTGATTTTATTCAACATTTATCTTTTCTTTATCTAATAAATAATCAGGTCAATAAATACCTAAAAAGTCAGGTCTTTCAGGATTTAATTTGTACACCAGCTAAGAAAATAATAAACCAATGGAAAATCAATAATACACTTTATATAGGATAAAAATAAATTATGGCACTTATACAATTTGGACTGAGAATGTGTAAAACTATGATTGAGTGTAATATTCAATAGGACTCTACTAGTATAGACAATGCTACCTGAATTTGCAAATTTGATTAAAAACATAATTATGAATAATCAAGATCCAATAAGAGAGAGGGGTTTTCCAAATAGCCACTAGTGAGGTAGAGGATGGGGACAAGAGTATATGTATGGCATGCCTATATATAAATAAGCACAAGATTGTTGGAGGTGATCTTAATATGCTTGATGCATATATTTCCTATATGGCAGGCAAATATATTATTCTGGCACCACATACCAATATGACTGTCTTTTCCACAGCCTAATAGCTAGAGAAAAACACCAAGTTTGAGCATCTTCTGTATAACAAGGCAATAAACAATATAAATAGTGCTCAAAATTGTAGTATCAATAGTGATGATGATTATGTGCTGCACAAGACAGTATTAGCCATTGTACTAATAGACAAGGTCTATAAGGCTGCATATAGCATATCCCTAAGTCCAACCCACATGTTGTGTCCTATAATGACCAGTAGCAGGCATTGGCTAACAATGACAACTTTAATGATCTTGTGTGCAAGGACAAGGTACCTAGGTCTTCATAGCCTCTTGTGGCAGCTGCCAAGCTGCCAACAAAGTGGCTGGGGGCATCAATGCACATTTCTCTCTTTCTATATCCCTTATAAAAGCAGCTGGAAAGTCAGCAAAAGAGCTATGAGATAATGGTATAGGCATATATGAAGGAGAGTAATATGCTGAAATAGTATAGAATGTGCCACATCTTTACCTTCTCACTAATAGAGCAGTAGTACTTACTATTTCCTACTGATAATTAAAGACTTTTTAGTATGGAATTAGTGCTAATATCATGAAATTAGAAACCAATCCAATACTCACAATGTGTTGCTCCCGATTAGGAAATTAGACACTTTTAGATACTATTAACACTTTTAGATACTTTTAGACACTATTAGATATAATCTGGAGCTAATACAAAGGGGTGTTTTTCCAAATGGAGCTAGATAGTATTGTAGTCACTATGCCCAATGGCACAGGAGGGTAAAATATACTGTAGGAAGACAGTACTGAACAAAGAGAATAAACTAAAAATGCTTAGCCTATTCTATGGGCCTTTTATACTACTTTGGGAAGGGCATGAGAATACTGTATATGTATCCCATAGGTATTCTCTAAGTTGTTTCTCTCTCTGAAATGACTACTCTTGCTTTTCCAATTGCTTCTTTGCAACTAAGAGGTCAAGGGGTTCTATGCCCATGTATGAGTAGTTTGTAAGGTGGGGAAAGTTGCCTACTGCAATAGGCCCATGATACATGACCAATGATGGATGATCCATTGGGAGTGGATGACCAATGATTATATCTGTACCTTCATGTATGCCTTATGATGTGAGGCCACCTAGTAGTTATGATGATCCTATTGGAATAGACTGCCGTGAAGGCCTGATAAGTCGTGATCATAACAATACCCTCTTTTTATATCCTATTCACCTGGTAGGACAACAAGCCGTGCTTGTTTCATCGCCACTCCAGTTAGTGGTATGTGGGTAAGTAGAAACTCTAGCTGTGGGTTATATTTTGTGTCATCATTTTCTTTGTCTTCCTTCTCTGAGGGCCAAACCTCAGTGTTTCCAGGATAGTCATCTTATTCTTGTGACTTGTTGTTTCCTCTTGACAGCAAGTGGTGCCCATGGACAAGTAAGTTGATTGCTTTATGAAGGCTTAGGCCTACTTTTCCAGGCTACCAGCTTGTCATCCCAAGCAGTATTGCTCCTATATGGTGAGCTCATCTTTGGTGAGGTTCTAGTCAAATCCTAAGCAGTATTGCCCCCATATGGTGGGCTCATCTCCAGTGAGGTAGTGTCGGCATCCAGAGTTTGTTTGTCATAAACGTGGGCCTATGATGGGGAATACCACATGTAGTGTTGGTTTCGAGGCAAGGATGTGAAGAAAATTAGACTAGAGAGGCGTAACAAAGGGTAAGGAGAAGTCTGACTCCTTCTCCAAGTTCGCCTGTTCACATGCACGAATAGCCATCTGGACCATAGCTGATATATCTGTCGGGTGCATGAGATATATATCCACAATAGTAGTTTAAATGTCATTCCAGATGTTTGATACTTTAACATCATTGCAGATGCCCATAGTTTAAGGTCAATTGTGGACCCATTAGGGGTGCCCAGCGCTGCCCGATAGTTTACTTTTTCAAGTTGTTTTAGACCTGTTTCATCATTAATATAGAATATCTGTGGGGAAAGATGTTTCTGCATGCCAGATTATTTGTTGGTTATGTGCATAGGGCCCTAGACTAGACTTTACCCCTGCAGATTCCACTGAGGCATGATGGAAATGGTTTATACTATATCAAACCAGATAACTTATAATGCCTCAATGTTATAAGACTGCTTAGTTTAATGCTGTGAAGTAGGTAACTGCTATTGTCTGACTGCATCCCTTAAGTCACGATAGTTTTGGCCTTCCAAGGATAAAGGTAGTTTACCATTATTTTGGACATTTAGACAACATATTTTCGTCACAAATAATGTTGACCAATGATCCCTGTGGAAGAAGGGACAGATAGTTTAATGTCATTGTGGACCGGTTGGTGACCAAGGTTGTGGTCATCAACCACAACTCCTATTTGGTAAGGAGCACATAGTTTATTGTTATTGCGGTGTCGTGGTAAGGAATAGTTTCACTCCTAGATACAATCGGGGTTTCCTTTTTTTCTAGATGTACCTAGTGTTCGTTTGATTGCTGTTCTAGATAATACCCTCTGGTGTTGGCACGATACACAAATGTTGATTACAATTATAGGCAACGATGAGAATATCCTGAACAATTATAGGCAACGATGAGAATATCCTGAACTATTTAGCAAATTTCTAAAGTGGTGCCGGACCACTAACGAGGATAATACTCCATAAATGTTGAGAATAATGAGGAGAGGCTTATGAACTTTGTGATTCAAGTTGCTGAGGTGCTACACAGATTGAAGGCAAGCTACTAGTTCGTATAGTATCCCTACAAGTCTTGCAGCTTATCTCCAACTGATATCACTCAAAGAACTTATTGACTGGCACTGACTGACTGAATAAAAGTAAGAGGGAGAGATGGTCTCTGCCTAAAGCAGGACAATCAGCCTCCTTATATACTATTTCAAGTGGGAATCTCCTTCCTAGTATATACAGGCTGAGTAGAGTCATTGTGAGTCACAAAGAATGCTGTAGAAATAAAAAGAATAGGGAGGAAAACAGAGGAACAGAAAGGAAAGCAAAAGAAAAGGCTCAGAATGTGGTAGAATGTTACTTCAGCTTCCTTTAGAACTGCTCAGAACCTTCCCCTCCTTTCAGCTTGGAATGGCCTAGACATTGCCCCTTTCCTAAACATTCTCCATCCTTCCACTAAAGTTCCTCTCTATTCTACCAAATTCCATTGCTTTCTTTCCATTCTTTATTGTCTTGCCATGGTCTAGCTCTTTCTGAAATAGACCCTAGGCTCTGGAATCTGTCCCAAAAAGTGAATTATAAGTATGAAAAGGGATAGGGAATCCAGTTTAAGTGGTAAAATACTCGAAAAACATGTAGAAAATCGGAATTAAATGTCATTTCCCTTCTAGGTCATTTCCTTTCTCTTCCTTCTAGCCAGATATTCTGCCCTCTATTCTACCATCACTATTTGATGCCTAACAATGTGTGAGCGCGACAGTGGATGAGTGGTATTTGGTCAAGATATCTACTATGATCCCTGTGCTAAGAAGGGACAAGTAGTTTAACGTCATTGTGGATATGGTGAGGTCTGATCGAGATCTCCATCATACAATCCTCATTCTTAAGAGGACAATAGTTTAGTGTCATTCTGGACATAATTAGTGGCCAAGGTCGTGGCTGTCAATCACAACTCTTCTTGGATTAGGAGCAGGTAGTTTAATGTCATTTCAGACATTTGGTGTCATCTTTACTATGGTTGATATAGACAGCACCAACGATCCCTATACTGAAAAGGGACAAATTGTTTACCATCATTGTGGACATGTTTTGCTGCAATATTTGCAGCAAAACAATGATCCATAGAACTGAGGGACAGTAGTTTAATGTTGTTTTGGATGCTGCCTAGTTTTATGTCATTGTGGATGTGTTGTCAGTGGAATAGACTTTCCTGAATGAGTAGCCAGCTCTTGTCATTTCCCTATGATGTGAGCCAAAAAGGGAGTTATGTGATCTAGCCCATCTAACTAGATTCTTGACTTGAGGCACATGTCCTAGTTGCCTCCAGACTAAGTCTTGGAGCAGAATTCCTTGTACTTTGACTCCAGGACTAGACTGGGTATGCCTTGAAGAGATGTGTGGTCTTCCATGTCCCCAGACCCCTCACTTGGATTTGAATCAAGAAGCCCTGATGTTTTCTTACTGAAAAGCAATGAGCATTGAAGCACTTTGACTCCTTATAAGCAAGGTTCTGCAATGCGGGTCCTCCCAAAAACCCACACTTTACCAGAATACAACCATGCTCTATAGGCTGATGATAGTTTAACATCATCTTGGATAGGGGATAGTTTTCCATCATTTTGGACAAAGACTAGTTTAACATCATTGTGGACCCTAGTAGTTTATAGTTATTGTGGACCAAGCCTTTGGTAGTTTTACATCGTTCTGGATGTTATTTTATGGCCTCACATTCTTTGGGGAAGTGTGTTTCAGTAGAGGTAGCCTAGACTCTACTTATCTCATGTATCAGCAGTTAGGATCCCCTAATGCAGGAACGATCCTGTAAAACTGGAGATCCAAAGTGGGATGTCCAAAACACTAGTCAGACCTTGACTGTGAGGGTTTACTTAACAAGTTATGCATCATATTGTTCTTGGCCTCAGACTTGCAACCAATTATGCATGGGCACCTTCATTGTACCAAGATGAAGAGCTGGCTTGTCAACACTTAATACATGAGTAGTCATGTAGAGGGTTCCCTAATGTGGAAAAAACCCTGTAAAACTGGGGATCCAAATAGGATGCCTGGTGCATCTGTCAGATTAACGTTTTGACAGTGAGAATGTGAAAAGTCCATGTGCATTGCTGTGCGCAAACTATGCCCACTAGTGTGCCACGTTTTACCATCCCTAGAGCATGGGCTTGTGGTTAGGTACTTTCCCTGCCTTTTTGTCTTTTCACAGTTTTAAGACATGCATGTCCAATAGTTTAGATGTCATTCTGGATGAGGGGTAGTTTAATGTCTTTAGATGAGGGTGTACAGTTCAACGTCATGAGGGACGTACCTAGTTTTACATCGTCACAGATGATACTAGTTTAAGGTCATTTTGGACCCTCATTGGATAAGGAGTTCCTCAACTTCCTTACCCCCTTTCTTACCCTATTAATGTCTGTCAATAGTTATACCCCTGATATCTGCTACCTCCTTCATTGGATTGGTAATAAGGGTCTGCGTTGTCATAATTCCCAGGGTTGTCTAGTGTGTCCCACACATTGATTTCAGATCTAGTCCACAAGTGATTTCTTTGAGTCTCTAAATTAATACGACAAGCTCTGCAGCTACTTCAGTTATCCTATCCCTCATCTGTATGAAGTTGATAATTAACAGGAGGTATTCTAGGCTAGTGTCAATCACCCCTGACAGCAGTTGTTCCGCATCAAAGGGTGGCCTAGGCTCCATGACTCCTTCTTCCTTTGTTTCTTCAATAGACAGGCGGTTCCTCCTTGTCGGTATTACCATGGGATATGGGAAGGTTTTGTACCTAGTGAGAGGAGGAAGTTGGGGGATTGTTAGACACTGTATGAATCTCTTGTTGTCATGGAGAAGGGCGCTCCACAATTGTGTGCGGAGGCCTTTTTGGATTTAATATAGGCATGGGACGTTCTCCAGGACATGGCATATTCTAGGTGATGATACAGAAAGGATCAGTTTTAACTGCCTAGACATTCCCCAATTCTCTGGAGAAGAGGAGAACTGGAAGGAGCTCTTAGTTGACATACTGGGAGAACTTGTTGGGGTGGATGAGAAGGGCTCACGGTCTTCCGTCATTGTCTTCATACCAAGATGCGGTGTCAGGGTTGGTCTAAAGGGTGAGTAGTCTGATTTGTAGGCTGGAACTGGCCAGTCATTGTGGAACATTACTGTTTTCTTTCCCTGGTTGTCCTGCCAAGAAATTAGCAAGTTGTTAAAGTGCCATGGCAGTAGCCATCTGTATTACTGCAGGGATGGTGTTCTGCTGCAGGAGCGCATCCATGTGTCACTCCAGTTTTCTGGAGTGAGGATTTGGACTATAGGTAGTTCTTCCCACAGGACTGGGAACCTGTCCACCAGTTTGTACTAATAATTGTGTAGCTCCTGGTAGAACTGGTACTGTGTCAGCTGCTCCATCACTTGGTTGTTGAGTTCCACTTTTTGCTCGTAGTTCCAGAGGACTTCCAGCTCCAGGAGTTGGCATGACTCCAGCAAGAGGTGGAACTCCAGCTGGCAATTGGCTAGGGCCGCCCATGTTTCTGTCATTAGTGCCTTTATCCCATGATGCATCTCGGGAACCCCTCCTTGGCAATAATTGGCGGGTTTTTTCTCTTTTCTTGAACTTGGCGTAATCCTCAGCATTGTTGTCTGAGAAATTGTTGGTACTTGGGGTGAGGATAGTGATGGTGGTGTCGGGTTCTGGTCGACAAGGGCTTGTTCCTTGTTTAACTTGTCCAATGTCTGGATTGGAAACTATAAGGATGACATTGGGGGAGGAGTTTCTAGATGGAGACGAGGACTTATGATCACCATGAGGAGCATTTAGATGCAGTGGATTGAGAGTAAGGAGAATGTCTTCCTTGGAGCAGTTTTCATTCCCCTTTTTATACTTCTTTTTCTCCTTCTAGGATGATCCCAGATGGGTTTATTAGGGTATCAGTCATGGAACTTATTTATAGCTTCTTCTGCTGTCTTTTTTAGGAGAGTGTAGGGCTCCCAGGTATTGTTTGCCTCAAGATACCCCACCAATTTGACCAAGTACTTAGTTCCCCGTCCTTGTTTCTTTGAGTCTACAATCATTTCTACTTTGTAATGCTCCTTGTTGTTCAATATCTCTGGTAATGGTCTCGCAAAGTTTTTTCCATGCGCCTCCATTTCCCTGTACTTGGTGAGTATAATGGCATGGAAAATGTGATGGATTTTCCAATATTGAGGAATCTGTAATTTATATGCCAGGGGCCCTACTTTTGCTAATATTTTTAAGGGGCCATATCTTCTAGGGGCGAGCTCGAACTTGGGATGTGTTGTCCAGATATAGGTTCCTTTTAGCCATACTTGGTCTCCTTCTTCCCATTGGGGAAGTTTTTTTACTAAAATCCCAGTCTTTGGAATATTAGATTGCCATTTGTAAGCTAGCTATGGCTTCTTCCTGGACTTCTGTGATCGTCCTTATGTATTCAGCTATTGTGGGTACTTTTGTCTCCAAGGCTGTGTCTGCTGAATACGGGGAGTTAAAGCTGTAGAGCACTTCAAAAGGAGACTTTTTGGTGGTTGAATGTTTCTGTATGTTATGTGAGAACTCAGCAAATAGCAAAAGGTCCACCCAGTTATCTTGGTGGTAGTTGCAGAATGTTTTCAGGAACTGTTTGATCTCCTGATTGACTCATTCCATTTCTCTATCTATTCGGGGATGATATGCCATGCTGAGAGTGGTGGTGATGCCTAGCCATTTCTAGAGTTCCTGTGTGAATTTAGCCATGAATTGGGGACCTTGATTGGACACTATTTTGGTTGGCAACCCATATTGATTAAAGACATTATTTTGGAAGAGCGTGGTCATTTTTTCCACTGTGATGGTCTTCTTGCATGGGGTGATGACTATGCTTTTTGACAGCCCCTAGTCTACCACTATTTATATTGAGCCAAAGCCTTTACTTTTGGGCAGATTGGTGACAAAGTCTGTCAAAATGAATCACCAGAGGACATTGGTGGTTTTCAAAGGGTAAATGGGTGGTCATGTCCTATATGTCAAGTTCTTTGTGGATTGGCATGTAGCACATCCATCCACATACTCATGGACAAATTTGGTCATGTTTTGCCACCAGAAGTGCTATTGTACCATTTCTAAGGTTTTAGCTCTGCCTGGATGTCCTACTGCCAGTGCATTTTGATGATGAGTCTTTGAATAGCGTCATCTTTAGGGACACATATTTAGTCATCATGCCTGGTAATTCCATTTTCGTGTGTCCATTTTCCTAGGATTCCCTTCATTGCTTGTGGGCCTTCTTGTAGTAGTTTAGCAAGGGCTGTCCTTGTTAAAGTGTCTTGTTCTGATTGCAAGTATTGGGTGAGGGAAATAAGATCTGAGAACACAATTTCTGTGGATTTGACATGCCTCATTAGGCTCAGTTCTGCCAATATTTTGTTTAAACTGTTAAAAAGTTTGAGTAAGAGTAGTATTTGAGCTTTGTTGTCAGATTCTACCCCCTCACTTAGATCTGGATGCTTAGATAGAGCATCGGAGTGATTGGTTGACCCTGCTTTATAGCTGAGGGAAAAATTGAATCTGCTCAAATAAAGGCTCTAGCGGGCATATTGTTATAACAAATCCTGTGCCGTTTGGAAATGTTCCAGGTTCTTATGGTCTATCCAGATCTTGAAGGGATGTTGCACTCCTTCAAGATAGTGGTTCCAATGTTCCAAGGCCTTTATAATAGCCAGGAATTTGCGATCATGGACATCATAGTTTTGTTCTGCTAGGAAGAATGATCCAGAAAGGAAAGCCACTGGGTGCCAATTGCTATCTTCTCCTTCTTGTGGGAGGGTGGCTCTATATGCAATTAGTAATGCATCTGCCACTAGTTGGTACAGGCGCATGGGATCTGGTAATATGCTAGAGGTGGCTCTAAGTGCCGAGCATAACACCAAAACAATTTCTAATGCAGGGGGTGCTGGAGCTAGTATCTAATACACAAGGAATTGTTAGTGATAAAAGAAGCAACGAGGAGTATGAGATTATAGCGCTCAAATAGTTTTGGGACTGTGCCAAACACTGACCAAACGTTCGGCCAGTCGTATCGGGGATTTGGTCAGTAACGAGAAGGTAGTGTTGCGACTAACAACTACGTGCTTTAAGAGCCACATGGGACTCTGACAATATACAAGGGAGGACAAGGGGTACGAGCAAAGAGACGAGTATGAATGCAAACAAGGCCAAACAATGAGGATGACAAGTTTTTGGAAGTCAACGAAGACGATTTCGATGGTTGAGATGTGTGCAAATGATCTCTGAACTGTGGGGTGTGAAAGCTGCTCTATTCTAGAGTTGTATGTAGGCTTTTTACAGTAAACAGAGCCCCTAAGTAAAATATCAAACAAGAAATAAGAGTAGATGTTGAATGGGCACCAAGCTCTAGCGAACAGAGAAGATAAGAAGGTAGGTGAGATGTCCATATGAGTTCCAAAGGTGATAAGGTAAAAGTTAATCAGTGATGGTGAAATCCTGAATGTTTGGGATCTGTTGCCCAAGCATAGGTAGCAGGAACAGGTGCCGGAGAATCAATGAAAATAAGAAAGAAGTAATGTATGACCAGGGTGGCCAAGTAATGGTGCAAGATCACATTTGACTGACCATGTGGAAGTTGGGAAGATAAGCGATAAGGACCAACTGACTCATGGAGCACATCAGCTGATACGGAATACTGGCTCTGATCTCGTAAACACCTATTGTAACACTCCTGTGCGGTTATAGTAAGTATGTAAAGTGTGGGTGAACTGCCCCAAGTGCTGCCGACTGTCTTTTGGTGGCTTACGGTCAGTCGGGTGGAAACCAACCATGTTTGGTGTGAGCTGGTGTCTTCGATACTTGTCTAGCACTGTTTGGTATCTTTCCAAAGCTTCCTGAATACCTCCCTCGGACCCTAGCATGGGTGCATGCTTATCAGCACTTGCCCCAAGGCAATGCAAGGCCACAAACTATATCCGGAATGATGTAAAACTACCAAAGGCTTGGTCCACAATGACTATAAACTACTAGGGTCTGCAATAACATTAAACTAGTCTTCATCCAAAACAATGGAAAACTATCCCCATCTGAGATGACATTAAACTACTATTGACCCATGGAGTGTGGTTGTCTTCTGGTGAAGTGCAGGTCTTTAAGAGGCCCATGTTGCAGAACCCTGCCTATAAGTGGTCAAAGTGCTTCAATATTCACTCATTTTCCGGTAGAAGAACATCAGGTCATCTTGGTTCAAATCCAAGCAAGGGGTCTGGGGATGTAGAAGAGCATACATTTCTTCATGGTGCACCCAGTCTAGTCCTAGAGTTTAAGTACAAGGAATTCCACTCCAAGACCTAGTCAGTAGGCAACTAGGACACATGCCTTGAGTCAGGAATCTAGTTAGACAGGCTAGATCACATGACTCCCTTTGGCTTACATCACAGAAGCACAACAAGAACTGGCTATTTATATCAAAAGTCTATTCTGCTGACACATGCATCTGAAATGATGTTAAACTGCTATCCCTTAGTTCTAGGGATTGGGTGGCAACATTTCAATCATAAAGGTGCACCATGTCCAAAATAATGTTAAACTACCATTCTTTTATGGATAGGGATCATGTATAGGGTCTTTAAATCACAAAGGTCACTGATATGCTAGAGGTGGCTCTAAGTGCCAAGCACAACACCAAAACAACCTCTAATACAAGGGGTGCTGGAGCTAGTATCTGATACCTAAGGAATCATTAGTTAGGACTTGGGAAAGTGAAGGTGCATTGAAGAGTAATGAGAAGGGTGAGATTAAAGCACCCAAATGGTTTAGGGACTATACTGAACACCAACCAAATGTTTGGTCAGTCATATTGGCAATTTGGTTAATAATGAGAAGGTAGTGTCATGACTGACAACTATGTGCTTCAAGAGCCACACAGGACTCTGACAATATACAAAAGAAGATGAGGGGTATGAGCAAAGAAACAAGTATGAACATGAACAAGGCCAAATGACAAGGATGACAAGTTTTTGGGAATCGATGAAGGCAATTTCAATGTTTAAGACAAGTACAAATGAGCTCTGAACTGTGGGGTGCAAAAGCTGGTTTATTCCAGAGTTGTACGTAGGTTTTTATAGTAAGCAGAGCCCCTAAGTAAAATATTGAACAAGAGATAAGAGTAGATGTCAAATAGATGCCAAGCCATAGTGATCAGAAAAAATAAAAAGGTAGGTGAAATGTCCATATAGGTTCCAAAGGTGATAAGGTAAAAGTTAATCAGTGATGGTAAAATCCCAAATGTTCAGGATCTGTCACCTAAGCATAGGTAGCCTAAGCAGGTATTGGAAAACCAATGAAAATAAAGAAAAAGTAACATACGACCAGGATGGCCAAGTAACAGTGCAAGATCATGTTTGAACAACCACACAGAAGTTGGAAAGATAAGTAATAAGGACCAACCAACTCATAGAGAACATCAGCCAATATGGAATACTGGCTCCAATCTTGTAAACACCTATCATAATATTCTTCAGTGGTCATAGTAAGTATGTGAAGTATGGGCAAACTGACCTAGGTCATCTGGAAAACTACCCCCTTGTATTAAGCTCTAATTAGCTATAATTAATGCTCTACTATACTAAATTATGAAAGATTAGGATTAGACATTTTTAGCTTACCCCCCCTCTAAACCTGTTCTAATTAGACATAATTTTCCTAAATTAGGAATTATTAAGATTGATTATAGCTTCAAATTTCGGAAAAATCATAATAAATCAAGCATCACAGTTCTTGTAGCCTTCTTATAGAGTTATGTCTATTAAAGCACTAGTTGAATACCTAAACACAGAATATACCTTATAACAAACTTGCCTTCTGCCAGAGTTGAACTAACAACCTCATGTATGCAAGCACCCGGGACAAATGCTCTAGCCACTAAGCCACAAGGTCTAAGATATAAAATTGGTAATCAGAATAAGTAGACATAATATAGGCAACCTCAATATCTCTGATTTTATTTAACATTTATCTTTCTTCTCTCTTATAAATAAACAGGTCAATAAATACCCAAAAAGTCAGATCTTTTAGGATTTAGTTTAAACACCAGCTAAGAAGATAATAAACCAATAGAAAATAAATAATACACTTTATATAGGGTAAAAACAAATTGTGGCACTTATACAATTTGGACTGAGAATGTGTAAAACTATAATTGAGTGTAATATTCAATGGGACTCTACTAGTATAGACAATGCTACCTGAATTTGCAAATTTGATCGAAAACATAATTATAAATAATTAGCCATAATTAGCTCAAATTAGTATTATTAATAATTATCAATAATTTAGATCCAATAAGAAAGAGGGGTTTTCTAAAGAGCCACTAGTGAGGTAGAGGGTGAGGACAAGGGTACATATATGGCATGCCTATGTATAAATAAGCACAAGATTGTTAGAGATGATCTTGATATGCTTAGTGCACATATTTCCTACATGGCAGGCAAATATATTATTCTGGTACCATATACCAACATGACTGTCTTTTCCATAGCCCAATAGCTAGATGAAAACACCAAGTTTGAGCATCTTCTGTATAACAAAGCAATGGACAGTGTGGATGGCACTAAGAATTATAATATCAATAGTAGTGATGATTATGTGCTGCACAAGACAGTATTAACCGCTACACTAATGAACAAGGTCTGCAAGGCTGCATGTAGCACATTCCTAAGCCCAACCTGCATGTTGTGTCCTATAATGACCAGTAGCAGGCATTGGCTAACAATGACAACTTTAATGATCTTATACGCGAGACCAAGGTACTGAGACCTTCATAGTCTCTTGTGGCAGCTGCTAAGCTGCTAACAAAGTGGCTGGGGCATCAACGCATATCTCTCACTTTTTATGTCCCTTGTAAAGGCAGCTAGAAAGTTAGCAAAAAAGCTACAAGATAATGGTGCAGGCATATATGAAGAAGAGTAATGTGCTAAAATATTATAGAATGTGCCACATCTTTACCTTCTCACTGATAGAGCAGTAGTACTTACTATTTCCTATTGCTGATTAAAGACTTCTTATTATGGAATTAGTGCTAATGTTATAAAATTAGAAACCAATCCAATGCTCATAATCTGTTGCTCCCAATTAGGAAATTAGATACTTTTAGATGCTATTAATACTTTTAGATAATTTTAGACACTATTAGATATAATCCAAAGCTAATACAAGGGGGTAGTTTTCCAGATAGTGCTGCTGAACATCTTTTGGTGGGTTGTGGTCAGTCGGGTGGGGACCAATCATGTTCAGTAATAGTTGGCATCTTCAGTGCTTGTTTAGTGCTATTTGGTATCTCCCCAAATCTTCCTGAATACCTCCCTCAGACCCTAGAGCAGGTGTATGCTCATCATTGCATATGTTCACAATGACACTAAACTAGTGTCCCTTTTAGCATAGGGATTGTGTGGGGATATCTTGATCAGATATCACCATGTCCGCAATGATGATAAACTACTTGCTTCTTACCAAATAGGAGTTATGATTAGCAACCCAGAGTCCTAATCAGTCCGCAATAACCTTGAACTACTGCCCCCTTTCTGCATGGGGATCATAGGGAGATATTGACAAAGAGTATCACCCTCATTTGCAATGACAATAAACTATTTGTCCCTTTCTTCCACAGAGATCTTGATGTCTATTTGTGCATGCAAACAGGCAGTCTTGGAGAAGGAGTCAGACTCCTCCTATCTCCTTACTGTGCCCTTCCAGTCTAACTCTCTTTACATCCTTGCCTTGAACCCAACACTACATGTGGTATTCCCCACCATAGGCCCACGTTTGTGACAAACAAACTCTGGACACTGATACTACCTCACTGGAAATGAGCTTATCATATGGGAGCAATACTGCTTGGGATTGGCTAGGACCTTAACCAGAGATGAGCTCACCATATGGGAGCAATATTGCTTAGGATGACATGATGGTAGTCTAGGGAAGTAGGCCTAAGCCTTTGTAAAGCAATCAACCTACTTGTCCATAGAAACCACTTGCCATCAAGAGAAAATAACAATCACAGAGATAAATGACTATCCTGGAAACACTAAGGTTTGGCCCTCAGAGAAGGAAGAAGAAGAAATTGATGACACAAATCACCCACAAGCTTGAGTTTCTACTCATCCATTTACCATTTGCATTCATATGCCTTTATTGATGCCATTCCAGGGTGAACTGGAGTAAGACTATTGGGCAGGGACCCATGGCAAAACAAATTGATAGGTAAAGGAAGAACATCCTATAGATGAGGGGTTTGGAATGCCCCAACAGTCAATAGACAAACAGCTTAATCAAGATGGAAAACCTCTAAAGGATCAAATGATGTAAGTTAGTCTTCCTCCCAGAAAATACAGTCATATCCCAGAAGACGTATCCAGTTAATACATTGTTGGATCAAGAAAGCAAATCGTATATGGAATGGCAATAAAATGCAAGGCATTGTCTTACCAGGTGAATAGGATATAGAAAGGGGGTATTATTATGATTACAACATTTGGAAAAACACCCCCTTGTATTAGCTCCAGATTATATCTAATAGTGTCTAAAAGTATCTAAAAGTGTTAATAGTATCTAAAAGTGTCTAATTTCCTAATCGGGAGCAACACATTGTGAGTATTGGATTGGTTTCTAATTTCATGATATTAGCACTAATTCCATACTAAAAAGTCTTTAATTATCAGTAGGAAATAGTAAGTACTACTGCTCTATTAGTGAGAAGGTAAAGATGTGGCACATTCTATACTATTTCAGCATATTACTCTCCTTCATATATGCCTATACCATTATCTTATAGCTCTTTTGCTGACTTTCCAGCTGCTTTTATAAGGGATATAGAAAGAGAGAAATGTGCATTGATGCCCCCAGCCACTTTGTTGGCAGCTTGGCAGCTGCCACAAGAGGCTATGAAGACCTAGGTACCTTGTCCTTGCACACAAGATCATTAAAGTTGTCATTGTTAGCCAATGCCTGCTACTGGTCATTATAGGACACAACATGTGGGTTGGACTTAGGGATATGCTATATGCAGCCTTATAGACCTTGTCTATTAGTATAATAGCTAATACTGTCTTGTACAGCACACAATCATCATCACTATTGATATTACAATTTTTAGCACTATTTATATTGTTTATTGCCTTGTTATACAGAAGATGCTCAAACTTGGTGTTTTTCTCTAGCTATTAGGCTGTGGAAAAGGCAGTCATATTAGTATGTGGTGCCAGAATGATATATATGCCTGCCATATAGGAAATATATGCATCAAGCATATTAAGATCACCTCCAACAATCTTGTGCTTATTTATATATAGGCATGCCATACATATACTCTTGTCCCCATCCTCTACCTCGCTAGTGGCTATTTGGAAAACCCCTCTCTCTTATTGAATCTTGATTATTCATAATTATGTTTTTGATCAAATTTGCAAATTCAGGTAGCATTGTCTATACTAGTAGAGTCTCATTGAATATTACACTCAATCATAGTTTTACACATTCTCAGTCCAAATTGTATAAGTGCCATAATTTATTTTTATCCTATATAAAGTGTATTATTGATTTTCCATTGGTTTATTATTTTCTTAGCTGGTGTACAAATTAAATCCTGAAAGACCTGACTTTTTAGGTATTTATTGATTTATTTATTTATAAGATAGAGGAAAGATAAATGTTAAATAAAATCAGAGATGTTGAGGTTGCCTATATTATGTCTACCTCTTTAGATTACCAAGTTCATATATTAGACCTTGTGGCTTAGTGGCTTAGAGCATCTGTCCCAGGTGCTTGCATACATGAGGTTGTTGGTTCAACTCTGGCAGAAGGCAAGTTTGTTATAAGGTATATTCTGTGTTTAGGTATTAAACTAGTGCTCTAATAGACATGACTTTATAAGAAGGCTATGAGAACTGTGATGCTTGATTTATTATGATTTTTCTGAAATTTCAAGTTATAATGAATCCTAATAATTCCTAATTTAGGAAAATTATGTCTAATTAGAACAGGTTTAGAGGGGGGGGGTAAGCTAAAAATGTCTAATCCTAATCTTTCATAATTTAGTATAGTAGAGCATTAATTATAGCTAATTAGAGCTTAATACAAGGGGGTGGTTTTCCAGATGAACTTATCAGGCCTTTACAGTGGTCTATTCCAATATGATCATCACAACTATTAGGCAGTCTCACACTCTGGGGCATACATAAAGGTACAGATATTATCTTTGGTCATCCACTCCCAGCAGATCATCCATCACTGGTTGAGTCTCACAAGCCTATTGCAACAGGCATCCTTTCCCACCTTACAAACTACCCACATATGGGCATGGAGCTCCTTGTCTTCCTAGTCGGAAGGAGAGAAGCAGAGAAGCAAGAGTAGTCATTTTGAGAAAGAAACAACTTAGAGAATACCTATGAATATATATATGGGATTCTCATGCCCTTTCCTAAAATAGTATAAAAGGCCCATAGAATAGGCTAAGGATCTTTAGTCTATTCTCTTTGTGCTATTGCAGTCTTCATATTGCAAATCTTCATTCTACTATGGTCTTTAAACCACAGTTTTCATTCTTATTGCTATCACTGCAATAAACATTTGGCTCCTATGCTGTGCATACAATTGAGACCATTGTTCCACTCTTCTTCCATGAGCGACCTAGGGAAGAACCTTTTACTCTTGGGGTTACCAAATGAGTAGTTTATAACATTTACTATCTGATTAGTTAGTATAGAGCAGACCTATTGAGGGTTAGTAATTTGAATACATGCAATCTATACCAATAGAGTTATCTTGAAGCAAAGGCCTATGATTTCTAGCAATATTCATAGTAATAGTGGTCTATAATCATTCAAGGCCCTGATTATCATATTGTTATATATGTTCTTGGAGAAAACAGTCAACATAATTAGCTTCTCCTAGCTTCATATTCTGTGCATAATAAATAACATATATAGAAAAGTCTGTCAAATATTCTTCAATTTTTAGTAATCCAGAATTATCTTTGGTTGACCACTTTTTCTAGGAGGGTCTGTTTTCTGCTACATAGAGAAAGATCTCACCACAAAAGCTTTGTACTGACTAATTTTTCCAAGTACTTTAACACATAGGATGTGAATATCATACATTATACACCAGTATATTTCCAATAATTGTCATATTTTTGTTAGATATACAGCTAACATACAGCTATATTTAAAAGTGCTATTATGGCAGCTCAGCAATTGCTATTCAGATACTATTCATGGGCATGAGTACTTGTGTGCATATATAGATACACCATAGCTATGCTTGGAATTTGATGTCATATGTATTTTCTAGTTTGACTTCCAGAACTAAAAAAAAACCAAATTATCTGCCAATATGCTAGTAATGCCTCTAAGTGCAAAACATATCCAAGAAACACCTCTATAAGTGTGAGTAGGTAAGAGCTGGTTCTAGTATACAAGAAACTGTTAGCTATGCAATAACTAACAAGGGAGTGTACTAAAAGTGTTTGAAGTGCAGCTACAATCAAAGTAACACAGACACAACTAGCAGGATGTATAGGCTGTTTAAATACAATATGGACCAAACAAATAACTCTAAAATCAAAATATTTGGCTAGGTAGTATTTGATTGGCTTTTAATTAGAATGCAAAGGAAAGGGAATAAGTGCAAGGATATACTGGATACTAGCAAAGGACAACAAACTAGATAAGAGAGAAAGAGAGAGAAAGGCAACAAGGGCTTTGATAGAGGATTGCAATGAAATGCAATAACATAAACAAAAAAGTGAAACATGAACAAAGATCAGAAGACAAAGACTCATGGACTCAAGTACACAAATAAAATCAGAATAAAAGAGAAGCCAAAGCTGCTTTATTATGAAGGCTATAGATATTTTTTTATAGTAAGGCTGAACAGGTACAAAATAAGGAGATTAGCAGAGGCATGGAGTAATTGGAAATGCATGCCAAGAGCTATTAAATATGAAGAAGATAAAGAAGTAATGGTACAAACAATATGAGATAAGAAGCAATAGCTCTAAAGTCTAAATAAGTAAAGAGATTGCCAAGGTAAGTATATATAAGCCTGGAGATAAGAATCACATAATAAGTAAACCAATCAGAAATATGGAAGCTTTCAAAATAAGAAAGAAAAAGATCAATAAAAGGCATAAGAATAATTAGAGATAGAAAGAATGATCTGTTCTAAATTAACAAAGTATTAGGCTGCCTTTAATTTAAGATACCAAAGCCAATTGGATGTACCAAAGATATAAAGCATACTAAACTAATCAGTTATTTACTATGATAGTCTGTAAGAAGCCCCAGATGCTAGAAGTGCTCATAGATCCATAGAATAATCACAAATAGCTCTAAATACCTATATAGAGGACTAAATGCAAAGTTAGTACTTGCTCAATGGCTAAGTACTCCAAACAGATTAGAATAGGTCAGAAGGTTAGAACATAGTATAATAGATAGCCAAAGAATACTAAAAAGCTGCTAAAAGTAGGATATCAATGTTTAGAGTAGATCTATGCTCATTACTACATTATCTCTACTTTGAGCAGCAACACTTTCTCATGCCATTAAGACCTCTACAGACACCTTTAGGTTACATATTGTAGTAATGACAAAAAATAATAACACTATAATAGATTCTATTTTTCCAAAAATCTATCTGACTAATTAGCTATAATTAGCTATAATTATCTCTAACTTCCTGCCTTTTTACAAACTGGAAGTTAGACCAAATCCAAGATGGCTGCTTTTTGCTGTTACCTAGTTATTCATTGACCAAATACACTATAAAAGGCACAATATTATTAATATTCAACTTCAGGTATACCCCACTATCATCCCCTATCCTGAGCACAAGTAGACAACTTTATACTAATTGATACCTATCTATTGCTACTTGAACTGCCTTATGTTTTATTTTCAGCCTAATGCTTTAGATACTGTGGATCTGCCTAGAGCCCTCTCACTTCTTTTGCCTAAATATGTTTGGTAATTAGTTGTAACCACAAATTGTCTAATATATTGTTTGCCTTTTCTTTACATAGTTTCCTTTTGACCTGAACTCCAATCTCTAGAGTAGGATAGATCACCATCTTATAGGAATAACTAAAAGGCAAGGCAACGATGATAAAACTAAGGATATACCAAACCTTGCTCTTATTCTTATAATAAGCACACTTACTACCTGCTATTAAGTTGGCAGGCTTATCATATGCACTAATGCACTAGAAAAATGGTTCCTTAAGCTATCTAAATTATAAGGGCCTAATAGATAAAGATAATGGATTGTCTTTGAGCTTGCAAAAGAAATTTTAGATCAGTGTCTGCTTTCTTTTCAAAGAGATTAAGCAGATAATCTTTTAGGATTAATCAGAGAGGAGGTGATAATCTTTTCTAGTCTAATAGATAACTCTGGGTAGTACCCAGCTAAGAACTCTAAAGGCTGTGAGTCCTTTGTATATTGTAGAGACTAGAGAATGATCAATATATAGATTTTTTGTCACTCTCTTTTATGCATATTGCATACTATGCTGCCTATTGAATGGGGTTTTTATGTAGTTACTTAGCATGGCTATGCTTGTTATCATATGTATTATTTATTAAGCCTATGCCAATACAATATATATAGATGGTATTGTATGCCAATTAGGTGTTCTATCCTGTTAGTGCACTCAAAACCATGTGTACCATATTTTATAATATATGTTTTTCTTAGCATGACAAGTACTTATTATTCCTCCACTATTACCATTGACTAGGCTCCACTCACAAGTATTTATTCTATGAGGCACACCCTTATAATATAGCATATAAGTATAAAAATGTAGGCTATGACTCTGCATAATAAGGTGGCCATTATGGTGGCACACAATAGGTGCTCTTGCTCATATTTTTTCCTATCCTTTCTACTGAGACCATTACAAGTGTTACTAATTGCTGAAGGAAAGCTCTGCTATATCTTGTACTAGATCATAAAGATAATAACTGGTGCCCACTAATTTGTTTCTTATATGCTAACAGCATACAGACTATCCATTCCTTCTATATAAGAATTAGTTGCTTACCTCTTACTACTACAATATTACTATATCTCTCCTCTCTCCCTTGCTTGTGGGTCTTTTTGCTAGGTCTAGGTCTTTTGCTGGGTCTTTTGCTAAGTCTTTTGCTAAATCTTTTATGGTAACTGCTCTTTGAGCTGGTCATTGTATTTATATGCCTTGGCTAATAGCTATAGCCATGCTTGTTGAGTTATGTGCTAATTCCTCAAGCCTTTTGGTCATCCTTCATACTATGTCTTTTATTGTTATATTCTGATTTTTTATGTATTTCTCTTATATGTGGCATATTTTATATAATAGGAAAGAAATGTTATATCTATGTAATTCACATTATAATTTTTTTACTATGGATACTGTGATATAAGTATAAATAAAAATAATAATTGATAAGAATAATAAGTAAATGTGTTTAAGGTTGACTAATATTCTTTTGTTATTTATTTTTATACTGGTATTTATCAAGTTGTTTCTTGTAGCCATAGATATTTCTGGGCCAGGCTAATCTTACTGATATATCTTTTAGTATATTGTATTTCAATATTGGTCTATCAGACATGCTGACATTTATTAAGCCTAGAGTCTTTTGTGGCCATAGATATTTCTGGGCTAGGCAAATCCTACTGATATGCCTTCTTGCATATCACATTTTAACATTGGTCTGTCAGCCATTCTGACATTCATCAAGCCTAGGGTCTTTTCTTAACTATTATAGTACCTAATATCAAAATGATCCATTGTACTATATAGTACATATATTCCTTTATATAGCCTTATCAATCAATTATTTTTTCTCCGATGCTTAGAAAGATAAGCTAAACACTAGGTATAGTACAAAGATTGAGTAGTATACAAAGTAATTAAGCTAAGCTTCCTTAAAGCTTATCTTGGCTATAAATATATACAAGATATTTAGAATAGGATCAAGATCTGGTCTGTGTACCTAAAGCTATTCTACTCTGACAAGTGTCAAGGTACAGAAGCAATTAAGTAAATAATCAAGGTTAGTAGCTAATGATCTGTAGTATATTCATATATGATAATTGTCTGTTTGCATTATAATAGAATTATAAGTCAGGAACTAATTGAGGACACTGATCAAATAAAAGCATAAGTATTTATGCCAAAACACATAAATATGTATTATAAGCATTTATGTGTTAGCATGTTAATGGTCAAGAGTCTAGTATCAAAGTACATTTGGATTACCTAACCAGCCTACCTTCTCACATACAAAGCATATATTAGGATATAGCCCTAATACCTGCTCCACTACTCTTACTCTTTTTTTATTTGCCAATTTTTACTTCTTTTCCCTCACTTAAGTCTTTTTTTTTATTAGTTCCTTCATTAATGTCCCCCTATACAATATATTTCTTGTCTGTAGTATATAAAATTATCTCCTCTTGCACCTCTTGTCCCTGTATTACTCAATGGATAGTTAATGGCTAGCTCTATGTACTCATGATATAGTTCTCTCCAAGTATTATATTATGCCAGAAAGTATTTGTAACTTTCTAAGGTCAGTGGTTCAACACTGTCCTTAACTACCCTATTCTTACGCGCACTCAGAAGCTCTCTTTTATAGTAATTATCAGTTGTACTCTTAGTTTTTACTAATGGATTATATATATACCTACGCTTTTGTAGCTCTATTCCTTTTGTAATTATACCTACTGTAGCCATTTATAAGGGTTTAGGCTGATCCAAATTTAACTAGTCTTGGTAAAATAATTGCCTATCCCTTTTCCTTACTTTTTTTTTATCAAAGCCTTTATTTAAGTCTATTCTATATATATGTGCATGTATTTTGTATAGTTAGTGTAATCTAATAGAGAACAAGGATCAGTTTAGAATTTTCTTATTAGTTATTTCCTACAACTTTGGGCTATAATATATTGTGCCGGTTATCAAGCCTTTTAAGTAGCTGTCCCAAGGAATTCATGCAAATTAATTAATTACATATAATCAAAAATCAATCTATTAGATCCTCAAAGCTTGTACTTATCAATATCTATTGTAGTCTACATATCCTCATCTAATAAGCTGTCTGTTCTCTCTTTCTCTTTGTACTTTTATCCTCTGAGCCTAAATCCTCATTGTCTGGCTATCTGAAGTCACTCTAGAAGCCTTCATCTTCTTGTTTACCTTTAAATTGAACTTGCCTATTGTCTTGATCTATATGAGCCACCACATCATCACCACTATCTCCCTTGCCTCCCTTATCTTGAATAGGCACATTATCCTCCAATCTAGGCTATTTTGGCTTCTCCAACAACTTTTTCACTCCATAGTTTTTAAGTTTTGGCTTATCCTAGATTGGCCTCCTTTCTTTCTTCTACTTTTTTACTACCACATAGAATACTGTCTTTTGAACTTCATTCTGCCTTCAAATTGTATTGCTCTTATCTTTCAATCTGCCAACACCTTTGAATAATCAGCTTAGTTATCAGCCCTTTTTTCCTTCTCTGCCTAGTCTATCTTCTTTTCCTCATCCTTTATAACACAAAGGTCATAAAAGGCATCTCACAAGAACTATTTCTCATGCCCATCCCTAACAAGTCAATTCCTATCCTTTTTCCCTCTTTTACACTCCTCTATATTCTTTAGCTAACCTCTAATGCACTTTGTGCAGACTATTGCTAGAATTATACTGGCCTGTATCTTCTTCATTGACTCTTTCCTACTTTTATTATAATCAGTCACCTCTTATAGTATCATTTGCAAGTCCTGCTCATTTATTGTCTGGAAAACATGGTCAATAAGATATTGGTAACATAGGGGTTTCTATGGTAATATTAGGGAGGGATCATATACTGGAACATTGTTAGAAGAGTGGATTGGATTTGTCAAAGTAAGGAAGGATATGGAGGGTATGGAAGCCAGGTGGTCAATTGTGGTACAAATAGTGAATGAGATGGTGGAGGCTTGACTATAAGAATGTAGATGAGTCTTTTGTGTAGATATATTATTTTCATCTGCCATCTCTAAGCTAGCAAGCACTAGTTAACTGACAATGTAGTTACTAACCATCTCTGAGATATGCTTAATAGCAGGGCACTGTAAGACAGAGAGAATTGGATTGAGCAGATGGAAGGGGTGAGTTGCTCGGGGTCAATGGGACTCTTTCTCACAAAGCGCCACACCTCGATCAGGGTCCCTCGCTAGCGCTAGTGTTGTCCGCCACCTTGCCTTGTCCGCTGCCTGTGTTCATCTTTTGCTTTATCCTCTCTCAATATATATACCTTGCGAGCATGAAGGCAGTTCCTTATTCCAAACTCACTGCTGCACTCGCAGCACGCGCTATGTATATCTAGTTTTTCGCCAGCCATTGCATGCCCCCATGCCAAGACACTAACGGACGATTCCTGCCATGTAACTGCCCCGCTTCCCCACCTCCCAACATGCCCACCTCAACCAACCCAAACCCTGACACTCCAGCATCCGACACCGTCACCCAAGCTCAATTCCATGGTCTCACAACCGAGGTCTTGAGCCTGACAACAGGGATGGCCAACCTGTAGCTCCTGCTACAAACAGCCCTCCAGGTGGCCGCCAACCTTCCCCCCAAAGCGGCAGCTACCCCGGCTCCGGCACCAGCACCATCTGCCGTGGCGCCCATAACTGCCGACATGCTTTCATTGCACATCCCCAGCTTTGTGCCACCTGCATCCACCAATCCTGCCGCTGGTGTGTCCTCTTCCCTTCTCTCCCAATTCACCCTGGTCAAGGCGGCAGTCATCACGGCCATTGTGACCTAGGAGTTTTGGTCCTTGGATCTCTACAAGTTAGACCCCCAGTACCGGTACAAGGCCGACCGGTGCATTCTAGCCCTCAATGGTGACACACTAGAGCTCCAGACCGGTGACTCCTCTGCCAAGGAGTACCGGTCCCTAAACTTGGTTATCATTCCCCTTTCTACCTATTTTTCCATCCTTGGATCGGCAATTGCCCCCATAACCCCATCCATAGGATCAGTCATCTCGGGCTTCTGGGCTTACACAGCATCGCTGATGCAATTCGCCTTGGAATACAACTGGGCCGCAGTGCATGCCTACCACGCCGACTTCTTTATAGCTCAGCGACGAGAGATGCAGACGGGCAACTACAGCAAATGGGGCTGCATAGATCTGGACATCCAAACCTGCCACTTGTTCAGCCACAACAAAGCAGCGTGCCCCAACGCCCCCGCACCCAGTGGCACAAAGACAAGAAAGGCAGGTGGTGCCGGCTATTGCATTAAGTACAATACTAGACACTGCACAACAAGCCCTTGCCCCTGGGGTCACCTGCACACATGCTCCACATGCGGCCAAGGGCACCCGGTAACCAAGCACAAGTAGGGACTCAGGCTGGCAGACGCTCACGTGCTCTGCCCAGGCCCTGCTTGTTCTCTTGCCCCCAAGTCCACCGGCCCCTCGCTCCTCAACTCGTTCCCTCCCATCCACATCCCCCTGCCTTGCCCCAACTCAGCTCCACACACCAATCATCCCGCCCTCCAACCCCCACACCGTCCGCTCGCTACCTCGCACCTTCATACCCCTGCTTGGGCCCAATTTCTTTCCGAGTACCCAGACCCCTTGTTCGTAGATACAGTCATGGATATTATTAAACATGGTGCCAACATAGGCTACCATCGCAATCACGCACGCATTACTGCACTCCGATGCTATTACCACCAACATTGCAGCCCAAGTCGCGAAAGGCTGCACACGTGGCCCTTTTGACACGCCACCCCTTGTACACTTTCAAAGCTCTCTGCTTGGAGCTGTCACGCGTAAATGGGCTACAAAGGTCCGCCGCATCCATCACCTCTCATGGCCTGATGGGACCTTGGTAAATGACGGCATCCCTAATGACAAAGCTGCCATCATGTATGACATGTTCCATCGAGCCGTTGAAGATCTAATTGCTTCCAGCGCCAGATTGTGCATGATCAAACTCGATCTTGAGCAAGCCTTCTGGCAAATTCCTGTCCAACTGGCAGATTGGCACCTGCTCGGTTTCACCTGGATGGAACAATTTTATTGTAACATCATCTCCGGATTCGGCCTGCGCTCCACCCCATATATTTTTAACCTATTTGCCAAAGCACTTCACTGGATCATCTCGCGTCATTGACTTTGACACTATCTCGACAACTTCCTTGTAATCTTTTCCCCCAACATGGCGCCTCCAGACGTCCTTACTGCGAAGGACTGGATTATAAAACTTGGCCATACCCTCGGTCTTTGCTTTCAGCCCCAAAAAACTCTAGGTCCAGTGATGTGCCTGGAGTACCTGGGTCTAGAACTCGACTCTGTCGCAATGGAAGCTAGGCTCCCTGCTCCAAAGCTTGACATCCTGCGTGACCTCCTTGCAGAATGGTCTGTGCGGCCCTCCTGTACACTCCTGCAACTATAAGAACTTGCAGGCTACCTACAATTTGTATCACAGGTAGTCCCCCTTTCATGGGCATTCTTACACCATGTTTTCCGATTTATGGCATCATTCTGCACCAATTGCTCGCATCAGCATGTGCCTCGTGCACTCCATTGTAATCTCGATTGGTGGCGGGATATCGCTACCACATGGAACGGGATCCAGCTTCTGACGCCAAGCCGTGCCAAGGTCCACATCTACACAGATGCCAGTGGTGCAAAAGAAATTGGTGGAACCACAGGCTCACAATAGTTCTCTTCTCGTCTTCCCCGCCGGCTCTGGGGCCAGGACATTTAGTACAAAGAACTATACGCCGTTGATGAGCATTCACCCACGCTAGGGTCCAAGGAAGGTATTGAGAAGCTTTGAGGAGATACTGAACAGCGCTAGACAAGTACCGAAGACGCCGACTTTTACCGAACATGGTCGGTCCCTACCCAACAGACAACAAGCCACCGAAGGATGTTCGGCAGCACTTGGTATTCTGTATCGGCCAATGTCCTCTGTAAGTCGGTTGGCCCTTATCGCTTATCTTCCCGACTTCTGCATGGTTGGTCAATCGCGATCTTGCACCATTGCTTGGCTACCCTGGTTGTACGATATGTCTTCTTTATTTTTCATTGGTTCTCCAATGCCTGTTCCTGCTACCTATGCTTGGGCAACAGATCCCAAACATTCAGGATTTCACCATCACTGATTAACTTTTACCTTATCACCTTTGGAACTCATATGGATATCTCACCTACCTTCTTATCTTCTCTGTTCGCTAGGGCTTGGTGCCCATTTAACATCTACTCTTATTTCTTGTTTGATATTTTACTTAGGGGCTCTGCTTACTATAAAAACCTACATACAACTCTGGAATAAACCAGCTTTTGCACCCCACCGTTCAGAGCTCATTTGCACTCGTCTCAACCATAGAAATCGTCTTCGTTGACTTCTGAAAACTTGTCATCCTCGTCGTTTGGCCTCATTCGCATTCGTACTCGCCTCTTCACTCGTACCCCTCGTCCTCCCTCATATATTGTCAGAGTCCTGTGTGGCTCTTGAAGCACATAGTTGTCGGTTGCGACACTACTTCTTGTTACTGACCACATCACCGACATGACCAACTGAATGTTTGGTCGGTGTTCGGCGCAGTCCCAAAACCGTTCGGGCGCTATAATCTAACACTCCCCATTGCTTCTCAGCACGCCTTCCCTTTCTAAAGTCATCACTAACAATTCCTTGTGTATTAAATACTAGCTTCAGCACCCTTGCATTAGAGGTTGTTTTGGTGTTGTGCTCGGCACTTAGAGCCACCTCTAGCATATCATTTTGGAGCCCACCACGAGGGGTTAGTATTCAAAATTACTTCAAGGAATCTACGTCGCTCGTCCCAACCAATAGCGGAGCACGAAGAACGACAAACAGTTATTGACAGCTTTAATACTCAGGAAATATCTGCCGACCGAAGTTTGTTCGGAGACGCCAATATAGTCCCGGAGCATCTATCCCACCATCACTATCTTGATCTTGAATCCCCGCCATTGCTCTCGCCGCCGCCCAACTCCACTTTCTTCATAACCCCACCTTCATCGCTGAACCGATCACTACTCCCGCTGATTTCCCCCATCCTCGATCTTGCGCTCTTAGAACAATTACCCCCGTCTCCTATACCATCTCCCCACGACTCCATCTCTCCGTTAATTCCACGCAGCCCCGTCTTCTGAATGCTGACCATCCGACCAACTTTGCTAGAACACTCCTTTGAACCAGCAACTCCATCCCTGATCACCCTAGCAAACAATACCTTCTCCCCCACCTTTGACTTTCTTATTATGGCAACCCCATCCATGCTTGCTCGTGAAGATCGAACGGCTCCAACCTTTGACCCCCATCAACCCCGCGAATTGAGATGATATTTTGCCAATCTCGACTTCCACTTTGTTCGGTCTGCGGTAGAAGATGAGCAGGAAAGGAAGAAATACGCTTGCCGATTCCTGGACATCGACACCTGTGAGCTTTGAGAATCGCTTACCACTTTCACCGATGCCACGAAGACATTCAAGGAGTTCTGCGAAAAAGTCTACAAACTATACCCCGGATCGGAGGAAGAGCACAAATGGTCGGTATTAGATATGGACAAGCTAGTCGGCAAAATGAGCAGGGTCAGCATCTTGTCTCTCAGCGAACTAGGTGACTATCATCGGCGATTCCTGGCGATCACGGTATTCCTCCTCAGCAAGACACGAATCTCGGTCACCAAACAAGGACGCGCCTTCGCTAGAGGATTCCAACCAGAGCTATAGGCAAGAATCTCTCAACGTCTACAACTCAAGTTTCCCGATCATTTCCTAGATGACCCGTACAACCTCCAGGACATCCACGACGCAGCCCAATTTGTCTTGCACGGCACCACATCCGCATACAGCACTATGTCTACTGACATCTCTCGAGCAGCCCCCGCCGCACCGCCCACTAACGCAATCAAGGCCGAAGACCTGGCAACCATGTTCGAATGGCTCACCGACACCTTCATCAAGGCCATTGCCACTCAAAGGACGTCCAGGCCAGCCGATCGACCATCCCGACAACCAGGACAAGGCGGCAACAACTGCATGTTCTGCGGCAGTCCCGAACACTTCATGCACGCCTGTCCTGAGGTCACCGAATACATTCAGATTGTCAAATGCAAGCGGAATATCGAGGGGAAGGTGGTATTGTCAAGTGGGGCATCCGTACCCAGAGAAATCACAGGTAGTAACCTGAAGGACTGAGTTGACGAATGGCATTGCAGGAATCCAGGACAGTTGGCGACTGGACAGATGATGTTTACGGTAAACGTGGCGCCAACTCACCCGATGACGATAGCCTCCCGTCACAATTCACCCTCATTGCTGGATGTCACCCCGACTTACCAACTCACCGACGTCCAGTGAATCACAAGCCTCAAACGCAAACTATTCACACTCCAAACATGGGGCGTGAAGGCATGCAAAATGGTACAGACAGGACGTTCGGCGCCTACCCCATCACCGGCTCCTGAACGACGAATGAGGACTGAAACTCCCGAACCCGAACCCCGACCGACCACCCCGACTCAGCAACTGCCCTCGGTACCAGCCAAGGACGATGCTCCGATCCACCCATACGCCAAAGCCCAGGACGCCACTTATGCACCACCACATGAGCGCAACATGGGACCCCGGCGAAGATACCATCGGCTAAGAAGGACGCTCTGGCCTACAGGACTATAGCACCGATCTACAACAAGAAGGTAGCAGCCGAAGTCTACAACAGGGTGATGGCCACTCAGGTGATGCTTACCCAGCGCGAACTACTCTCCCTCTCCGCAGAAGTCCGTTCGCAGGTCAGGGAAGCCACGTTGGCGCACCGATCACCTAACAAAGACGCCAGCAATGTTCGGACCTTCTACCAAGATGCCAATCTACCCTACACCATCGATGATCTCAAACCACCAACTCGACCGACCGTCTCCTCCTTCGTCAATGTCCTCCACCAGCCTAAAACACCTCTACCTGGCGTGATCATCATCTTTGACATGTATGAAACATATCTGAAGAATCTACAGCCCGGTCAGGTTCCTCAGCCGTTGATAGTTGCTAAAGAGTCATCTGCCCTAAGGTCCATTGTTCCCCTCGTTGATCACTAACAGGAAGTTGAATGCGTCATTGATCCGGGTTCACAAGTTATCGCCATGTTGGAAGGCATTTGCAACAAACTGGCGCTCATCTACGACCCCGAAATTGTCCTCAATATGCAGTCGGCAAATGGCAAAATCGACTGATCCTTGGGACTCGCACGCAACGTCCCATTCCTCATCGGCGATATCACCTTGTACCTCCAAGTCCACATTATTTGGAACCCCACCTATGATGTTCTCCTCGGTCGGCCCTTTGACATCCTCACCGAAAGTGTCGTCAAGAATTATTCAAATGAAGACCAGACGATCACCATCAGTGACCCAAACATGGGACAACAAGCCACCATCCCGACAATCAGACAAGGACCGCCTCGAGTCCTTCACCGAAGACAAGCGGGTTTTTGCAACTCGATGAATTGATCCGAGATCAAGGAGAAGTTGCACTGATCATTTCCACCGATTATGATACCCCCAATTTCCCACTTATCAAAGCGTCCTCAGATTTCCATTTTCCATCTTCCTCTTGTCGCAATCTTTGTCTTAAGTACATTATGGCCTCCAATTTAGGGCCCGAAAATCATCTCAAAAACAATCTCGATTCTGCTCTGTCGTCCTATTTCTCCTCAGTCGTCCCCGGTTCTTTCCATTCCACTAATATCGCCGACCCGGTCGCCATCTTCGCTGCCTAGTGCAAGTACAAACCGGTGGCACAGAAAACATGACCAGTCTTGGCCGACCTCCCCGAAAAGTTCCGAATCATTTGGAACATCCTTGGTGACCCTCTCGCTACCCTTCCGACGCTAATACCGAACCTCCCACCCTTCACGCCGACCAGCAGATACACAGCCGAATGACGTGACCCCATCGACAAAGTCCACTTGGACGATTTCCTTTGGCCCGCTGAATAACAGCTCATGCACCATTTCATGTGTCTATAAGAGATGGGATTGCCTGGGACGATTCGGAATGCGGACGTTTCCGCAAAGAATTCTTTCCTCCAGTCAATATGCCAGTGGTCGAACACAAGCCCTGGGTTCAGCACAACATTCCGATTCCACCAGGCATTTACGACAAAGTGTGCTGACTTATCAAGACCAAGATTGCTGCTGGAGTCTATGAGCCATCAAATTCTTCCTACTGATCACGCTGGTTTACAGTCATCAAGAAGACGAATAGCACCTCCACTGGCACCAAACTCCGAATTGTTCACAGCCTCGAACCCCTGAACGCCGTTACCATCCAGCATTCAGGTGTGCCCCCATATACCAATTAGATCACTGAACAGTTTGCAGCTTGCGCTTGCGGTGGCATTCTGGATCTCTATGTCAGATACAATGAACGAGGGCTCGCCAAATCATCTCGCGACTTCACCACATTCCAGACTCCATTCGGTGCCCACCGACTCATCACCATACCCATGACGACTTCACCCACATCCTCCAGCCAGAGATCCCAGACACCACCATTCCTTTCATCAACGATGTCCCAATTCAGGGCCCACCGACCTGATACGAACTTCTGAACGGCAGCTTCGAGACGCATCCCAACAACCCCAGCATACAACAATTTGTGTGGGAACACTTTCAAGGCCTCAATCGGGTGGTCCAGTAGATGAAGTACAGCGGAGGAACATTTTTGGGACACAAGGCAACACTCTGTGCAGCCGAAATCACGGTGGTCGGCCATCGCTGCACGTACGAAGGAAGATTACCTGATGAGTCTAGGGTAGAGTCAATTATGAAGTGGGGACCTTGCAGGGATCTCTGGGACATTTGGGCATTTCTGGGGACAATCAATGTTGTTCGGATCTTCATTTGGAATTTTGCACACCGGGTGCATGCACTGACTATGTTAATGCACAAAGATTTTCCATTTGTGTTCGGCCCAGACCAGATAGCAGCCCAAGACAATCTCTGGTCGGCACTACTCAAATTGCCAGCCCTTCGACCGATTGACTATGGGTCGGCAGCCAACGTCATCCTCACCGTCAATACCTCACAAATCGTGGTTGGCTTCTACCTCTGCCAATGCGCACTCGACAATCCGCGGGTTCGGTACTATGCCTGATTCAGCTCCATCACCCTTAACGACCGCGAATCGCGATTCTCCTAGCTGAAGCTCGAACTCTACGGTCTCTTTTGCGCCCTTCAATTGCTCAAAATGTATCTCATCGGCGTTCAGAACCTGATAGTCGAAGTAGATGCACACTACATCAAGGGCATGCTCACTAACCCAGATCTTGAACCCAGCACTAGCATCAATCGGTGGATCGTCTCCATCCTCACCTTCCATTTCACACTCGTCCATGTCCCTAGTACCTCTCATGGACCCGATGGCCTCTCCCGACGACCACCACAACCCACCAATTGACCCAAACCCGAAGACAACTTTGACGACTGGATCGACAATCTCTACGGCTTCCTCCATCAGATCAACAACACGTTCCCCACCTCCATCTCAACTTTGACCACCGCCATCTTCACCTCCTCACTCATAGGCGACCCCCCGACCAATACCGACACCGAGGACGAAGGCCCAACTATCGACTATTCAGATATCCCATGATCGCAAAAAGCGTTGGAAGCCAAAGAGCGCCTATGGTCGGTCCACGACTGGCACCGAACATTGGTTTGGCCCCCTTCTCTCTCCAACTCCGAATATGCCACCTTCCTACGATATTGCACTGAGTTCTTTATTGCAGCTGACAAGCTATGGAGAAAAGACTCACATGGTTGACACAAGATTGTTGCAGCCCCTTCTAGTCAGATCGCAATTCTCACCGCCGCCTATGACGACGTTGCTCACAAGGGATTCTACGCCATGACCGCCTTCATTGCCAAACGCTTCTGGTGGCCACACATGAGGCAAGATATTTCTTGGTTTGTTCGGACATGTCACCTTTGCCAGATTCGCCAGACTCGCAACATTCTCATTCCCCTGACCGTCGCCTTGCCCGCACCACTCTTCGCAAAGATGTATATGGATACCATGCACATGCCGACCACCGGCAGTTTCAAGTATCTCGTTCAAGGTCGCTGTCCAGTATCACACTACCCCAAATTCCGAATGCTCTGACGCAAAACAAGCTCAGCTCTTGCCGACTGGATATTCGAGGATATTCTGTGCCGATGGGGAACATTGGTAGAGATCATCTCCGACAACGGACCAGCATTTGTCAAGGCACTCGACCAGTTAGCAAAGAAGTACCACATTCGGCACATCCATATTTCGGGCTACAATTCCCGCGCCAATGGCATCGCCGAACGACCTCACTTTGATGTTCGGCAGGCTCTGTTCAAGGCCGTGGATGGAGATCAGGCCAAGTGGAATTGTGCAGCTCATTTTGTATTCTTGGCTGATTGTATTACTGTTTGGCACCAAATGGGCTGCTCGCCATACTTCACAGCAACTGGAACCCATCCCCTCCTCCCCCTCGACATTGCCAAAGCCACCTACCACCTGCCACCGCCAACCACAACCCTCAGCACCACCGACCTCATCGCCCGACGGGCCATAGCCTTGCAGAAATGCCGATCAGACCTCGCCCACCTTTGCAGCTCAGTTGTCGACGCCCATGTCCAGGCCGCCATCCAATTTGAATAACAGCACTTGGCCACACTTTGCGACTTCAATTTCCACCAAGGCTTGCTTGTCCTGATGCGCAACACAGCCATAGAAAAGGTGCTCAATCGGAAGATGCGTCCACGGTACCTAGGGCCTTTGCTAGTAATTTCTAGGAATCGGGGAGGAGCGTATATTCTGGCCGAACTCGACGGATCGGTCTTTGATTGGCCAATTGCAGCATTCCATGTTATTCCTTATTTTGCTCGCAGGTCTCTGAAGCTCACCAAACTTGAAGCCCTCCTCGACATCTCACAAGAACGCCTTTGGGCAATAGAAGAATCCCGATCGAGCAATGACGACGCTGAGGCCGACGATGCTAATGAAGAGGATACTAACACCAGCTCAGTCCGATCTGCAAAAGATGACGACGCGGCTTCGGGAACCTCCGACTAGATCCCACCCTCCCATCTTTTGCCCACTTCGGTCGGTGACTGGGGACAGTCATGATCTCAGTAGGGAGGAGGATTCACAGATATACCCATTTCTTTGTTTTTGTTTACTCATCACAGACATGGACTGACGCCCAATTATTTCCACACTTTTAGTACTTTTACCACCAACCGATCGCCGACCGAATAGTCGGCACTCATTTTACACATCATTCCTGCAAGTACCAAGCCGCATTGAAGACTTCTTCTGATTTGCGCAAAACCATAGGGTTTTATGCCTGTGATGACATACTGAGGCTTCCCCTAATATTCCAACTTATTTTCTTCATTTCACTGAATGCTTCGCTTACAAGTACATTCACACAGTCATTTTGCCGACTGATTTCCCAAATGATACCTCTAGTCTCCACTAAACGCCTCATTCATCTCAAGACAGTCCTTTCACTTATTTTATATTTTACTGGACTAGCAACACCTTAAAACTACTTTACACATCGGGAACAAAGTTGCCCGACACCGACATTCCCGAATCCTTGGCATCCAACGAGTCTTTCACCAACACCACATCTGAAACCGCTGATCCACCCGAACACGCCTCAAGAACCTCCAACTCACCCTGCCACATCGCAATTGAACGTGCCAGTGAGGCACGTGTACCTTCGGCCACAGCAATGCGGTACCGAAGCTCTGACACGATGCCTTGCGCGACGACAGGAGACAGGTGAGAGGAGTCGGGCAGGGCGGGGACAGCAGAGGAACGAGCACGTGAAGGGCAGGTAGGAGCGGGGGCGGCCCTAGCAGTGGTAGAAAGCTGCTGGACCAGTATTCTGGTACAAGCGGCTGCGCCAAACGATACCGAACAATGAGCTCCACATTTCTGATTCAAACAAAAGATGACTTACCTTTCATCTGAGTGATGCTATCGCCGACCGACCATACGGGAACAACCACCTCTACCTTATGACACTTCAAAGGGCATCCCCTCTCCTCCGACTTTGGCGCCGACTTCCCTTTTTCCTTTGATTTCCCCTTCCCCTTCCCCTTATCTGTCGGCGTCCACCCAGGCTGAAAGCTACACCCCTTCGACTCCCTGGCACACTTCGTGCACGATACCAGCCTAGGTCGCTGGTAGCATCGGAACACCTTGGTCAGAAAGGCGGTCGCACAGCGATGACAAGCGTAGTCAGCCTAGAAGGAGGGTCAGCAATAGGAAGCGGCGGCAAGAGAGAGGGAACTCACCAAGACATCACCTGGTAATAATCCGGGAGGGTCTTCAAGCAGCTTCCTGGCACCATTTTGCTCCACAGGGGACCTAGCACTCGACATTTGGCCCATTCCAGGGCCGAGAGGAAGGACAATGCGCCCAAGAGGTGGCGTCGGTTGACGAGCAAACTCGACGACAACAGCCGTGGCCGACTGTTTGCCCTTCAAGTTGGTCGGGGCAGCAGCGGCGACCAAACCCACGCTCATTCAATCCAGAGCATTGGTTACAGACGCAAGTGCAGAATTGGCAGCGGACAGGTCAGGCTGGGACGAGTCGGCAGATGGGTCGGGATGGGAGGAGGACATGGCGGCAGAAGGGGAAGGAGAAGGAAGGAAGAGAGGAAGAGAAAGGACAGACTCGGCCTCAAGCTCAGCCAACTGACGCTCACCCTCTTCAGGATTGAGCGATCCATCGAACATCGCGTCCACCAGTACCTCCTGGCGCCATTCATGATCCACTTCAGCTGACTCCCAAGCCGCAGCAGCCCGAGCTGCCTCAGCTTCGGCAGCCTCCCGTTCGGCGATAGCAACACGCTCCCTCTCCTCCACTAGGGCCTGTTCCTTGGCCGCCTGCTGTTGCTGCAATGCAACATACGCCGCCCGCTGTGGAAGGATTCGTGCCCCCCATACCAGCCAGTCGTCAGTAGCCATTGGATCGAGGCCAATCTTGGCCTCGGCGATCCAGTCGGTGAGTTTGGGCATGTCTTGCCCACGCGCCGAATGGTCAAAAACAGCCTGCAAGAACGTCAGCAGCTAGCAGAAGGCAAAGGGACGAACCGACTGACCACTCGTTTGGCGAAACCCTGTGCCCAGGCCTCGTAATCCTCGTACTTGGTGGCGCTATCAGGAAGGGCAAGCATGTACTCCCCAAGCTTGGTTTTAAGGACAGAAAGGATGGAGGACATGTTGGGAAGCAGAGAGGATCGGATAAGGAGGCGAAGCGGCAAGAGAATGGCAATGAGTGACTTAGTTGCTGAAGTATCAACAATCATCAGGTGATTGTGGTCACCTGACTAAGCCATGTGCCACTATGCGTGGCAGAAACCGCGATGCGCATTACCGCTCTTTGCCAACACGCTCCTATGCCAGTGCCTAGTTGGGGCACTCTAGGCTTCAGCTACTCTCTCACCTAATCAGTTGCCACGCCACAGGACTTTGCTGACGCAGCCCCGGTCTCCCTTGCGCGCCGACCTGGTCCATTCTATGACATCTCCTTGCCGATTATTCACCTGTGCCACATCTCTCCCACGTGCCCACTTTTTCCATGCCATCGCTTGTTACCGACGCTTTCCCACATCCACACACTACGCGCCCTGATCCATATGCAGTGTTGCCACACCAATTTTTTTGCTCCAACTCCTAGCCGCCGACCAACTGACTGAGGATAGTCAGGATTTCAGTAGGGAGGAGATGATGAGCATTTACCCACGCTAGGGTCTGAGGAAGGTATTTGGAAGCTTTGGGGAGATACCGAATAGCACTAGAAAAGTACCGAAGACACCGACTTTTACCAAACATGGTCGGTCCCTATCCGACAGACAACAAGCCACCGAAGGACGTTTGGCAGCACTTGGTATTCTGTATCGGCCGATGTCCTCTGTGAGTCGGTTGGCCCTTATCGCTTATCTTCCCGACTTCTGCATGGTTGGTCAATCGCGATCTTGCACCATTGCTTGGCTACCCTGGTTGTACGATATGTCTTCTTTATTTTTCATTGGTTCTCCAATGCCTGTTCCTGCTACTTACGCTCAGGCGACGGATCCCGAACATTCAGGATTTCGCCATCACTGATTAACTTTTACCTTGTCACCTTCGGAACCCATATGGACATCTCACCTACCTCCTTATCTTCTCTGATCGCTAAGGCTTGGTGCCCATTTGACATCTACTCTCATTTCTTGTTTAATATTTTACTTAGGGGCTCTGCTTACTATAAAAACCTACATACAACTCTGGAATAAACCAGCTTTCGCACCCCACCGTTCAGAGCTCATTTGCACTCATCTCAACCATCGAAATCGTCTTCGTTGACTTCCAAAAACTTGTCATCCTCGTCGTTTGGCCTCATTCGCATTCGTACTCGCCTCTTCACTCGTACCCCTCGTCCTCCCTCATATATTGTCAGAGTCCTGTGTGGCTCTTGAAGCACATAGTTGTCGGTTGCGACACTACTTCTTGTTACCGACCACATCACCGACATGACCAACTGAATGTTCGGTCGGTGTTTGGCGCAGTCCCAAAACCATTCGGGCGCTATAATCTAACACTCCCCGTTGCTTCTCAGTATGCCTTCCCTTTCTAAAGTTATCACTAACAATTCCTTGTGTATTAAATACTAGCTCCAGCACCCCTGCATTAGAGGTTGTTTTAGTGTTGTGCTCAGCACTTAGAGCCACCTCTAGTGTATCACCGTCCTTCATGCCCTCCTTTGCTAGGGCCCAGACCTCACTGGCCGGCATGTCATCTTTCATGTTGACAATCAAGCTGTCATCCAAGTGCTTCTCATGCTGTCAAATTGCTCCACTCCAGTTGCGGAGCTTCTGCACCGCTTCCTTAATTTAACATGCTGCCTCGACCTAATCTTTTCCACGGTTTGGCTCTCTTCCAATCAGAACATGCTCGCTGATGCCACTTCTCATTTTAATTATACTCAACTATTTGATCTTGCCCCCCATCTTGATCAACAGCCCTCCTACTGGCACCTCTGTTTTGGTGGTATCAACACTTCTGACATGTCGCACCCCAAGTTGCTTTTTACCTATGGCACAGGATTGCATCTAGCATGTGCGCCACTTACAGTGTCAGCTAGAAATCCTTCATCAATCTTGCCACTATTAGTGGGCACTTCAACCCAGATAGAGCTCTCTTCCTGGCCAATCAAAATGCTGTTATGGCATGGGTGGCCTGGCTCAGCAGCCGAGTCCAGCCCAAAACCATCAAAGCTTACCTTATGCATCTCTGATCCCTCCATGTCAACACGGACCTTCCTTTCTTGGCAATTGAAGTGCCAGTTGTCCAACGCCTTATTTGGGGCATCAAGAGATACCACAGTAAGGCCGGCCGTAAACCCAAGCAACCAATCACCCTCCCCATCCTTTGCAATATCCTCAGCCACATGCCAGATTCCCCTCAGCAACTCTACCTCCGCGCTGCCTGCTGCCTTGCCTACTCTGCCCTGCTCTATTGTGGAGAATTCACGACACACGAAGGTACCCACTGGGGCTTTGGCACCGAAACCGGCCTCACAGCCGGTTCCATCAGATTACTCCCCGATGCCACTAACCTGACTCATGCAACAATCTTTCTCCCTGGCTCCAAAACCGACCCCTTCTGCAAAGAAACTACCATCATGGTCGCCGCTGCTCCTCCTGGCTCCGCAACCTGTCCGGTGGTCGCACTCAAAGCCCTCTTTGAGGCAGAACCCCGGCCAGAGACCGCCGTGTTGTTTGAAGAATGTCCCGGCATGCCGCTCTCTCACGGCTTCTTCCTCAAGTCGATCCGGGCTGCTCTTCTCTACGCGGGGTACAATCCCTTGGAATTTGCTGGCCACAGCTTCCAACATAGCATCGCCTCCTCCGCAGCAGTTGCCAGCTATTCAGACTATGAGATACAACTTTTGGGCTGGTGGCGCAGCAATGCCTTCAAGCTCTACCTAGAGGTAGACCAGGCTTGGCTACTTCAACTGTCTAGAACTCTTCATTTGGCCCTCAGCCATCTGCTTTCGACCCTCCGGGTCTGCACGGCCTTCCTATCATGGCTTGAGGTTGGCCCTGGGACCTAGTCCTGAGGCTTGCCTTAAGTTCTCAAGGGCCACAAATGTCATACATTTGTCATGCCTGTCGAGCCCGGAGAATTTCACTTCCCTTCTCAATTCAGTTGCTTCTTTCTCAATTTAGATAATGCTTCTTCCTTTGTCACTCAGTCACATTGGTGGATCGAGCAGATAGAAGGGGTGAGTTGCTTAGGGTCAATGGGATCCTTTCTCACAAAGCGCCACACCTCGATTAGGGTCCCTCGCTAGCGCTAGCGTTGTCTGCCATCTTGCCTTGTCCACCGCCTGTGTTCATTTTTCGCTTTATCCTCTCTCAATATATATACCTTGCGAGCGCGAAGGCAGTTCCTCATTCTGAACTCACTGCTACGCTCGCAGCACACGCTACATATATCTAGTTTTTCACCCCACCTACCATCCCTCTACTTAGATCTCTCCATGCTACACTAGTCTAGTCTTCTGTATCTATATAAGCCCTCCTAGAGTTGGCTTGAGGTTGGCCCCAGGACCTAGTCCCGAGGCTTGCCTTGAGTTCTCAGGGGCCACAAATGTCATACATTTATCATGCCTATCGAGCCCGGAGAATTTCGCTTCGCTTCTCAATTCAGTCACTTCTTTCTCAATTTAAATAATGCTTCTTCCTTTGTCACTCAATCACATTGATCTACTATTAGAGGTTTTTAATGTAGGTGCCATCATTTCCTTAGTGATCATATCATGATTTCAGGAACCAATTCCTGTAACATAGAAGGCAGTCTTGACATTTTCTTTAGTGAATGTCTTAAATTAGGCCTTTATGTAAACCTTTAAGAAGGTTACCTTACTAATTCTCTTCCCTCCCCTCTCTTAGTTATTGTGAGTGTCAGACTAGTTCTTCTTTAGATGGCTGAAGAGGTTAATGTTAAGGCCTTGTAAAATGTACATGCTATAAAAATAATAACAGACAATCTCAATGTAGTTCTTATATGTGTACTTGAGGATAGCATGTTAATAGTATGAGTTATGCCCATTGACAAGAAACAGTTGATAGTGGCTATTGGACTTCTCCTTTGTCTGTCTATCAAACTTGATATATTTAAGACTAAGTTCCTAGTTTATGTACCCCTTTTTGAAGTATGCTATCCTGTTTTTACTTAAAGTCAAAAAGCTGTCTTTTCTATAATATGGAGAGTGGCAAATAAATAATACACTTATAATGTATTGACAGGTTTATCCTGCTTTTACTTTGTTATGAACCTCTTTTCCTTGAAGATTACCACCAGGTTCAGTATAGTCCTATAAGCACACATAGTAACCAAAACTGTTATATTCTCTTAAGACCCCATTCGCTCTTGGTGGAATATTCTCTTCCTTCTTGAACCAAAAACCTTCTCTTTTTAACCAGCAGCTTTCTGAATCCCTGTCTTGTCACCTTCAAAGATCAATTTTGGCAGGATAATGCCATCACCCCCTTTATCTTTAATAACCATCTTGTAGATATTATAAAACCCCTTCTTTGTGGCAGGATTAATAGCTCATGCTCACACATTATTCAGTGGATACAACTAGTGAGCTTGAATCTTGCCATAGTGATCTGACACAAATCTGCTAAGTAGTGAGCCACCTTTAATATAATAATCTAGAATAGAAGAAGATAATTTAATATGTTTACTAGTCATTGTGAAATACTCTTGCTTAACCTGAATGCATATTTTCTCTAGGCCAAGTGGTTTTGGCTTCTTCTGCTCAAGCTTTTATATCTCTATGGCCTGTTCTATATATTAGTCTCTTGATTGCATCTGGAAAACCACCCCCTTGTATTAGCTCTGGATTATATCTCATAGTGTCTAAAAGTATCTAAAAGTGTTAATAGTATCTAAAAGTGTCTAATTTCCTAATTAGGAGCAACACATTGTGAGCATTGAATTGGATTCTAATTTCATAATATTAGCGCTAATTCTATACTAAGAAGTCTTTAATTAGCAGTAGGAAATAGTAAGTACTACTGCTCTATCAGTGAGAAGGTAAAGATGTGGCACATTCTATACTATTTTAGCACATTACTCTCCTTTATATATGCCTGCACCATGATCTTGTAGCTCTTTGCTAACTTTCTAGCTTTACAAGGGACATAGAAAGAGAGAAATGTGCATTGATGCCCCCAGCCACTTTGTTGGCAGCTTGGCAGCTGCCATAAAAGGCTATAAAGACCTTGGTATCTTGGCCTTGTGCACAAGATCATTAAAGTTGTTATTGTTAGCCAATGCCTGCTACTGGTCATTATAGGACACAACATGTGGGTTGGACTTAGGGATATGCCATATGCAGCCTTGTAGACCTTGTCTATTAGTATAGTGGCTAATACTGTCTTGTGCAGCACACAATTACCATCACTATTAATACTACAATTTTTAGCACTATTTATATTGTTCATTGCCTTGTGATTCAGAAGATGCTCAAACTTGGTGTTTTCTTCTAGCTATTAGGCTGTGGAAAAGACAGACATGTTGGTATGTGGTGCCAGATTGATATATTTGCCTGCCATATAGGAAATATGTGCACTAAGCATATTAAGATTATGTCCAACAGTCTTATGCTTATTTATATATAGGCATGCCATACATATACCCTTGTCCCCACCCTCTACCTCACTAGTGGCTATTTGGAAAACCCCTCTCTCTTATTGGATCTTAATTATTGATAATCATGTTTTTGATCAAATTTGCAAATTCAGGTAGCATTGTCTATATTAGTAGAGTCCCATTGAATATTACACTCAATCATAGTTTAACACATTCTAAATCCAAATTGTGTAAGTGCTATCATTTAATTTTATCCTATATAAAGTGTATTATTGATTTTCCATTGGTTTATTATCTTCTTAGCTGGTGTTTAAACTAAATCCTGAAAGACCTGACTTTTTGGGTATTTATTGACCTGTTTATTTATTAAATAGAGGAAAGATAAATGTTGAATAAAATTTGAGATATTGAGGTTGCCTATATTATGTCTACTTATTTAGATTACCAAGTTAATATATTAAACATTATAGCTTAGTGGCTTAGAGTATCTGTTCTAGGTGCTTGCATACATGAGGTTGTTGGTTTAACTCTGGCAAAAGACAAGTTTGTTATATGGTATATTCTGTGTTTAGGTATTCAACTAGTGCTCTAATAGACATGACTCTATAGTAAGGCTATGAGAACTATGATGCTTGATTTATTATGATTTTTCCGAAATTTCAAGTTATAATGAATCCTAATAATTCCTAATTTAGGAAAATTATGTCTAATTAGAACAGGTTTAAAGGGGGGTAAGCTAAAAATATCTAATCCTAATCTTTCATAATTTAGTATAGTAGAGCGTTAATTATAGCTAATTAGAGCTTAATACAAGGGGGTGGTTTTCCAGATATGTTCATACTCTTTTCTCTTTCTCCAGTCAGGCTTTGCTTTTCCTAGCATCTTGAGAGTATTGTGTGTATATATGTATATAAGCTTTTATTGAGTGCAAGTAAGCCTGAGAGACAGTGCAGTAGTGAAGAATATGCCAGTGGTATCATGAGAACTTAGTGCCAGTGTGTCAAGATCTCAGATTTGTGTATAATATATGACTTTCTTTTTTGGCCTTAATGAAAATAGCTAAAAATGGTCCCTAATAGTGAATACACTGTCTCTCTAGCTACAATGTTATATTCTACAAGACTAAGTACCCCAGAAATTTTGTATATGTCTTAAGACTCTTCTCTAATATTTTCGTGATTTTTAGAGATTAGATTGCTGCACAAGTACGACTTGTTTGTGAATTTCTGGCCTTCTCATATTGATCACTACCTACAACAAAATCAGTCATAAGGTGATTATCCAAAATATTGTGTATAGTGCTCAAGATATATAGCACAAAGTAACAAAAAACTCCAAAAGGTTTTATAGGCAAGACAAAGAGGTACAGCTTTTTAGCCTACAAGCAGATAGTAGCCCAAACCCTTATAAATGGCTGTAAGCTTGCTTTGATATTTGCAATACCCTTAGTCATATAATGCTAGAGCATAGAAAGCATCTGTTTTTGGAAAAGATCTAACAAAGTCTCAGCTAGCAGAATATTTTATTTGCATATAAGAATACTCACCTTTCACCTTCTGAGGCTTATATAGGTTAATCAGGTCTATGTGGCACTTTATGTCTATAACCTTTCTGAGCCATTTGCTCTCCTCTGACTCCTATACATACAGTATTGCTCTTTTGACTTGTTTCTTGAGCATTAGTAGTGCTGTCTATGCCTTTTCCAATTTGTATTTAGCTCACTCATGCTTTTTATGTGATCTTCACTATTGGAGCATGAGGTCATGACCAAAGCTAATACAACATGTACTACTCACTTATGCCATATATTTATTGAATATTTGTATCGGAGTGGTGGTCATTGATAATGTCATGTTAGTGTTCTAATGTCATTTCTTATATGCTACTACTTAGGGCTTTCCCATCTATTATTATCATTCCCAGCAACCAATGAAACAAGAATTTGTACCTATAGAACAAAGTGTATACTAGTAGGTAAAACTTTCCCATAGTGGCCAAAGTCTATAAAAAGTGCTTAACTTTAATGGACTTGAATTTCTTGCTTGCTTGGGCTAGGGCTATTATCTATTCATTAAAATAGATTTGGTATTAGTAGTTAATGTCACAACCTAATATATGCATGTGTAATCCTATCTATTACTGAAGTTTAGACACTATTACAAAATCCATATTAGCAAACCTATGCTAATAATAAACTATGCTATTCTACATAAATGCAGTATCCACTTACCTTTTTTCCTTTTGCAGGTTTATAGCCCCACTAGAAAGCACAAATATATATTGTGTACATGACATTCTACTGTTTCCAAGATCTTTCCCTAGTAGCCATTATAACTTATTGTCTCAAATTAATGGCATGTCAACAGCTGTAAGACATTTTAGTAAATTATTCAAAATTAATTTCTGCAATTAATGTATCTCTTGTTCCA